TGTGGTTATTATTTATATTTACTTAATAACTAATAATTGAAATAATATTCAGTAGTCTAAATCTGATAAGAAAGCAGTTATAAATATACTCTATAACTTAAATCTAATAATATTTAAACTTATAATTAAAAGCTCTAATAAAATTTCTATTAGTAATTTTATTATATAAAATAATACTCTTTATTAGCTAAGATCTAATAAAACTCCCTTATCTTCTAATAATACTAATAATAAAGATATTATTACTATTATTCAGAAATTGTTTATTAAGAAGATAAATATAATAAATACCTCTAAAACTTAAACTATACTTTAATATTTTTTATTTTTTATTTATATTACTTAATTTATTGCTTAGTTTATTACTTAGTTTAACTAGAATAGATATCTTTTAGTATATTATGACTTTCTCTAGATAAAGAGTAACAATTCTTATATTCTTAATAAATATCTTTATAAGAGATATTAAGAAATAGAATTTATACATTTAAAATCCTTTTTCTAATTATTTTATTATTAATATATACTCTTACATCTAGTAATAAATTTAACAATTATAAGCTTCTAGCTGTAAGATATTATAGTATCTATAAAAGAATTTATAGAATTATTATAGTAAATAATAGAGGTTATCTATATATAATTAAGTAATTAACTCATTATAATAGTTGTATATAATTATCTAATTAATACTAAGTCATCTATAGCTAAATAAGATAATCTAGCTATATTTCTAACTAGCTTAATATCTTTTTATTAATTTTTTTCTTCATAACCCTATATATTTTAACATCATGTTAGGTTGCTTAGAGATTAATCTTTTTTTTTATAAGGAATAAATTATTAATCTATACAAAGATAGCTATTTTATAAAATTAATATTAGAATTTCTTGCAAGCCACTATAAGATCTTTATTAAGAATTATACTCTTTATTATTAATTATAAGAATAAAACATTTATTATTTAGAATATATATATAAAGATTCTTCTTATTTATATATCTAGATTACTATTTTATTCTTTTAGATATATTTAATAGATAAGGAAATAATTATTGCATTAAAGAATAAAGGCTTTTAGATAAATTAATAAGTAATATAGTAAATTCATCTCAGAATAGATATATATTATTTATTTAGTACACATATATATACAGAGATAAATAATAAACTATATCTTATTATATAAACTAAACTTAATAGTGGAAGTATTAATAAGTTTGGCTATAAAATACTATATATATATTTTTACTTTAAGATACATATTATCTCTAGATATTATTTCTTTAAGCTCTTTAATGTTTTATAATTAACTTAGTATATAGAGATTATTTATTTTCTCTTATCAGAGAGATTGACCTTATTAATATTTAAAGAAGATAGAATAACTTATAATAAATTTATTAGACATTTATTATATTAGATCTAAATTATATTTAATTAATTGATAATTATAATAAATTATAACTATAAGATATTAAGATCTATGCTGCAATTAATGCTTATTTATATTATATTATTTAGATATATATTAATATTAGTAATTGTATAGCTATTAGTATTTTTCATTAATTCCTTAATATAATTAAAGATATAGGTATTCAATTTATAAAGATTAGATTAGATTAGAGGATAAAGACTTTATTTCTTGCAAGTATATATTTTGCCTTATAAAAGTAATAAGACCATAATCTTTTCTTTAATAACTATTATTAGTTTAGGATAAGTATATTAAATTAGTATATTAAAAATTGATGAAGATAGTTATTAAAAAATCTTTTATTCTTATAATAGATGAGTAATTAAATTTTTAGATTATATAATAGTACTAATACTTATTTAAAATAGGGATTTTTTGCTAAAATCTAGAAATAAGGCTTATATATTAAAAGCTGGATTATAGATTATATTATGCTTCTTACTATTTATATTCCTATATTTAGATAAAAAGTTTATTATTTTGTCTAAAAGTAAAATGTTTATAAGATATATCTATAGAAAAATTAGGAATATCTATTAATAGAAAAACCTTATATAATATATTATTATCATTTATATACTATAGATAATTTTAGAATAATACTAAATTTAGATCTCTTGAAGGAGTTATAGCAGAGAATAAATAATTAGAGTATAATAATTTTTAAAGATTATTTAATATAAGCTAATCTTAATTATAGATATTAATAAATATTTACTAGCTAAGATTATTGATTTTTATAATTTAATATTATAAAGTAGTAGATACTTTTTAAATATATTATAAAAAGACTGCTTACTAGATAATAGTTATATATATTGTTAAGCATATTAATGGTTGTGGTAAAGCTTATAGGATTACTTTAATATATAGAAGAAATCTAAGCTAGTGAAATTATTAAGGCTAATAGATGCTTAGAAGTAGTATAGTAAGGAGCTTAAGGCTTACTATTAGATTATAGAAGAATATTTTAGTATTATAAGCCATGTAATATTTATTTAGGATGAAATAGAAGAAGATTAGTCATAGTAATTAAATAAAAAATATCTTATAGTATTAATAAATATATAGATATGAGAAAGATTTCTAATTAAGAAAAATTTAATTAATAAAGATAGATTTTCTTATTTAGCTATCTTCTTATGATGTGTCTGGAAGGCTAGTGTATCTAATAGTGAATTCTTATTAGCATTAATAGAAGATTCTATATGATTAAAATGATTATTTTGTATATCTAAATCCTTGCTTTTTTTATTATCTTTTAGAATATTGAATGATTGCTTTTTGTTTGGCTGGTTAGATAATGTAATATTTAGTTTAAGCAATTCAGTTTAGTTGGTGTTGTTAGGGAGATTATTGGGATTATTATTAAAGATATCTATATGGTTATTATTATCAAATTTCTTAGAAGCATCTTAAGTGTTATGAAATGTATTAATATTAATGATTAAAGGCTTGAGTTTGATTTTTATATTACCATTATTATTATTATTATTATTATTATTATTATTATTATTATTACAGGATTCCTTAACTTTCATTTTTAGAGTATAAGTTGCTTTTTCTTTAATAGCTTTTATAAGAAATAGAAGTAGTATATTATCTATATTATTCTTATCTATCTTAATACTAATATATAGATAAATTATGAATTAATAACTCTTATTCTTTTTCTTTTTTATCACTTGAAAATATTTTATCAAAATAGACTTTAGATCCATTATAACTTATATATTACTAGATGAAATAGTAAGAGGTCTTTAATTTTTTTAGAATTATCTAGCTACTATAACTTCTTATATATCTAATATCTTATAAATATAAGATTATATATTAAAGTTCTTTATAAGTATCTCAATAAATTTATCTTTTATTTTAAAATAAGTATTAATACTTAGATTAATTAAAGTAGACATTATATAAGCCTAGTTATAAAAGATTATTTATTTCTTCTTTTTAAGTACTTTCTAGTATAGTTAGATTATTATAAGAAGTATATAAGAGGCTAGAGTAGAAATAGTTTAATTATTATATATAAGACTGCTAGCATTAGATATAGATATATTTTACTATGTTTTGAAAATAGCTTTTTAATAATTATAATAAACAGCTTGCTAATATTTTAATAGTAATTAATAAGATACTTAAAGGGTATATAATCTAGATCTAGATAGATTACTTTTTAAAGAAGAGTCTTCTAAGAGATTAATTATAAAAAGTAGTAGTACATTTATTTTAAAGATTAAGTTTATTTAATTATAGAAATTATAAACTAAATGTTTTATATATATTATATATTTATAGCCTAGATTTTTGATATAGAAAGTAGTTTATAATATTATTTAAAATAATTATAAATATAAAATAAGAAAGCAAATTAATAAGTTAGATATATAAGAATTTTATATTTAATAATATATATTAAACTTTTATTAATAAGATAGACTATTAGATAAAGAAATAATTTATTTTATTATAATACCTTATTTATTATTAACTAAGAATTAAGTTAATTAAAGATAATTAGCTAAGTATTTAATTAACTAACTTTTACTAGTTAGCTTACTAATTACTTATAGTAGTAAATTATCTTAGTAAAATTTCTTTTAAATAGTTATTCTTAATTAAATAAATATAATATTCTTATATGAGAAATAAAAAAGAATTTTTTATATTATATATAAGAGAAGTAAAGAAGTAAAAAAGGATTTTAAAACTCTTTTTATTTCTCTCTATCAAGATTTTAAGTTTATTTATTTACTGATAGGTATTTCTATACTATTAGTATGATTATTATAGAAGATTTTAATTGATTTGCACTTATGCTATCATATAATCTTTATGTGTTGTGGAATTTAGACTGTAGTTTGTGGTAAAATGTAAGTTATGTATAAAATTCATTTTGGCAAGGTTGTACGAATAGGCTGCCGTACAGGCCACTCATGATAGTCAGCCGTGCCTAGGACTCGACTAATTTTTGCTCGAACAAATGTCAACATAAGTTGCAATTATATCATCATTTTCGACTTTTTTTCTTCTTTTTTTTTTCTTCGGGAGACATCCGCCTTATATTTATTTTTATTTTTGCCTGAACCGAAGCCGAGCCCTTGGTTTGTTGTCGTAAAAACAAACCAGAGGCAAACCTTCCTTTCAGGTGCAGGTGGAAAAACTGCATAATCGAAATAATGCCTGGTCAATGAATATCCTACTTCGGTCTGTATATATGTCACATTGACGGATATTGTAGGTACTCGCGGTAGACAAAAGGGTTACACGGCATCTCGCCTCCCAAGTGACTTTCGTCCCCAATTCAGACCCTACTGTCCCTATGTATACTGATATCATATTCAATGCTTGAAACAGGAATGTGGCAACAGCTGGCACTGTTCCTCGTTCAACAGACTAATTATAGTTTATTAAATATCAAACTTCTATACAAATAAAACTTCTAAAACAAGACGTAAACCAATCTATAAGCACAATCTAAATAACAGAGAAAAAATTTTCTATAATGAGCGATCACCGGGACTTCCACTTCCGGACTCTGAACAGATAGTACAATGTGACTGCACCGAATACATTAAACACAAAATAGCACCAGAAAATGCCATAATCTCGCCATCGATCCTTATAGTAGATTTCGCGGCCACTCAAATAATCATCCGCACTAGACATGGAACAATACTGGCAGTCAGCGGTAGCGTTCTGGTTGTACAAGCTCCCACCAGCCACCGTGATGTACTTTGCGAGATACTCTCCACATGTCTGGCCAGCAGGTGGATCAAATACGCTGAGCTCAGCTGAGCTGCATTTCACGGGACGATCATGTAGTGCTGCGCTGCTAACTCCGCCAATGTAGTAGGTAAATGGCGAAACGCGATACATGAAAATCCAGAACCGTGGCAGCTGACTTGGTGGTTGCAGGATCCCGTTGAACATGAAAGACAGACCAAACATCATTGTCGCTAGCATAGCAGCCACGGCGGGTTCGCCAATGGCGGCAATAACAAACTGGGCCATGCTGCCGGCGTACATGTAGAACTGGGCGATGAAGAGTAGGACGATACCTCGAGATTGCGCACTTGTGTGAGCACCAAAAACAGAAAAATAGAAGCACGCCCATGCACAGACACCGATGCCCAGCTGCCAGGGGATCTCGACGATGATCTGCGAGAGAATGAAGACTTTCCAAGAATAGACTCTCGATGGCTTTTCGCGCACTTCGTAGAGAGACCGCTGCACGACAAATTTAGGCATCATTTGGTTGACCATCGTTCCGAAGATAGTACAGAGCAGGAAAACGCTGAACAGAACGTTTTGGAACCCTTGCTGTGTGTCGTCAGACCTCCAGAAGGAGAAGCCAATGAAGAGACCCGAGATAATTCCCAGCGTGTACTTGGAGAGGATATATTCTGGTTGACGGTAGTATTGCTGAAACACTCTGCCCAAGACATAGTAGAGCTGGCTGAAGAAAGGCATTGCAAATTCAGAACTATTGTCATCTGCAGCTCCTTCAAAATCGATATCTGAGGCCTGCGACGTCTGAAGTCGATCAAGTTCTTTTATCATGTCGGTGTACTCAGCGGATTTCTTCCAAGTCTCAGGCCAATCGACATTGGAATCTTTATCGCCATTGACAACATCTAGGATGTACTCAGCAGGGTTCTCAGACTTGTCGCAGTGTCTTCCTCCATTCCTCTCAAAATAGTCTAGCAAAATCGTCGACTCTTCTCCGATATCACCAAAATAAACGGTTCTGCCTCCCTTTGCCAGGAATAGCAAACGGTCAAACTCTTGAAACAGCAAAGCACTTGGTTGATGAATAGTGGCCAGGACAGCCTGTCCATTATCCGCAAGCTTTCGAAGAAATGCACAGATTGTCCAGGAGCTTTGAGAGTCAAGACCACTCGTGGGTTCGTCGAGGAAGATGAGCAAAGTGGGTTTCGCGGCAAGCTCAACACCAATACTTAGCAACTTTCTTTGCTCCACGTTGAGACCTTCCCCAATGTTGCCTACTACGGCTTCTGCAAAGTCTTCCATTCCTAATACCTTGATGACTTCTTCGACGTATGCATATTTTTCACTCTTTGGGACTGAATTTGGTTGCCGGAGCATTGCGCTGAATTGTAGCGCTTCACGAACGGTAGTAGTCTCGAGATGGAGATCCTGTTGTTGCACATATCCAGTCCTTCGCGGGAAATTAGACTGGAGGCCTTTTCCGTTCACCAGAATATCTCCAGTCACAACACCAATAGAAACTCTCTGGGCAAGTACATCAAGTAACGTCGTTTTGCCTGCTCCGGAAACGCCCATCAACGCAGTCAATGTGCCGGGCTTTACCCATCCATTCACATTATCAAGAAGTCGGCGGGTGCCATCCTTGACAGGGATGTCGTATTGGACGTTCTTCCACGACAGAATGTCCTTGTGCTTTGGCAAATGCATTGTGTCGTAATTCTTTTCGGACTGAACCGGAACGTTTTGTGTGCTTGCCTGTGAGCTTTCAACGTCGCCATTCTCTTGTAGATACCGGGGAGCGTGGCCGATACGGAAGACTAAGCTTTCTGCCTTGGAAACATTCCCAGCAAAGAATTCTGTGCCGACGAGGTATAGACCATTGAAGAAAACCATGAATGCAATAAGAATGCCATAGTTGCGCCATACGTGTGAATACTTGTACTCATAATTGGCTTCAATGAAAGCATCCCCAGAGACATAGTGCTGTCCGGCAACAGAACCGACCGTGGAGCAAATGAATGCCGTCCCTTCAGCGTAGCTAGGGATCATCGAGTCGCAGGGGAACTCACGACCGTGGAATTCGTTGCTAACCAATGCTTCGAACGCGTAGTAGATAGGGTTGATCCATCGTATCCAGGATAGCCACGGGTGCATATAAGGCTGGGGCAATGTGAAGCCAGTGTATACGGCAATACATAGGATCATAACACCAGCCATCGCCATTGCCTGACCAATAGACCTCGTCAGGGATGCAATACTGCGGAAGATTCCAGACATGGTGAGAATGGCAGTTATAATAAAAAGATAGTAGATGAAAAATTGTGCCGGTTCCCGGCGAAGATTGGCCATGAAATATAAAATGATTGAAAACACAGTGACCCGGAGGAGTTTGACTGGAAGGTCGACGATGATACTCGCTATTGCTTCCGTAAAGGGATGGACAAACGCAAATGCAGCCTGCTTTTTCACAATAGGCCGTTGACTGTAAAGAAGCATTATCTCGTTGGCCGTCAATAAAGCATTCAAAAGAATTGAAAGATATAAAGCCGCCCCTTTTTGGAAGAAGGCGCTAGTTGAGTTGGGGGAGTTGTAGAAGATTGAACCAATGATTAAGGAGAGTACGATCTGAACCACCACCGTTGACAAGGTGGTTGGTAGATCATTTCGCATGCGCTGAAATGCGCGTCGGATGCATAGACGGACTTGCATTGGGATTGAAAGTAGAAATGGACTACCTTCTCTGGCATGTCGGGCTTGCTGCTCCTTGTGGTCGGTGTGAAATGCTGCGGCTTCCTCTCCGTTTAGTGGGTGATCTTGCTTATACTTGGCAACCTGATCCTGTAGGCTTTTACGCTGAGGACTGCGCTTCCAGTATTCCGCAAATTCTCGTGCCGTCCTTGGGACCTTGTCCTCCATACCGGGAGAAGGCTTCCTTTCGCCTGGGTTGGTGATGGACGTCAAAAAGTCTCCCGTCATCTGTCGCCGGGGTCTTTCCCAGCCCATTTCTTCAAAGTATGCTGACGCTTCAGCTGCAGGGCCGTAGTATATTTCGTGGCCTTCGTATAAAAGTATCACCTTGTCGAAGAGATCGTACATGGACTGAGAAGCTTGGTAGGCAGCTACAGCATGACAAGTGTCCCCAAGATCAGCAGAAAGACGAAGCGTTTCCACAAATCGCAGAGCGGAAGCCGCATCGAGACCACGGGTGCTATTATCCCATGCTCCAATCCTAGATCGAGACAGGAACATTTCCGCGATGCTGACTCTCTTGCGCTCTCCACCACTGACTCCTCGCACCATATTGTCGCCCACTTTGGTATCTTTAGTGTGAGAAAGGCCGAACACGGCGAGAATAACTTGGACTACTGTTTCCGCATATTCATCCCGAGTAACGTCGTTCGCTCGCCTCTGTGGGGCTCGTGCATGAGCAGCGAAGGACAGTGTTTGTCCAACAGTTAGATGAGGGAAATGTGTGTCAACTTCCGGATTATAAGTGACCTCTCCACGATATCTCTTTATCATCTCGTCAAAACCAATCCCTTCATACTGAATCTCCGATTCAGGTTCCACGGTCAGCCCGCCAAGCTGTCCGCATATTGTTTTAAGAAACGTAGAGCAACCGCTTCCAGGACGGCCAAGCACAAGAAGTAGTTCTCCGCTTTCCAGGAGACCTTCAAATTCATTAAGAATTTTCCGTGGAGTCTTTTGATTATTTCCTTTTATCGATGACGCGATTTTTCGGAATGGTATTGTGAAGGTTGAAGTGATTGTCTCCTGATACTGAAGAGAGGACCCCGAGCCAGATACCGACAAGTTAGAAAATGCCACGCCTTGTCGCTGTAACTCAATGCCCGATCTATCCATTCCCTTGAGAGCCATTTGCGCCCAGAGACGGTAATCGAACTCGGGTTTGTTGGGGTCCAATCGTGGATCATCCTTATGGAAAGCAGAATGGCTCGAGAGTTGGCGACCAAGTTGACTGGAAGCGATTCGAGTCACCGCCTCCATTTCGCGCTGCGCAACGAGATCAATCGACGCGGCATCTCCATCGTCGCTGGATGACCGCACTGAGCCATGGCCGTCTTGTTTCTCCATGGTGCTGTTGAAACTTGCGTCCCCTGCACGTCGGCGAGATAAAATGGAACGGTTTAATGCAAGGACATATATAGCTTGGTTCGTGAGCGGGACAAGATGGCGAAAACTTGCTTTCACACAGAAATCATATTAAAGGGCGTTGCTAGTGCCACGCATCGTCGATCCTGCAGTAAGCAGAAACCCAACAAAGATGGGACCTTGTTACTTCAAATAATTCGCCTGTTCGGAAGAAGAGACATCGACAATTGCCAGATCGGGAAAGCGTCGTCGGCGATACGGCGACAAAGTGGGGACTACCCCTAGCAGCGAATCACAGCCGTGCAGAGCCGCTCGGCAGTCGCCGGTCAATTATTCCGGGCGCCGGCACTATACCCTTTCAAGGTTGCAATAAGCGTGCTTACGCAGCCCTAGCCCTAAGTGCGGAACGTAACTGCGCCGCTTCACCGACAGATCCCCTTTTTGGGCACCTGCCTGGCCAGTGATAGATATAACTCTGCTCAACACGCAGCAAGCAGCAACGTAGCCGGGATTCAGATGGCCTATGGTTAGTCAAGTCTGGACTCTGCTGTTCGGCCGCGTCAGGAAGCGGCATTATCCACTTCCCGATGCCGACTTCGCCACCGTCTACGTCTGCCACAGCACAAAACGGTGGCTTGCTGCCTACAACCAACAGCTATGCGTTGAACGCGCCGCAGAGTGAGTCTTTGAGCATGAGAGTCAGCGGTTCTCGCACTCAGACCGTGGATCGAAAAAGTGATTTTTACCGATTTCGCGCCTGTGATACGTGTCGTTCGTTAAAGGTGAGATGCGAGCCGCATCCTAACCCTAGTGTGGAATCATGCTACAAATGTGCAAACTTGGGTAGGACGTGTGTCATCACGCCTCCGAATCGTAAGAGAAGAAAGAGGACCGACACTCGCGTTGCCGAGTTGGAAGCAAAAATTGATGGTCTGGTAAATAGCCTACGAGCATCTGGCAGTGAGCCACAACATGGCCTTCACGGCAGCGAAAGTTATAAAATCTCAACACCAAATGACGCTTGTGAAAAAACCCATTTCACCGGTCACTCAGAGTCGTCTTCTACTGATCAACCATGCTGCTGTGGGCATAACAGTACACAAAGGCATCACCAGGTAGACAACACTCAGTCACGGTCCGTTCTGTCAGTAGCCCAATGTGGCTCTTCCCTTGAGAAGGGCATAGAGTATACTGCCAGCGAAATTACAAGTGATAGGGGCCCCGATGCTCTTGACTGCGGCATTGTGGACCTAGCATCAGTGGAGGCGGCGTTCCATCGTTACGTCTCCGAAATATCCCTTATCCTGCCTATTGTAATATTTCCGCCTGAAACAAAGATGGAAGACCTTAGGGCTAAAAAGCCGATTCTTTTTTGGGCCATCATTGCCGTGTCGATTGATACAATAAACCCGAGTGTTCATCCTCTATTGATCCAACAAACTTACAGAACATTTGGCAAGCTAATTTTCATGCGCGGACAAAAGTCTCTGGAGCTCCTGCAAGCCCTCGTCGTTTGCTGTCAGTGGTACAAGCTACCGGAACGTCTTGAGGAACTCAATGTCTATCAACTAGTGCACAGTGGTGTTGCTATGGCTATGGACCTGGGATTGAACAAACACGCCCCGAGAATGACACTTCCCTTGCGATCCGTGCAAGATTTCAACCGGTATAATTCCATGCCAAACCATCATGATGCCATGGAAGCTCGGCGAACTTGGTTAGGGGTATATTTTCTATCTGTGCAAGTGTCTTCATCACTAAAAAGAGTGTTTCTCGTTCGATGGAACCAGTATATGGATGACTGCATAGAAGTGCTTGAAAGGTCTTCCCAATACTTTCCTTCTGACACTATTCTGATTCATTGGATAAGGCTTGCTCATATTATGGAGCAAGTTGGCACCCAGTTCTCCATAGATGATGGAAGTGCTGGCTTCAAGCTTGAGGATAGTAGAGTTCAATACTCCCTTAAAGCATATGAGAAGGTTCTTCAAAGATGGCATCAGGGAACTGCAAATTTAGCGCTCTCCCGCATCCAAAAAGTAATTTTTGAGCAGAGCATACATCTTGTCAGAATCTTCATGCATGAATCAGCTCTGCATTTCGAGTTGGATGACATTATTTCTCGACAGATAACCGGTCGAGGGTCTGTTGATACCAGGAGTGCGGAGAGGATAAACAGTTTGATCATCTGTGTGACTTCTGTTCACAAGGCCCTCGATGCTGCTTTTTGCTTGCAAATCGAGGACATTCTTGCAATCCCTGGTATTGTCACGGCTAGAATCGGTTGTTGTGCTATTATTCTCATAAAACTGAGCGTCATGGTTTCCACTCCCGAAAATCAAATTAGAGCCATTTACGATGTTCCAGACCTGCGAGCCGAACATTACGTTGATAAATGCGAAGAATGGTTACGGAGAGTTGGATCGCTTAAGGGTGGGCGATCTTTCTCTCATGTTGAGAAGATAATCAACTCGCTCAACCTGTGGTTCGTCAAGCCTGGAGGTACAAGATTACCCATTGAGAAAGCGGTGGCAATCCTATCACTCCCAAGGCATGTCACAAGCGTGATTGGCGATCTATTTCAGATGACTGCTCAGGAGCAAAAGGAGCAAGAGATTCGGGTATGTGAAATATTCCTTCCATGACAATCAATGTTCATAGCTCCTGCGATCTGACTTTTATTTTTATTTTTTTTTCCCAGTCTATCAAGCAAGCCCAACCGTCAGGGAACATAACTGATCCCTCCCCTGTTTGGAAGACTGCCACAGTTGATAATTTAGCTCAAGAGCCGAGACAAAGTCTTCATAATGCTCCGCCAGCTTATACTTCTAATTATAGTAGTGAGAAACCCAAGCCCTGCGCTTTGACACCCACACCTGCCGGACCAACAGGTCCCGAAACACATCTTGATATGGAACAAATATACCACCTTGGAGCCTTGCTCGACAATAACTTTTTGCAAATGCCATCTTCCATTGATGACTTTATGGGGTTCTTCTAGAGTTTTAACGTTGGAGACTGGCTTGATTTGTTGATGTTGCTACTAGATATAGACTTTGACCGGACCCCTGTACTCTTTACTGTGAACTTGCCTCCTTAGGGCTTTTTCATATATAGATCACTTTCTTTAACAAATACATAAAATTCTTAATGAGTGTTTTTGAAGATCTCTAGTCCTGCTTTCCCCAACATGTAAGTCGAACCCTTGATTCTGGAGTAAAATAACACCAACAACACATCTCAAAGCGCCGATGGTAAAAATATAATCCAGTTGCTTCTTTCACCTCCTGGTTTTGTTAATCAAGCACATAACGAGGTCCTCTATTCATCTGCAACCCATTTTTAAACATGTTGAATGCTCACTTGTATTAAACTACCGAGTCAGTCGCTTCAGACCTTGTATTTGAGAATATGACCATCGAAGGTGTCACGACGGTACCATTTGCCACCTCCCAGTGATCACTTTCTCCGCAATAGCAAGAAACTGCACGTCATCTAAGTTTCGGATATCAGACATTGTCTTTTCTTCCACTAAGGGCGTAACTAGCTCTACAGTTGATGTGGCGAGCTTCCAATGTAGTGCCAGGAAGCCATGCACTAGTTTGACAATTGAGGGTGTGCATATTGTCGAAGCTTCGAGTGAAACGGCAGCAAATCAGTATCTGTGTGTAAAGGTGGAGAATCCGATAGGAAAGAATCGTACCGGAGATGCTGCTGTGGGAGCAACTGCAGGCGAAGGGTGTTGATGGTAGAGATGGATGTATTTGATATTCATTTTGAAGAACCTTCTAGTCTATATCTTATGAGACAGGAACTGCTGATCTGGTGCCTATATATACAAATGGTAGGGATTCTAGGGAAAGCTAAACCAGTCGATTGCTGACCTCCTCCCCTTGCAAGACTTTAACCAACGTATCCACTACAGCCAGACCACTTGCACTCTGATTTTCAATAGTACTAGCGCCCACATGGGGTGTCATGATGAGGTTGTGACAGCTCAGCAGCCCTTCTCCATAGGCCTCCAGCGTCGGCGGCTCAACCTCCATCACATCTAGCGCAGCGCCCCATATTTCACCATCCTTCAAAGCTTTCAGCAGAGTCTTCTCATCGACAATGCCTCCTCGAGCACAATTCAGCAATATCGAATCCCTTTTCATCACCTTGAACTGGGCGGACGCAATCATTCCTCGTGTCGAGTTTGTCAGCGGAACATGTATTGACACAACGTCCGAAACGGCTAATAAGTCCTCAAGTCTATGCACTCGTGTATGTGGAATCGCCTCATAACCACTGCCACCATTTCCACTACTCTTCCAGGCATCTTTCGGGGCATGGGGGTCATAAGTAATGATACTCCCCTCCATTGCACCTACCCACTTCCTCGCAACCGCCCGTCCAATATTGCCCATTCCCACAATTCCAATACTCTTTTTGAACAAGCTCTTCCCCAATGCCTGCGACCTGACAACCTTTTCACCGGCACGGATCCGACGGTCTAGCTCTGTGACGCGCCGGGATAGCGACAGAGCCATTGCGAGCGTCAGCTCGGCAACGGCTTCACTATTTAGCGCGGGGGTATTGAAGACTTGCACGCCGTGCTGCTTCGCGGCATCGAGATCGATGTTGTCGACGCCAACGCCTTGTTTGAGGATGTATTTCAAGGCTTTGGCTGTGGCAATATCGGATTGGGATATGCGTGAATCGGCGCGTATTACCACGGCCGTTGCATCTTCCTTCCAATTATGCTTGGCTGGGTTGTCTGGCAGGATGCTCGTGAAGCTCTGTATGGACAGGAGCTTGGAAATTGCGTCCGGGTGGTAGGGATCCAAGACGTAGACTTTGGGTGGATGAATCATCTTTTCCTGGAACCTCTCGCGCTGATGCTCTTATTTGTTTATAATTTTGTCTTCAAAGGGGGCGTCTCTTTGAGTACATCTTGGAGACAGTGAAAATTAATTATACGTAGCGGGGCTTGATATTATCAAATATTAGACAGAATACTCCGCATTACGGACTTTTTGCCGTAAGTCGCCGGTATCAGACCGGACAATCAGGTCATTCGTCGTTGAAAGACTGGATTGGATGTAACAGAGATGCTTACATGGAACTCTGTGCGGTAGTTGGTTGGTTGTACCTGAATCAACCATCCATGGGTGCGGGGAGAACACCGTGCGGGGTCTACTTCTAGCAACAATTTCCTCGTCTCCGTTGTCAACACAGCGCTTTCCCCTTCATAACGACAGTTATAGACGAGTCGTCAGAAATGGCATCGTACAGGCCCTACAATGGAAAACTGGGTATCGTCACGGGTGGATCTAGGGGTAAGTGATAGACGACAACAACAAGAAAAGGCAACCTCCAGATGCACGCCTCGGCAGTATCTACTTTATATCAGAACGTTATTACAGAAGTTTACTATACCTAACATATATGATGCAATACTAGGAATCGGAGAGGCAGTCGTAAGACGTCTTGCTGCTAAAGGCTGCAATCTTCTAATTGTATACACATCCAACTCCTCGAAGGAGCTCACGGATAAAATCACATCCGAACTCACGACAGCGCATAGTATCCACATTTCCAGCGTGCAAGCTGACCTACATGAACCTATTACTGCCTCGCCAAAGATTGTGGACGCCGCAAAGGCGCTCTACAAGTCATACACAACTTCCAAGGACAAGGAACTACAGGTCGACATTCTGATCAATAATGCCGGTGTCAGCTCCAATCAATTCTTGAATGATGCCACAAAGGGTCCCATAGATGCCGAGGAGTATACACGAGTATACAATGTGAATGTCCTGGCGCCGCTGTTGCTCACTCAGGCAATTGCACCATTTCTGCCGACTGACCGGTCTGGACGGATTGTCAGTGTTTCGAGTGTCTCGTCTTCCATTGGGTATGAAGGACAGTCAGTATACGCTGGGACCAAAGCTGCTCTGGAGGCCATGACAAGGTGTTGGAGCCGGGAATTGTATCAGCGGGCTACGGTGAATGCAGTAAATCCCGGCCCGGCATGGGGAGACATGTATGCACAGGCGGGAGAGAAGTTCTGGGAAATTAACCAGCCGTATGTTGATGCAGCGCCTTTGGCGGCGTATGAAAGAGAGGAGAGTGTGTTGAAGGCTGCGGGTGACGATGCAGAGAGATTTGACAGGATTGTCAGATACGGTATGGGTGGCAGAAGACCAGCGTTCACAAGTGAGATTGCAGGGACTATTGATATGCTATGCACGGAGGAGAGTGGTTGGACAACAGGCAGTGTTATTTGCGCAAATGGCGGCATGAAGATGTCTATCGCATAGACAAATTTATTTGTGTACGGTAGATGTTTTTCAGATACATAATCAGATAATTCCAATTGCTGTTGGAATACTTGTGGAATCTCGCGGCTTTGATTTCTACCAAGAAGTTCTAAATATGGTAATTCCTTCCTAAATAAGTAATCTCACAAGACTTAAGCACCTCCTTCAATTCTCTTTGTTAATTATTGTTTGTGGACACTAAGATTCATCATACAGAATGTTCATTCAACCAATAAATTTTTATCATATGCCAATATACATTTACAATGTTTGTAGACCTGCTCATGTACACAGCGCCCCCTCTAGTCCATCGAACACGTATCTAATTTTACTCGCAATTGCCACTCACTTTGTGATGCTATTCACATAGTAAGTGATGGCGTTAGGCAGCAGGACTAATTGTCAAATGCCACTTTAAAAAAGCTGGGTTTGCGCGCCCCTCAGCAATCACCTTCATATTTATCTCTTACCAATGGTCACGAACTGCACCCCACAAAACAAATTCCGCGCATCAATTAGCGAAGTATTCACGATTTCTTCAACTTCCTAACCTACACTCTCATCTACAAAGCCAAGGGACCTCCGTCGGAGTGGCCACAAATGGGATGCGAAGAAAAGCGCCTGGAGAAAACACAAACGCTTGAATGAAGGAAACCTTGCTCTTTTCATGGAGACAGCTAAGAAAGAATATGACTCTCTCTCTCAATCTTCATCTGCTCGGCTTCGTGATATTCGCAGCTGATCTCGAGGTGCATCGGTCATCATTTGCATAGAAAAGATCAGTTTAGCTACTCAGGCGAACTGATTCGTTATTCAGTAGGAGTATCAGCCGCGAAGGCATTGAAATTGGACGATAGCATGAAGCCAATGCACGAGGTTAAGGAAGAGAATTGGGATGCGATGATTGTCGCAGTACCGGGCCGCCCAGAAGATAATCCAGAGAGAAGTATGGTGAAATCATAACAGTGAACTGCAGGCGTAGTCTCAGTGCTACCGCCACACTCAATCCAGAGAAACAGCTGAAAGTATATATCATTTAGTAGGAGCAAATAGTGCCATTGATAAGTCCATGCTGGAATGCCAACAGCATGAAACTGAGATCATCGATTCTGTAACGGAGAGGATCCAAACCAGGATCTGGTGATACGCATATCCTGGTTTATTGGACGGTGTTCTGAACTTTCGACGCAAAATTTGGTTCCTCGTCGAGGATCATGTTGCTTTCTTCTCTTCGGATTGTGAATTGCATCAGAACTAGTTATAGATTGGGTCGAAGCAACTGTCTAGGTAAACTTTTTGAAAGAAGACATGCAGTTTAGCTTTTGAGAAGTATGGGCATGATGGAAATCGGGTAATGCTATGCAAATGCCAGCTTAATTTTTAATAGGACCGATAAATATCGATAATGGCCTGTTACCCTCTTGAATTATGCCTGTAGCTAGCTAGTTGTCCCACCAACTTCGAAGGAAAATAATAACTGAGGAAGAATATTTTGCCTAAGCGCACGCATTGACTATGATAACTCATTGTGTATACTCACGACACCATACTGAATTGTCTCTACGAGCAAGAATTGCTTGCGGTTACAGAATTATAAAACAGCGTGTAGTAAGCGAAATATGTGTTTATCAATAGCCACCGAATAACTTTCGAATCTGTGTGGACTTATCTACATTAATACTCACAACCCCTTGAGCAGCTCCGGAAGGATAATATCCTCGGAGAATCTCCAGAGATCACTGCTATCCTGACCTCGGAAGGTAGCCCCACTCCAATACGTATTCCTCAACCCTTGCAACGCATAGAGCTTGTCGTAGAAGCCATCCTTGATTTCATCCGGCGAGACCTGCAGGTAAAAAGGCGTGTGGGAACTAAACATCACAAAATCCGGTTCCGTCTGGTTGAATTTGTCAGGATTTGCGCTTTGTAGAGTTTTGATACCTTTGATGATTTCGGCTTTCACTTCGTCATCAGACATTGGGAAGGTATCGGGGCTTCGGGGGGTGCCGTAGATAGCATTCTTCAGGCCTGATACTCCTGTAGCTTGAACATTGTACAGTGCAGGAAGAACAGGGAAGTTGTACGGCGTGTCTTCGTTGTAGTTAAAGACACCCAGATCATCTGGGAGACCAGTGTTGTTGACGATGCTGGTATAGTAGCCGACATCGATGAACTTGGAGAAAATATTGAACTCTTGTGGACTCAGATCAAACGGAGCGAGCAAGGTTGGCTTGAGTGGGATGGTCATAAGCAGTTTCTTCGCATGAATGAGCTTGTAACCTTCAGGGGTTCCAACAATCAGCTGTACACCTGCCGAACCGTTGAAGCGCCGCGCCTGGATGATTTCAGACTCCAACAACAGACTCGATGATGACAACAACTCTGCTTGGATCCTTGTGTAGATTTCGCTGTTGTTGTGGTGTGCGGTGGTTAGAAAGCCGGTTGATAGCTGCTCAACTAGACTGAGACCCATGGTTCTAATGCGCTCGACCGTAGGCACCGTCGTGAAATTGCCTACCGCAGGATCTAACTCATACATGGTGTTCAAAGAAGCACCAACATTGTACTTGTCTGCAAATTCTCCAAATGGTAGAAGCAAATCCTCAGGAACCGGATCGGGGAGGAACAACCCATCATTCAACTTGGGGTATTGCTCGAGGAACTCGGCATAATTTTCGAATGCAACAGCGGTCTCATTTGTAGAAGGGAAGGTAATATTGAGCTCCTTTCCCGAACTAAAGTCGTAGTATCCATACGACGACCCGTCTGCATCAGAGTTGTAGACCGTTAACGGGATATCAAACCGCTCAAAGTAGTCTCTGACAACGGAAATATTGTGGAAGACCAGGACACCGATATCGATGGGCGTTCCGGTGGTCGGATCAATGTAGGTCTGTGTGTTACCCCCAACCCGGTCCGTCACCTCGATCACAGCTACGCTCTTCCCCTTGTCTTTAAGACTGATGGCCGAGTAACAACCCGCAGAACCGCCGCCGATGATGGCAACATCTTTTGAGATGATGTCTTCCGGTCTGAAGCTTGCAACATCAATACTGCCGAGTGGTTTGGGCGTGGCATGGGCCTGAGGTGCCAGCAAAGCCGACAAAGCCGCTGTCAAGAAAACCGAGGAAAACATGCTTCTAGATCCTAAGCAAGAAAGAAAGCAGATGGCTCCTTGCAGAGAAGTTACTGCTGGTGAAGGTACCGGATTTATACTACTCATGATCCGCCTAATGATACCCTAGCTGCTACAAATGTGCCATAGACTCCATACAGTACCCGAACAAATGAATTCTGACGATTAGTGAAATAGTTGGATGAAGCTGAAATTGCGGCACGGCCAAGCCGAGTGGGATTTCGAGCATATGTTAGGGTTGCAACAAGGAATTAGTATTTCTAATTTATATGCGAGAACGGTCGGAGGATTGAATAGAGTTATGGAAACGAAGCAAAGTATGATTACGAGTCAAAACATTAGTAGAATTAGTATAAAGCCTAATTGCTGGCACGGTGGGCGTCGTGGAAATAGATGAGTAAGTACAGAATCATACAGAAAGTAGTAAGAAAGCTAGTATGAGCTATAACTTAGATTATATGTCATTATCTGTACTACTATCATGTCTTACTATCAAGGATCAAAAAATCGGTTCAAATGCTCCGGGGCTTCGGGATAGCCTTTGCGATACAGAGGTTATTACTAGGGCTTCTCAATTTACAGTACGGTCAAACTAATCAAATCAAAGCTAAAGCTAAAAATATGATAAATATAATTCCGCTTCTTTCTTCGAGGCTTTTCGCATAGGCCTACACGAGGTTGGGGGCCGCCTAGGTGGAGGGGGGGCAAAGCAGGGGCCGTTTATCTGTTGGTTTCGTAGACTATAGCGTATAACATACATCTTCTATTCAAGGCTCAAGTGTTGGCTTATACATTAGCTTGCTCTAGTTTAACTTTCAATCTAGCTCCAGCTTTAGAAGTTGGCATATTTGGGAGCGGAAGTTACTGATGGCGACATACCTCAGCGCTTTATTTTCTGGGAAGAAAAAAGGCACTGGGCGTTGAACCATAACAGCCACAGTTTGATGGTAATATGGCGTTTGAGATATTCTTGGACTAGAGTCTAAAAAGCATATATATACCTTATATAGATTACATCCCAATGTTCTTTCCCTTGACAGTTTTCCACTCAACAATGAGTGCACCAATGATGCTTACAGCAGCTATGGCAGCACCGACAACAAATGTTTGCGTGATGGCATCACTGTATGCCATTAGCACACCTGGCAGGTCCGCTGAATCAATAACTTTCCTGAGCCCAGTGGCACCGGCATTGAGGACAACTTCGGGGTTCACGCTAGGAGCATCCTTGACGAGGTTCCCTACGATCTTGTTATCGAAGACGTTTTCATCAACCGAGACAAAAATCGAGCCGCCGATAACTTGCATAAAAACCATAAGCGCAGTGCCAGTAGGTATATCGACAGTATCAAGCACCACCTGTACAGCGATTAGAGGCTGCTGGACGCCGAAGCCAATGCCAAATCCGGTCAGGATTTGGTAGCCAATCCAAGTTGGCTGGGGGGTATCTGGCTTGAACAGGGTCATCAGGCCGTAACTGATAGCTGTAAGGGTGGAGGACAGCAGCATGAACGGGGTGTAGTAGCCGATCATGGTGACCGCAACGCCAGAGATTATAGCGGCAACCACGTTGCTAATCAACAGAGGCAGGTTCATGATACCCGACCTGACAGGACTGGCACCTTTGACAGCCTGGAACCATATCGGAAGGTAGTAGATGCTACTTAGAAAAGCAGCTCCCAGGCAAAAGGTGAAAATAGACGCGGACCAAACGGTGCGCTTGAGGAAGATTCGCGGCGGAACGGTGGCAAACTCCTACTCCCTGTATTGTATAAGCAGAAAGGCTAGAATAAGCACACCGAACAAGCAGAACAGCAGGATAATGCGCCAGTTACTCCAGGCGTACGTACTACCGCCCCATTGCAATGCTAGGAGCAGGCATATGATAGCGGGCATGAAGACCAGAGTACCAACGGGGTCGAAGCGCCTCACGCGTTTAGACCAGGGCTCACTCTCGATCTTACGAACGGGATCAGGGAAAAAGATGGCAATCACTACTAACGTGACGGCGCCGATAGGAAGATTGATGTAGAAGCACCAACGCCAGGTAAGCCTTTCAGTGAAGGCGCCACCCAGCAGCGGCCCTGCCACGGACGCAATGCCGTACATACTGCCGATGAAGCCACTGAACATAGGGCGACGCTCCAGGGATACTGAGTGGGCCAAAATGATTAGTGCACCTGAGAAGATGGCTGCTGAGCCCATGCCAGCCACCGCGCGTCCGATGATGAGCGTTACACTATTCCGGGCCACGCCGCATATCAGACTGCCCAACTCGAAGAGGGCGATTGACAGAAGAAAAACCCATTTGATGCTGAAGTAGGAATAGAACTTGCCAAACAACAGCTGTAGTGACGCCGTTGTCAACATGTAGGCTACAAGCGAGTTAGCCAAGGTCAGATTGACATATGTGTACATAAGGAAAGTCATAAGCATACCACTACCGTACCAGCCAACATCATTCAGGCTATCAAACTGGTCCGTAATTTTTGGAATGGCCGTTGTAATGATAGAATTGTCTGCAGCGAGTGTTAAAATATCTATTCAAGGTAGTATGTTTATCGAGGAAAAGGAAAAGCCATACCAAGCGCCATTAGAAATACAGCCAAACACAGAGCGAGCACAATCAATGTCAGCTTGAGACCCGAGGGGTAGTCCGTGCCATCTTCGCGTTTCTCGACAAGATTGACTGGCGAAGAGTCGTCCCTCTCGCCCTCCTGTCCATCGCTGGTCTCGACAACTGGCTCCGCCGGGGGGACTTTGTCGATAGACGTCTTTTCCTCCAGAGATTCGAAACGAACGGCGTTATCAGGAGCGGTAGGCATATTTGGAGGTTCTGGATTGAAGGGCTCTAGGCGTAGAAGGTAAAACTCTGCACGGAAGGTAGAAAGCAACAGACTGTCTAACAAATAGCTCCTTTCATGGTGTATAAAGAAAAGCACCACGAAGATCAACAAAAACCTTGGGGCGGTAGCCAGCGAACAAGATTGGCAATGGAAAGACCCTTCTCTGAATGTGATTTGCAGGTATTCGGGGGAGAGGGGTTGACTGATTCATCATATTCATGACGGAGTGGAAGTCGGACCCTACTCCGTACTGGAGGGCCACAATTCACACAAGTCAAACAAAGGAATTTTTAATTTACTGACTAGTAACACTAACAGAGTAGCTGTAAAACATAGCATGAAGTTATTACCGACCTATACAAGCCTGGTTAGTGTGTGGCATAGTAAATGCTGGCGTGCTAAAAGTATATAACAGCCTACAGGGGTAGATCTACGAGCTTAGACTAGTACGTATATTAACTAGCTATATAGTATATACCTAGTGTAGCTACAGTAAGCACTAGTTCAGTAGGCGGCTTTTTAGTCAACTATGTGTCAGAACCTAGAACTAACCTCCGAGGTAACTCGGTGGCCGCAGACCCTACTAGATAGAGTAATACGTGAATCCTTCAAACTTTAGTGTATACTTAGTAGTATAGAGTCTGGGCAAAAGCTTACTGATTAGGTTATATGTTTACAAAGTGTCTGTCTGTGAGGGGCCCAATCTCGACCTCAGAATAACCGATTGTCATGCTATCAAAATATGAAAAAGTGAGATAGATGGCGATATGCATGGGCATTAGTGAAGGCCGCATCCTAGATACCAGGCTAGCTAGATGCTATCTAATCTGATTATCCGTAGCGTTGTCATTCATGTATCTTTAATGTATATTCCTACAATGCCGTGGCTGAGTTATTGATGCATAAATCAGCATGAAATCGTAATTCAATGCCACCTAATTGGCCAAAATTGCCTCAGGAGACGCGTCCTTAGTACTTGTATTGACTTTCTACCAAGTCACTGCCAAGTTATTAGAGACTTTTGCTATTTTAGCAAGCGGCCCCCAAGGAAGACTTTCCGCTAGTTCCCCTTGGGGGCCGCTCGCTAAAAGAATAAGAGATTGGCGAGGATCTTAGATGCATTTGAGTTTAAGCTGAGATTAATCTCCGCAGGCAAGATGATAAGATTAGTGTACGGGTGTGGAAATAAGAAGATCCTGTGGATCTAACTAACTCAAACACCACTACTAATTCCCTAGCACTGCAACGCCATATCTTGTATAGCCTCACTGCAATGTGGGTGCATGCGCAACGTGATGAATTCCGTACATACTCCATATCTACACCCTAATTGCCTACTAGCAGGGCTCACGGCCAGGTTACAAGTCCGCTTACGGGCTGGCAGCATGGAAGGAATCCTTGGAACCTTCGAAAGTTACCGCATTAGGAAGCTTTCTAAACACGTGTGCGCTTCCTAGTCCATGTGGCCTCGCTCCTAAGGTTCCTTCAGAGGGGATCGTGCGTCCGAAGATACACTGTATATTGCTCACGCAAGCAGATTCGTACGTTGCAGACGTCAAAACGCAGCTCGCTGTGAAGGCCGACATACATACATATTGGCTTAATCCTGACTTCGAATGCCAAGTCAGCTTGTAAGGATTCAAGACTTGCTCTATATTAACTTTGGCCCCAAATTCGAGTATCTGGAAGTCTTTGATACAGTGTTGGCTTTTGGTTTTAGGGCCGTATTGAACCTTCGAAGGCCTAGTCAGCTCAGAAAATGGAATGGAACCTCGCTTCATGTAATTTTTTCTCTATCTTTGGCTCTAAATCCTTAATGTGATCGTTTTATGGAGTCCATGATCCAGCCGTGTAGCAGGCAGTCTGGGCTGGAAACCTATAAAGTTCTGGTTTTCACCGGTGTACATTCTTCTTTTTCTCTCTATCATGTTCTATTCAAATCTTTGATTTTCACTACATACATACTACAGTATCTTCATTCATTCAGGGCTCAAGATGGAGACCATAACCTTGAGGGTGGAGACCATGATGCCCGAAGCCCTCCATGAGGCTATTGGGGATGTGAATCCGTCCATCATCGTGACTGCCATCGTCGGGCTGTTCATGATCCTGGGTTTCGTGGCATTCAGATCCGTCTTGTCGGAAAGAGTTCTCCCTGGCGTGCCTCAACTCAAAGGAGTCCCGATCCTTGGTGCTATGCCTATCTACCTTAAGCATGGAATGCCTTTCCTTCTCGGTAAACTCATTGCCGCTGGCGAGGATGGCATCTCATATGCCAACGTTGTCAACAACATCTTGGTTTCGGTCCACGACCCGGATATGGTGAAAGAAGTCCTGTCATACCCTGAAGAAATCGCATCTCGGTAAGTTGACCATCTGTTTATTGCTCAGATTTGCAAACACGTGTGCAGCTTTGCTAACCTCGCTTAGGGAGGGTGACCCTGGAAGGATGAGCTGGTCTCCTTTCTGGACTCTTCGACGACTCATCGGTAACTCTCTTTTCAATTACGTGGGGCCTGAGACAAGCCACCAGCGCAATGTCTTCATCAAGGAGTTCAACAATACCAAGTCCAACGCCGAAAAAATGGCGACCATCTCTCGGATTGCTCAAGAGCATGCCAACGCCTTGGCTGGCCAGGCCAAGTCCGCTCACGTGGATGATATCAGATACTCAGCAGACAACTTCGCCATTGCCCTTTGGGGAGAGACTCTCTATGGAAACCCCGACCACTACAAAGGTGGCCATGTGTTGGAACTATCAGAGACCATCATTAACTTGGCTGGTGACCCATGGCCTTCTGTCTGGTACTCATTGCAGTTGATCTTGAAGTTGGTTAAGCCCGGTGATCCCACACGCTCTGAAGCCAAGCTCCGCCAAAGAGTTGCTAAGATTGTTGAACGCAATGTCGAGAAACTTGAGGCATTCGAGAAGAGCAACCCAGACGCTCCTTTGAAGACCATCCGCCAACTATCCGTCATGACTGGTGGTGGCCGAACCGGCCCTCTCTCCAAGTTCGCCTCTGAATTCACTAACCTAAACCTTTTCGGTATGCCCCCCTCTATTATATACACATAGATAGATGTATCAGGAACTGACATGCCGCAGGTGGTCACCACAGTATTGGCTTGAACGTCGTCTGGTCCATGATTGAGCTCGACAAGCACCCTGAATGTCTGAAGAAGCTTATCGCCGAAATCGACTCTGTTGACACCACCGACTTCAATGCCGTCAACTCCAAGATGCCCTATCTTGACGCCATCATTATGGAAATCAACCGTCTGCACCCTACCGTCCACGCCACCCTCCGAGTCATCAACCGCGAAACTACCCTCAAGGCCAGCAAGAAGCCCGTTGTCTTGAAGCCAGGCATGCTTATTTACCTTTCCTACCTCCACCTCCACACTTCGCCTAAATTCTGGGGCCCTGATTCCTACGAGTTCGTTCCGGAGCGCTTCCTCGGCAACTACGACAAGAGCAGGCCATTCATGTCCTTCGGATACGGCCCACGAAACTGCGTAAGTTTACCTGCATTCATTTCTTTCTTTCTTTCATCTAAATGAGTAAAAGTCTAACATTGAAATACCAGGTCGGATATAAATTCGCCACTCTTGCCGCCAAGATCTACCTTCTCACCCTTCTCAAGACCTACGACATCCGTGTGAAGGAACACGACCACGAGATGAGACTCGGCACACTGCTTGAGACCACCAAGCCTGTCGCTGTGGAAGTCACCCGCAGGGGTTAAGTGGCTATTCCTATTTCTATCTGTAAATAGATATCGCGGTACTGTATGCGACATTGGAGAAGAGCAGGCTCAAATGCTCCAGCTACTACATTCGTTAGCGCGAGATTTATACCGATTTTGAGATTGAATGACATTCCATGTTATAACTAGTAATGAATTGGAAAAAAAGAAACATTACCAATATGATCAGAATTACTTGCCGAAATGTTACATTCGCGTGTAGTCACGTCGCATTGGAAATTCAATCTAGGAACGTAATGGGCAGTCTGTCGATTTCAGATTTCAAATTTTTGCCCGAAATAATACTTATATGCAGAAATTTACTTTAGCAGTAGGATTTAGGCATTAAGGCCTTCTATGTTTATAATATGAATACTACGCTCACTACTCCGAAATTGGTGGCGTACGAGCGCTGAGTCTTCGAAGCACTTCCAAAGCTAGATGTATTAGACTGTGTATGCAGCATGAACTCTTCATACATTCTATTTAAGTGTAAACGAAGTTGGAAATGCTGCCTAAACCGAATTCCATCTATTCAACTTGCCGTGTTTCTGCCTTGAGGCCCCTCATTGATAGCCTTCAATGTCCGTCGCCCTCGTCGTCGTCGTCGTCGTCCTCGTTACCGCCACGACGAGATTTCTGGTACAGGTTTGGGACGATTCTTTGAGAATATGCCATTGGCGGCATGTTTTCACGCGCTGGGTCATGCTCTCGAAATCTTCTCTAGGTCTGGGCACTCGGAACAAGACCACCTGGAGGAGGGCCGTATATCTGCAGCCCACGCTCACGGAGCAATCTCGAGGGCCAGATGCCAAAGGCCAAGACAAAAGAATCATTCTCGGTAATTGGATTGGTCTTTTCATCCTCATCCAGCCAGTCGTAAAATGTGAAGTCGAACAATTAACTGGGAGGGGGTCAAGATTAGAGGATGTTATGCAAGTTTCGGGGCAGAACTAACACTTTTCTGTTCGCCTTATCGTAGGTCAGGTAATTTGGATGATGATTATGCAAGATAAAGCCCTTGAGTCGCATTGCTCTAAGAAGAAATGAGTTAGTCGAAAATAAATTCAGGCTACACGCGGGGAGTCCGGAGGCCTACTCTAGAAGGGAGGCAAGCTGCATTCGGATTATGCGCAAGTGTCCATCATCGAGTGTTCGGTAAATTCGCCCTAGGATCTCTCCAGGAGGGCGCATCGTGATATAAATGCGTCCATGAGACCGTTTGGATAGGGCATATCGGGCCCCTGCTTGGTTGTGCCCCAATCTATCAAGCTTGGGCCATGGCCAGCATCACATGCGGCTCTAACCACGTCCAGTTCAACCAGGTAATGGTAGTCGCAAGCTTCTCTCCACTCCTTCTTGTCGTCAATCTCGAAATAATCCGGATTCAAACTATCATTGACTGTTAGTTGCTTGCCAAATCCTTGCTAAAAGAAACAGGCTAGTTTCGAAGAACTCACTCGTAGCGGATTTTGAGCATGTAAGTGTTATTCGTGCCGACCCGATGAGCAAACGCTACAACGTGTCGCTGAGCAGGGCAGGTGTTCTCTGCTTCGGAGATCTGCTCATCGATGCAGAATGAGACGTCAATTCTTCCATTCGGCGTTTGTCGTATCATCGCCGGAGTCGTCCTGCCAGTGAAGTCATACTTCCAGTGCGCCATGGTGAGGAAGTCGGCGATAATGATGGCCAAGTGTTGGATGAAAAGACCTAGGTAGGGGCAATGCGAGGTTTATAAGACAACCGTAAGGCAGCCGTCCGCTTTAGGCACCGAAAGCTACACTGTGTTTTTGGTGGCGATGCCTAGTATATTTGAGTTACTTTATTCTGTGGATACGAAGTTCCGTATAAATGCTATTGCTGCAGGCAGCAGTGGAAAATTGCTCGTTCTTTGTCCTTCATTCTTTCTCTTCCTTGATTCATTCAACCGGAGAATTGTCGTCTATATCAGTTTCAGCGCACCTCCTAAATGACCGCTCTTCACCTCTCCAATGTCCAATACATTTCAAGTCTATTTTCTTTGTTATCAATAATCACATGCAATAAAAGCCACACAGGAATAACGTTTCTGTATTGTCCTATGAGCATTGGCCATTATTGACACGATTCATTGTTGTAAATATTCTGCTGTGGGCGTTCATATGCCAGGAGCTCCCCCGAAAGTTAAGCAACAGTCTATTGTCTAGGATTTGGAAGGAAATTTCCGTGTTTGTGGTGACCTTTATTGACACAATTCATTGTTGTAAATATTCTACTACAGCCCTGCTTTCATGTGCCAGAAGCTCCACCAAAAGCTGGGCAACCCTCAATATGTCCATGGTCGTCAATATCCTTTCATGTGCTAGGAGCCCCTCAGAAGCTTATTATACCTTTGGGGGCACTTTACTTATACAATAGGGGGGGGCGCTCTTCATTGTGCAATAAACAAACATACAGGAACCTCCGACTTGTAGTATAAATACCCTGTGTATGCCCCCAGATGACTCTCCCTGCGCAATGTCTAACGCCAATTCTTTTACTCGTCTTCTAAGATTCCTTATCCGCGTTGAGTTGAGATATCCCAGAAACACTTCTCAGCCCCTGCGCCGCCCGGGAAATGCCTTTCCCAGGTATCAAAAAAGAACACCAGATCAGCATCTGGTCTGCTATTCCCAAGGTAAACTTCCCAGAGGGTTTTACCACGAAGTTTCCCAGCGACTCCCCCCACGTACTCACTGCAAGTCAAGTCGTGGACTGGACCTCGTTTCCTGCAGAGGTCCACTCCATAGTGAGAAAGAACATTGGCCATCCTGTGAAATTTGCAAAAATGACCAAAGTAATGTTCCATAGCGTCGGGGAAGAGATAGGGTACATGGTGGCTTCATTGGGTTCATCAGCGAGGTTCTGGGCAAAATCTTCCACGAGGCGAAGATCTACGCCAAGTTTGCAGATTTCTCTGCTGGAAAGCCGACGGAGGGCAGCCGCCTTGACAGCCGGCTGAAACCAGATATTGTTATTCTGGGGACGGCACGGAGAGAGATCCGTGCCGTAGGCGAGCTCAAAACAGAATGGGCTTTCGAGCCTCGAGAGGGCGAAACGAACCGCGCGTTCCTGATCAGGAAGTTTGGTATGTTTCTACTTTCAGTACCTTCCAGGCCTCTGTTAACTTGAGATATATCAATTATAGGGCAAGTCGCAAGGTACATGGACGATTTGAAATGTACCTACGGATTTCTCACGACTTACAAGGAGACATTCTTCTTGAAAAGGCGTGACAAGGATACCTTTTTGGCCACCTTCAAGCCAATTAGGGCGAGCAAGGTAGCCATGGCGTCAAACAGTAGTGACATGGCCTCCTTGTCACTACTGGAATGCATGGCATTCCTCTTGTTTCAAAGCCTTTCTCCAGAAGCGAGATTCGAGACTGTCAAGGGGCTGAAGTTGGTAAGTTTCTTCCAGTGCATCAATTGATGAAGGGAATTCTAACTGATTATCATAGACGAATGTCGTGGGAAGGGACCGTAGAAGACGGGGATCGCGGCAAGCACCAGCGAACAAAAAGCAGAAGTAAGCAAACGAGGATTTCTAGATTAGCATTAGACATAGCGTCCATATTAAAACTTGACGTTTCTCATGGGGCAGAGATGACTCGATTGATACCAAGTCAACAAGTTAGGGCTCAGGGCTAGCCCTAGAGCTACATGTAGTTAGTTACCTCCGAACTCCGCCCCCGCAGGCGTCGGAGCTCGAATTCGATGCGTGAAATCCGAACTCTCTGTATATGAGCTTCAGCTCTGCATCTTCTCTTTCTCGGAGCAGAATCAATGCCTGACCCCAGCATAGCAACAACAAAGCGGCGCAACGGCCAGCTCTCGTCGTGCGAGCCCTGCCGCAAGTCCAAGCTGCGCTGCGACCATGCCACGCCCGTCTGCGGCCGATGCGTCCAGAGGCGCCAGCGCAGTTCATGCATCTACCATCCAGCGCCGATGACGCAGCCGCGCGACAAAGCGGCGTTGAGGAAGAGGAGGAAACGGGAGCCGTCTATCCTGACGGAGAAGGGGATCATGTCAACGACTAGCTTCCTGCAGCGCTATCGAATACAGCAGCAGCCTGTGCATGAGCACCAGAGGGCCAGCAAGACCGACGACGACCAGAGCCATGCGCCGGTGACACCGGGCTCTGAGCCTTCATCGGAGTTGAAAAGGTCTCTGTTCTACTCAACCGGCTTTCTGGGTCCCTCTAGTTTCTGGGCTGCGTTCGATGAGTCTGATGACAGCCGAACTACTGGTGCTGCTGCTACTACAATATACCCAACCCCTACGCAGTCTTCCGGACGCGCTGATTCCCCTTCTATGAGCGAGACTATGGATGACTCCAACACTCCAGATATGGACCAGATCGAGTGCGGGGCACGAATTCTCGTTTTATTGGAAGATCTAGCGCTATATCACAAAGTAGTCCAGCACCGGTTCGGCATCATGGAACCGTTGATTTTCGGCGAGAGACTAGCAAACGAGATGTTTGCGGGGCTTTACTCGTTGCGCCAGCAGTGGCGACAGGGCAACAAACTGTCCCAAAGCAAGCTGTTGGCATGGTCGGAGAGGCTGTTTGAGAACAGTGCCAAACGCATCACGACCCACAAATCCATGAGCATAGCTGAATACTTCACCTCTATTGCTCCGAGATGGGAATCCGTCGGGTTGGTCTTTTCGTTGGTGGCGGTTACAGCACTGATAATTCCCGAGGGGCACGAGGTGCTTCGATTGGATGATGGGTCGGTCGTGGACGTGCAAAAACTCATAAGACTTACCGATGAGGTTTCGGAAATTTGTCTGGGCTTCTGCGAGAGCGTTAGGACTTTGAGTGATCCCCTTTTCTGGCTCCTTCTTCAGCGCGCAATATTACTTGGAGAGATACACGGTGATAGCGGTATGTCATCAAAGTCACCTAGACCTTTCAAGATAGTTTACACTAATACTCAGTCTCTTGTAGATTATCGGCCTTGGAAAAAGCTGGGAGATTTATCCACTTTGATCTTCTCCCTGGGCTTACATTGTCCCAAGCAAGACTCGTCTACGCCTTTGTTTCTCGAACAGATTCGCTTACGGGCAATGGCAGGTTCTTTCTCCATAGACAAGCAACTGGCGACTCTCCTTGGCCGACCTCCGAGGATCTCATGGCAGTACTGCGACCTCCAGTACCCGCTTGATCTGTCCTTTGATGAAGTATGCGCTATATCCGAGGGTCAAGACGATTTAGCACGAAAGATAGGCCCGGACGGCTGGAATCTTGAAGGAAAAATTAACTCGGGCACTCGAGGTCGAGTAAACCTTATGCTCGCGACGATTTCGAGAGAAAATCCTTGCCCTGTCGCTTTCTCCTCATTCTGGGGATCTACTTCAGAGAATCTCGTAAGTTCATACTGCCGGCCTTAGTTACCTTGACTTCGTTCCCTAGGTATATACATCCTCATGAGACGATCCTATAAACTGACAAATCTTAGAGCCACACGCGCTGAGTACGACCAAATACGCGAAAACCTGCCGCCAAAATTGCAATGGAGACGCTCGTTACTCATGGACAGGAACGATGCATGCTGTGAGGCCAGTGCATATGTAGTGGAAAATCTACATCTCGAGTTCCTGCACAACGACTTCATCCTCTATTCTGTCCTCGTGAGGCGAACTGGCAAGTACAAAGAGAAGTTTATCAAAGCAGCGCAAGAAATGCTGAGCAAGTTAATCCTGCTTGTCTCGACGCGGCGTTCTCCTTCCTGGCAAATCTCTTGTTCGTCGTCGGTTGTAAGTTTGGCCCCCCTTCCCTCTCTCGCTGGTCTCCAACTCTTCGTGGCCTAATTACATATATTATACAGCTTTGTTACGTCGGACTTCCGTGTGCTGGTGTGCTCGCGCAAGAACTCTTCCGACGCTCTCAGACACGACACCACACAACAACAACATCATCATCATCAACAAACTCCAAAACACCCTTTCCACGCTCCGAAATAATCCAAAATCTAAGCGTATTCGCATCCCAATTAGAAACCAGCCTAGACAGCAGAGACGGCAACTTCGCAATTGCGCAGAGGGGGCTTGACGCCATTCGAAATATACTAGATCGCGTGCTCTCTGCAGATGAGGATAACAGCGATATCAATGTAAGACATAATAACAATCATGTTGCTGCGTCTCCGCCTCTTTCTCCTCCTCCTCCGCCGCCGCCACCGCCTCGTTTTCCTTCTCCGCTTCCTCCCGACTCGTTGTTATGCGACCAAGGACAGCAGCAGCAGCAGCAATCGGGCATACCGGGGTCATCAATTGATGTCCCTCAAACTGCTGCATCCATGGAATCTGGTGAAAGTGCCGGCGCAGGATACCCTTTGGACGACAATGGGATACTTTCTCTAGACCTTATGGCGTGGCTTGACAATTTTGACTGGGCGCAGGAATCTCTTCTGAATTACAGCTGAACTCGGCACTGCAGACTTAAAAGATAATATCGAATATTTATTTTTTTTTATTTTTTTTTTTTCGCGACATGCTGCCTGATTAAAGACATGCATGCATTTGTCGTATTCTAGTCACCAGGTTATGGAAACTGTTGTTGAGGGATTTATTCATCTTGTCTTCTTTCCCATTTATGTTAACATGACAATACACAAGTTTGAAGATTCATACAGATAAATAAGACACGGAGATTTTCAATTCCAGATTCATGACATAAATGATAACATTGAAACACACGCCAAGGGGGGAATAAGTGAAATAAGAGAAAAGAAAAGACAAACAGAAACATAAACCCATGGGTATATTTCGGAAAGAAACAAAGAAAAAAAAAACTTATAACCAAATATCACCCTCTTCGCCCTTAACCCAAGCACTCCAAACCTTCTCATATGCATTTTCCAAATCATTAACCCAACGCCTAGTGTCAAACAATCTGCTTTGCCACCGGTGAGTAAACAACATTTGACGTAACTCAACTAGGCGGCCGGTAGCTTGACCCCTTTGGCCGCCAGTTTCAGTTTCAGAATAATACCGCAAGTCGCGGCAGAGACGACTGGCTTTCTCGCGATAGTCCTCATTAGAACTCGCCACTAGCTCCTTTCTAGCTTGTCGACCTGCTTCCGTGTCCGGTAAAGCACTTGATAAGATGCTCGAGGCCATCCGGGAACACATCTTGTATTTATAACGGGGATATGTCAGCATGGGCGTACCGCTCCAGAGAATGTCGGCAGCTGTGGTGTGTGCGTTGCACTCGGGTGTATCCAAGAAGAGATCCACCACTTGGGCTCGTGCGATGTGCGTTTGTTTAGGAGCAACGTCGGTGAAGATAATACGAGATGCAATTTCCTCATTAGCCCATTTCACCGCACACTCTTTGAGATGATGCTCCCCAAGCTCAGGGAAGCGAAGTAACCACAGGACAGCTTTTGGAATGTCGGAGAGGATGCGAAGCCATGTACGGAATGTGGTCGGTTCAATCTGTGAACATGTCAGAGATGGATTCCAATCGATGAAAGGGAAACAAAGAGCAAAAAAAAAAAAAGTTGAATTACCTTATAAAGTTGATTGAAATTTCCAAGAATAATGGCGTCATCTGGAATATTCGGAAACAGCTCCTTTCTCATTTTCCAGCGTCTCTCCTGTTCTCGATCCCAACTAATGGGCGCGGCATCACTATCTGGTGCGCTCTGTCGATGATCACAACAGAAAAAGGTGTCTCGGGTATAAACGATCCTTTCATCATACATCCAATTCTCCATTTCCTCTGTGCGCTCATCTTCGAATCCACGGTCCTCAATACGATACTCTCGCCTCCCAGGACTCAGTGTGTCGCGTGGGATAGATATTTCATCTGCAAGAATATAATCACACCACTGGGCACCTAGAGTACCGGCGAAGCCCATAAACGACATATGTATCGGGGCTGGACGAGCAGCAAAAACTTCATTTCGTGCACCTCTCGTGTACCCATTAAGGTTGACCAAGATATGAATCCCATCGCGAACAATCTGCTGAACCAATCGATCAACAGACCAGACGCTTGCATCATAGAACTGCGGCGCTTCGCGTTCAATCTGCTGGCGATGTGTGGAATTGTCACTTGGGGTTGTCGCGTAACAGTAGGCTTTGACACGATTGGGGTTGTGAAATCCAAAAACAGACTGCATTAGATGTGCGAGAGGATGGTTATTGAAATCCGACGACACATACCCAACCTTCAGATAAGGCTGCGGTGGCTTTGGCGGTGGATACACTGTGCTAGGGAGCCACGGTGAGCGGAGGGTCGAGGTAGAGATCCGCAGGCCGTTACGTTGCGAAATGTGTCGGATTTGCTTTGCAGACAAAGGGCAAGTAAATGTGTGAAATGGAAGCACTGTCGGAGCATTGGGTGCTGTGAGACCTGCCGGTAATTGAGGTCTCTTATACCTGGACAAGGGATATTCTTTGCCATAAACATAGAGATCTTGGTACCATTGCCAGGTAATAGAGCGGATAATACGCTCCACAAGCTTAACAATTCTAGAGCCCTCCCATTTCTGGCCTGCCCAAGATCGTAGCATCGCATTCAATTTGCTCGCATTGGCATTGTGCTGCGCTACGGCCGACACTTGCGCACATATCTGCTCAACCACTGCGGATGACAAAGTGCCATGTCCCCAGCTTTCACCGTCCTTTAACTGCTTATCCACGATGTCAACCACGCGCTTCATCCACCCGAAGCCAACCTGTATTTTGTCGACATCGCGCGGTAATCCGTTATCATCGACATGTACTTGATCTGTGAAACCAAATCCATGGAGAACACCGCCGCGGCCTGTCCAGTTACATACAGAATTCAGCGCATTTGCCAGGCCACAAACTGCTTCGGCAAAATCTGGATTCACTTTGACAGCTCTCTTGTAATATACAATGGCGTCATTAACTCGGCCTGCATCTTTGACAGCATTTGCGAGATTGGCGAGAGCAATGTCAAAGTTTCCGTCGTATTCAACGGCCAGCTCGTACATTCGGATAGCAGCATGAAGTTGCCCGATATCTTTCCACAAACTGCCCAGATTAGTATACAGGTGAGCGTGTTTCGGGTCGAGGCTTAGGCCATAGGAGTAGTAGGCTAAAGCCAGCGCTGTCCCGCTACCAGGAACGACACCAGGGATGTCCGGATAATTGGTCTTGCCAGAGACAGGGCGTGGCCGCACCTTCGAGGGCCCATTCTGCTGAATGCTAGCAAGGAGAATGCCGACGTTGTTTGCCGTAGATGGGCTAGGTTGAAGAGAGAGAGAGAGATAATACAAGGCCAGAATATCTCTAACGCCAGGAGCGGCCGACTTGGAAATTCCATTAGCAGACACATTCGACATGCCATCTTGGTAAATTTTAGCCAAAGACAGCAAAGAATTGCTTGTGGTGGAAATTGCAGCCTTGCGTGACAAGCCTTCGGCCACGTATTGAAGACCCGGAGGGTATCCATAAGGTGGGAAAACCAAACCTGCGGTCTGCACCGCCTTTTCTGGATATAGCAAAATGGGATTCTTAGCCTCATCACCCTCATGAACAGGTCGATCGTATCCATTGTGAGATGCAGTGTTGAAAGCATCTACTATCTGCTTAATCAGACTCTTGATACCGTGGCATCTTCGACCTGAAGCAATCAAGATAGCCTCCTCGAAAGCCATGGCAGCACCTGCATTATCACCCAAGGCATATAGCATATTGCCTTTTGCATGGACCAGAGCAAGTATTCTACCATTGTCGGAACCGGGAATTGCAAAGCCACTGGATGCGAATCCAGCAGAGATGGAATCATTGGCATTTATCTTCATACCTAGGGCATGATCCAGTTCGTTGTCGTAATCGAATGCAGCGCGGTCATATGAGCCCGTACTTTCGGCATCGCTCTCTGTTTCGCTCGCATGCTCGTCAGACCGGAAGTATTCACCGTTTCTTGGAACACGCAAGGCCTTTTCCACAAATTCGATAATGCTCACGGCATCTTTTCCACGATGATTAGTGCACAGTAAATTAATCAAGTGTTCAACAGCTTCAAAGTAACTGGGGCGTAATTTGACGGCGCGAAGCCAGTGCTGAAGTGCTTCATCTCGTTGATTCAAAGCAAGGAAAGTCGCCGCAAGATTGCTGATAGCCTCAACATGTCTGCAGTCACGTGGTCAGCATATGCAAAAAGATTAAAAAGATACGTAGACTCTAGAGTAAGAGGAGGAAAAAGTTACCTAGGATCCCTGGCGATTATTCTCGTATACCATCGCGTTGCTTTCTGGTAGTCACCAAGGCCATATGCTAGACAGCCACCGAGCAGCATACCATCGATCCACTCCCAGTTACTCTCATTACACAAATGAGACAACATTTCCAAAGCCGATGCAGCGCTTGCCATTATCGTGTTTTCAGATGGGATAGAGCCCATAAGTTGCGAAAGTGACGCGCCAGAAGCCTTACGAATGGTTTGAAAGCCATCCATGAATCGGGAGTCAGCAGGTGTGCGCGGATTGAACATGAGCCCCGACAAAGACCGACTATTCAAGTGACGAGCTGAGCCGTGAGGAGACAAGTCGAATCTGGATGAAGGATAGCTATTATGGCGGGGCATGTCTGGATGAGAAGAGAAATCCAACCCAGGCTGCCGCGGCGGTTTTGGGTAAATAGCGGGCTTGAGGTTCCGTTGTGACTGGCCATCCGAGGACGATTTCGATATGCTGTTTTTCCTTGCATGGTGAAGACTTGCCAAAAGATCCACATACACACCGTGAGCCCATGATAACACTTTTTCCTTGAACTCGGCAGTTTGAACCCGAGATTGCGGATCCGAGAGAGAAGGTGGAACAGTGTAACTGGTATGCCATTTAACGGCATCGGGAACAGGACGTGGGGAAATGCCTGTATTCAGTCCACTGGCTGCACGAACATGGAAGGGCAAGTTGCTGCGATGCTGGTCTTTTGTAGTGCTCAATGACGGATGGTGAGAATGGCGTGAAGGGAATTTGTTTTTGTGGAAAATGGTAGAAGGATCATGGTTGCTGCCGCTGGGCAACTGGGTCCATGACAAAGCAGAGTTTGGAAAGCTCGATGCAGGGAACGAGGAATTATTTAGATATGGCGCTTGTAGATCAAAGAGATGGGTGGAATTCGTGTCGGGTGAAAGGGGAGAGTTGGCCATGAAACGAGAGTCCCGCAGGGCGGCAGGCCGGTAGGGTATGTAAGCTCCATCTGGCCAGTATGGGCCATAGGGACCTGTACCCACAGGAGCAGTCGGGCCTAAGCAGGATTGCAACGACGCAGGTAAAACGGTTGGAACCGACGGGCCGTTGTGCATATAATAGTACGGCGACTGAGGTATTGGCGATGACTGAAGGACCGAATCCACGCCTGGTTGAAAGTTGAGAGACCGAACCCAGCTCGGCCCATTGGCACCGCCTGACTGCACAGATAAGCCATTGTTATTGTTGTTGGTATGACCGACATCTGACTGAAAAGCCGGGGGGAAGGCCTGGTACTGTAGCGAGGAAGCCTGTTCAACAGGCAGCCAAGCGTAGCTGTCGACGGACTGAGACGAAGGATGCTGTCGTGTGTCAAGGGAGGAAACCAGGATGTGTTTTGCCGCCGGCGGCTGAATGGCCCTGTCACCGGGAGTGCCGTCATATCCCGCAGCCAAAGTCCCGTTGGGAGTCTTCCTCCTCAGATTATGTTCCCCAGTTTTCGCCGCCTTGGTCACATCGGGCTCACTTGCGTCGAGAGAAAGCGGTCGCTGTATGGGGTGAGGAAACTGCATGTGTGTTCTCGGCACTGAAGCGGCGGACGTTCGATTACCATTTTGCTGCTGAAGGAAAGGACGTTGCGTGGCGGCTGCGGGGTGTTGGAGGCCATACAGGTCATAACTCAGGCGATTATCGATATGATGATGCGGATGGAAATGCGAGGGAAGAGCGACGGTGGGCAGCATGGCGCCGGCACCGCACAGCACCAGGTGCGCGATTCTGCGGGCTACTAAATGACAAAAGGTATAATCTTGCCGAACCAATCTATCCGATATTCAAAGGGAAGGGTCAACAATTTCTTCTTCTTCTTCTTCTTCTTCTTCTTCTTCTTCTTCTTCTTCTTCAAGGAACGCTCCTCAGTCGTTCATCCACATGCGTGATCTTTGAGGCGTTTTCGACACCGCATCATGAAGGGGCCGACACATTCGAAACAGGCGGCCGCGAAAACATTGGCGAACTCGACGGACGGTATTTCTTCGGTTTGTTCAGTGGTATGTTGAGCGGTGAGAAGACGCTTCCAGAAGGAGTCGAGAAGAGATGAGGAGGTCGTGAGGATTAGTTCCCTTGGATGCAAGGGAGGGTCACGGGTCACGGCAAGGCGAGCTTAGGACGGAGAGATGCAGCTGCTTGCGCTTGCACTTGCACTGCAGTAGTCGTCGTTAGGCTAGTAGCAGTACACTAGTAGTGATAGCGATACGCCGCCGCAGGGTGGTAAAAGAAAGAATTGGAGGTGTGCAAGTAAGTATGTCTGGTCGGTCGGCAAGTTGCAAAGCGAGAAGAAAACAACGAGCGGCTCTGGCTTAACTAGTTAGCGGTTCCACCGCACCAGCAGACAGACAAATTTGACAGGGGAAGGAAGACGCGAGTACGAGCGAAGCGAAGAGAAGAGGAGAGAAGAGGGAAGAACAGAAAGAAGAAGAAAAAAACGAGATGAGGTGCATTCCAGGCTGCATACGTGGGCAGCGGCGTGACAGGTCGATGCTTGCCGATGCCTGCCAGCCCGGTGGGGCCGCCGCAGCCAATCATCGGCGCGCATCGACGGTTCTTTGACGGTCGATGCCCTACCGAGGTCGCCCACCGCCAGCCATCTGCTGTACCCCGAATCCAACAGCGGTGATGCTCTTTGCACATAGTTACATAGTCCATCCTCCGTGCTGATAGAAACCCGGTTGCATACATACATGTGTTTTAGTGCAATGCTCGATCCCAGCCGGTGGGCTCAAAGGGACCCTCCACAGCGCTACTGCACGCTATGCGGTGGGCGTCATCAAATGGGCGGCGATCTCTCATTGTTTCCATGCGGCGCAGGTGCATGCCACAGACGTCGTCGCAAACATGTGAAGACCGGGCTTGGAGAGATGAGATCTACGGACAGACAGGCAGGCAGACAGATATATCTACATCCATGTCGGCATCCATATCCCTACATTTGTCTGTATGCATTCATCGGGCTTGTGCCTGCGTAGGGAAAACAAGAAATCAAAATAAAAATATTCCTGCTTGCCTCGCGGTGGGGCCCTCCACAGCCCCACTCCTGCTCCACCCGGTCCGCCAAATTAATTTTGTTGGCTTCCCCATTCGGCGGAGTATGGAGCAACCATATTCTTACAATATACAGATAGCTGAGAGAACTATCTGATAATGAGTATATAACTATGTACTGTGGAATTCTGTTTCTCAGCAAGCGCTGGCAGAGTGAGCTACGTAGCTTAGGCCTATGTATATATACCATGTATAGATCCTAGATAGTATGTGGCGCCAGCCCTTGTGGGGGTGGGCGGCAGGCGATCTGGTCACTGAGAACGCTTGGCCCCCCTCTACCGGCCGTTCTGGCCCGTGATTGGAGACGCCGCCGCCCCCATCACGTTGCTCGTCACTATCTAATATACAGTCTGAATATGGTCAGTGGTGAATTCCATGTCGATATCATCATACATACGGCCGAACTAAGTGAACACAAAGACATCGAGTTTTCCACATGTAGCTGATGAGTATATAACAGTCTGATCCTGCCAGGCAAACGACGCAATTCAGTCTAGACTTCTGTTCATTTCGCTTCGGGAGTATAGATCCGCATAATACTCCCCCGTATCCTCGTACAGATCTATTGCTGCTAGGGTTGTCACGCCAATGCTATTTCTGATGTCAACTGTGCCTTGCCAGTTTGATGACAACAGGGGTATCCCAGATACTAGCAATCTTCTACGAATGATACGTTTGCAAGAGGCATTGCTGCCTCCACTTCCCCGTATGAAGACCCTCATAATACTAAATACGAGACATGTCGCACAGGCGCTTGGCGGTCGGCGAGTACTCAAAAATCAACCCGGAGACTCCGTTTGATATGTATTGTATGTATATGCACTCCGTCGCTGCATGCCCGGGCTCCACGCAAGATCTTCATTCGGCAGTATGGGTACAACCTACGGATATAATATATATTACATATAGAGCAAATAGCGGGCACGGGTATTGGCTAGCCCTATGCCAATAATATATCTAGCGAGCAGACAGCCAATACATTTTCCCAGCAGAATGAAACAATGGCCTCATCTCTAACAGCTGTCGTACGTCGAAGCAGCATACAACCACCCGGTCATCCGGTTCGCAATATCGTTCACATACGAATCCGTCGCCCCTTCGCCGTCATTCAGGTTAGAGCTATCAACAGATCCCGAATTGTAGCATCGTGCAGCCTGCGAATATAGACATTAGCATGACGTTGTCTTTTCTTCTATATATGACTCCCAAAGGAAAACCGCGAGTGATACCTCGTAGATATTGCCGTACTGGTTGATGCATTGCACAAGCCCATCGCCGTCAGTCGTTCCCTGCGTGCCGTCGATAATCATCTGCGTAATGCTGCTCTGCTGGCTCGCGGTGCTAGCAGAGTTGCCCACAAAAGTCGAGCCGCCGTCAGATTGCATCAGGCCTGGATTGTCCGGTTGCGAGGGATCCGGATTCGTAGATGCGCACACGTTCACGCAGCCAGACGACTGTAACATAAGTAATGTAAGTACAATGAACAAAAAGACCTCGATTCTCCTTTTGGATCAGGCGGGGAGGGAAGAGGTGGGAGTCTACCTCCTGCAAAACAGTGGCAAGGATAAACCGGTGGTCCACCAGCGATGACTCGGCAACCTGCTGGATCGCATTCCAGATCAAGCCGATTTGCTCGTCGCTATCGCCGTCGCCAAATGCACCAGCTCCGTTGGAGCACGATCCAACGCCGAGGTCAGAGCAGGAGGTTGACATGGCGCTTTTGGAGTAGTTCCACATCGCGTCGAATTCGATCCATTCGGACTTTGGCGGGAAGTTCTCCCAGCCGCCGTAGTAGCAGTCTGTGAATTTTTGGGTAAGCCTTTTTCGAATGTTGACTCGTCTTTGTGGTTCTCGTACTATACTGATCTGTTCCAGCACTCCCCGTTCCGTCATAGATGTTGCTGTTGTCCTCATTCCCGGCGCCGGTGGTAAAGGCGTCTGACGAAGTCACCTGCTGGCTAGAAGGGTTGCTGACCAGTTCGTGAGGAGGTCCATTCTGAATATCTTTCTACTTTGATGTAAGCATGGAACAATGATTTTCCACCGGAGGACAACTGACCCCTGGAGCTGCCAGGGTAGAAGAGGCAGTTATAGCCAGCAGAACGGCGGTTCTGGGGACCATTTTATCCTGATTTCTTTATTCTTTTAGATCTGAAGACCATGGATAAGTCTTGAGAAACGGAAAACAAAACGATGGACATGATTCTTCAATTTATAGTCCTGGTAGATACTCGTCTTCATTTTCTTGTTCACACTTCGTATAGCATGGATGTAACCCCGTATAGTATTAAAAAAGAAACCACTCTTCACATCCTCAAACGAGGTGGTCCATCAAGACATTCCATCTCAGCTGACCGTTCAAGAAGCAAGCATTAGTCTCTGAAGCAGTCTACGATTTTCCTATTCAGGCATGTCGATCACGTAAAGGTCGTGTTTAAGCATGCCCTAATGCACGTCTATAGTCTGCAAAGGTATCGAATGTGCACATAATGCCTGGATATAGAGAGGGGGAATTGGTGGAATGGGCGTATTCAGTATCTGGAGCATTCATTCACGATTTTCCTATTCGGGTAAGTGTCAGCTGTCCTAACGTGCCCTAAGCCTAGATGCTACCTTGAGCGGCGGCGGAGGATTTTAGCGGATATCACTGCGCACTACAGCACATACTAGTTGATTTATCCATGATTTTTTAATTTGGGCGCCATTTTTTAAAGGTGTTCTTTTACGCTTTGACTAGCGGACAAGCTTCCTGTTCCTGAACGGGTAATTCTTCGCTTAATTACGGAATAGTTAGTTAGTTAACTTAGATAAAACATCTGACTAATTGGGTGTGATCGAGTGGTAGGTTGGGCAGGGGAATCTGAATCAGGCTGACGTTCCTTCTTATTAGTATCAAGCCACTGGCCCGATTTTATAAAGTATTGCTGGGTTGGCCCCCAATACTAGATCCATTCTGTGGGTTGGTTCCTGCATGGTTTCACTCCTGAATCCTTGATAGCCCGGGACTAGTTAGTAGTCTCAGTCTGAGACTCTTGTCAGTGGGGCATATAAGGTAATCTTCAAGTAGAATGCTGGGATGTTGCTTCATGTCCAAGGTTCTCGGGCTCAAAGCAACAGGCTTGTATTCAACAGTACAGAAGGTACAGAAGGTTTGATGTTTCAGATCGAGCCTTTAACATCTTCTGCCACGATACATCCTTCGTTTAGGTTATGCGCTCAATTTGATTGCCTGGTGAACTATTTATTTAACAACTGTATGTAGCTGCTGTTTACTATCAATATTGAACACATAGATCGTTCAGGTGGATTATAAAACTATGAACTCCTCCTTTTTACACCCTTGAATACCTAATTATACTCTATCACTAGACAAATCACTTTAATGCTACCTATCATACATACGTACCAGCCGCAGTCACGCAGTAACATCACTACATCAATCAAGCACGCCAACGAAGCGGGTGCGCCTCCGTATTAAGCACGTATTCATCCAAACTAACAATATCCGGCTCAGAGAAAATCAAATAGAAATATTTCAGTGTCTCTGCAAGCCAGAACGACTCCATCCGGTCTTGCTTCGAGGGCTTATCCACTGTGCAGTCGTTGATGCCGGCATGCGCAATGTCGGTGACGGTATGTTGAATAATGTTATTGAACATATTCCATGCCTTTTCGAGGAGTACCGGGTCGCCCGTGATTCGATATAGGATGAATACTGATTCGATTGCTTCGGGGCTGGGGATGACCAAATCAGCTTGCAACACACATACTACTACGAAAACAAGAAAATGAACAAGTACGACTTACCGTAAGATATATCTAGCGTCGTCAATCTTTGATACTCCCGGTGGTAAATGTCTAGCCTCGATGGTTGCCTCCGCGGATTCCTCGTCTGGAAACGCCCCTTCAACTCCATGTCGCCATCTTTCCTCGTCCCAGGGACAGTCGCTCTCATCCTCGCAGGGAACTGTGTGCATTATTTCGGGCATAATGCCCAATCGACCACTCTCATACCCCCAGATACAGCCATCAGTCAACCTGCGTGCCACAGTCAATTCCTCAGGGCGGCCAAACGCTTGCGCCCCAAGAGCAACCATCCCACCGGCGAAGCAGCTCAGGTGCTGGATCTTCGGCTCAATTTTGGGCTGTGAGTTCTCATCCCATGAGACGTCGCCGGGATGGAGGACATATTGTCCGTCGTCGGTCATAGAACGGAAGAATATGTGAGATTTCATGGCCTCGATTGAACCCGCGTACATCTTCTGGTATTGCTGAGAGCCTCCACCAAGGAGAACATGTTGCTATAGAACGTTCCAATTGGTTAATTAGGTAACCACACTACACCACCATGACTGCGTAGATACTAACTAACCTTGGGCAGGTATTCATAGAGCGAATCCGCCATGCCTCCAATAGTAAACCCAGAAAATTCATGGAAATTCATAGTCTTCGCATTGACCACTACAGGCCACAGCCCCGGGACCTTGGTCAGCTCCTGCTGTGCCTCAAACGCATCCATGATGCGCTGGATAGCATCGAACCATCGGTCATCATTCGTTAACTGGCTGAGACGCGTGAACTCTAGCGTGAGCGAACCAATCTCTGCTACAAGAACATTATCTCCAGCCTCTTGCGGCACATTGTTTATGCCGTTGTTAAAGTTCCATCGCGTGATGGGCATTCGATTCGGCGTGTCAAACGCGGCGTATAGCATTTGGCCAACCTCAATTGCTTTTCGGAGCAGCACGGGATACTTGCCTGCGCTGATGTCGTAGGCGCCTAGGAACCCGCCTAGGTATCGAATGGTGGTCTCGAAGACATTGATGTCTTCGAGCGAGCATGTCGTGAAGTTGAGGTTCTCGATGGCGCGAACTGCTTCTTCGAAGTCATCGCGCATGTCCATGATCCATAGCGTATCTAAGTGTGTTAGCTCGTCAAACTATCAACGAAAATACTGGCACCTTAGAAATTTTACAGTTTGCTTACTTACCTAGTGTATCTACAAGCGTCGCCGCCCATCCACCAAATGGATTATGCCCTTGGCCAGATATAGGTTTGACCTCATCGCTCATCCATGCATAATTTTTGTAGCCCGCCCAAGCATGCGAGAAGTTGCCTTTGACAGCATCTAGTCTTGTTTTCCGTATGCCGCGATCAGAGGACTTCTCCTGCGGGAAACGGTGTTGTATGGCTGGGATGCTGTTCGGGAGAGGCGACGGAACTGATTTTGTGGCCTGAACTGGGTATCGCTGGGGCAATTGAGCCCAGAAATAGTTATCATCTGGCCTGGGTACTGAGGCTTGCGATTCTGGGTCGGGGGGGCCATCATTGTCGTTATCATCATTAAATGGTTCGTTTATATACGGGGTGGCATCGGTTCGTTGCGTAAATATCGAGGTGTTATACAAGTAAAAGAGGGACGCAAGCACAAGCAGAACTGTAACAAAGGAAAAACGCCTGTTTCTTGCGAGATTCATGGCAGCGTACCCCAATCCTGCCTTGCCAATTCTCAGCGTAACAAATCGTATATTATAAGAAAGGCAGACACCTATTCGAGAGGTTTTGCTTAGGAGATCTGCCAGCAGAATGATCCACTTTGTTTCCTAGACTTTTGGGAGATCTAGACACCTTAATATTCAGGCAGATACATTTTCTGGGATGTAGGATTTTACGAGGTCAAATTCATTGAAAAAAAAAATAGCCTTATCACAACCTACAAGGGCCCAAGAGGAAAATGCGCGCTTATCGGCCGTAAAGATCGTGGTGCAAGCTGCTAGTTCGTTGACTAGTGCGCACAGGGTGGAAATTACCCAGATACTAGATAGATTAAAATGTAAATAGAAGGGGAGAAAAGAAAAAAAAAAAAGATCCCAAAAGAAAGGAAAAGAAAGGAAAAGTTAAAAGGGAAAAGGGAAAAGAAAACAGAGAATATCATATGTATGAAATGCCTACTTGCTCATTATCAAAAGTCCTGTCCGTTCCCTTAGACACTTCTTTTGTCTGCAGGCCTGATCAGAAATAAGCAGATAGAAGCTATAGTTAACCCTCGGTAATATGGACTAGGAGTATTCTCCGGGCATAAGGAAGAGCTTCGTTTAGCCCGCGTACCCTAAGCCCAATACTCAAATAGTACACAATACTACGACCAGTATGGCTATCGGCGAACGCCACCTAGGGCTAGTAGTCTGTTTTCTATCTCAGGGCTGTGTTAACGTTTCCAGCTGTCGTGCTCTTTTGGGCATACTAGAGTCTGATAGGAAGCAAAATATGGATTTCTCAACCGTTTTTCCGTGGGCGACAGAGGCTTCATTCGGAAGACCCTCTTTTAGATGGCCCCCCTGGCATTAGCAGTCTTGTTCCACGGCTCGTAAACGTCTTCAACTTCCAACATTGCACGCCACTGTCTTGATTCAAACATTGTTTCTGCACGTCTTCACATTCTGCGGCGTTTATAGAGACTCGGTGGCTGCCATGGGCTCACTCCGTGTGCTTGCAACGCTCCTCCTCTGCTACCAGACCGTTACGGCACAGACAGTCCAGAGCTCTTGGGCGGTTCCAAATGGCTCACTCAGTGATTTCGCTCAGACGTTCACTGAAGGCAAAGCCATGCCGATTGCATGGGATGGGTGGGATTCTGGGTGGACAGACGAGTTTCTGGACAATGACACTGTCGCCGATCTATGGGTGACTTCGTATAACTACGCACAATACGAATACTCCCAGTACCTTGTTGGTACGTCCATCTTTATCATGACTTTGTCAGAGACATAGGATTTCTACATCTGATTGACAGGATAACAATAGGAAACGTCAATATCTCGGTTGCAGGATCGTACAACTGGACTATCAACGTCAACTCGACCAGTCTGTCAAACACAGCTGAATATGTTTTCCGGTTTAAGCCACCACAGTCGACCTACAATGTATCCAGCGACCAAATCTCATCTACTGGCTTCATTGTAGTGTCAAAGGATACGACGACAACGACAACAGCAACCACATCAGCACCAACAAGTACCACCACATCGGCATCGTCTACAACAGCAGCTACAGCTACAGCATCCGCAACAGCTACTTCGTCTGCGTCTGCGTCTTCGTCTTCATCAGGCCTTAGCAGTGGTGCGAAAGCCGGCATTGGCGTTGGAGTATCAATTGGGGCCATCGCTATTCTTACAGCCCTTGCCTTCTTGTTTCGACGTCGGAACCTCACGCGGAAATCGGCAGCAGCACCAGTGGCGCCAGCAGTATCTCTCGCGTCACCTCCGCCCCAGGGTCCGTCCGAGCTTGATACGGCGTCCAAGGAAGCAGGCAAGCAGGTGTTATATTCACCGGTTCCTGTTCATGAACTTCCCTCGTATCCCGCGCATCCGGCGGAGCTGGATTCGGGTGATTATCCATGATACAAAGCCTATCTGAGTGATGTCTAGGGCAGGGCTTTAGTGTCAACTTCTAGAGCTGGAAAAGGAGAACAGCACATTTCTGCATATAATGCTGACATAATTTCTTGGGAAACGATTTAAACGGGGATATTAAAGTACGATGTGATAGATAGAGTCAATATAGATAGATAGAAGGAAAAAGAAGAGACTTATCTCTACACTTTAACACCATCAGTCTCGTCGGGATCACTATCTGTTTCGTCGATAGGCTCCTCTCATACTTCTTCGTGGTCGTCCACCCAATTCAACGCCAGTGTCTGGCTCTTCTCGAACTACTGGTCTAAAATACCAGTCTATTTTTCCCGACGGGAGAGTGCAAAGTCAGGTTTTTCTGTGCTCTGCGTATTCAGAACTTTTGCCGCACGTGTTGCAGCTGATACATTGACAGCTTTGCTTGTGGATGTCTCGTTCTTCTTTGGTCATTCCTGTCTTATTGCAAGCGCGACACACGTGAGAACCGAATTAACAGTTCTTAAAATGAACTTCGTAATCGTCTCGAGGAATGATTTTTTTTCCCCCCTGCATTTGCCGCACATCCGATTTCGGCATTTTGATTTACGCTCCAGATGGGCCTGGACATGCTGCAAGATATTTCAATAAATTTCGTATCAGTCGAGCAAAACGTAATTCCGCGTTAATATGGTGGCATCGGGCTCGTTCTCCTTTGATGTCAGGACAATTGAACATCTCAAAATGCTCTCTAGCATGTTTTCCAACAGGCGAATATTTTCCAGCGCGCGCCCTTGTGTCCTTTGCCGGCATCTTCATGACCGGGCTTGAGTTTGCAAGGGGAGATGATAATCCGAACTGGTGCTTGGTGCTTGGATTAGAAGTGTTGACAGAAGCAGATGGGCGTATCTCAGTCAAAGCAGGTGGTGTCTGAGTACTAAGTAATGAAATCGAAGCTTATGGAACGAGATAAATGTTGGAGGAAAGCTCACAGAAAGCTCTTTGTTGTGGGAAGACATCTGCGCCCGGATCTCCATTATGTCGTCTGCTGTCAAAGGGCTCTTTGTCAACCCCCGATTAGGAAATAACTAGTTACAACTGCCTAAGGCCCTAAGCATCTTTGCTCGCTGACCTAACAGCTGATGAACGAGCAACGTATAAGTCCTGGAAATGCCTATAAAATCCTTCACTTGCTGAGGTACACAGAATTCACTTAGTACTGACAAGAATATACCTTTATACTAGCAGGTTGTTCGCGGTGACAAACGAGCCCTAAACATGGCCTTTCTTCAGGGATTGTGATTGCATAAAACTAATTCTATGCATTGATAGTATATTAAAGTCAGACTCCAGGATTACTCAGACGAAGTGTACCTAGGTAGATAACGTTATATATACCACTACCACATGCATGGAACATTGCTGCTTAACGCTCGTCTGCCTAGGTATGTAGCTTGTATAAACATGTCAATGTGCTTTCCTGGTTGTTCCTATACGCCTAGACGTTGCGAGAAGATACGCATCGGTAACATGTTCTTATACTGTTCCTTAATGGCTAACACAGGAACGAAAAGATATCGAAACAAATCATATTTCTACACTCCTACGCACATACTACTTGTAATATCTGATATCATTGTCATGTAGACCGTAAAGATGGACCGCTATATCCACTTGAGTAAAAGGATATCGCGGTGAGTAAGGGGTCCGAAGGTTCGTCTTCTTTGCGTTAAAATAGGCCCATACCGTGGGGTAATGAATCGGTAACGGCCAGAGTGTAGCAAAGGTCATGCATTTGGTTGTGCATGGGAGAGTGTTTATGAAGAAAAGCGTAAGAGTAAGGAAAAGGAAAAAAAAAATCCAGGCGTTATGAAGGAAGGAAAGTCGTGGCTCATTAGAATTATTTTTGTTCTTTTTTGGTATCGTCATCAATTCACATAATCTAACACAGCTCAGTATTTACACCGAGCTGGTCTGCATTTTTGGGGGAATTCCTTGACAACCACATAATTTATTCCTCGGGAACTTAGAAAAAACCATGTCAGTAACCACTTTGCTATTCCAAAGTTTCAAAAATCGGAAGACTCACTGTCAATTTCTCCAGCCTTGACATCGTCACTGACGTCCTTGGGACTGCGTCCATCGACTTGACATCCTACGCTGAAGGCTGTGCCCAAAATCTCCAAAACGACTCCACGGAGCTCCTTAGCGAGACTGCGGTTGCGCATGATGCGAGCGATCTCAATGATCTCGTCCAGAGGGATAGACTTGGAGTGCTTGATGTTCTTCTCCTTCTTGCGGTCACGGGGAGGCTCCTTCAAGGCCTTGATGACCAGAGAAGAGGCAGAGGGAACGACAGAGACAGCAGCCTGACGGTTCTGGATGGTGAGCTTGACGGTGACACGGAGACCCTTCCAGTCGCCGGTAGCTTTGGCAATATCTTCACCTGTATATGCCGTCAGTACACATGAATGTGAGAGTCCGGGATAGAATGGTTGTCGTACCAATCTTCTTGGGCGAAAGACCAAGAGGACCGACCTTGGGAGCCAATGCAGACTGAGCACCGACTTCACCACCGGTAGCCCTCAGGTGGATAATCTTCACCTCATTGGGGTCGAACTTTGGAGCTATTCACACAAAAGAAATTAGTTTTTCGAATCGCCAGGCAGCAAATGCCACACCGAGGAGATGATACTTACGCATGGCGAGGGTGCGTAAGGTAGTCTATCGTCCTCGGGGAAAGAAGAAAAAGTTCGAGTTGCTTGCAGGAGCAAATACTGCAGGGGAGAATCTCTCTTATAGCCGGGAGAAATTTTGCTGGTTGTGCGCTAGCCGAAGTCACGTGGCCGACCCAGATTGTGGGTAATTTGTCTTGGCGAATAATCAGCGCTAGGACATAAACGGTTAGTGGAATTTACAATCATAGATGATGCTTCAGCCTTCAGTAGTAAACAGCTCCTACAAGGCACCCTAAGTGGTCATTCACTACTTCATCTCCATCGGAAATATTAAAAATAAAAAGAAATTTATCAATCGACTGTATCGTATCGTAAAAAGATGACGGATGAAAGAGACCGCTAAAGGTACACACAGCCACACACACACAGATACATTGCAACTCCAACCTGGTGCTCGTGAAGCCGTCACAAATACACGCGCCCAGTGTTTAGTTAGTGCCTGATACGGCAAGCCTGGTTGATCTGTTAGTATCGTAGTGAAACATGGTGTCTGCGGAAAGTGAAACATACTTCATCAAATGCTCCATGAACGTCTGTAACGACACATCATCGGTGAAAATCGTCTGTGCAGACACGCCACCCCCGTAGCCTCCTGTCGAATGAGTTGTTGAGGGGTTCAGTTTTGACAACAAGAACCGAGCTTGAGATCCGCCTGCATCGCAAATGATGAATCGGGGGAGTGGAAAACGGTCGGCAATAAGTTCCTAACAACGTCATTAGCACATGCCAGTAACCTCAAAGTGATATTGACAAATAAACAAAGGAATAACTTACCCTCGCATCTTCCTTCGGTTGCTCCAAAATGGATCTGAAATTCTCGTAACCTTCTTGGTCCTGGTATCCAGCTTTCCTCCACTCGGCCATGGTCTCTCCGTGGAAAATGAGCAAATGGAAAAAGGTATCGAGGAGGAGGATATGAGTGGGCTGAATAGAGGCAGAGTCTAGCAGCACGGGCTGACTGCCTTCCTGTTCCAAAGAATATGAATCGAGCGTAGGCTGGATCATGATCAAGGAGTTGCTAGTGTCCTCGTGGTTGAGAACATGTCGGTAGAATGCCGTTTCATCCGGAGAATTGTTGAAAACTTGGAGGAACTGACTTCTGCGAAGATGGAACATGAATTGTGGGTAGAGAGTGAAGTTCTTCTCAAGGCGGAATGACGTTGGGTCATCCTTCCTGTAATCGGCAAAGCGTGAGCACAAGCGAATCAGCATACGGTCAACCCATCGCAATACATCTGGCCCATCGTCGACCTCGGCCTTGAAGACAGCAATACGAGACATCAGGACTGCAGCTGCTTCTTGGTCGAAGGACTGCGCAAGAGCTGGGTCACCCGCCGGACCGCTTAAATTCCTAGCAATGGTTGTAACACGTAGGTGGAATTGACCGGAAGAATGCTGATAGTATGTAAGGAACTGCATCATGCCGCGTTGAGGACCCTGCTGAATTGGCGCAGGTCCGCCCTGGTTTGCAATCTCAAAATAGATGCCATAACTGGCAGCAGGGTCAATTCCGCACATCTTCCATGCGCAAGTATTACCGATACCACACTCCGTCTCACCCACGCTTGTAGATTTCTTGTTAAGGGAAATCGCGTGGCCAATAAGGCCTGTGACTTTGAGCTCTCTTGTGGTAAGAACTTCTAGAGACGCATTAAAGCCCATTAGAAGGTTGTCATTCTCGTCCTTGTCGAATACTCGGACGAATGATTGTTTGAATTGAGACGATGTGAAGCTGTCAGTCAACAGCGTGTGACCACCGGTGTAGTTAGCCATATTCTTCATTTCCAGCATGCCAACTTGGTCAAGACAGCCGGCAAATAGGTCAATGACATGACCATTGTGTGCGGCGCGCTTGGCAAGATTGTCATAAAACTATGCCATCCAAAACTTGTCAGTATTTTTATCTCAGAGCAAACAAAGAATTGCGAGAGAAAACCTACCTTGACTGCCTTCTTAAAATATTTAATATTATCCCTATCAATATCATGGTGAGATCGGATAGGCTCCTTCAACTCTGGGCCAACGACAAGACCAGGGCCTTCTGTGGCAGGACCGCTGGTGAAAAGCATAATGCGTCCACCGGCATTTTGAAAAGACGTCTCCAACAACCCAACTCCGACGCTGACGGCGACACCAGTGCACCTTAAAGCTCGCTTGTCATTCGCAACTGGCCAAGGATCGCGCTGCAGCTGTTCAAGGATATTGGTTATCTGGAACTCGGCCTGTTGGACAGGAAGGAGGAAGCGGGCTGCGGGACCCATGGGGGGAGGTGCGCGACCAGGTGGCTGAGGAGCGCCGGGACGAAGGCTAGGAGCTAGCAGCCCAAGCATTTCCTGAACCTGCTTTGCACCATAGTCCTTGTTACCGCGGAAGACATAGGATTTGGCGCACTCTCCGTAGCCTAATTCATGGACTTGCGCCTATACGCCATCATTAGTTTATGCCTTAGGTAGCAAGGTCTAAAATCGGCTCGCGTACCATGGTGCCGTATGTGATCAACCCAACCAGCGCATGTGGTGGCAACAAGGACAAGCTCATGATGAGGGAGTCCTTGACAGCCTGGAGACTGTCATCCTCCTGGCAAGTGTCTACGACATACAGGAAAATAGGGGGGGCGGGGGCGGGCCGGGCCAATCGATACTCGATAGTTGTGCTCTGAGGATGAAGCTCGGGAGGTATAGCATTCTCGGTAATGTCTTTGTAGTGCGGAGGAAGAGGATTGCGCATCTGGCAGAAGGGGCATATCCAGATCCGAGCTCGGACGTCCACGTTGCTAGCTCGGCAAGTCAGCACTATGAGTTGGTTGCGTGATGTTTACCAAGTCAAAAAAAAAAAAAAAAAAAAAAAAAAAAAAAAAAAAAGGTAGCAGGAACATACGCATAAGGATTGAGGACTGCTTTGCAAGGGGCTTTGCAAGTCACTGGTTCGTACTGCAGCAATGGGGTGTCTGTCTTCTCCTTGAGCGGCGTATACACGGCTCCGATGGGGACAACTAAGCGGGACGCTTCCTGCTCGAGACGGTCAACATGGGACAATTCAGAAGGTAGGAGGGTAGCCGTGAAGATGAACTGACCATGCGCGAGCTTGGAAATGTGTTCCAACTGAGCCTGACGCCATCGCGATCCTCGACATCGCTCCACTGGTCCTTCAAGGCCTCGTAGTCCATCTTCTTGATCTCGAGTGGAGCAACAACAACAGAGGAATCGGGGTGAACAAAGGAAAGACAGCGCCTACAAGCACTTGGGAATTATGAAAGAAATGTGACGGTGACGGGGGTACTTTTCAAGCATGAAACATAATCGATGCCTGTGATAGGCAACGCCGCAGCGGTGTGATTGACAGGGTGAGCTTCGATCAACCGGAGGGGTGGTTCTGTTGTGGGCATTGAAGCCAGGTTGCAGCATCTGTGGTGCCTGCCGTCTGCCGCACCCCATTGTTGCCGCTAGCCGCGACCTCCACATAATAATGTATTTTTTTTTTTCCCTTCCCTTTTTCCTTTTCTTTTCTTCTCTTTTATCAACCATCGCCGACAACACAATTCACATTACTGTCGACAGCCTCTGCCAATTCGATGGCGAGCCTGTTTTCGCGTCGCGCGTAGACCAAGTTAACCCATGGCTGGGCACCTGGCTTGGAAAGGTCGTTCCGATCCTTTTTGATGATTTGGGAATCAGCAGAGGTTACATACAATTGGCACTTGTCGGATTTTATTTTCTCTTGTATAGTGGAAGAAACGCTGTCCTGCATTTACTCGATCATTAAAACTTGCATACACAATATATGTCATAAAAAGCCCTGTCCTCCTGTTCCGTTACGCCCATTTCTCATGCTACTATGTACGAAATTGTATCAGAAGAATTTATACTCAATCCTTAGACGGCTTGCCAGAGTATTTGAGCATGTAGCTCCGCTTGAAATAAGTGTTTGGGTGAACGATGGTATCCAGGTCGGTCTGGTTCCAAGAGCCATCTTCTTTGACTCTCTTGATATCAGCCTTGTGTGTCCACTCGAAGACTCTATTGCAAGCAATGTGGTATCTTTGCTTCTCCACGTCTTCGCGCACGCCATGCAGGAGATCTTTATCGTGGACTCCGGTAGATTGGAGGAGGGCGGTAAGGTTGTCAACGGAAAAATGCCGGTATGGACATCCATGAGTTTGGCCTGTGCTTGGTGCGCTTTCAGACAGGATCCTCTGGCAAGAGTACGGTGGATAGCCTCTACCCCGACGGTTCGAATCACCTCCAACGTCCCCGTACGCGTGGCGAACATTGTATTTGTATTTCGAGTTGAACTCGTCGTCGGTAAATCCCTTGAATGATTGACGCCAGAATAAGATACATTCGTCCAAACTTAGACCAATGCCTTTCAAAAAGAGCGTATATTGCAGACGACCAAAATGTTTCAAGTGATTGTTCTTTCGGAGGGTCATGTGTAGGCTGCGCATACATAGAGGGAAATGTTGCGATAGAGGATCGATCGATGCTGCGGTGATCGCAGCGCCGTCGACAACACCTTCACCTTCGGAGTACGCCGACTCCGCGCTTCCAAAGTTTTTAGACAGGTGATTCAAAATAGGAGTCAGACGGTCATCCTCGTCCAGTCGAGGCAACGCACGGCTTGTTAACTATATCACCTTTAGCGTCAGAAGACTGTCAAGGAGAGGAAGGGAATGGGAGGGAAAAAAATGTTTCTTCTTACCTCCATGGCTTTCTCTAGACGCGCAGTAAAATCAGCGATAATCATACTGAGTTGCTCCCTCTGGGGAACGTAGGCTTTTCCTTTCCGTATCAAGACTGCTCGACGTTCGACCAGTTCAGGGACTTTCTCCCAATCAACCTTATACCAAGCTTCATCGTCAGCACGGCGTAAGCCTGGTGTGGAAGTGACAAGTTGCTCTGCAAATTCCGATTTCTCTTTGTCGCTCACAGGCTCCCAGTCGAGGTTGAGGCTTTCGATGAAAAGACGCCTTTCTTTGCTATCGTCTTTCTGGAATCGGAATCTGAACAACATCGTCTCGGCGCGCACGAAGCGGCGGCGAAGTTCCTCGGTTGCTGAAAACGCAAGTCGCAGTATGAAGTGAGAGTAATGGTCCTTTTGCCGCTCATTTTTTAACTGCTGGTTGACGACGCCAGAGGCTGCTGATGAGTTGGATGATAGGGGAAGATATTTTTTAAGGAGTGGGGTGATGTGAGCTTCCGTTTCTTGCGGTGATTTATTGCGGTATGAACAGGCCTCGATTTCAGCGAGCACTACACAGCCGGAACGGTGAGACAGTATGATCGAGGCTGCAGGAAGACGGTGCGAGGATTACCTTTCAATCTGTCAATTGCCCACTGCTCAAACTCCTCGAGCGTGATCTCTGCAGCGGGAGGCACGTCGTAGAAATTGAGACGGTGCGGATAGTCCTGCTGCTTATAGGAGGGCGTCGCGAACTGCTTCTTTTTGGGGTCGAGAATCGCCCTTCGTTTAGGGTCAATTCGCTGAAAGTCCTGTCGGATCATCGTGAGACCACGCAAGTGAGCGAATGTATGTGCTCGATAAGAGGCGCAATGCAGTGAAAAGACGACGACAGGATAAGAATTCAAGTACTTCGTGAGGAGTGATTGACGCGCCGACGACGCGTCCCGCCAGAACGGGTAGTATTACATTGGCAGCCAATCAGAGGCTCGCCCCGTGCTCCTGGATTAGGTAAGGAGCTGAAGAGCGCTACTAGTCCGCAAGTGGCTAGTGGCAGTCACGGGACCTCGGAGTTTACTGCGAATTTGCGATCAACAAAAGAAATCGTGGCTCTGCCCGAAACCGAATTTACAATTTACTGGAATTGACCACAAGGCAATGAAGAAATAGTCCTGCGGACGATGAATTCGTATGGCGTAGTATAGTACGGAGTAGAATGTCCTTAAATCCGCCGTATATCGATCCATCCTCAACGCTTATCTTAGCCTCAGGCCACCGCTAGGGGACCGGCGCCCGCTCACCGAGACGCCCAACTGATCGATGAACTAGTTCGTTATACCTATGCTGTGGATTTAATAATATCCATCCCAATCACTGCGGTCGTGATGTAGTGTCCCTAGTCTTCACATGTCTGCTTTCGCTCTGCCGGCTTTCTCAGTATTGAATAGAAAGGTACCTTTCACATGCGCACAACCCGCTTGTTGCTTGTGATTTCTCCCGCCTTTAAAAGCGCCGAGCATCTGCGGCGCGGCATCGCATCATTATTATTGTTATTATTATTATTATTATTATCTTGTCTGTCTTCCATTGAAAAAACCTCGTTGTTAGCCGGTCTCTCATGACGCCTGCCACAAAGCGGCTCAAGAAAGCTGCTCGCATTATTCTCATCGGAGCCCCCGGCGTGGGAAAAGGTACACAGACCGAACGGCTGCTCTCGCGGTTTCCGCAGCTGGCTGCCATCAGCTCGGGGGACTTGTTGCGCGAAAATGTTCGGAAGAGGACTACGCTAGGTAGGCAGCAAGAAAGATCGCACTCGTGCCACTCGTCCATTCTCGGTCTAACGATCAATAAATATACATATAGGCCTTCAGGCCGAAGCTCTCATCCAAGCCGGGAGTCTAGTACCGGATGCTGTCATGCTTGATCTGATCTCTTCGGAGCTGGCTGTCAAAGGCTGGCTTACGCCCTCTGAATCTACGCCATCTTCTTCTCCTGCCCACGCCTCTTCCATCTCCTCGTCGTCGTCCCGTCCAAATACAATAATGCCGTCGGCATCGTTCATCCTAGACGGCTTTCCACGAACAGCAGTACAAGCCTCGAGCCTAGATCGAATACTGCCCATCAACTTCGTCGTACATCTCTTCACACCACCATCCGTCATCATATCGCGAATAACGAAGCGCTGGGTTCATGCACCTTCGGGACGAGTGTACAACACTGAATTCAACCCTCCAAAGGTCGAGGGCAAGGATGACGTTACGGGAGAAGCGTTAACGCAACGCGCTGATGACTCTATAGACACTTGGAAGCAGCGGCTGGAGAAATTTGAGGAGTCCAGCAAAGCACTCATTGAGCATTATGACAGACAGGGCTGTCTTTGGCGGGTGGAAGGAAACTCGAGCGATGAAATCAGCCCCAAGCTCTTTGCGGAAATTGAGCGGAGATTTGCCTGAGGCTAATCCTTTGCTCTTTTTTCTTATTGTAAATATACCTACCTACCTACCTACCTATCTGCTAGTTTGGGATCTTATTATGCACGATGTTCTACAATATAATCTACCTCATTACCATGGAAGCTATGCGGAATGCGCGGCGATCTTTTCATATTTTACCTAACATCACAATCTAACCTATATCACATAATCATTTCAAGTCATACTCGTAAATTCCACTCTTATTTACTGCTGCTTCTTAGCACGAGAAGAAGTGAAAATATTGCTCAGCAGCGAAGCCAGGAAACCAGGCCTCTTTTTCGTTGAAGGCAACTTTGGAGATATTTCCAAAGGCTTTTCCAGCCCCATTCGAGTCTTGTACTCTCGCGGACTTTCAAAATCGACTCCACCATGACGCCAAAAGTCCTTCCACAGCCCCTGTCTCCAAGCCTTGGCCTGCTGCTCTGCCTGGCGGTATCTGAGTTCATGTTCCTTGCTACCAAATTCGGCCCCGGATTTAGCTTCGTAGACTGTGGCTAGACCGCGCTTCAGCATTTCGTACGAAACGTCCCGTCGCCGGAGCGGTGGAAAGTCTAGCCATCGCCGTACGTATACAGTCGCAATCACGCGCTTGTATTGATCGGGTCGGTGCACGTATGCGCGCACCCGTCGGTTCAGCAGATAAGATGTAAGCCACATGTGTGCTTCGTGAGCAAACGGTTGGGCAGGACGGCCGAAATGAGCGAGCTCCGGAGCATCGACGCCCGCAAGGCGGATATGAACCTGATATTTCCAGGCAGAGTTTCAGTTAGCTTCTTGAACGGTTATCGCACCCGCTTTGAAAGAAAATAAAAAACATACAGTCCGGTCTTTCAATTCTTTCCTGGACGTCGGCACCTTCATCCATGGCAGCCAACCCCATCCAACCAATCTGCCCCCAGGCGTATGGTAAATCCTGAAATTGTCCCCATCGCCCACACTCGTAACGCGTCCCAGGAGGGATCTTTGGCGGAAGTAGGAAGAGGCAATGTCTGTAGCCTCAGGGAAGCGGCGAAGGTAACGGCGGTGGATGTGAACGACGAATAGAATGCCGCCCGTGAGGAGCAGGGTTGGGATCAAATTCCGCGGCTCTTTGAATTGGCTCCAGTCGAATGCATTGAGACTTGAGTTCCAATCTGTGGCCTGCTTTGAGGATGTCGTGGAAGGCGGGGGTACGAGTTGTTCGTGTGTCTTGTTGTGGTGATGGTAGTTGCTGTTGTTACTGTCAGGTGGATGATGGCGCGAGTCATTGCGAGTATCCTCTGGATCTGACCTGGACCCAGACGGCGACCACAACCACCATCCCATGCCAGACTTGAGGCCGTTGAGTGCGGGGTGTGAAGGTGGACGTTGGAGAAACGCGCGGAGGTCAGGAAGTTGAGAGGCACGGGGCCTTGGCGGTTTCCGGCCTGTGAATTCAGGCTCCTACCATGGTGTATTATGTTGTAGATAGATTTATTATGCAGGCTGTTTAGTTACTGGAAAGGGGCCTTGATTAGATAATAGCAGGTAGGTTCTGGATATAATTCCATGCGAATCATGTTAAATACGAATTGTATGGAAGCCGCAGAGCTTCTGCATGAGGTTATATATTTCCTTATCATCCCCGATAACCATTCAGACTGCGTATAACAATCACAACCAAATATCTTAGCACGTTGTTGGGAAGTAGACACCAAAAAAGAAACGACTGATACCAACGTTAGGACATAGAATATCGCCAACACCGCATTCCGCTTCCTCTTCCTCTATTCAGTGCGAGGCGATTTGCACATGCCCGTGAGGCGCAATAGCAGACATAGCCTGCGTAGCATAGGAGCCAGAATAGATTCAAATTGGTTGAGTTAAATGTGATATACAAAGGGCAGGTTGTTCTTTAGAAACCTCAGTAATCCGAGAAGTTTAATACACGGACAATATAGCAAAAAATAGAAAGAGGCGGCATTATAAAAAGAAGTTTGGTGTGAGGTCTCACTGGGAAAAACCCAGGCGTCAGAAATCAGAATTCTGTAGCATAGCCACCAGATAATGAATCCCCTCTTCGGAGACCTCAACTTTTCATTGCTGTATAAGCCTGAATTCCAAACCGTCTCGTGGCCCTGGTTGGTCGTACATCAGGCTAGCAATAGCCATAAGATTTACAGTATAAGACGCTCTACGAAATCCTCGAGAGCTCAATCGGTCAAGGGCCGAAAGAGAGTCGCTCTCCGCCAGAGAAAAGGCCTTTTTAGCAGCGTAGAGCTAGCTGTTGACGAACCATCATAATACACTCAAAACTAGGACACGGTTATCGATAGCATCAGCTATCGACGGAATGCAGCGAATATAAGCATTTCTTGAATCTTCAAAACTAAAAGATCATTATAAGCCTTTACCACTCACCTCAGAATTTCTTTGCGGTAGCCTTTCACGGGAGAAGATAGACCACGTCAATGTCTCGAGCGCATTGGATTTCGAGATATTGTATGAAAACAAAAGTTTTGTCGACAAGACGGCTCTTTGATACAAGACCTAAACGTGGAAAGTTTCCCATGACAGAAACTCGCGCCCGCTGACAATGTCGCGATTCTTCCTCTAGACGTTTCTTGATACAGTTCCTTCAAAAGCTTGAAAATGAGAAACATGTTGCTTGTTGTCGTAAGAAACCTGCTAGCAACGACAACAAGTTTTAATCTTGTTTGACCCCAACCTTTCCCACCCGTCGAAGACCAAGCGAGCTCGCAAAGCACACCAAGACCATGCCAGCGAAGATCGTCCAGTACGCCGCGCGATAACCCTGCAGCAGAAGAACCTCCTTTGAAGAGGAAGAGCCATCTTGCTCCTTATGGTCGGTGACCGATGCTGCAATGGCAGCGGTGATGGCCAGTCCGACGGAATTGCCTAATTGGGAGATGGTGTTGAACACGCCACCTGCGAGTGCCTGGGAGTCACCCGGAAATGAGCGGGATATCACAAGGCTGGAGACGGTCCAAAGCACTGTGTCCTGTTAGTAAAGCTCCTTTTTTTTTTTTTTTTTTTTTTCAGTTTGTATTTTTCAATCGGAGATGCAAGACTCACCATCGCCATTGAGTGGACTTAGCATCATCGCAATAAAGGGCGCAGTCCAGTATGCCCAGGCGGGATTGGCGAGAGCCATCAGGATAGGCGAGACAGCGGTGATGAGCGCAGAGATACCTAGAAGAACGTTGACGTTGACCCTTGTGACCAAATACGCGGTAGCAGAGTTGGTGAGGACCCCAACCACTGCCATTGGTAGGAAGCGGATTGATGCCTGGAGAGGGGATAGATTTTGAACATCTTGAAAGCTATAGACAAGGGTTAGCTCCTATGTAGCATTGATCAGATGGGGAGAACAAACTAGAGAGTACTCTGGTACTGGAAGGCGTTGAAGGCGGCCCACGTGAAGAACATGGAAACGCATATAGCAAGGAAAGGAACATTTTTCCATAGAGAGTTAGGAATCAATGCAGCCTTTCCACGTCTTTCCTGTCGGCCCACCCAGAATGAGAAGGCGGGAAGTAATGCAACCGAACCAATCAGCAAGACAATGTTCTGCGCGTCGCTCATGTTGGAGTAATTCATGGTGATCATCGCCAAAACATAGGACAAGAGACCCAGCGAAACCGACAGGATGATCACCCCGACCCAGTCAATCTGACGTAAAAGGCGACGGGTTGAAAAAGAAGATGCCTTGGTGTTGGAGGGCAATAGGAATATCGAGGCAACGAAAAGAAAGAAGTTGATGATTGCCGTGATATAGAAGGCCCAGCGCCAGCCGATGGTATCAGTCAAGACACCGCCGAGGACCAGTCCCACGGCATATCCCAGCGGTTGGCCCATGCCGGTCACCGCAAACGCGATATTGCGCTTCGGGCCCGGAGGGAATGAGGTGGTGACGAGGCTGATGGACGTGGGCAGACACATGGCCACGAAAAGGCCCAGCATAGCTCGAAAGGCAATGAACTCGGGCCCTGTGCGAGCCAGTCCACAGGCCAGTATCCACAGGCACGAAACACCGCTGCCGAGAAGCCACATGGGCTTGGAGCCCACGATGTCGGCCACCGCGCCAAACGCCAAAAGAGTGCATCCGGCGGCCAGGGAATACACGGATGCGGGCCAGAAGATCAAATTGCTGTCCAGGTTGATGTCCGAGGCAATATGGGGAAGAGCAGTAGTCAGGATGCCGGAGCCAGACACGCTGATGAATGTCACGCCTGTCAGGACGAGGATGATGCTGGCGGCTTCCAGCGTGGTCGTGTTGGCTGCGCCCTCTGCGGGTGCTGGCCGCGCAGAGGGAGCCAGAGGGATGGCATCCGCATGGTTTTCTATTTCCAATGGTGTTGTGATCGTAGTGGTGTTTGCCATATCTCCTGGCTGTTCGTGGGAGAATTGCAATCTGGCCGCAAAAACAGATTTGTTGATCAGATCACGAGACCGTACTCTACAGCTCTGCTAGCGTCACATACAGTATAGCTCGACACTAGTTAGTCTAATCTACTTTGATTTAAAAAACATATAATATTGGCTAGGTACGTATAATATTGAAATATCATTAAGAATAATTTTATTTACACCTCTTCACGTGGTGTGATGGCGTGCAAATTTGCAGTCGGCGCGAGGAATATGTATTCAGTCGATGCGAATAACGACTTTACCAGTCATCTTCCCCGACTGTGCATACTCAAATGCCTCCTTGGCCTGCTCAAACGTCCAGATCTTCTCGTCTACGACAGGGCGAATATCATTCGCCTCAATCGCACGATTCATATCCTCAAATTGGTCGCGATTGCCCACCGTCACACGCCTCACCTCGCCCATTGTCTTCCGCATATCAAATATCGACCCTCCAGAGCCACCGTCGCCTCCTATAATCACAATCTGGCCATTAAGTTTCAACGCTGCGGCGCTCTGTTCCCCGGCGCCTGACACTTCGACGATGAAGTCCACTCCTCGGCCGCCCGTGGCCGCTTTCACTTGCTTCCCCCAGTCGGCATCGCGGTAGCTCAGCACTGTGTTCGCTCCGAGCAGTCTGAGCTGTCTTTCGCGCTCTCCGCCTAGCTGGCCCGTCGTCGCGATGACCGTCGCGCCGGCGGCCTTTGCAAACTGGATCGCGAATAGACTCACCCCCCCGCTGCCTTGCGTAAGAACGGCATCTCCTGGTTTGAGACTCTTGTGGCCGCAGAATAGTGCATTCCACGCAGTCAGAGCCGCACAGGGAAGAGTACTCGCTTGTACGAAGCTGCAGTTTGATGGCGCAGCTACAAGATCATCCTCGTGGAACACGGCATACTGCCGAAGCAACCCGTCAAAGTGTGCCCCGATTTGGGACATTTGGGACAGGGAGGCCAGTTCACCGCTTAGCCATCGTCGGTGAAACGTCGCAGCTACGTGTGCTCCAGGCTTGAAACGTGAGACGGCCTCGCCGATGGCAAGGACTGAGCCCGCTCCATCAGAGAGCGGCACGACGCCAGGCGTCGTGCCCCAGAGATATGTATTCTAGCAAAGGGTCAGTCAGTAGAAGCGCGCCATTTAGGGAACGAAATCGAAGAGCAAAAGGAGAAAGCACATCGAGGACTTGGGTATCTCGCGAGTTCACCGCTACGGCGTGTATCTTCACAAGCACATCGTGTGCGCCGAGCGGTGGCAGCGGCACGTCGTGCTTCAGCCTGAGCCCGGACGGTCCAGTGCTGGTTTCGATGACCCATTGGGAGGTGGTAGAAGGTATCGCAGCCATGTTAGTCGATCTGATCCAGAGCTGCCAAGGAGGTACTCTCTCGTTTTATCTTGCCCTGTGGATTAGTAATGCTGGCAGCCATTTCGAGATTCGACGTCAGATTTGGTATTGTGCGAATTGGATAATTTGCGAACAAAAATCTTTGTAAAACCTACACGCAGTGCCTAACTGCCAATAATGAGGAAAGGAAGTATGGGGAGTTGGGCTCATTTTTATAAGCAAGATAAGCACTAACTACGCTGGCGCTTGCGGATGATAATCTCGCCGGCGGTTGGAGAGCCATACATAGATAGTATGCATCAGTGACTGCGTGGGCTAAAAAGCTACTTTACCATGCAAGATAAACAGCTATGCAATGCAAAAGATGATTAATTCTATTGTTAGGAACATCCGCACCCAAAGTCCAAAATACAACAAGCCCTATCGTAATTTATGTGCTGCGGCATATCTACATTAAACCTCTAGAGATGCAAGAGACGACAGTCGAAATCAGAGTCATTGTCTCATAACAATACAAATCATTTAAGCGTCACTGGAAGACTCGTCTTGGCGGTTGTGGCAGCCTTCTCCGCATACTTCTTCAATCTCTCATCTTTGAGCTTGCGCACAAAGGCGAAGAACAGAGTGAACAAAAGCTCCATTCTGCATGGCTCATTCATTAGCATTTGTCCGGGGCGGCAAGTAGAGATCATCTTACCGTTCTTTCGTCATCATGAGCAGACCTTGAACAAGCAGACCTTTGAGTACCTGAGGACCGATGCCCTTGAAAAGAGCCAATGGGCCCTCATGCTCAATTATAAATTGCATCACTTCAATGAAGCCCTTAAACGGCTTTCCCTGTCGAGCCGGGGGAGGCTTGGATTGTAAACCGACCTTGGCAACTATCAATGGCTGTGTTGCAAGAGTTGCCAACGCCTTGGACATTGCTCCCAGCACTGAAAATATCTCCGTTAGCGTTGTGTACTAAACCTAAAGCCGAATGAAGACAATAATAATCCTCACCAAATGCTTCCCATGGGCGCAGGTTTGTTTTCCCGGGAAACAGGATATCCTTGAGCCTTTGATATGCCCCATATGTAATAGCAGGATTGACGACCAGAACCAAGCTTGCTTTCAAGCCTCTCCACAGTCCAGGCCAGCCGTCCTCGCCATGGACAACTTCTTGAGCAGTTTCCAAAAGGCCCTTCTTATCTTCTTTTGTCTGTGTTTGTTGACGCGTCGTCACAACTGATACCGGTATGGTGAATATCTGCGCAATGGCGCCAGCCACAGCACCCAGTGAGAGCTCGATAGCCGTTCCCGGTTGCTTCGAAGCACGGCTGGACGACATATATATAGCGCGGACAATTGAATACCAGTAGAAATATGCAAAGTTGGTCGATGCGACTCCTATGAGGGCGCCGTTAATGCCGCTGTACAGACCACCCACGCCTTCCGCCTGAACGATCTTGTGGATAGCGTCTAACGTGGAATCATAATGAGGTGTAGCTTGCGAAACGGCGTCGTTCGTCTCCTTTCGACTCTTCACTTGAACCTGGATCTTCGTTTTAACACTATATAAAAAACAAACCACGCCATTATCAGAATCATAGAGAGAATAGAGGGTGGAGCGGAGCGGAGCGGCACTCACATGTCGAGGGGATAAACCATGGCATTGGCGAGAACGGCGCCAGTTGCACCTGCAAGGGCGCTTCCCCAGGGGGAGAGACGCACTTGCTTTGACTGTCCGGCCATGGAAATCGATGAATACAGAAGAACAAAAAAGGGGCGTGCGTGCTCGGAGTGGTTTATGTAGAGCAATATATTGCGCGTGGTCTCGGAACACGGCTGAACAAGACTGCGGCCTAAAGAATCCTTGCCAGAAGGGGATCAGACAGATACAGCAGTCATTGCGTATGCAAAGCAAGGCCGATGTTCGAATCAACAACGAGGAACATCGGGAGAGCAGAGGAAGAGGCAGCGGATTAGCCGGTGGACGGCCATGCAGCTCCAGCCGAGGTAAGACGAAGCTCCGGATTGATTGACCGCGGCGACTTTTGTATGGCAACCCCCGCTATGCCTGTTGCGCACTAGCGTCTTTTGTCCGCTATCAGACTCGGTATCGCCTTGACATGCGCAACCTCTCACAAGCTACTCTAGGTAAACAAATCGACATAGTCAACACTTCACCCGCCTGACTGATATCCAGAGCTGCATGTCATGCGCGTTGACATGTACAACGATCCTGCACGCATCCTCCATTCCGTCGAGGTGGCCTACTGTGCACAGACAGTGACAAGCTGAAGAAGCCATGCCGGATTCTTCTTCTTCAAACACCCACCTAAATAAAGCTCTGGTACCATCTGTCTAATCTGTTATTGCTTCGACCATTCCAGCACATAATGGCTGATCGCTCACATCATCGCAGGGTTATGAGCGCCTAGTGTCTGGAGCAGGGTCCCAACCCCAAGCGCTGGAAGCTGCAATTGCCGCGGCTGAGAACTACATGAAAGCGCTGAAAATAGCCGAATCGCCCCGGGAAAAGCAATGGCTGGATTCAAAATGTAAAGACTGGCTGTCTCGTGCGGAGAGGATCAAACATGACAAGGGTTGGAAACCGTCTAGCTCTACGACCGAGAACATTGTGCTTAGAGAGCCGGTGTCTAAGAGGAAACTCTCGACGAGAGAGGAAATTATTATCTTGGAGAGTGCGAAATTGAACGGGTTCCTGTTTCCACCTTGGACTGAAGCTCCCGGCCCTCAGGAATTCGAATTGAATAGCGATGGAGAGAAGTTCGAGTGAGTGAATTTTTATTTTCCGGCAGATATTTTATAGAAGATCGATTCTGATTTTCCGACAGGGACAAGGCTCTCAGGCTCTCTATTGCTCAGAGAAAGGTCTTCAATGGGTGGAAACGCCCCGAAGAGCTCGTCACTGATTTTGCTTCTGATGAATCAAGGAGTACTGCGACAAAGGACCTCGTACAAGATATTACCACAGACTGCTCTGTGGTAGCAAGTCTTTGTGCAGCGACCGCCAGAACAGAACGCGGCAATAACAGCGTACGTTTTGCTCCATGCTCGTGTGCATACGTTACGTGTACGCTAGTGTGCATAATACTAAGTCTGTCCAGCTATTTCGATCTGTGATATTCCCATATGACTACACCAGGAATCTTCCACGGATTTCGCAATCCGGCAAATACATGTTCAGATTTTATTTCAACGGTTGCTACAGAAAAGTAGTTATTGACGATCGACTCCCCTCGTCCAAAACGGCACGATCTCTTTTTGTGATTGACCGAAACAACTCGGACGAACTGTGGCCGGCTTTCGTTGAAAAGGCGTACCTAAAACTCCGCGGCGGCTATGACTTTCCAGGAAGCAACTCCGGTACGGATTTGTGGGTTCTCACTGGCTGGATCCCGGAGCAAATATTCCTGCATCACGAAGATGTAGCGCCGGACCAACTCTGGAGACGAATTCTCGGCGCTTTTCGATACGGGGATGTCATCTTGACGTTGGGCACGGGAGAATTGAATGAACGTGAAGAGCGCCTTCAGCGTCTTATTAGCCGGCATGACTATGCAGTTCTTGATCTGAACGAAACAGATGGGTATCGCCAACTGCTCATAAAGAACCCCTGGGCTGACTCCAGCTCTGTGACTCCGCATAACTATGGTCGAAGCAGTAATAATGGAAACAGCAGAGGTAATTGCAGCCAGCCCCAGTCATCCAGCCATCCTCTTTTACCTGGTTCTTTCTGGATGGATTACGATCAAATCTTTCAGAATTTCGACAACATGTACCTCAACTGGAACCCAGGCCTCTTTACAACACGGCAAGATATTCACTTTACGTGGGATTTGGCGAAATCTCATCTAGATGAACACTGTTTTGCCGACAGCCCCCAATTCTCGGTCTCAACGGTGGCCGGAGGTCCCGTCTGGCTGCTTCTCAGCAAGCATTTCCGAAGCATAAATACGAATGCGAATGCGAACAATACCGAGTCGGGCTTCATCAGCCTTTACGTGTTAAAGAAAGACGGACGACGCGTGTTCATCAGCGACAACGCTTATTACCGCGGGCCCTTTGTAGATTCCCCCAATACGCTGGCCAGAATCGATATGGAGGCGAACTCGACATATACAGTCGTTGTAGCTGAACAGTCACTACCATTGACAGCACAGAACTTTACGCTTTCTGCCTTTTCCAGGAATGAAGTCACACTTAGACCTGCCGTGGACAAATTCGTACATACTCGTCAAGTCGAAGGGGAATGGAGGAGTCCTATTACCGCAGGCGGGAATACGGAATCACCCAGATACCCGTCTAATCCACAGTATGCTCTGCAGGTGACGGACACGGCGGATGTATTGATACTACTGGAAACATCGAATGCAGACCTGGCCATTCACACAAAGCTATTCTGGTCCGATGGCAAGCGCGTCTCTACGGTGAAGAAGCGTGACATTATCGCGGATAGCGGGCATTATCGCCCTGGGTGCGTTGTGGCTGAGACAGAGCAGCTACGCGCCGGTTCATACACCGTGGTATGCTCCACGTTTCTTCCCGACCAAGTTGCAAAGTTCAATCTTTGGGTTTTCGCAACACGGAAATGCCATGTGAAAGCGCTCCCGTCCGAGACCGCAGGCAGACTGGCCGTCATCTCCGATGTTGGCATGCTACTTCCCGGCACGGATCGGATTCTGGCGCCACTGAAAGTGTCGCGTCTCACGAGGCTGAAATTGATTGCGCGTAGTCGGAATTCTAGCATTGGCACTCGCCACGTCACTGCTTCCCCGATGCTTATGACTGTTGAACTTGGGCAAGGGCCGTACAAGGAGATTCTGGCGTCGTCTGATGAGAATGGGGAATATAGCGATGCGATTGCGGGGATTAGAGTGCCTGATTTCGATGCGCGGCCGGAGTATGTAGCGAATGGGGGCATTTGGATTGTTATCGAACGGATTGCGGGAGCTGGTGGGCAGGTCACTGACTGCGTGGACGTCGAAGCTCTCGGCGAGGAACGAGTTGAAATTGGGGAGTGGATCACTTAGGCGCGGGTCTTCAGTATGTAGTAGTAAACTCCTGTCAAGCCATAATCTGGACATATGCTTGAAGTGACATTTTCTGAACATTCACTATGTAATTCTCGACTGCAAAAAAAAAAAAAAAAAAGAAAAAGAAAAGAAGAGCATACTCGCTTAGATATTTTCGCAGAAAGGTATCAGTAAGTAATGATAAAAAGAAGTTAAAAGAAAAGGAAATCCTATTCAGCCCCCAGATGTCGCAGCGCAATCTTCAGTTCTTTAATAGCCGTATTCACATCATCGAAACTCAAAGCAGACACGGCCCATCGGGCGTGCTTCTGAGCCTGTGTGATTGACTGGTCGTCGGCATTGATATCATAAGCAGACGGCTGAGATGGAATTGTAGATGGAGCAGTAGTCACGGGAGGTGTTGCTTTTGCAAGTACGGGCTTTGTAGGTTGCTGGGAGGGATCGGGGGGGGCGTTTGACATTTGCACAACTGCAGGAGGAGGGAAAGACTGGAAGGCGGCTGACGGATCAGTGAAAGTTTGTGGTGTATCAGGAAGAACTGAAGGGGTTGATGGAAGGGTCAAGTCGGAGGGAGCTGATGGGAGCTCTGGGGGAGGTGGTGCAGCGTCTTCGGCGGCCTTGGCAGGGGGCAGTGATGATGATCGTGATGGATGAAGGGATTCGTCCAGTATCGATTGCTGGGCAAGACTGCGCTGGATACGGTCCGAGTCATCGGGGACTTCTTCCACCGAGGGCTGGCGTTCTTTTTGTTGGGAAGGTAGTGATGTGCCTTCAAGAGCGCGGACTTCGGGGTCGTCTGGATTAAGGGCCAGCCCTCCTTCAACACCCTCCTCCGTCTCAGGTTCCTCTCCAGGATTTGATAGGTTTGGGTCCTCCCCGTTCTTGATAGCTTTGGCAATTCGAATAGCGTGGTATTTGGCAAATTTAATCTTGGATGCGATTTCGGCATCGACTTGGCCCCATATCTGACAGAGTTCCAGAAACGTGGCCGCCGCGAGGAATGTGTCTGCGGTTTGTCTGTTGGACGAGTAGCGCTGTCAGCGACCAACCCTCCGAGAAGATGCAGGGCACGCTTACTTTGAAGCCTTATTGGCGCGAACTGCGTTATCGGCTCTACTAAAGACCTCGAGGCCAAATTGCTCCACATAAGCCTGGCCAGCGACATTATCCATTACCGCGTCATTCTCCGAGTTTTCGGTTTTAAACTGTTGCGTGTTATATCCCGACGCAGTTAGTCCTGAGCTTCCCACAATCCTAGGTCGCGCGCGGGGGCACTGCGTACTCGTTCCAGCTTGTCCATCAGATTCGTCGTAAACCCAATTGACTCCTCACTGGCATTGTGAAGGCCCTTGGATATGATCTGGTTCACGACCCAGTAGTTGCCTGCAATTCGATGTGCGCATCGATTAGCTGGGGTTTGAGGCAGAGCGAGGCAGCAGAGATAACGAACACCAATATGCAATCACGGGCTTTGCGCGCTCGATTTGCGCGGCGCGAGTGACAAAGCGCGCGATGTCAGCAGACTTTAAGCTGTCGGGAACAGTGGCCGCCATGCTGTATAGAATGCGAATCAGACGTTGTGGCGTGAAGTCGTTGAAGTGGAAGTGGAGGTGGAGGTGGAAGTTGAAGTTGGCGGGAGAAGTTCAGAAGGAGCTGCTTTGGGGTGTGGGGTTGCCCGATGACGTTTCCCTACAGCTTCCCCTAATAATTCTCAGTCAGCCCACAACTACCTTGGAGCAATCACTGCTGAAGGCAAAATCTCTAGTTAGGGGCACTCTGGCATAGGGTTACAATCATGAAATCTCACTCGTGCATAAAAGCCGCGCGGAGGCAGCGCGTTCCGTACTCGATGCATTCCACGATGGGCAGGATGTGCAGCATAACTCCCCGGAGAGCGATCCTCCCGGCTGCTTGAAGTTATATATTGGGGCCTGCTTTTCAATATGATGTACAATTATTACAGTTACTAGCCAGGAGCTCAGCTGCGACGTCCCCTGGTATCGACTAGAGAGGTTACTGAAGTCATGTCTATCAACGAAGCAGGGCCACCACCGAGAAAGGCGGAGGAGAAGGAGGAGAAAGTAGCCCTCACGGCCGAGGAGCCCAAGTATCCTCCCCTGGCAGAGACTCTCTTGATCATGCTGGCATTGTACATGTCTATGTTTCTCGTCGCCTTGGTATGTTTGAACTGGCCGTCAATCCATTGCCATTGCTGACTCGCTTTTGCAAAATGTATCAGGATCGCCTCATCGTGGCCACTGCAACCCCCCAGATCACCGACCACTTCCACAGCACAAACGATATTGGCTGGTACGGAAGCGCGTACATGTTGACCGCGTCGGCGTCGCAACTTGTCTATGGCCGACTGTACACCTTCTACCCGGCAAAATGGGTGTTTCTGTTCTCCATCTTCGTCTTCGAGGCTGGCTCTGCCGTCTGCGGCGCGGCGCCTACCTCGGTGGCTCTCATTATCGGCCGTGCCATCGCCGGCGTGGGATCGGGTGGTATTAGCTCTGGTATCGTTCTTATCATTGTCCTCATAGTACCGTTGCGGCAACGACCGGCTTTCCAAGGCTTTGCCGGTGCCATTTTTGGCATTGCTTCGGTGCTGGGTCCCGTGCTGGGAGGAATCTTCACTACCGAGGTCAGCTGGAGATGGTGCTTTTATATCAACCTGCCCTTTGGAGGCGCTGCGATGCTGGCTATTTTCTTCTTGCTCGACGTGCCGCCACCGCGCAATGGGAACTGGTCGCTCAAGCAAAAGCTTCTTCAGTTGGATCCTGTGGGGAACTTGTTTCTCATGCCTAGCGTCGTTTGCTTGATCCTCGCGCTGGAATGGGGAGGTACGACGTACAGCTGGGCCAACTGGCGGATTATTTTCCTTTTCGTTCTGTTTGGCGGTTTGTTTGCTATCTTTGTATATGTCGAGATATGCAGACAGGAAGATGCGCTCGTGCCTCCGCGCATTTTCAAGCAGCGGTCGGTGCTAGCTGGGATTGTGTGGACTATGTGCACCAGCGCAGGCATGATGGTCATGCTGTACTACCTGCCCATATGGTTCCAAGCTATCAAAGGGGTCGACGCGGAAAAATCGGGAATCATGAACCTGCCTCTCGTGCTCTCCATGGTAGTTGGCAGCATTGGGTCGGGTGTTTTGGTGTCGGTGCTGGGCTATTACAACCCGTTTATGCTGGCCGCTGTGGTTCTGATGTCCGTCGGCGCAGGCTTGCTGACCACGTTCACTCCAACCACGGGGCATGAGAAATGGATTGGCTACGAGTTCATCTTCGGGCTAGGGCTGGGGTTGGGATTGCAACAGGCCAATGTCGCCGTGCAGACTTGCTTAGCACCAGTTGATGTCTCGATTGGTGCGTCGCTGCTCGTGTTCTCGCAGCAGCTGAACGCGGCTGTCTTCCTGGCGATTGCGCAGACTCTGTTTGACAATTTCTTGGTCGACAATTTGGACGGCGTGCACGGCATCGATGTTTCTACAGTCGTAGGTGCCGGTGCCACGGCGCTGCGTCAGGGGATGGTCCCGGATTCGAAGTTGGCGGCTGTTTTGGAAGCGTATAATCAGGCGCTTACCAAGACCTTTATTTTGGGTGTGGTCATGTCTTGTCTGGCGTTGTTTCCAGGGTTGGCAATGGAGTGGAAAAGCGTGAAGAAGCCGGCGGGCCCAAGAGAAGAGATTTCCGATGGCGAGAAGCAGTGATTAAGCAGGTACTCGGCAACCAACATATATAATAGAATTGGTGTATCACGAGAGAGCAATTCATACTCCGTACTCCGTAGTGTCTTGAAGGACTGTGCGCGTCGCATCCAATTTGTCTGTTACACTAGTCAGTCAGCTAGTCGACTAGCAGGGGCCACTGCTTTAGGTCGCGATTTATCCCACCTGGAAATTTTAGCTGCTTTCTTCGTGCTTGACTTGCTTAGTGATCGATCGCTTAGTGAGCTGGACAGCTGCAACTCATCGCCGTGTGCATTTTGTCAAAAAGAACAGAAAAGAAAAAAAGAGTGTGCGTCAGTTCGGCTGCGGGTTCGCAAGAGTCAAGGCCCGACTGAGCGTGCGAGGCGAGTTGCCATACGAAAAGACACCAGGAGAAGAACCCCTCACCGCATTCATCCCATCATCATGGCCTCGGACAAGCCCACAGTGCTGATTGTTGGCGGCCTGGGTATGTTGCTGACCACCGGGGCAGTAGTTGTTCGCTGCTAATCCTTCCTTCATCGCCAGGCTTCATCGGGCGACACCTCGCCTTGCACATCCACCAGAACAATCTTGCGTCCGAGCTGCGCATCGTCGACAAAGTGCTGCCGCAGCTGGCCTGGCTGGCCCCCGAGTTCGAGGAGGCATGCTCCAAAGACAAATTCGTGCAGGCCGATGCCTGCCGCGAGCGTGAGTTTCTACTCACTCACTCCCTCACGTCCCTGCTAGATAGATAGATGCATTCGTTTCTCTGACAACAAGGCTGTAGAGTCATACCCCCGAATCTTCGACCGAGCAGACGGCAAGCAATTCGACTACGTCTTCAACTGCGCCGGCGACCTGCGCCCTCTACAGCCCGAAGAAGTGTACCAATTCCGCAATCACGCCCTGTCAATGGGCCTCAGCAAAGAAGTCGCCAAGCGCAACATCCGGGTGTATGTCGAAACCTCGACAGCCATGATATACAAAAGCGGCTCCAAGCCGAGCAAGGAAGACGACAAGAAACGCCCGTGGCACGACCTCGCAAAGTGGAAATTGAAGGTTGAAGAAGACCTGCGGACCGTCCCGGGGCTCAACTGGGTTTCCCTGCGGTTTCCGCATGTGTTCGGTGAATACGATACGGGATATACGGCTACTGCTGTGAGTCTGGCGCGGACACACAAGTTCCTCCAGACGGATTTCGATCTGCTGCACTCGAAGGACCTGAAGTTCAACACATTATATGTCAAGGACGCAGTGCGCGCGCTCTGGACGGCAGCAGTGTGGCGCGACGGTCAAAAGGACGATCCCAGCAGCCCGCACATTTTCAACGTCGTTGATCATCACAACACCAATCGCGGACACGTCGGCGACGCCCTGGCAACAGTCTTCGACATCAAGGTCAATTTCGCCGGCACGCTCATGTCACAGTTTGCAAAATTCAGTCTCGACGACATCGTCGACGACATGAACGAGGAGATGCTACAGGCATGGGCCGAGCTGTTGGAGGAAAAGGGCATTTCGCGACCAGGGCCCATTGGTCCGTTTATTGAAATGGATTTGCTGACTGATAATGATTTGTATATTGACGGCTCCCTTTTCGAGTCTACCACAGGGTTTAAGCCCGAGAGGGATTTTGGCGTTGATGCTATACGAGATTTGGTTGCGTCTTATGAACGGATGGGTTGGTGGCCGGCTTGAAAGATGGTCCCTTTTTTTTTTTTTTTCTTTCTTCTTTTTCTTTTTTTCGTCTTCATTTCAAAGCATTTGCATTGCATGTTGTCGTCTATACCTTTGCTACTGCATAGCGCATCGTCATGCGTACTTGGTTTCAGGACGACTCACAGGTCTTGTATATTACTATAATCCCCTTTTCCTTTAGATTAGCATTTCTTTTCATTCTCTCCTATTTGCATATACCAGAGTTGTAGCAAAGCCTCTGTTATTGGTGTCAGAAGCTGAATGATAATACAAAACTAAATTGTAATGTTTGTTCTAGCTAATTGTCTTGATAGATGGAAGATATGTCAGACGCGGAAAAGATAGACGTTCTCTCCGAAACAAGTAGTAATAAATAAGCCTGGAGACGATATCCAAAAAGGCCATCAATAGCCTTCTCTTATAATAGCTTTTTTTCTTTTCTTGTTTTTCTCTTTCGACAGTCCGTCTGACTCGATGATGGTGATACAGATTTTGAATTTCTCCAGCGACGACAATCGACGCCATGGAAAATCAAACGACAAAGTCCGTAAGAGAAACCCACCCGGAAAAAAGGAGCAACAAACACCGTCGCAAAACGCAGGAACGATATGTGATGAAGACGTATCTCTAAAATTCCCAATCCTCATCAACTGACTTGATAGCCCAGTCGAACTTCTCGCGCAGAGTCTTGGAGAAAAACTTTTCAATCGGGACATTGAACTTCTTCGTAAAGACTACCGTTAGACGGGGGTCAATATAGTTCTGCATCCATCTGTTAGATTCGACATATATGATATACTGTGGAATGCCCATTGATTGCTTACGATCTTCGAAGTTCCAAGTGCAACTTCCTTATTGTTCTCTTTGTCCTCCGCCTGAAGCGACATATTCTCAATCCGCTGTTCGAGCTTTGCGACATTGTTCTCCAATTTCTCAACTGTTTGGCCCTTTCCTTCTGCTTCCACTTTCCCAGTCTTGTTTTCTCTCTGGAACTTCGCCTGCATGTCCTTGAGGACTAGGAGTCGTTCATCCAGCTCCTTGGGCTTCATCTCCTTTTCACCCTCGGCCGCCAGCTTCTCGTTGTCTTTTTCAAACTTTTTGACAATCTTCTGCTTTTGCTCTTCAACAAGGAACGCCTGGTGCTCCTTGATCCATTCCTTGTCGAGATCCTCGTCTAGTTCAAAGTACGCGGCACCTTTCTTCTTCTTCAGGCTGGGTTCAATATCCAACATCATCATCTTGACCCTCCATTTCTGATAGCGAAGGCCTTTGATCTGTTAACATGTTAGTGCGGTTTCTTCCTTCACGAGTAGATGAAAAGACTTAGATCGTACCCGATCACCCAGTTTCTCCATTTGGTTGGCGTGACCTGCAGTAACTGTCCGTTTGTGGTTGCACAGAATAGCCACCTTGCGATTGGCATCATTGTATTGCTTGACTTTCTCGCCCACTGACCCCTCCGCCTTCATGTCCTTGAGCAACGTGGCAAAAGTGTAAGAAGCATTGTAGGTACGGAACACTTTAGCTGTCAAGCCTGGCATATAGTTTGAAAGATGTTTGTTAAGAGCAGAAGTCTAAGAAGTAAATTCAGCAAATTGCACGACAATTCACCCATCAACTAAATAAAAGTGCTTACCGTAAGTCGATCGAATACCTCATCGCCAACTTTCTTTGGTTCTTTCTTAAATATCTTCAAGTTTTTGAAAACCTGAGGATCAACCTCGACTTCGTCGTAGAATCGAATGCTATCTTTACCAAGGAAATCGAAAATGACCGTGTTTGGTGGTCGAAGCGTGATATTCTCGTATTTCAAAGAACAGCATCCAACAGTGTCTGCCTCGTCCTCGCCCTTTTCATTACCGGCACGGAGAGCGAACTTGTCGATGAGATAAACCGCCGTTGCACGCTGTCTATCGACCATGAGTTCAGACTTGAGACCCTTCTGGTAGTCATTACGAATCCTGTCAATGTGTTTCTTCAACTCGCGTGCCTTCTCAAACTTCTTGTAATCGCTCTGGCCCTTGATATCAGAATTGGCAGCAAGCATAACGTATTTGTAGTTCTTATTAATGTTTTCTTGCCACATGGCCAACCAGGTGCCTTCACGATCATGTTTGACCTCCTTCCACCTATGACCTTCTGGTGGCGCAGGAACTTGAGCTTCTTTGCCGATATTGATGGTGATTTGCTCAGGCATCACACGCGTCTTCACTTTTCCTGTCTTTGGATGCTCGCCACGACCACGGAAAAGACCTGGAGGTTCAACTCGAAAATTGCCGACTTTCTGCTTACGTCCATCCCACATGCAATACATGTAAGGAGCTTCAGCCTCATCCTTTTCAGCTTTGACAGCTTTCTTTTCCGCAGCTGAAAGATTCTTCTTCTCCAAACGTTTCATCTCATAATATTCAAAGATCGGCTTGAAGTCACATTTCTTGAAGACTTTGATATCCACTGGTTCGCCCTTTTGATTTTTAGCGCCTCCAGTCTTTTTGATAATGGCTCTGAAGTCCTCGAAAAAGTTCTTCTGGAATGTCGGGTTTTCAACATTGTGTGTAGAATTCAACATTCCACCAAAGAAACCCGCAACTTCCTCGGCGTCCGGCTCGAGAGTGATGGGTTCGCCATCATATTTCATCTTGACATTCTTCGGCAAGGGCTCGTATGGCGGTGGGAAAACAACCCCGTTGTGTTCCAATGTTGTCCATTTGATGGTGCCATCGCCTTTGGTAGGATCCTCCCACCAGCGATACTCCTCTTCCTCCTCAGCTCCCTCGACTTCTTCGGATTCTTCCTTGACAGGGGTCGCCTTGCCTTTTCCTTTCTTCACCGGCGTTGCAGGCTCATCCTTGATTGCTTTGGTAGTCTTCTTAACGCCTGCACCTTCCTCTGATTTCACGCCGTTTGCTTTTTGCTTCTTGCCGTTCACTGCGCCCTTGCCTGCTGTTACCGAGGCTTTCTTGGCGGAGGACGCAGCCTCGGCTTTGCGAATTGATTTGGCTTCCTTTTCAGCCCTTTTCTCGATATTCGCTTTCTGTTTAGAGAGTTTGCGCTCGATAGGAACGTCCGAGTCCGACTCCTCGCCGATCGCGGTTTCCGAAGCTTTGGGCAACCTGATGCCATTTGTTTTCCTAGCTAGAGGAATGTCCTCCTCGGAATCGGATTCGACTTTGGTCTTCGTGGATATGCGGCGACGTTTGTTCTAGTTTCGTAGTCAGCATCTGCATGAGTATACTGAAGTAAGACCGCGTGCATACTAAAGGTTTATCGTCCTCGCTGCTTTCAGGCTCTGCGTAAGACTGTTTGCCTGAACTAACTCGCGCCCTTCTTTTGCCTGCAGTGTGTCCGTTGGCGCCATTCACTGCATCCTCCATTTCAACATCCCCATCTCCAACTGGTCCAAACCGGACAGAAACACCCGGGTCCAACGAACCGTTCTCTGTCTGCTCATCGCCCATCGAGGTATCCGTTGACTTCGATATTATCTTTTCCGAGCGAGCGCCCCCTGTTGTAGAAGCTATTAGCTTACTGTATAACACAATCTGAGGTGATTCAGAATGAAGGACCCTCCCTCATTTAGACGGCTTACCTGTAGAACGGTTGGCACTGAGGAGAGGGGCGTCATCGTCGGATGAACTCATTGTTTGAGTTGAACGCAGATTGAGTCTATGGTGCAGCAAATAGCAAGAGAATGACAGGTCTTTGACAGGAGGCTGTGACCAAAGCCGGGGGCCACGCGCGATGAGCGGTCGAGGGCACAATCGCCAGGGAATCGCTATTTTTACGAGGCTCCCGTATAGGCTGAGGCGAAAAAGAAAACCAAAACGAGTGGAGGCGAGACAAAGCAAGATAAAGACAGTGGGCCAAAGACCGATTGATGGTGGGTGTGCCGTGTGGGAAAGTGAAAAACAGAGGTAGAAGGCAAAATCAGAAGCAGAAGTGACGAGAACAGCTGAAAAGAGAGTTGAGTTCTGCATTGCGCAAACCGGGCAATACCTGCCTGAGGCCGCCACGGGGGAGCAGCCCCCCCCACGTGACCGGCGCCAATGGAATGTTGGCTCCGAAGCAGCCCGGAAAGACCTCGCTCGCTTCAAACCTGCGAAGTCTGGCATCACTTGCTTCAGCTGCCCCGTCACTGCAGCTTCTATCGGCCATCATCCTGTCCTCTCTACTCAATTCCCCACGACCATGCTCTCTCGCTCTGTTCGCCCGGCCCTGAAGGCTGGCAGCGCTGCCGTCGCTCGGTAAGTGTTTTTCTTCGGGTGGCCTATTCACCTCGCGACGAACACCCTCGCCGTGAGGGGGGAACAGGGCAGCTCTTCAAACACGAAGTGGAGTGGTTAAGGCCAATTGCTAACATATCTCAGCACTGCTCCTTCCAATGCTGCCAACTTCGCCACTCTCCGTGAAATCGAGGGTCGTCTCAAGTCTATCCGCAACATCGAGAAAATCACCAACACCATGAAGGTCATCGCCTCCACCCGTTTGACCCGTGCTCAGAAGGCCATGGAGGAGTCTCGTGTCTACGGAACTACCTCCAACACCGTCTTCGAGTCCGCTGAGACAAAGCCCGAGGAGGACAAGAAGACGCTCTTCGTTGTTGCCAGCTCCGACAAGGGTCTCTGTGGTGGTATTCACTCTGGTCTCAGCAAGGCTACTCGCCGATTGTTGGAACAAAACCCCAATGCCGACGTCGTGGTTCTTGGAGAGAAGGCCAAGGCCCAGCTCAGTCGTTCCAATGGCCAGAGCATTGTTCTGAGCTTCTCGCAAGTTTGCAAGGACATCCCCACCTTCAGCGATGCGCAGGCCATTGCCGATCAGATTGCCTTGCTTCCTACAACCTACGGCAGCATCAAGATCATCCACAACAAGTTCATCAACGCTCAGAGCTACGAGCCTACCACCGTGGATGCTTACTCCGAGGAGGCTATCACCAACTCCCGTAAGTTTTAATTGGTGATCTATTGTGCGGATACCTCTGTACTAACAATTGTTTTTTTTCCCTCAAAGCCAACATTTCTGCTTTCGAGGTTGAGGAGGAGGCTCTTGCCAACTTGCGCGAGTACTCTTTGGCCAACAGCATTTTCTGGGCCTTGGCTGAGGGTTTGGCCTGTGAAATTTCTGTGAGTACACACATTAGTTAAATCCTGATTCCTAGCGGTCATTTATCTAATCATATAACAGGCTCGTCGCAATGCTATGGAGAACGCCTCAAAGAACGCCGGCGAGATGATCCAGAAGTAAGTGATTTATCATATTTTACCAAAGTCCATGCCTGTCGATCAAACTAACCATTGCTTTTAGGTTCCAAATTCTGTACAACCGACAGCGTCAAGCCGCCATTACTGGCGAACTTGTTGAAATTATTACTGGTGCTGCCGCCAGCGAAGACCAGTAGACATTTCCTACGTGAACTTCGTCGGAAGGATTTGACTAGAATTCAAACTTGTTCATATCAATACCTAGACTCGTCTTAGGCATGTAAAATCACTTTTTACTTCATTATTATTAGTCAAGCAATATTTCCTTTGTCATATCTACTGCAAAATAAAATTTTTGTAGCGAAAACGCAACGGGATAGCCTTACTATATACATCTTCCAGATTTGTCCCGAGGGAGGCAATTTAATACCTAGACATCAACCGATTTTGTTTTATTGTAAACTTCTACGGATATACATAAGTAGATAGTTCTCATCTGCTTACAAAACTTCTATGAACGACGCATGGTAAAGGACTAGAAATACAGAACCACCAGCTGATTTTGCGCATTCTCACCGACAAGAAACCGCTCATCACCACATATCTTTCCCTTGAAAGAAACCTCTTCGGCAAATTCATGATTCAGTGTCTTGATCGATTGGGATGTCTGGATTGTCACCATCAGTGGATCTTCTTCGTAGCCTGTCTGGGTTCTAGAGGATAGATATGAAAGACAGAAGGATACATTGGCCTTCTCGTCGGTACTTTCGCAAATACCCCAGTAGCATGGCCATGGTGACGTGGCTGTCCAGGGGGGGATTTCCATGCTGCAATTGCCTCGGTATGGGGGGTAAACTGTTTGGGGATAGACTGTCTGGACCTCTTGCAAAGGAGAACAACCTGGACGGAATGGAAGGCAAGTAACCTTCGTTCTAGGCGTGTATTCCAGCGGGTTGTAGTCCATTCGTCCGCCATCCATCACCTGTGTTATAGAGACGGTAGACGTGCTGCTGTCGATGTCCATCCTCATAATCTCTATGTGCCATTCACCTTGTCTTGACATGCGGAGGCCCATGAGGTCCAGTGCATCGTAGTCGTATTCAAAGACGATAAATGGCTCTGCGTCTGTAGCTGTGTCCTCTAATTGGTTCATGCAATCTTGAGACGGTCTATATTCGGAAGGCTTGGAAATGTCCCAAATGGTCAGGCGGTGCGCTGTGTGGGAGTCTAGGGATGTGTAAATTGCATAATGCCTGCGATTGTGGGTTGAGAAAAATCGATCAGAATAGCCCAAGGAAAGTCCATTGGGGATCATCTCCCATTCGTTACGCAAGGTAACGTCCCAGGCTCGTCCAACCCTGTTGATCTCGAAGGATGTAGCATAATGGTAATACCATCCACAGCCCGACCACATATCAGGTTGGTCTTCATCTGCCCATTCAACCACTAGCAGTCTATCTTGTAGGCGAATCCTTCGGATGTTCTTGTTCGCTATAACGAAAGGAACCATGTAAGTCAGTCGCGTTTCCAGGTCTAGAACAACCAGACTCCTTTCATGCTTGTCTGGGAAAACAACAAGCCCTTCTTCATACGTCCAGAATGTGTGGCCAAACAACATGTCAATCTTAGTCCCGGGATGGCTGGTATGAGTTTCCCAATGCTCTACGGCGACGTAGCAACAGCCATTCTCGGCGGTATTAGTTTCTTGTAGATCGAATTTCTGCACCGAACGGGGTTTGCCACAAGATGTCAACCGATGATATCGCTCCACAACGGTGTCAAAGAGGGCTCGCCATTTGTCCTGGGACAGACCGTGTACTGTTTGCAGTGCATTCGGCGTGTCGGGTTGGCATAGTTCCCTGACTTCTTTTGCCCGGGGATAGCTGCTTTTCAGGATTTGAATCAGGCTGATTGGGTTTGTAAAGGCTCGATACCATGCTGAGGACACACGACGACATCGCACAATATCCACAGGCTCGAGGTCGCGGACGATCATCTGAAACAACTCCTGGGGAAGATATGGCAGATCCCCATGGTGGGTGAATGCCATGATCTGCAGCTCGTGAGGCGGCACATTAGTCAGTTGGTGGTTTGTCAACAGTGAGGACTGCACAGGCACGCAGTCAATGATTGTTAAGATGGGATTTTGTTGCGTCTGCTTTGTTGAAGTCACGGTGCTTGCTGATTTGATAAGCGCGGAGTGCGGAGATGCCTCGGGCTTCCCCGCCAAGAGCTTCAGCGCCTTCAGGACACCTGGCAGCTTCCTCTTCTTTCCTCGCTCTTTCAAAGAACTTACAATGCACAGTTCCTCGCGCAGATTTGTCTGCACAAGCCGAAGTTGAAACCAATACTCGTGACGGTGTGAACGCCAGTAACTTTGAAAATGCCGAGCCATCTGCACTGGACGCTGCTCCTCTCTTCTCTGCTGGGAGGAGCATCAGCTGCTGGGCTGTACACCAAAAGCTCGCCTGTTCTCCAGGTAGATGCAAAGGATTACCACTCATTAATTGCCAAGTCAAACCATACATCAGTATGACTATGCACTCACCACTAATTTTGTAGCTGAGCAGCTAATGACGGAATCTTTAGATTGTAGAGTACGCACCTCCCCCCTCCGTCCATCCACTGACCGTTCCAACTCGTCTATACGTTCGAGATTTGTTGATGATAGCTACAGATTCTATGCGCCATGGTGCGGCCACTGCCAAAATCTGAAACCCGCCTATGAAAAAGCAGCCAAAAGCCTCGAAGGCCTAGCCAACGTAGCAGCAGTCAACTGCGACGATGACGACAACAAGCCGTTTTGCGGACAAATGGGAGTTCAGGGCTTTCCCACACTGAAGATTGTGGTACCAGGGAAAAAGCCGGGCAAGCCTCGTGTAGAAGACTATCAGGGACAGAGATCAGCAAAGGCCATTGTCGATGCTGTCGTTGACAGGATCCCGAACCATGTCAAGAGAGTCACGGACAAGGATTATGAGAGCTGGGTGTTGGAAGATGATGAGTCTCCCAAGGCTATACTTTTCACTGAAAAGGGAACTACTAGCGGGCTTTTGCGTTCTCTAGCCATTGACTTCCTGGGGGGTATCAAGTTCGCGCAAGTCAGGAGTAAGGAGTCCGAAACAGTCGACAAGTTTGGCATCACCTCCTTCCCAACACTTGTACTCCTCCCAAGTGGCAACGATGCCGAGCCGATAGTGTTTGAAGGCGAAATGAAAAAGGCGCCTATGCTCGAGTTTCTGAGCCAGGCCGCACAACCCAACCCTGACCCGAGAAAGAACAAGGCAGTCTCATCTCAAAAGAAAAAGACCGCTTCGTCTCCGACGAAGAAATTCCAAGACGCCCCCACAGAATCACCGGGACCAGAGGTAGAGGTATCCCCGGAAGAGAAGCCAGTCGCAGTCCCGATCAAGGTACCCAGCGTAGACCAACTCTCTACCCCGGAGGATCTACAAGCAATCTGCCTCACTTCAAAATCAGGCACCTGCATCCTGACTCTTCTCCCCGAAACCGAGTCCCCAGACTCAGAACTCCCCGCACCAGCAAAAGAGGCTCTATCAGCCGTTTCTGAACTCTCTCACAAATTGACTGGTCATCATCTACCTTTCTACAGCGTGCCGGCAATTAACTCGCATTCAAAGATCCTGCGAAACGAACTGGGTCTTTCTGAGGCTACGGAGATCATCGCAGTAAACGGACGACGCGGCTGGTGGCGTCAATTCCCTTCTGCTTCCTCCTCAGACGACAAGACTGAATTCAGCCTGCACAGTGTCGAGAGTTGGGTTGATGCTATCCGACTCGGCGAAGGGTCCAAGACTAAGCTCCCTGATGGCGTAGTTTTGGTTTCTGATGAGAAGAACGAAGAAAAAGAAGCTGAGGCTGAAATCGAGGTCGAAACACCCGTAGAAGAAACCGGAGAAAATGGCGATACCAAGGAAGTACCACACGATGAGCTCTAGAAAGCCAGGTTACCTTACTTTTCTCAATCTGTACGATATGCCCATGCACGAGGTCAAGCACTATCTATGTAGTCTTATATATGCTTTGTTGATATCGAGTAATTAGTGCACTCATTCAAATTTAACAAGTATATCGATTCACTATTTACACAGTATATACCATGCACTCACTGCCTTGAACGCCGAATTTTCTCCAGAAACGCCGTATATAAAATGCAGCAGCAACTTTTTGTTTGAAAATCGTCATCTTGATTTTTCTTTTCTTTTTTCTGTCATTTATTTCTTCCTACCCTCTGTTCCCTTCTTGATCTTTTTCTGAATCTTGGACTCAATCTCCTGGTCGTAAATCTCTCGCGCGGATTCTCCTGCCTTGCGCTTGGAGGCTTTGCTGCTTTTCACGCTCACGGTTGCTGCGCCGCCGCGTCGGATTTGCTTCTCTGCTTCTTCCCAGCCGGCTGTGCCGTTGTTGATTTCGTATCTGGGGGACTTGAATTAGTCACTATCATTCGATGTGAATGGTGATTTATGAGGTAGCAGGGAATATAATAGATAACTCACTGGTCAAGGGGAAGAGCATCGATCAAAGCGCGTTGTTTATCCTTCAAGGCTTGATCGACTTGTTCGCCTCCCTCGCGCAACTCTTCTTCCAAGCCTGTCTCAAGGGGTTGGAATTTATCAACGACGACATCGTCGTGCGCACCAGAGGCATCTACAGTAGTCGGCTGCTCGGGGAGAGTCGCAGCGACAGCGCCTTCAAGCAAGCCGCGGAAATGCGTGGAGATTTTCCTGATGATTTTGATGAACATAGCTAGTAGCTGGGAGGAAGGCAGGTTTAGCTCCTTTTCCAGCACGTCAACGTTCTTCCGCTGAAGACCGACTGCGAGGAGAATGCATTGCTGGACACCAGACAGATTAACTTTGCCTTGGAGACTGCCTAGGAAGTAGAATTGTGCGACGGTGGGGACCATGTCCAAGATGACGTGGTAATCGAGCATGTTGTTTGCGTAGCTGTCGAGGCGTTTGAGATCGAACGGCGAGAAAGCGTCATCCAATACGGCCTTGGTCAATGGCGATGGCGAGAATGAAGGGTCCAATTTGGAGCCAGCGTTGGCGGACTCGCAGATGCTGAGAGACGAGACAGCGGGGAATTCCTTGAATTGGTAGGACAGGAGCGAAAGGAAGCGTTTATGGAAATCTCTTGCGTATGCGCTCAGCCAGCTGATGTCGTTGGATCCCGCGGCCAATGCTCGGAGCATGACACACGAGTGCTCGCCAGTCAATTCATTGGCGGTTTGACGGAGATACACGGGGCTAAAGGATGCACGCTTCCAGAACTTATGTAGCGTTGGTGTCAATCCGTAGCTGACTCCAACGTAGTCCAGCGAGTCTGGCCGTCGCTCAGACAGCTTGCCAAACAACGGAGGCATGGAGCGAATGTCGCGCACATGGATATCATCATCCAGCAAGTTGGCATTTTCAAGCTGCTCGTCCGTAACACGAACCATGCTCTCTACGGGTTGCGAGGCAGCATCCTCGGAGAGGCTTGCAAATTTGCCTTCGTAGAAATCAACAAGCAGTTCCAGCGCGCGCGATCCGTATCCCATATTTATATATTCCGGGTTCGTGGCAATGCGTACGATACGTGCTCCTGATAATCCTGCGAAATCTTCATCTTGGAACTGCTGGCTGACAAGCCATGGGATGAGATCACCACCAGCACGCTGACCTCTACTCAGACTATTCAAGACGCTCTCCCGGCTAATGCGACCCTCAAGGGCGACTTGGATAACGCACAATGGTTCTGGCAGTTTAGTGGCTTCTTCGTCAATGGGTGGCACCAAGACAAAGAGCTGATGAGCTGGTGCATCACTCATGAGCTGAAGATCGTTCGGTGAGTTTTTGTAATGACTGGCCACGTACAAAGCCATCATCTGCTGAAGAAATTTCTCGGACACAGGGTGGAAAGAGAAGAGCGTGTCACGGTTGACGTGCAACAGCTCACATTGAGACGGATGCGGACATCCCTGTGTGTTCATCTTTGACTTGGGGAGAGTTGCATCCAAGCACAGAACTTTATTGAGCCACTTCTCGACAGAATCACCAGCGGCATAACGAATGGGCTCGGACAGAGTGACTTCTCTTAAGGACCGGCTGCCTATGATGCCCTTGTCTGAATTCTTTGCTGACTTTCCAGTTGCGCGGTCTGCAACATCGGTATCTGCTGCATCTTTCAGGCTGGTTCCACGGCTCTGCTCTCGCAGCTGTTGAATGAGCTTCAGGGACAATGACCGGCCAGTACCCTCATAACCATTGATAGTCGATGCCATGAAAACCAGGTACGGTCCCAACAGTTTCCGCACCAGCGGTAGGGGGATGGCAGCGGCCTCATCAATCACCAAAAGCTCCGCTTGTCCGAGAGCATAAGCATCCTGGGGTTGGATGTACTGAATGGTCTGGCGATGATTTCGATGGATGTTGACACGAACAATAGCCTTGTTGAAAGCCGGGTTCGTTGATTGCAGGATCGTATAATCGACATGATCTAGGTATCCCAGAGCATCAAACCCTTTAAAAACAAACTCAAACAGAGTCTTCAAGTTCTCCGGGCTCGGAGACGTGATGAAGATATTGCTGTAGCCGTGAGCAACAGCAGCAGCTATAGCGACACCCAAGGCGGCCGACTTTCCACGACCACGACCAGCGGTGAGAGTGACGGTACTCCGCAAAGTCTTCTCGGCAATGGCATCAACAAAAGTGAGCAAAGCCTTGGCTTGGTCAACCGTCTTTGCGAGGGTGACCAGCGATCCCACGGGCTGAGAGTCTACTAGACTGTCTTTTATTTGCTGCAGCTCTTTTTGTGCCGGCGATTTATCGTCCTCGGTGGGATTGGGAGCTGGGAGAGGCGCAACATTCTTTCCGCCGGAGATTGGGAGCACATTCAACTCGTCATCCACGACGAGGCAGGAATCGCAGCTTCCCAGAGACAAAATGAACCGTTCATTAAACCGTGCAACCACATCGTCGTGCGCCTCGGTGCGATAACGAGAGTGGATATCCATCGACAAGGTATATAACTGCTTCAAACTCTTCATTCCCTTCAACAGCAGCAACACAATACCCCCTCCCTCGACAGTCTCGATCGTGCGAGCCAGCAGATTCGGGGTTATAGCTTCGAAATCCTGCAAGATACACATTCCATAGGTATTTCCCAGGATCTTCTCAGTCTCCTTATAATACACATAGCGGATTTGATTCAAGCTGACGAACAGCTCAAAGGCGTCTTCGGAGTTGGGCTCGCGGATACCCCGTTTTATTTCCTTTTTGATTTTGGCTTCGCGCTTCTTGCGATGGCTGCTGAATCCGATCAGGTCCTTTTTGTACGCCCATAGCACTGATTTGTTCTGTTTGATGTCGGCGCCGGACATGATCCAGTGCAGGTTGACGATTGCGTCCTTGGCACGGTCGCCCACGACCACGAAGAAGCTTCGCTTTTTCTCTTGGATGCCATTTCGGATGAGCGCGGGAATGCGCGAGTCAATGGCTTTGCGCGGCATTTCTTTTTGTATTACCCTTCTCGGCACCTCGAGATCATTGAAGATGCTCGCGTGGATTGCTCGCTGGTACGCCAAGATTTTGCTGATAGCTTTTTATTTTTTTTTACTGCCGCTGTTGACCGCTATCAACAGCGTCTTGACGGCTGATTGGATGCCTCTTTGACCGCCCTGGCACGTGATAAGTGCTAATCTATTGGTCGGAAATTAGCCCTAACCCTAAACCCCTTATGCTTGATCTACCCCAACAACTGCAAGGATATTCAATTTTAGAATAAGGAATTTATGTACAAAAGGGGAGGGAGCCCTCTCTCTCCAGATGCAAAAGAAGAAGAAGAAATTGAATTTGTACATTGAAAAACGAATGATCTATCTGTTCTTTGGCACGTCTCAAGTACAATACACGCTCTGTATGCGCTTGGGTATCAGAAAGACGTAGAAAATAAATAGCACAAAAGGGGGTATTGAGAAGTATCCAAATAGAAAGAAAAACGAAAAACAGCGAGAGAAAAAGCAATCGATCAGTTGATCAATCGGACTTGTTATATGTCGAAGGCTCTGGTCAAGGCTATCATGACTGGTAAACCTTGAGGGAGTTGATGAGCCAGTAGACATCAGAGAAAGCACTGGGGTTTTCCTGCACGTAGGTGTCGCAGGTGCTGGCATAGCTGGCGCAAGAGCCGGAGGACCAGACAGAGCCGGCCCAGTCACCGCAGAAGGTAATATCGAAGACCTGGCGGTACAGTCAGCTTTCAGCCCATGAACAGTCAAAAAGAGAGAAAGAGAAAGAGAGGCGTACAATGTTGTTTTCCTTGAAATGCGAGCTAATGTCACAGTCACCAGCAAAGTAAGCAGCTGGAGTTCCCCAGCCACTTGGGTCCGGAGAGCCGCTGGTAATGTCAGAGGGAACATCGTCGGCAATCCACCAGAAGATCTGGATGTAGTCATCGGTCCATTCCATGGCGTAGACACCGCCACCGTAGCTGTTGAAGGTGGCGCCCCAGCTCTCTTCGTTTTTGGCGACAATGTCGCAGCCCTCGTTGCCGTCAATCTCGGCGTAGCAGTTGTTGTTCTCGAGCGTACCAGCGAAGCCAGTGTCGTTGATGGTGCAGTCGTCGCTGGTATGCAGGGTCATTTGGTTGGTGGACTGCAGGTTGGCGCCCTCGATGATGTCGATTTCGCCATCGTTGGGCCAGTCGGGTCCATAGGTCCAGCTACGTGGCTTTGTTAGCTCCTGGAATAGTAGCAGCAGCAGCAGCAGCAGCAGCAGAAGAAGAGCTTACAAGGCAGGCCAGGAACCGCAGGCGGAAGCGGGCATGTGGGCGAGGTCAAGGATGAACAAGCCGGTGGTATAGGCGGTGTTACTTTCTAGACGGACACTTTGACGGCCAGAACCGCTGGCCACGTTGGTGTGATCAACACCAATGTAGGTGGCATTTCCCTCGGCTTTGATCAAACCGGCACTTGTGGCAGTAGACTGGTCGACGTACGTGACATAGCCAGCGGTGGGATCAGTGCCCTATAGACATGGTTAGCCAGGCAAGAGATACACATAACTACACAACAGAAAGGCATTTCTTACAGTGTAGAAAGTGAATCCGTCGAAGAAGCTGGTGCCGGATCCGTAGTCGTCCACCAAGCTGTAGGTAGCACTGCTCAGGCCAGCGAGAGCAGCCAGCGGGAAGAGAGTCGAGTAATGCATGTTGATTGATAGTCAGAAAGGGAGTGCCTGAAGATCAAACCAGTAGGTATAGTAATTGATTCTCAAAATCAAGTTTTGCAGGGAATGAATAGCTGTCCAAAGACTGGAAAGGGAGTGAATCGTCGAGCACCAGGCTCAAGAGTTGGTATGAGTTTTTGGATAAGGAACGAATAGGGACTCTTCGAGCACCGCGATGAAGAAGTGTAGAGAGAGAGATAGAAAAGAAGAGCAGGCGTATATTATACTTATATAATTATATGCTATCCACGATGGCACAGCGCAGAACAGCAAAGGGGCCATGAGCCACGGCAGGATGATTCCCCACAGAGGCCATGCTGAAGAAGAACATGCCAGCAGCGCGATTGGCCGCAGCGATACAAGCTAGACTCGAGGACGTATCATTGGATTTTTTCAGCCAGCGGCAAAATAGCGGGCGAGAACATGGCATGGCCAGATCGGATGACTAGCCCTAAAAACAGTCGTTTCAGGAACGCTGCAGCTCGGCCAATGGCTGCGCGAACACGCGCCTTCACATGAGATTGGACGAAGACAAAGCTTTGTTAGCGCCGGTGTGAACAGTACGTGTTCGATTCCATGCCCTTTTTTTCCTTCTCCATGATACAGTAATATGAACAAAGCCATGACTCCTCGACAAGGCGTGATATCGGAGAACTCTGCTGGTTCCGTGGTGTGTTGGGTCTGATCCCGCTTGGGAGTTGGAACGTCGTAGCCCTAAACTCAAGCCTTGGCCACTAACTATGCCGAACTAGCCCTTGGGTAGCAGTGCTACGTATACAGTATTGCAAGGGGTGTTTTCTTTCTTTCTTTCTTTTTTTTGGCCTTTATTTTCTTTCATGTTCAAATCTTCATAATATTGATTAATACACTATACGAGACCCCCCACAACTGGCCTGTCCACCTCTCCGTGGCTTGGGATCGCCCAGTAGTCCCTATTTTATATAGGCCACTCACAGCGCATGGAGCCTTTCCAATTTTGCCTGCTTGCCTGCATGTGTTTAAATCTCCGCGTGTGCGTTTCACGGCCGTAATAAAATATTCTACTCCCCCCCCCCCGGTCAGTCAGGCCCATCATCTGCCGTGTGACTTGTGGCCTGCTTGGCAGTAGTCAAAACTCGAGAAAAACCTTGGAATCGGACGTAGCATCCCTCTCAAGTCCTGGAGATTGTCAGGTTCCATTTCGGGAGTTCTAGTGCGTGCTAGTGCTGAGCAGAAGAACCCTAACTAACTAGTATGACTATCGACCATCTAACGTTTCATGCTTACTATATCGCCTGTTGGCTAACTTAACTAACTAGTAGCCAGTGGGTTTGGTTTTTGAGGAACGCTGTGGAGTACCTACGTAGAATGATTCTAGACGGAGATTCTCGAGTTGCAATGGTACGTATATCCAATGCATACGGAGTATACTTCCCGGAGTGAATAGGCGCTATATACTATATACTTACTTATAGTGTATAGCAGAGAATATGCAGGTACATTAGCCGATTGGCATCCGTGGTTGCATTCGGACATATACCTGAGTATATGCATGCATGGCAAATCCCCTCGGTCAACGTCTGTTCAAACAAAGATAATTCTTACTCCGACGTTAGGCTGTTGGGCCGATATATAAAATTCCAAAACTCCTATATGTCCATACCGAGTACTCTTAATCTGCACAACTTATATACATCTAGATATATGCTAGGTTACACTGCAATATTTGTGGCTGCCAGCCACACACGAGAATTATATTATTCTGTTGGAAAAGATATCCTCCCATCATAGACAACGCGTACATGTAAGCGCATCGTGCCCAAGCCGAAAGGATCGCGGATACAACTCTTGGTCTTCTGGCTTGCCTCCTCTCTCGGCATTATGTTTCTCCTGCTCGTTCAGCAAACAGCTGCGATGGTAAAGGTGTCGACACGCAAATATCACTACTGCGCCTGAACCAGGCCCATCGGCGGATGCATCTGTGTTGTTGTTGTTGTTGCTGCTGCTGCTGGTCAAGTGGCCCTCATCTTCTACGCTGCTCGGCCCCTTTCCCTTGCCCTTGCCCTTGTCCTTCGCAAGCGCATTCCTGTCGTCAGATTGGCGTTCGTTTCGTTGCTGGGCGTCGCTAATCTGCTTTCTCTCCCAAGCTGTCCACAATGCAGCGCCAGCACCTGGCCCCCAAATGCGACGACGACAGATCTCGCACACCTGGCCTCTTGGCCGCCACCCGTGTTGCCGTAGTTTCGTCACCTCGTTCACGTGCACAAAGAGGTCCTTGTCTAACATGCCATTGGCCAGCGATAACAGTGATTCTTCGTATGTATATGCAGAAAAGACGGATGCAAGAACTGCGCGTAATTCCGACAACGAGGGAGAAGAAGTCGCCGCCCGCGCAAGGAAAGCACGGAGGACGCGCAAAAAGGACACCCCCGTGCGTTCCGCCGGGACTGGTCCACCGGTCGTCGTGCTGGTCAAGAGAGCCGTAAAAACTCTCTGTACCAACTGGCGAAACGACGAGATCAGCTCCATGCCTTCGCCACCAGACACCAGTAGCAATGGTCTCAACTTTGCCGACAGGTCAGTCTTTTGCAGTAGAAGGGACGAAATATTGCGCGCCATCTGTACAATCGTATCGATTAGGTCCAGCCAGAGATTCTCTTCGAATGTCAGCGGCTCCTGTAGAGCAATGGCCGAAGCACGTTTAGTGCTGCGCACGTTGTTGCCATTCCGAACCATTTTGGCGTTTTTCGTTTGTCCTTGACACAGCCATATTCCAACCCCGGAATACTTCTCCACGCTCTCAAGCAGATCGCTAACAGCCTCAGCAGTACCAGCTAGATCAGGGGTGTCTTCTGCATTAGTCAGAATCCCTGTAAGGCCGGACTGGAGAGTGCCTAGATATGCCAGCAGGCGGTCCATGGCTTTGCGCACTTGTCCTTGTCGTGCTAGCAATACCACGGCTGCATCCACCACGCCACTGCCTTCCATGGCTGGGAGAACTTCATCAAGTCGCAGTTCGTTGACACGTAAGCTATCGACATAATCCGCTACATGAGATCGATTGTATCGACATAGTAATTGCACATAAAGTTCGACCATTGAACTCTCTAGATTTGCAGGCGCAATTTTCGCATCAGCATCGACATTCTGTGGCTCCAGCAATGTCGTCAAGTAATGGAACTTTTTGTAGTCATCGTCGTCCAATGATTTTAAGAAAGTTGCATGCAATGAAGGCGCGAGTTCCTGCACTGTTTGCGCTGTTTTTGAGACGTTGATTTGTACCAACTCGCCGGCCCGGCTCTTGATAGCCCGCAAGACGTCGTCTTGCTGCTTACTACTCAATCCACTTCCCGGTCGCAGGCATTCATAGATACATGTAAATACCTGCTCGCGTTCACTAGTATCCTCGAGATAAGTGAGAATGAGCTCGGCATATTGTTTCTCTGCCCGATACGTAGACTTCAGGACTCGGAAATATCTCGCTGATTTGAAAAGAGGTATAAGGCTCTGGAGATCAGGCGGGTGGTATGTAGACAGCAAATACTCCACGCTTAATTCGCAGTCTTCTGCAATATCCTGGGTCGGCCATCGACACAAGCGCTCAAGAATCTGATACAATGTGGAGCCCGAGAGTAGAATATACTGTGGATACTTTGGGAGGTTCCGCGCGATGAATATGTCCAGGAAGATGGTTTCAAGGGGACCGAATTCGGCGTTGTTATTCATGACATCCAATAGAATGCTGACGATGTATTGGCGGTTAATAGTCAATGCCGGAGAATTTGACCTCAGCTCGGGCTCACCGTTAGCCGGATCGGCCGAGTCATTCAGGAAGCTGTCCTCAAAGGCTTCGTTCAACATGCTCATGAAGCTGGAGGAATCAAATTTGAGGATGGTTCGAAGCGCACTGAACGGTTTCTGGTTGTTATTTCCTGTGAATATATATGTATAGAGGGCCTGCTTGGCTTTCGTTGCTTGTTCTTCAAGCATCTCTTCCCCCGTAGGATAGGTGCGCCCGGTGAGAATAAACGAGAGATACGGGAAGATTTTCATGGCATTCTCGTAGTCACTTGACTTGATATCCGAGCTGTTGTCGTTTGCAGTAGCGGCCATCATACGAGTCGCAAAGCTCAAGAGCTCCTCCAATGGGCCAACATAGTCTTCCACAACGCGGTTCCAAACATAGATAAACGCATCATACAGGTTATGCTGTTTGCAAAGCGTGGTCACCTGCTCAATATCCATTGTAGTAGGATCAAGCAGACAAATCACCTCCTCGAGGCGGGTTGACGTATAGGTAGATGAGTAGTGGTTGACTAGGGCTTTAAGCGTTGATGGGGGTAGAGATCTGATTTTATCATCCCTTATAAAGGGCTCGAGGACATCCAAAAAAATGCCCTCCGAATCATGTTCATCATACCAGTCGTAAACCTCGTCCCATAAGTAATCAAAGTCATCCATGCAGATACATGCAGATATGCTAACGTCAGCGAGAGCCTCTAACTGTGGTCTTAGAACACGCTCGGTGCCTGCATCTTCGTTCCTTCCAAAGGCAAATTTTAACGAAGCCGTTATCATTTCTAGCAGCTTTTCTTCGACGACCGAATGTCGCAGGTCGTCTTCCTCGGGAAGGCCAACAGTAAGTTTCTCCGCATCTCCTTGATAGTAAGACGTCGCTAGACGAATCGCAGACACGAAATCGCCCGTCTCCATGTATGCAAGCAATCGGTCGGCCCAGTTGGACAGGCTTCCTACTGACAGATCATTGTAGCCTAATAAGAACAAACGCCCTTTATAAGCCTTCAAGCTTTGATAAAAGGCATCCGCGACAACGCCATGCATCGACGTGTTTTCTTCGTCATACTGTTCTACCAGCGTATGGAGATGCGACGAGAAGATGTCGGCATGATAGATGTGTTTGTGAAGGAGATCAAAGGAGTCGGTCACACGGAGCGTCTTGTCTTCTAATATCAACAAGTGCTGGGTAATGGTCAGCACGGCGAGAACAGAGCGGCTCAACCACTGGACCGCCACGATGGCTTCGTTGGCTCTCCAGCGGCTTCTAGGGCGAAACTCGAGCACAGGTGGGCGATCTTTGGTGGAGCCGCCATCTACATCGGACACACAGACATCGAGAACGGTTAAGACGTTAGACCAGCAGTATACAAGTTTCGTCTGTGATATTCCTTCTTTTCCTTTCAGCTTGATTGCGGGAAACCAGGCTAATGCAGCGCTCATGACATTGTGGGATCCCACTTCCTTCGGCCGCGGTGATTTGAACTGAGTATGTGCTACGGGCGTGGTAGAGACGATAACGAGCAAGTAGGGTGTTAGAATTGCGACCAGGCCAAGACTGTCGGTTGGCTGGTCAACATTGCCTAATGGTAGGGGCGAAAAGGCTAGGACAGAACTGGGTTTGCGAGGTTTGCCTTCCTCTGATGGGGGTTCTGGATAACGCCCTAGTACTCTGGTGGTCTTGACACTTCTGGCGACTGCACCCATACCCCTTGTCGCAAGGTGTGAAAACGCCATACCACGATCATCAGCCGAGACCAAGGCGGTACGTCTGGTTCCTAGAAATCCCACATGTACGACGGACACACCGGCTACATGACCATCAGAAGTATTTCTCTGGGCATGTTGAGCCGCTTGTATGGGGGGAATATGAAGGAAGGGCCGCGCCGCCCGAGAGATTTCCCATGTGAAGATTTCCCCTTGCGCGTGTCCCACTGCGACAGTTGTATGATCGGCAGATATAGCCAAAGATGTAACAGCGCCAGCTTCGACGGCTAAGGGTTGTTAGATACAAGATATCACTGCAAGATTAAAAAAGAAAATAGAGGTGCAAACCTTTCGTCCCAGGACCAATTATAGTTTTCAGGTTCTGCTGATAATCGAAAACAAGAACAATGCCCTTTGAGGTTCCTAAAATAATAGCCGTCGACACCGAAATGCATGTTGGTCGACCAAAATTGCGCCTGCCTACTTCGGAAAATGACTGTCCTGCAATCTTGCGCAACTTGGTCCATCGCACGACCTCCCAGGGAGCTTGCGGGGCGTCCGGCTCGAGATCAGGCGTACTAGAAAGCGGAGGCTGGCTTGTGAATGAAGAATTGCGGGAGTGCGTATGTAGCAGGAATGGAGAAGATGGTCGCGGACTGCTGAATGACGAGGATGACAGTCTCGATTGGAAGCGTAGATCGAATGGGCGGTGGGCAGGACTAGGACTCGATCTGGTGGAGGCTCGGAAGGCTAGGGCGCTGCTGCTTGGCGAAGACTGCATAGAGCCCTAGAAGAGGTCAGTATACGTCTAGTTAAGGCAGTAGCTTGACGTGACGACTCACATGCAGAGATGGCGTGTCGTCTGGGATTGACGAGACTTCGTCCGCGGCCTTGGGAACAGGCGGGAGAAGCTGGGATGAGGATTCGTGGACGGAATCATCTTGAAAGTCACGGTCCTTAGGGGGCGACTCTATGTCCTCGGCAGGATGAGAGTCTACTGGGCCGTCGTCCCCATCCTTAGTTGCTAGTTCACGGTGGGCGGGCAGCTCCTCATCCTCCTGGCCGAGATCAAGCTCATCCTCGCGGGCGCCGTCATCACTCCCCTCGTGCGTGGAGCTCATCGGCAGCAGGGTCGAATGCTCATCGCTTCGAGATGCAAAAGCAGGGATTGTGGCGATAGTCTCGGTGAGGTTCCGAGTGTGGCATTAACACGAGTAGTTACGGTATCGGCAGTGGTTGGCTGCTTGTTTATCGCGATTCGAGCAGCGCCAATGCCAATGCCAATGTCAATGCCGATGTCTCAAGTCGCGTCGAGATGATCAGATGCCGGATTTGGTAGTGGCTTGCTAGGGCATGCCGGTGATGCAGGAGGTAAATGGCGAATAGCAAAAAGTAGATACAGAGATGTTTACTGTACGCAAGTTGCAGTTGCAGTTGCAGTTGTAGTTGCAGTTGTCAATCGCCGATCTTAGCTCATGCATGCGCCACGCCGGCACGAGCCACAGTGGCTTGTTGATATACATGCATCTCTATCACTCTCTATGTAAACTTCGTACTCCATCTCTGCGCGCACTCGTCTGCTTATTGCCAAACTGACTGCTCTTTACTTCCGCCATGCATCGTCGCCCGCGTATGGTGGCATCCGGCAGTGATCTAGGTACCAGTGAGGGGCTCTACTATCCTCCTCACACATCTCCAGCTATCTGCGTGGCGCAGCCAATCCCACGGCGCGCTCATGCCTGAGGTAGCATCGCGCATCAGTCAACCTTGACTGCTTTAAGCTTTTGTTCCGCGGTGCCTACTCGTGGACTCTTAGTGCATGCGTACCTGTTTGCTATTGGTATTATGGTCTTAGCCAGGGCTCTCCGCCTGACGAGCTACTGTCATGGCCTCCATCACATGCGATAGACAGACGATCATGGCATTCCATCTGTGCAACACTAATACTAGTCCAGGTGCTTGAGGGGCATGATTGCGACCAATGTTCCATCATCTCCTTATGGGCTTGCATGTCTACTGTACCTATCATCTAGGTACGCTACGTATATGTGCGCATATATAGGTCCGTGGTATGCCCGGATGGGGGGTCATGCATTCTTTAAAATTATCTACCCCGGCAAGGAGGAGCTCAAAGTATACATTTCAACATCCACTCTGGCTAGAGCAATAACAACAACAACAACAACAACAAAATGCTGTCCAATCTCCCCCTCGGCCTGCTCTCAGCAGCAGCCCTCCTCTTCCCCATCACCTCAGCCCAATGCAACGGCCAAGTCGAGTACTGCACTCGCTCCTGGTCCAACATCACGACCGTCGGCTCGCACGACTCGCCCTTTGTCGGTGACAGCCTATCCGACAACCAAGACATCAGCATCACCGCCCAGCTCGACCTGGGCATTCGCTTCCTTCAGGGCCAAACGCACATGTCCATCCTGGGCAATGAGCTCGAACTGTGCCATACAAGCTGTCTGCTTGAAGACGCCGGCTCGCTGACAGACTATCTCACCACGATCAAGACATGGCTAGACGCCAACCCTAATGAAGTGCTTACTTTGCTGCTCACGAACGGCGATTATGTCGGTATCGGTAATTTCAGTGCCTCCTTCGAGGCTAGTGGGCTGGATACATTGTGCTATGTGCCGCCGACCAGTCCGGATGTGCTCCCGATCAATGAGTGGCCGACACTGCAGGAACTGATTGATAATGGGACTCGGGTTGTTACATTCTTGGGTACGTTTCTCTCCCGGCCTCTCTCTGTCCCTCCTTTCCAAGTAATAGAACAAAATCTCCTGGGATAATACATACTAAGTGGAGGGGCGGCGGGGGGGGGGAAGATTACGACGCCGACATGTCCACCGTCCCCTATATCCTCGACGAATTCTCCTACTACTTTGAAACACCCTACGACGTCACCGACTCCACCTTCGATGACTGCAGCATCAACCGGCCCTCCGGCGCCTCCGCCGACGGCCGCATGTACATCGTCAACCACTTCCTCGACAAGGACGTTTTGGGCGCTGACATCCCGGACCGCGACGCCGCAAATACGACCAATGCCGTTTCGGGCACGGGCAGTATTGGCGCACAGACGGCGCTGTGCGAGTCGTTGTATGGTCGGCCGCCGAATGGGATTTTGCTGGATTGGGTTGATCTTGGGGAGCCTATTAAGGCGCAGGATGTTATTAATGGGGTGTCGAGTTAGTATATATAAACAAGGTGTTGTTGCATGTTGGGTGTTGCCGTTCAAGACTGATGATGATATTATGTGTGTATATAGGATGATATAGAATGTACATACACATCCTAGATGCATAGCGAGGCTGAGGAAGAATCACTCGTCGATCTCCACCTGCATTTGACGTTCTACACACCATAGCATTAGTATTCGTAGACTTAATCTAAAGAAAAGAGAATTACCATATATCTTATTCGCAGACGCGATAATCACTTCTGCTTTGCGAGCCATTTTCGCCGCGTATCGCTCAGCTTCTTTCTCCGAGTTCTGATACGACTGCGATTTGCGCGAGCGGGCCTGCCGACGGCAATATTAGTATTGCATAAATTCTTCATCACCATCATCATCAGCACCAAAGATTGAAAAGAGTACCATAATCAAAACAGGAACAATGTCCTTCGCATCTGCAGCTGCCAAAGCCCTCACACTCCGGAACCCGTTCTCCCATAACAACCGCGCCGTCCAGCTCTTGACATGCGTCACCTGCGCCATTTCGAGCAGGTCGTCGCGCGCGCCGGCCTGTAGTCGGTCACGCATATGGTCCAGCACGATGGCGAGCATGCCCCAGCCCATTCGCTGGCAGAATTTGACCATGCCCGCTGCAAAGCCGTGGCATGTCTGCGCTAGAGTCTGCACGACGCCGCGTGGGACGCGGTAGCGACTTGCTATGGTGGATAGTGGGATTTCGTTGCTGAGATCGCGGAGTTGGAAGGCTGTGTAGGCTCGACGGTAGATTCGGGAGAGCTGGAGTTGGGTTGGGTCATCTTCTTTGAATGTTCGTCCGGATTGGACCCTATTATTTATATCAGTCATTATTTTCATGACGATGAAGATCAAGTTGAAGAAGTACATGTTATTAACGAATCCAGGCTGCACTCCAACAAACTGCAGCGCGCGAATGCCGCTCTCATCCAAAAGATCGAGCTGATCTCGGAAAATAGGCCAGTCGATAGTAGTGTTCATAGCGACACTGAACGGAGTAAACATATAGAATATGTGCATCTCTCCATCCATGACAAAGGCCTGGAGCGCGCGCTTGAGTTCTTCATACACAAAAATACCGTCGTCCGGAGAGAAGGAAGAAGCGACAATGGCGGCGCCGAGCTTCGTCGATTCGTAAGAATCATCGTCACGCAAGCGAATCAGTCCCATCTCGACTAATTCCTGCAGACTCGATTCGGTCAACTTCTGAATTTCACCCTCTTCCCGCGTTCGGCAGAGTAGAGTGCATCTCATGAACTCATCGATGGCTTCGCGACCAGACACTAATCGTGTCGCAATACCTTCTAACAGCGCTCTAAATAACCAACACGTCTTAGGATTTACTTACTTGCAAAGGGGGGGGAAAAGAACATGAAGAAATGAGAGATACCTTTTCACGCCTTTGTTATCCTGCGCTAAACAACTGTCAATCGCCGGAGTCTCAGCATCCCATATCTCAGAAATCGCCTCCAAATCCGCTTTCTGGCAAATGAGATAGGTTTCCCCAACCGTGTCCTTCCCTTTGCGTCCTGCGCGACCCCTCATCTGGCGTCTTTTTTATGTCAGTGACTCTTCTAGATCTGCCAGGGGTAAAACGTACAATAACGCAGGTCCAACAATGTCGCGGCCCATTCGGGCACCTTGTATAATGACTCGTCTGGCGGGCAGATTCACACCTGCTGCAAGACTGCATGTTGCCACAATAACTTTCACTGTCCCTCGGTCATACGCATCCGCTACCAGGTCTCGTTCCTCGGTAGTTAGCCCAGCATCTAAAATGGTTCGGCAGTCAGCTAGAAAATTTTTTCTAATAAAAGCACAAGAGTATACTTCTTCATGCATGTAGCGCCGGGGAAATCGGGAAATCTCACGATGAAAAGCAACTCCCTTGATAATAGTCGCCTGAAAAACGGGATCCAGCCCGCATGGTAGACTTCCCAACTCCGCCAAAAGATCTAGTCTTCTCTCCAAAAGTTCTGTATCCAATGTTGACGGCGGAGGCATTGCCTCGCTAATCAGCTGGGCATTCATCTGGCAGGCCTGTCGGCTACCGCAAAATACCAAGGCTCCAAACCCAGCAGTGGCTGTTTCAACAGCTAGGGACACCATCACGTTCGCGGTGGGATTACTTAACTCCTTGAACGGCGACGGGTCGACCAATCGACATGGGGGTACAGAATCGAGTAATGATACGGACTGAAGCTTTGTGGCTGTTTGGAAAAATCCCTTCGAACTGGTAGCAGGGTAGATGGCATTCTCGTAAACCAAATGTTCGTCAATTGGGACGGGCCGATGCCTCGATGCATGAAAGGAGGCATGAAGCCACTCCGCTAGTAATTCAGTATTCTTATAACGATACCAACCGTCAGCTATGATTTGGGTTGACTTGTTCAGAGGCGATTACTCACAGAAAGAGTAGCGCTCATGCCAATGAGTTGGATGTCTTGTTGCAACAAAAGCAGTTTGGTCACCATCAACTCTAGTAGGTAGCCGCGACTGTCATCATCCAGCATATGGATTTCATCCACGACTACGACGGCGAGATCATTGATATTACATTCCTCGATGGCAGTGTTGACTAACGCATTTGCCTACACCAGCGAATGAGAGAGAGATACGCAAGACAGCAATGGATAACGAATAAAATATATATGTATATAAACATAAATATATACGGAGTCTGTTGATAGAACCCACCTTTTCAATGGTGCAGACTGCAATGTCAGTATCGGCCCAGGTCGCTCGCGACTTACTTCCACCGAAAAAGCCGGTTACACGGATCTCCTTGGACGGCTGTCTCCATGGCTGCTGCTGTTTCGCAGGATCGATGTGGGGATCACCGAGGTTCTTCTCGACGTCCTGGACGATGCGACGGAGCCACTTGAGCTTCTCCTGCACGAGGGCCACATACGGCAGCACCAGCATAGCCTTGCGGTGTGGGTTCTCTATGACTCTTTTGAGCATCAACACATCGGCGACCAGCGACTTGCCGCCTCCGGTGGGTGCTGTGTAGAGCAGGTTCTTCTCGGCGGTCAAGTGGCCGCGGCCGAGCAGACACGAGGCCTGCCATGGATAGATGCTGTGGATGCCGACGGCGTTGAAGTTGGCCACCAAGGCAGGCGGCAGGCCGTACTTCGGGTGCTCCAGCGACAGCAGGGGGTTGCACTTGGCAGCAGTGGTGGTCGTTGTCGTCGGCGGCGCCAAGTGCGGGATGGCACGGATGATAATGCTAGCGTGGCCGGTAGCGTGCCGAATCGGGCTAGCGGCGATGCGAGCGGCGCCTGAGGTAGAGGCTTGCGCATGAGTGGTAGCGACAAAATCCACGCCGCGCGTGCTGGCCGCGTGAGGTTGGACGGAGTCTTCTTTCGAGACCAGCGCCTGGTACGGCCGCTTCAGTCCAGCGCGCGCCCTGGAGGTGGCGATCGAGGTTGTCTGCTGCTGGGCCAGGGCCACGGACGTCTGGAAGCCATGGCTCTGGACGGGGAACCCAGACATGACCTGGGGAGAGAACGAAACGAGGACCAGTGCAGAGTAACTAGGTCACGCCATGTAGGACACTATGGTCCAACCGGAACGTCGGCCATTTAGGGGGCTGGGGTGTAGTTCGTCAACATGTGTTGTGTGGTGGTGGTGGTGGTGTTGAATGTTTGTTTGCATTGGAACTTTCGGGGGCACAAGGCAAGACCGTGCCCGGGTGCCTCAGGTGTCTGTCGCATCACGTGTCGCCAGCATGCCTACTATATAAATCATAAATCATACCCAGGAGCGACACAGTGTAAACGATATGCGCGACAGACCATGTGCCTGCGATCTCTTACTTCCCGTATCATGCCATCGATCGAGCCACAGACCAGACAGAACAGCGGTGACTGGCAAAAGCCCATCAGATTCATTCATTTCATGTATGACGCCCGCAGGCGGGCACACGCTAGTCTGCTTTGGGCGTAGGCTGGCAGGCTTAATTTAGCAGCTGGTTCTATTTCCTCCGTCACTGACCCAAGTAGAGACTCGCTAGTTCACTAATTATTATTCTCATTATTAACCAAGTTGGTGACTCTGGCAGTTGTGTTGTGGCAAACCCAGCGCTGCCACGTGATTGGCTGGAGGGCGTCCAGCAGCACAACCTCTCACGAAGCTGGATATTTATCGTTGTCTGCTCGGCCAGATTAAAGAGGGTGGATGAATAGGCCCAAAGGGGCCATCGGCAGGTCTCAATACCGTCTTGCCTTCTTTGTTCTGTTCTGCTGGTCAGATGCAATAGAAAATAGAGTGTAGAAAAAAGAAATGGTTGATGCTCGTTCGTTCTTGGCAGCATTCCTACAAATTAATCGTGAGCTAAAAAATTCGTCTCTGGCCGGTCTGCGAGCAAGGGATCGGAAGCTATTTCGCCATCATCCTCCTCCTCCTCCTCACCACTACAAGGCAGATACTGAAGCACTACGACGAGCGAATAATCGGCGCGCCAGAAAAAAGCAAGCCCGCCCAGATTGAGCTGGCGTTGAGACTTTTCGGGACTAGCCCAATATAAGATTAACACTGACTAAGGGAAGCACATCTAAGGTTGGGCGGCTTCCCATTTCCATTTTCCCTTGATTTCATTTGCAACCTTGAAGTCTTTCTCTCTCTCTCTCTCTCTCTCTCTCTCTCTCTCTCTCTCTCTCTCTCTCTCTCTCTCTCCCCCTCACTCTTTTCTCTTCCTTTCTTTCTTCCTGCCTCGCTTCTTCACTTCTTTCCCACTGTGTCTCTCTCCGCTCTCCAGCAACTCGGAGCGGGCGTTTCAACCTTCCAGCGCTTCCTGCCACTCGCCGTCATTGGATACGTCTGGCTGCTTCTCGCACCTGTAGGCAATTCCCTGTCTTCCTCTCTCTTCCATCCTTATCCACCTACCCCTACCCATCGTCCTCTTGTGCGTCTTCATGCCCATTTGCTTGATAGCTTGTCGCCGCGTCTCCGCTCCACGCGCGCCGGTGCAGATCAAGCCAAACCGCATTCTTTTTTCTGCTCCTGGTCTTGGTGACGATTATTCTTGCTGCTTTTGCTACTTCTTACTCTGACTGTGTACATTCTCGCGCGCGCGTACGGCCTTTGTCCCACTCTCACTCCTGTTTCACTCGGGGGGCTCTTTTTTTTTTTTTTTTTCTCCTGCTATTTTGATGTGGTTTCTTCCCTCTTGGCTCTCCCATTATTAGTCTCTCTCCCTCCGTCCCCATCCCATCCCATCCCATCCACTCGCGCTTGTCTGATATTCTCTCTCTTCCATTCCATTCCTGCCCGCCACTCGAGCTGCTGAGTTTTTATTCTTGCTGTTTCTCCCCCCTTCCCCACATCCGGCGCATGAACGGCCACTCTGGCTTACCTCGCATCCTTGTCTAGTCGTTCTTGTTCATGTTGTAGGGCGTTGCTTTCCCACAGAGATACAGGACACTAGTCATGTCCACGGAGTCTCTGCCATCATCGGCTGAGCCATCCGACTCTGTGCCCACGCCCGCCACCGACAACAACAACAACACCACCACCACCAACAGCACTCCTGCTGCTGCTGCCACTACCGACAACAACAACAACATCATCATCATCAACGGGTCGGCGGCTCGCGGTAAGTCTCGCCATGCCGCAACGCCCTCTAAGCCTGACAAGCCCGAAGAGGCCAAGACAGTCAACGGCGCGCACTCGCAGCCCATGACTGCCTCCGACTCGACCTCGTCCGAGGTGACTGCTGTCATGGATGCTGCCGGCGCTCCTTACAGCACCCGGTCGCGCGGCCGCAATGGCGCCCAGCGTCCCAACTATGCCGAGGACATTGAAATGGACTTTGAATTGGCCAGTCCTGCCCCGGCCGCTACCAAACCTGCCTCTGGCTCGGCTAAGCGTAATAATCATAGCCAGAACCAGAGTGCCAATGGCTCTCCGTCAAGACTGGCCGACAGCGAAAAAGGTCCCGCGGCCAGCACCCGCAAGAACCAGGCCCAGCCCAATGCCGCTGCAAAGGACGCGATTCCCGGCACCTCAACGTTCTCCGCCAGCGTCTCCAGCAATGGCGGCTCAGCGGCTTCGGCAACGACGCGGAAGCGAAAGCAGCCACCCAACGGGGCCGCCCCCAATGGCTCTGCAAAGAGGCAGCTCACCACCGCATCTAGTCCCAAGCGCGACATTCGCCTTTCAAACATGATGACGTTTGAAAACTCCGGCGCGCGCTTGAAGAATGGGAAGCTCAAGGCCGACGATGGCACCGTTCTCGAAGTGAATGGTACGTGCCTTTGTTCTGTATAACCAAAATCAGTTCTGTCTTGTAGTCATAACTAACGCGCACAGATCATGTCTATTTGATTTGCGAGCCCCCAGGCGAACCATACTACCTGGGTCGCATCATGGAATTTCTCCCCGCAAAAGGGAACTCATCCGGCCCCGTCGAGATGGTCAGGGTCAACTGGTACTACAGACCCAAGGACATTCAACGCAGAGTGCCAGATCCGCGCCTAGTCTTTGCGTCAATGCATTCCGACCCATGTCCTCTCTCATCGCTTCGAGGAAAGTGCACTATCAAGCATGTTTCTGAAATCACGAGTCTAGACGACTATCGCAGATTAAAAGACAGCTTCTGGTACGACAAAATGTTTGATCGATACATGCATCGCTACTACGAGGTTGTGCCGACAAAGGACGTGATCAATGTACCGAGCCACGTCAAGAAGGTTCTCGACGAGCGATGGAAATTTGTGCTATGCGAGCCGGCACGAAAGAAGGAGCTTACTGGCGCCGTCAAAACGTGTATCAAGTGCGGGCTATATGCTGCTAGGTAAGATACATTTTCATCGATATGTGCAGAAAAAAAAATTATTCATGACTGACTCAACCCAGTGCCGAGTCGGTGGACTGCGCCGTGTGCCACAATACTTATCACATGAACTGCGTGAGGCCGAAATTGACGAAGAAGCCAGCGCGCGGATTTGCTTGGGCGTGCGCTTTGTGCAGTCGCGCGCAAGAGCGGAAACTAGAGGCGCGCAACACTCCCTTGATCGGTGAGGCTCTACCAGAGGTGGAAGAGGATCTCCCTGAAGAAGAGGAGGAAGAGCCCGCCTCGAATGGCACTGCCGTTGCAACTGGACGAAGTAGCCCTGCAATTGATGACAGCAAGAAACCTGCGCCTGCTACGGCCGCTCAAATCGCCCAAGCGAAAATGTGGCCGTACCGATATTTCGGCATCCATTGTCAATTGGAAGATGCGCTGGACTATGACGACCGCATCTATCCTCGAGCAAGCTCTCGTATCGGCACACGGCATCAGGCGATCGTTAGCCCATGGTATGGCAAGCCTGTTGAGTACGTCAAACCACTTGATCCGAGAAAAAAATCGAAAGCCTCGGGTAAAGGTGGAACCAGCAAATTGTCCAAGGAGACGCAAGCCGCTATCGAGGCTGAAAAGCAGGACAGACTGAAGCGTCCGTGGGTCATGGATGAGCCTCCGGGTTACATACGCCGAGGCGAGGATGAACCAGTTCCGCTCAATGGCAAAGAAGTCCGCACCGCAGATTTACACTTCAAGTTGCCTGAGCCCAACCAGATTCCCTCTTCTAGAGGCGAGGACGACTTTCCAGCGCCAGAATTGAGCCTTGAAGACCGGGAGAAATTTATCGACGAATACATGATCAAAGCTAGGGATCTTGCGGCCGAGAGAGGCCTTCCCAAGTATCACACAAACTTCTTGGACAAGGCTCTGGAGTATCTTTATTCAGAGAGCTTCAACGTGGACGCTGCACTCAAGCGCCTCAAAAAGGCAGATCTTTACAAGGAGCTTAAAGAACCGAAGCTTAACAAAGAGCAAAAGGCGCTGTTTGTCGAAGGTGTTTCTAAATTCGGTTCCGAATGGCTTAACATTCGCAGGTACATTGGAAATATCGAGCCTCGACACGTCGTCCGTTATTATTATATGTGGAAAAAGACACCCGAGGGTCGTAAAGTCTGGGGAAGCTACGAGGGACGCCGTGGAAAGAAAGAGGCTAAGCGAGCGGATGCTTCGTCTAAATTACTAGATGATATCGCTGATGAACACGATGATTCGGCATTTGACAACGACAAGGCAAATGAGAAAAAGCGCGGTTTCCAGTGCAAGTTCTGTCTGACTCGCTCTTCTCCTCAGTGGCGTCGTGCTCCTCTTACAACTCCTGGTGCTACTGTGCCAGCCGAACCCACCTCCTCGTCATCGTCGTCAAAGAAGGGGGATAAAAGCGTCCAACTCGCCGTGGCGCTGTGTCATCGATGCGCCATCATGTGGAGGAAGTACGCTATCGAGTATAAAGACGCCGATGAATTAGCGAAGAAACTTCAAGCCAGTGGGAACAAAGCCTGGCGTCGCAAGTTGGACGAGGAGTTGATGACTCAAATGCTAGTTTCAGACGAGACGCCAGCCGCTGCTGCTGCTGTACCAACAGGGGCCGGCGCGAACGGGTCTTTAGCAGCTGAGACCACAACGGAGCCAGCTAAGAAGAAAGCACGAACGCTACTAGATAAGGATAGTGCGAGCACATCGGCTAGGAACTCCGTCGAGCCACCTCCCAAGAAGAAGGTAGTTGAGAAACTCGTTGAACCCGCACCCATCATTCCAGATCCGCCGCGTGCAAAGACACTACCATGTGCAGTTTGCAAAAAGATCGATTCTACTGGAGAGAGCAGCGTTACATGCAAAGATTGTCGACTTACGGTCCACCGAGGCTGCTATGGAATTGAGCCTGAGAGTTGCCACGCAAAATGGCTCTGTGATATGTGTTCGAACGACCGCAATCCAATAGTTTCGACGCGCTATGAATGTGTTCTGTGCCCTGTCACTTTAACGGAACAGGAGTTGATGGAAGCACCCAAGTCGACGACGAATCATAAGAAGAAATCTGAACGAGACCGTGAGAAGGAAAGATTGGAGAAGGAAATGGTTCTAGAAGCCATTAAGCTTTACCAGCAGCGACAAGAAGCTGTGTGCAAGCCTATCAATCCACGGGAGCCATTGAAGCGGACTGTGGGCAACAACTGGGTTCACGTCAATTGTGCGGTCTGGAATCCAGAGATCAGGTTCGGAAGAGCGGAGGAGCTGGAGCCAGCAGAAGGCTTTGGTCTTATTTCTCGAGAACGCTACCGAGAAACGTGCAAACTCTGCAAGACTTCGAACGGAGCTTGTGTTTCGTGCCATTACCCGGGTTGTAATGCCAAGTTCCATGTCGGATGTGCGCTTCGTGCAAGTTACATATTTGGCTTTGATGTAACGCCGGTCAAAGGGTCGCGCAAGGACTCGACTCTTATTATGAAAATCGGTGGGGAGGCTGGATTAGTGGTACCGAGCATCTGGTGTTCCTCGCACGCCGTGCAGACGATTGTTCATGATATCAGCGAGCCCACTGATCATGAGGGACAGAGTGCTTTGGAGCTTTACGTGCGAACTTACAAGCAAGCCGATCTCAGCTTGACAGGAACCGTTCGCAAAGCCGCGCATGTACCGCAGCAACAGCAGGTTCATCCTGTATCTCAAAGCAATGGTTCCCATCGACGAACTTCTACCATCAACAGCACTACCGGTGGTCCAGCAAGCATGGGCGAGAGGAGGAATTCTACGGCCACGATTCAGGATACTACAACGGAAGCTGTTTCGACTAGTGCTCCTGCACCAGAACCTGCACGCCTGTCAATTGGAGGCAAATCGTGCGTCTATTGCCAAACAAATTACAGCCCTCGATGGTGGCGGGTCGACAATCAATACAAGGGCGGCATGGTTACCAACGGCATGGGTCATCTAGTGAATGGTGGTGCACCACCTATGCACTCGCGCACCATGTCGTCGACATCAGGGCCCTACATAATGAACGGCGATTACACCAAGCAGAATGATGTCTATGAATGTCACAAGTGTCATATTAAAAGGCCAACACCGCCACCTCACACCTCACCCGAAACATACCAAACCTTCCCTACTCAGCCTGCATCGCTAGTTCCTATTCAACCTGCACTACGACAGGCTGAGTACTCGCCATTTATGTCTCATGGACATCCGGGTGCACAGAATATGTTGGCAGGCCGTCCTCATCCTGGTCACCCTGCGCTGCCAGGTACAGCTCCAGCTCCAGCTCCCACGGGCCCTGAGTGGTACAGTAGTTACGACAAGCAACCTGGTCATGGGCTTAATAGCACGGGACGCCACTCCAATGGGTTTGGTCAGCATGGTCCCTTTCCTTCACCGGGCCCATTGCCTCATTTGAATGGCTACGTTAGTGGACCAGCGCCGGCTCCGGGAGGTACACCTGCGTCTACACCATCTCACAGCCATGGACCAAGCCACCTCGGACCTCCTCCAACAACCACTCATCACCCGGGACCAGGACACTATGGAAGCATGCCATCCACCTTACCGCCGCCACCACCGCCGCCGCCGCATTCATATGTCGGTTCTGGGTATGGACCACCGCCTATGCCGTCGCCGCATGTACCCCCAGCGCGGCCGTTTGGGACTTCGATGTCACCGCCTGATCTACACGCGAGCATTGTGCATCATTCGCCATCTCACGGGCTCAATGCGGGGCCACCGCCTCCTCCGCAGCGACCGCGCATGTACTCTGTTGACCGGCTGGGACAGTCGCCTTCGATGATGTCCAAGGTCGGAGATCAGCTGCCAGGTCCGTCAAGTTTATCGGATGAGCGACCTCCTAGCAGCGGGCGATACTCTGTTGCGGGTGCAAGTGCAGGTCCCAGCGGAACGAACGCGAGCAACACGAATGGCAGTAGCGGAGCCAGCGCAAGTCCGTCACTGAAGAATCTACTTTCTTGACAAGCCTGAATAAGAAAAAAACAAATCTACGTTGGTTATGGGGTGGGGCTGAATTGTACAATATTTATTCTCATTCTGGTTTGGTTTGGTTATTGTGTGTTTTATCTTGCGAAACAAGAGAAAAAAGAAAACAGGAAAAGATAATAAACGAGGGAAAAGAAAGAAGGCGTTGCATTTGGGAAGGACAAAAAAATAACATGAGTTTCTTATTTATCATTCTCGTTTCATTTGTTTCTTTTTTTTTCATGTGTATCTATTATATCCTCATTGTCTGGCGTTTTGATTGTGGCCAAGGGAAAAGGGACCTGCTTTTGATTTAGAGGGGATAATGCATTCTATTTATTTCTATTCTATTTAAAACAAACACCGATTCAAGCGAAGCCCTGTTTAAATCAACGCCATTATCCAACGTCAACCAATGATCCAATGCGCAACACACCGCCATGAAACAGCCTAGCAAAGCAATACTACTCCTCATCAGGCAGTAGGTAGGTATATCACCTTGCCATTAACCAACTAGTCAACCTAAATCCCTTCCGATCTACACAATCGTACATAAGTGACTATACAAGATAGGTTACAACCCGTTGGCCCTGCGTGGGTACTCCGAACCTTTTATTCCGTGGTTATGTTATGATAATTTATAAAATCAACTATGGAAGAAAATGTTGGAGAATGTTGGGGAGTGGGAACCTAGAAAGGAATGGTCTCCATTTTCTGGTCGATTAGGTTTTTTTTTTTTAAAACGTGGCTTGTTTGCTTGGGCCGGGGCCGAAAGGGTCCCTGTTATGACTGTCAGTGACTATTGACTACGGAGTATGAAGTATCGACTACGGACGAAATATGTACGGTGAGAGGGTTTACTTGTGTACGTACCCCCTAGGGTATCTGTCTGGCAGTGCTCGCTTGCGTGCTAGCCTGGTGATCTGACCGGGCTGGTACGATGGATGATGATCCATGACCTTGGGGGCCAAGTATCACTACTCTATCTACTACGTACTAACTAACAAACTAACTCTGTACGGAGAACAGCCCTCTATCCTATGGATATGGCCGTACAACCACATCCTCGGAAACCAATACCTGGTGTCAGACAGCAGCGGTAGTTAATGCTTATCAACATTAAAAATTGGCTTATGGACTTTGCGACTAATCCTGCTTCTGGCTAGATGGCTTAAGCCCATCCCTTGCTTTGGGAGAGACGGCGCGAGGTGGCTGATAAGCCTATATCTAACCGATGAGTATGCGGTGGCCAGTGTGCGGTAATTTGGTACCTCGGTATTTGTTCCTGGCCGATACCTATGTAACCTGTTGGGTATGCATTGTGTTCGGCGGATGGGATTGACTTGTAGCATTGCTACCTACCTGGTCATAGGCAGTTAGTTACATTATATGATCGACATCCACTATAGACATAGGTATGTATATGTGTATATATATATACATCGCCGAACTGGCTGTCCACTCCGTCCTCCGTCGCCGTCTGCTTGAGGCTGGAGATTTCATATTTAGCCTATCTACTTACTATCCACGGAGTAGATAGAAGTTCGTCCGACAAACACACGAGGCGTACGTATGCTCTGCAGCATCTGCGCGCCGTCTGTCTTGGCGGGCGTCAAAATGGATGAAAGTTTTGGCCCCTGTTGACTCGTGGACGATACTGTAAGTGTACGCTAACTAGCCTGGCTTAGTTAGCAAGGAAGCTCAGGCCGAGTGAAAGTCGGTCTACCCCAGGAAAAGCCTAGCCTATCAAGCATTACAAGGTAGTTCCTGTTTGGGTTAGAGGCATGCACGCAATTGTTCTATTTCACGGGATGATCGGTATAGAGTAGGTATATATATATTATATATATATATATGCTACATGGTACGGAGTGTTGCTATAACTAGTAGTATATTAACTATATGCTATGCCGACATCAGTTGATAACTTCCCACCGGCAGAGAATTTGTCATCTGAGTACCTAGGCTACGCATGCAACTGCATATGTACTACTACTAACCATGGTACAGGTTGCATGTGCAAAGCAGAATTTTGATTGAACGGCAAAGACTAATGCCTGACGATCATCATCATCGTCATCCCACTGAATTTAACTCTTACTTAGACCGTGCTAATTAATCTATCTAGTATTTGCAAGATTCAATGATAAATCCACCAAATTTTATGCACCATCCCGATAGTAGTATCTATGCAGTACTCGTACTCTAACCGCCCTGCAGACACCCTGCAGCACGACAAGCTGTCCGGATATGAAGAACGTGATGCTATATATATAATGTACATGCATAGAAATATGTTCATAATTTATACCCTACCAAACTCTCTGTGGCTGAGCGGGCAGCGCCACTCTGATTGGTCGCCACGCGACGGCAATACCTTATGTAATACATACCGCAAAGCTGATTGGCCTGCTGATTCTTCGCTGATAATCCATCATCATTATATCAAGTTTTGGCCCCAGCACAAAGTCCTGAGTTAGATAGCCCTACGACCGACCAGATTACTCGTTAGTGACATGCTAAGGCCCAAACTGGGCCGATCTCCGTGCTCTAAAATTATAATTACATTTTCGGCATATCACATTGGCACATCTTCTGCGGGTTAGACGCTCGGCTAATCTGCTGTAGTTACATTGCTATTTCATTCATCATACTATATAGTTAATTAATCGTACAATGAGCTTATATACGATGGAGAGTTGATACGTGGTAATCATTGACGTAGTACGTACTCGTACGCAACAAAGTTTACTCTGTATACTGCGTACAGGAAGAAGGATTCTAGAAGATCGAACAACCAATACAACCGGCCTAAGTCGATGGAGGATTATCGCCCCCCCCCTCTTCTTCCCCACTTGGGCCGACTCCTTCATTACGAGGCATGTGCACAGATAAACGAAAACTCGAGAATATGCACTCCGTACTACGTATTAATCCTAGAGAAAGCAGAGGAAAATATAATAAGCAACAATAGTGTATGCGCGGAAGCTTGTCTGGCTGTCTGTTTGGCTGTTTCCTCTCCCGGAGTATTTATTATTGGACGAGTCATGCTGATGAACAGTCGTGATTGGACGATTGAACGATTGCATCGATCCACCGCGGCCCTCTCATTGGCTGGACAATAACATACTCCGGCTGGATTGGGAAACGAAGCGGCCTGGGCATCCGTCATGTCTTGGCACGCCGTATTATTCGTGTTCTTATCCTTTCTTGCGTAAAAGTTGTTAAACCGCAGCCAACCGCCGCCCCGTCACATACCGTATCGTATAATTACGCCATCTTCCACACCCATCTCTTTTTTTTTTTTTTTCCCACGCTAGTTCCACCCGGGCGCTAGTGCACCGCGCTGACTCGCAAGCGGCCAACCACGGCGGACCAGACCTTCTGGAAGGCCAGCAGAAAGCTTCTAACTTATCATCGCTCCTTCCCTTTCTTGAGACCTTTCTTTGCCCCCCCCACCTCCTCCTTCCTTCTTCTTCGGACTTGCTCCTTCCTCCTGCCTGCCTGCCTTAGCGCCTTGCCCGATCCGCAAATCGACGCTGAATGGACCTTCCCTTTCTATTCTTCTTCTCGTCGTCCAATCCTCGCTCTCTCTCTCTCTTTTCCTTGTCTTCGTCTCTGCTCTCACTTCTCTACTTACTACTACTACTCCTACTCCAGTCCTGCTAGTCGCTTTGCACCCTGCAGTCGCCAGTGCAGTCCACCGTCCTTATTTCTTACCCTATCTCTATCTCTTCTCTCTCTCTACACACTCCTTCACCACTATCTATCTATGTAAGCAACTACAACTACTCATCTTGGCCGTCACACACACAGTCTCTTGTCCAACCTTGTATAATCGGTGCGCTTACTCTCGCCTCCAGATTGTGTCCGGCCTCAATTCTGCAGCCTATTGCATCTGAACTTGTCAAGAAACGACTCGTCTCCATTGGAAACCACAATCAATCGCAATCAATACATTATAATACTCAACAAACATCGCCCACGATGAGCTACGCCGTCTAAATCCATCGTCACTATATACCACATCTTTTATATAATTACATAGATAGATTGGATGCCAACGACCCTTGTCTGCATGAGGAGGGTCCTTTCATGTCCCGGTGGATCTCAGCTGCGACTATAACACATCCCAAGTCAGCGTGGTCCACGAAACGGACACCAGCAACAGACACAATGTCTTATCAATTATGCGATGCCGTCTACATCGACGACCGATTCAAAACGGAAAGATGGGTGTACCGAGAGGAGATACTGGAGCGGAGTGACGCCAATGAACTGTCGACGTTGTTTCCAGACGTGCCACCTAGACTCCAGAATACGATGAAAGTAATCTCGAACATTTGCAAACAAAGTAAGGCTCTTATTTGCATGTGCATGTCAGTCGATTGAGGGCTTACCTTTTCCGTGTCAATTCTCATAGTCTACGTTTGTAACTCGGCCCAATCTTTTGCAGCCGCTCTCGCTCGTCTGAGCGACCAAAGTGGACCAGACTGTACGCCTATCTTCGCCTTTGTCGATGTTGAGTCGACTCCAGCTGCTGCTGCTTTACGTCGCCAAGAAGCACGGGATACCGAAGGTGATCCTTACGCTCCCGTGTCAGAAAAATTCAGCTTCTCTTCCGAGTCCCCCGATTCATACGGAGTTCAGCTCGTAGCTCTCCTATCGTCAGATTTACAGTTGCTAGAAGGCCCCAAACTCATCACACCGATTGCTGTTATGCGGACTCCAGGAGGTTTGGGCGAAGAGGGTGAGGGTTTGTCGCCTTCGAAACTTCAACAGAAATTGTGCTGTCTTTCACCTACATTTGTCACTCTGCCGCAACGCTGTTTGGATGCAGGTGCTGCTGATGTGCTTTGTCAACCATTGGAGGATGCCCGTGTTGAGAGCCTGCTCGTCCATGCTTATCGGATAAAGCGATCTGCACAGAAGGAAATGACGCGGTTTTTGTCGGTCAAGAAATCCAGGAAACAGTCGTGGGTTGGCGTTCACGGCGAAAAGCCATATTCATATCTAAGGGAGGCAATGTAAGTTTTTCTTCTTGAATTTTCTCATCAAAAATGCTCCTTTATCTGACGTTACCAAAATAACCAATTAGGGTATCAAAACTGTTGAAGTCGATATGTAATCCAGAACAAGTGATTGAGGAATTTCATGATGGGTACGTATCTTCTCGAGTTATCTCTTTCTTTCTCTATTTTTTTATTCCTATTTTCTTCTTCTTTTTCACACCGTTAATGACATCCTCAGGGATTTGGATATTTCGCCTGATCGAAAAGCTATCATAGAACACGAGGTTGGTGTGTGGAGGTTTTCTGCCCACAGCCTCTCGGATGACGAACTTGTACACGCCGCCTTTGCCATGATTGGGCATGCTATGGCAATGCCCGAGCTAGAGCCCTGGCGATTGACCAAAGGTTGGTTTGGTTCTGATTTTATCAAGATGAATCTATATTAACATACTACTAGTCGAACTTCGCACTTTCTTACTGGCCAGCCGCGCCGCATATAATTCATTTGTCCTCTATCACAACTTCCGCCATGCAGTGGACGTACTGCAGTCTGTCTTCTATATCCTCGTCACAATCGGCGCTCTCCCTTCCTATAACCCTGCTACTACAAACACAGTAGCTGCCCCCAAATCTCCAGTAGCATCGCTGATTTCCCCCTTTGATGCTTTGACTCTCCTTATCGCGGCGATCGGCCATGATGTCGGCCACCCCGGCGTGAACAACGTGTTTTTAGTGAACTTGAATGCGCCGCTAGCCCAGTTATATAACGACAGCTCTGTCTTGGAAGCCTTCCACTGTGCCGCCTTCTCCCAGATTCTTCGTCGTTACTGGCCTGCAGCTTTTAACGATGTCAAGATGCGAAAATTGCTCATCAGCTCCATTCTTGCTACCGATATGGGCGTGCACTTTACGTACATGAGTCGCATGGCTGAGCTGCAAGGAAAATACCATGAGAAGGAGGATCTGACAGCCTGGACAGCGCAGGAGCGAGATACCTACAAGGCTCTTATGTGCGGGCTGATTATTAAATGCGCCGATATTAGCAATGTGGTAAGCATCTGCCATTAAGGGCATGGAATGAAGAAAGAAAAGCTAATTTTACCTCTTAAAGGCCCGACCCTGGAAAATAGCAGAACAGTGGACCCATATATTACAAGAAGAGTTTGCTCATCAAGGCGAAATGGAAAAGGAAATCGGCATGGAAACAGCTCTGTTCGGTGGGCCTCCTGAATTAGGCAACATACTCAAACTCTCTCTCGGGCAAATCAACTTCATGTCGATATTCGCCATACCTCTATTTGAAGGAGTCTCCAGCCTCTGTCCAGATATCAAAGGCACCGTCGAACAAATCAAAGTGAACAGAGGTCGATGGCAAGAAGTAGCGAGCCAACAACAAGCGTCTACCACTACTGTCGGCCCGTCAGATGCGCAGCGATCTTCACGGTCACTCAGGTCTGCAAAAAGCCAGACTCTCCCGGTTTCGTCGGTACAGGAGAACAATGTCCAAGCAGATGAAGACTCGAATGCTCATATCACCTTGGACCAACCTCCTACCCGTTTAGCCTCGCCGCCATCCCCAACTGCACAAAAGAAGTTTGCAGACGATAATATTGACCTCTCACAGACGACTGTCTCAGGATTTCAGACAGAAGCAGACGGTGATTCTGACGACAACCCGCCCTCTGAATATCAATCGAGTGAAGAGGACAATAGCAATACATGCAAATCATCAGGTGCAACTCTGACGACGCACAATGTGGAACCTGACCGGGTGTCCTCTTCCTCTCGCCGTGTATCGCGCCGTTCGAGCTCTTACGGAGCCGGTAGGGACACGAGAACGCAGAGTGAAAGCACTACAACGAATACGGTGGCAACTCCCACATCTCCAGCCACAAACGCAACCAGCTTCGTTACTTTGGACAGTAGTGATGAGAAAGATTGTGCTGCGAGTGGGTTGAGCAGTGCCAGTGACGTTTGCCCACTGGATGAAAATCACTCACGGCCATCTTCATCTGGAATATACGCAGTTTCTGACCGACAAAGACTCCGAACTAACGATCGCAATCCTATCTCCCAGAAACCACGCTCGTCTCAAGGCTTCGAAGAGTTTGGCAAAACCCACCATGTGATGACCGCTATACTGGGGAATGCTTGGAGCGGTCGCGAGTCTTCAGCCGATAGTAAACATCCTACTTCACATCGTTCGCATGAGCAGCTCACATCTTCAACTCGGCATAATCTACCACGGAAAAAGAGCCGTTTACGATTGGCATTTTGGAGGCGAAAGCCTCAATCTCAACAAGAGGCGGGTAATTAATATCTACAAATGACCCCCGTTCAACACTTGGTCTTGTACGACCGGGCGATTTTATATAGTCGCAATCCGACAGTCTCACGACAACCAATTTTTTTTTTTTTTCTTCTCTCTGTTCTTTTCACCACGTCACGGAGGTAAAATCGACACAAAAAGGCCAGTGTTCTGGCTGACAACGATCTTTAAGCGAATTTCATTATCTTCATTATTTTGTACCAACCGAACATTTGACGATAGCAACAACAACAACATCAACTGAATTGGGCGGATGACATCATGTTTATTTGAGTACGTGCATTGGATGGTATATAGGCGTCATGGTGTATTGTTTTTCTGTACAGTGCCGAGTTGGGGGGAGGCGATGGTGGGTATTTATTGTTGCTTTGAGCGTGCATCTTTCATATATCCCCATATTTGGATCAAGGGATCTATCTGTATAGGATCTAGGGTTGAGCTACTGTAGCTAGTAAGTATTGAATGTGAATCTTCTAGTCTGTCTAAGCAATGGAATTAATCAAGGTAATCAACAAATGGGAGCACCCCCGAGCTGTAGACTTTTCTAAGCACCATTCGCAGTTTGTCAATTTTTGAATGAATACTTAATTTCTGCCTATAACAATCACGTAGATCGAAAAGGTAAGTTCTCCCTTGATCCCGGACCCCGACCATATGGTACCATTTGGTGGTCCGCTTGCTTTTGTTTCCTGCGTGGTTGCTATATCTTCTTCTGACCACAAGCCGAATTCCAACACAGATGGCCTATCCTCCGTAGTCTCGTGCTCCACGATTTGGTAGCACCAATGGGTTAGATCAACGAGGTGGATACAGAAAAAACCAATTAGCATGATCAACGACGTAAGATAGAAAGGAAGCAGCTCACAGCTTGTCGTTCGCCTTGTCGGATCGCAGAGAACCGGGGTCCGCTGTCCTCAGGACCCGGTTCTTGTCCGCTATGGCTTCGAGAATCCTGGCTAGCTGCGACTTGATGCTTTTCAGCTGTTGAGGGGACAGTGTATCCTGAATCCGGCCCATGTCCTCTCCAGGCACGCGTGACATAGCTACGAAGTAAATCTGACCACCTGGATACGGCATCCACTCGTTCTGCTGGCCCTCGACAAAGATCTGATGCTGTGGCCCGTGGCCAATGCTATGAACCAGATCCATCAAACCGACTTCGAATCCGACGTGCCGGTCAGCGACTCTGAGTGTTTCTTCGACATCATCGATTAAAGGGAAGTGCTTAGGGTTGAGATTATGTGATTCCAAGATTAGTGGATGTAGAAACAGCAATGGCATTCTGACATACTCATATGTGATTTTTAGCATTATTGGCATGTCTTGGTCCAATTTTCGCGCCAATGTCAAAAGCATGTCTTTGAGCCAAAATGGCATCAAGCCACTCGCTAAGCTGGCTTTCGATCTTGACCTTGCGGCCGCGGATTGTGACCATTCGTCCCTCCCAATCGTAGTCCCAGCCATTGTATTCTCCAGTCCCCTCCATCTTTCCAGGCAATTGATAGATAAGCCAGGGGAGTAGAGCTTGTCAGAAAAGCTAAAAAGCTCAGGAGGACCTCAAGGAATTGTTAGGGAAAAGAAAAGTGGATAAGAAAACGAAGACCTCCCAGGTAGTAAATTTGTTAGGAGAGAGGATAGGTGCAAATGAACTGTATTTATGGGTTGGAGGCTCATTGAAGCCTAGTTGCGGTGCCTATTCAAACATTGGTCATTGACAGTCATTTCATTGTTCATTGTATGGCCTTTGAAGATTCTTGGTGCTAAGGCCGCGTCGAATGGGGATATTTCCATTTTAAGTAATACATATATAAGCAAACAATGACACCCCTTTCAGGACAACATGCGATTGAAATGAAACAGTACAAAGGTGCACATATTCCTCAAACCAATAGCAACACTGTGTCAAACACGAGATACGTGTGGTCGGAGAAGTGAAGACTTTCTGGACGTTTTTCAACGGCAGTGAGCCCTGGGTAGAGTTTCTGGTGACGAAGTTCGGTAAGAAGAGTCCTCAAAATTCCCAGATGCTTCTCTTGGATATCAATATCATTAACGATGTGATGTAGGCCAGATCGCCCTTTACATGGAGCACTACAACTGTCGTTATGGGTTCTTCACAACCTACAAAGGCACTTGTTTTCTGAAGAGGGTGGCCGCAAACAAGTTCCTATACTCATCGGCCGTTCGATGCAGCCAGGCCAGCTCGCCCCGAGAGGTCTCAGTGCGCGAGGCATTCCTATTTTTGGCTGCTATGGGTTACAATGACAAAGAGTCATTCTACGAGAATGTAGGCGGTGAAGATCTGGTAAGAAAAGAGAAATGCTTAGACGTATCGAGTCATCGGCTGATTTAGTGTCTTAGAAGTTGAAGGAACCGCAAGCCCCGAAAGACGATCGACTCGAAGGACGGAAAGGAGGGGGGGGATATGAATTTGTCTTAAGGGTGCGGTCCGGAGAAAGAGGCCGAAAATGATGGGTAGTAAGTAGGGGAGGAATACATCTAGTTGATTCACAAATGAAAACATCCGAAAACTAGATATTCCTGCCGGATTGCACAACGTTCCTGAACTGCCTAGCTATTGAACTGCTACTTTATTATCTTCCTGAACAGTAAATGTATTAGTCTAGCCGCTAGGTGGAAGGCGTAAGTTGTTGTCTGTATGGATTACCTGAACTAGAGGCACGCCGTTTTAGGGCTACGCTTAGGTGTACTCAATTTATAATCTATAACTGAGTCATTGTAAGACAATATCCGGAAGATGCTTTTTAGACCTAACGTCTATTCTAATACTTACGGCTAGTACTAGGATACTATTCCAGCTCTGTTTTATACCGCTTGGCCGTCGTGCACCACTTGAAGTGGGTTTCAGTGAAGAGGAGTTGCGCATTTGCCACAATTGCCTTGGGTGTTTTCTCTCCTCATTGCACCATGTGTTGCCTCATATGTGCTACCTCTGCAATGCTAGAGTTGTGCAATGCACAGGTGGCTGTGATAGCTCCCTTCAGCTCTTTTGCCTCGACCGTCTTTCCCCGCTCCCCGTCATAACGAGGACTGCGTTCATTGATTCTCCCCTCTCTATATCTCTTTCCAGTCCAATGAGGTCATTTTGCAGGCCTACCGCAATATTAACTAACTTTTGCATAGTCAAAATGTCGTGTGTGTCATAACCAAGAGGGTCGGATTCCACTCTAATAAGGGCGAAGAAAGGGGCGATTCCGATCGTTTGGCTTCGAATCTTCAAGTAGTTTTGCAAATCACGGTTTGTGTGACCTTGCCGGAATCCAATCTCCTCGATGAAGCCACAAAATACATGACAGACCTCATGAAAGAACTCGGTGGCTGCGGCTTGAGACAGGTACCGGCTTGGTCTTTTGGTCCATGATTGGGTGGCAAGCGTGAATTCTCCATGTATGCCCAACACTCTTTGCAGGGGCGACGCTATATTGTTCATGGCTTTGGGAGGTGTGGCAAGATTATGATCAGGTATGTCCAGCTGTTAGTAATTAGCTTCGCGTTCTATCTCTCCCTTCTTCCAAGGCCATTTGTCTTATCAGTACAAGTACTCACATCAAGAAATATGTGGTTCTTCAACACAGCTTGTGCCCTTTCAGATACGGGATCATTTCCCTTTTTTCATATCCACACAGCCCGTCACTCGACTGCATTACGAACGCTGAGGATAGATGTCAAAATGTCAAAGTGGAGCAGATGGAAGGAGAAACTTGGGTTTTCTGAGTGATTTTAGTCGCATTTCGCAGACACCAACTCGAGGTTCAAGCAAGAGAGCTGGAAAGGTGACTACATATAACATACGGAAACTAGCGTAGTTAATGTCTGCCATCGGGCAGACAGTCATTACTCGTTTCTAAATAAAGCAGAACTAGCGAACATGGAACAGCGATTTTGCTCGGGATTCGTCCCGGCTACGCATGACTAGTAAGGACGAACTGGAAAACCAAATGCAATGAGTAAGACCGACTCGCAGATTGCAACGCTGACATTGTCCTACTGCAACTGTCTATTACTGCTGACTCATGTTTTGAATAGACCGATGAGTCTCGCCTCTAATATATCTAGAAGTAAGTTGTCTGTGCGCCATGTTGAAGGATTTCCTAATTTGGGGGACGGAACGTCGAACGATAAGCTAGCGTACACGATAGAAGCTATAGTAGTTCTGCTTGGTTAGTGAAACTCTCGGGCTTGACCGAACCTCTGATACAAAAGCCGTATGCGTTGGTTAGTCAGAATTTAGAGGCTTCGTTTCTTTCCAGCATGTTGGTAGAGGCTGGGTCTGAGAGGGATGTGAGCCTGTAGTTAAAGTGGTCTTCTGATACGCTGGGGGAGCAGATCTATTATAGTAAAGTCCTCAACGCTTTACCAGACTGTCATCTCTTGGGTGCCTTTCCCAGCAATGGCTTTGCACAATACCCAAGAACAGGCTCAAGAGGAAACATATATTAGTGTAACAATGCCTTTTAGTGACTAGAAAGAATTAAGCAACTGTTCAGGCCTCTTCACTAAAAATCAGAGCTTATAAAATCCAATAGCCTACTGACAATCCTCACATGCCTCTTCAGACTTGGTCTGCTCTTTCTCATCCTCTTTATGGCCGGCAACAGAGGACTGAGTGTCTTTATCACCTTGATTTGCTTTCTCCAAAGCTCTGTCCACATGTCCCAGACTTCTCGTAGGATCGGCAATATTGCGAACGAGAGATTTAAGATGTTTGACTTCTGCGTATTCGTCAGTATAAGTATATGCACAGCAAGGGCCGGGGGGAGGGGGGAAGCTCACCTGGAAATCCGCCATGCGTCTTCCGATCCCAGAGCAGGGTTTCAATCAAATCAGTGCCAGGGCTACCTGGTTCTTTTGCGCTAGATACCGATGAAGAATGGAGAATGGTCACGGTGAATACGCCACCTGTGGCTGGGACGAGCGAGACTTCGCCGAGGGTTGTGCTAAAAGTTGAGAGAAGTTCTTGAGCAAACTGTCTCACCATTTCACCAGTCAGTATATGTATGGTATACGAAAATTCCTGTGGATAGACATACATATGCCGCGCGCAGCATCCATTTGCATTGCGTGCAGTACTTGATTGTTATGCGGGGCAGGTTGACATATTGGTGGTGATGCGAGAGGAAAGAGTGGCGGGAGTGTTGGCGGATGGTCTGCTCAATGGGTGCTACTGGTTCAGTCATGTTGTCTATCAGCCATCAGATCTGCGTCGTTGGTGATGTTGAGTTTGAGTTGTTGAAGTTGATCGTGCTCTGACGTAGGGCGCCTCTCATTGGCAGATAAGCTTTTTGTAGTCATCCCACCCCTTTCCGTGCCGGAAGCTTAATTATCCCACCCGGCCCGGCCTCTTTTTTTTTTTTTTTCTTTTTTTTTTTTATATTTGTTTATTTGTCGGCTCGTTGCCTCTCAATTGGACCTCTCATACATATTCGGTTCGTGTTTTGGTCACATATCCGGTCTTGTTATTTGTTGCTCGCGCTCAGATGTTCTCGACAATACCTCGCTTCGTATGCACTCACCCAGGCTGTGGCGCCAGTTACGCTCGCAAGGAGCATCTAATCCGCCATGCAGACCAACACAACCAAACCCGCGAGATTATATGCAATGAGTGTGGAATGTCTTTTAGCAGAAGGTACTTACGTGAATTACTACCTCGCACGTATGCAACAAGGCTAACCGCTAAAGTGACTCCCTGCGACGCCACACCAAACTTCATTCCGCGACTCAGTCTGGTGATCCTGTTGATCGCGTCGCCAGGGCGTGCGATTTGTGCCATGCCTTGAAGTGCAAATGCGATCGCAACAATCCCTGCGCGGCATGTGCGCGTAGAGGTCGTCGATGCACATTCAACAGATTCGCTCATGAGAATGTGGCTGTAACTCGCAGTTCAAGTGTGGTATCGGGGTATGGAACGGACCAAGTATGTATTATGACTTCTCTCTTTCTCTCTTTCTATCATGTATGTTGTGTGTGTGTGTGGTCTGACCAAGAACAGAGTCAACGGAAACGCAGACGCGTCGACGCCGATCCGAGTGACTTGGATATGGACCTTTCTATGAACCAAGTACCATCATTGGTAGTATCAGAAGAAGAGGTCTCAGAACACCATCTCCGAACAGCTCTACGACATCAAGAATCGCAGATCCGAAATGATCTGACAAACGTACCAGACAACCAGCAGCAGAATCGGAAAAATCGGCCAAGACTGAGCTTGCGACTCTCCGATGTATTCAATTTATCAAACCATTTTGTTGCTGGCAACGATTACGCTGCCACCCATGATGCCCGTGAAATGAATACTTACATGAGCACCATCGATGTTCAGCACTATGTTGACCTCTTCTTTGATTATGTCCACCCCCGTTGGCCATTTCTGTATCGAGAAGGCTTCAGGGCAGAATCAGAGCAACCCATTTTGGTTCTTGCCGTGGCTATGTTTGGAATGTGGATTACAGAGGAGGCGCAGTTGATGAAGCTTGCTTGGATCATACGTGCTCGATTACGAGTTATATTCGAGACGCAGATGGTATGCCCCCCTCTTTCTTTCCTTTCTTCTTCTTATCGTTTCTATTCTCATTCATGTCTAGGAAAATTGGGCAGTGCACGATACCGACAGCACGAGGACAAGTCGCTGGCCCATAGTCACTTACCAGGCGATTCTTCTCTTTATAATCTTCTCCATGACAGCGCATGATGGCGCGAATGAATTTGATCATGACAACGACAATGACGACGAAAACGAAACCGACATACACCGTATCCATTCCATCTTCACCCATCTCGCGCGCACCTGCCGTGCCCAGGGCGTGCTACACTACCCAGCCATGCTGGCGCAAATCAGCATCGACGACCCGATAGTCTTCAAATTCACCAACGTCGAAGAATTCAAATGTTTCGCACTGACGCTATTCAAAGTCGACCACTTGCTATCGCCGCTGATTCTGCTCGACTCACAACGGCCAGGACAAGAGGAACAACAGCAAGAAAGAAATAATAATAGACTATCTATCTCAGACCTCCAATTCCCGCTCCCGGATTCAGGCTACTTGCACGAATCCCCTTCTATCCGTGAGTTTCTGCGCAGACGCGAAAGACAGGCTCGCGATCCTTCCGTTTCGTCGACTAGGAAGAGCGCGATTGTGGCCGATGATAGGAAGGCGATGATGGATCGCAAGAAGAATCCGTGGATATGTGATATCTTGGGCTGTGCTCTTACCACGGCGGAAGTTGACAATGTCGAGCAGCGAAAACAAAAGCAGAAGGCTTGGTTAAGGCTTGGCCCTTGGTTGGGATATATAGGAGGTTTGGATCCTGGGTTTGGATCCGGTTTTACGTGATATACATATGTAGTTATGTCTTGGGAAAGTCATGAATTGGAATGAATGCCTTGATAGAACATACTTCCTAACAAATGATGACACTCTTTTCAATCAATAAGAACATCCATAACTGATAAAGAAACAGTCAAAAATAACGTAAATAATCAAAAGAAAAAGAAAAAAGAAGAAAAAATTTATAATACAACGAAATAAATATGTAGAGTCAAACCTCAAATAAGCAAGCCAGTAAGTAGATCGTGCAGTAAGAAAATAAAAAGCACCTCTTGCTTTATAGAAAAGTGCGACAAAAAGAAAATTCAAGTTTTCCGCGGCCGTAAATGAGAGTAGATAACTCCACTTGTGCTCTTTGTTCTTTTCCATTTTTGTGCAAACAATTGAGGGTGAAAAGAAATTGAGACATGAACAGAGTCGCGGATAAAGCAGAAAAAGAAAGAGGTATAGGGAAGAAATGATCCGCGTCAAGTCCAAGATCAAGAAGAAAGAAAAATAGGAAATGGATTTTTCTTTGCCGTCATGTGCGAATAAACCAGTCGATCAAACCAGGTGCCGATTTCAATGCCAGCTGGGTTGCGATCGAATTTCGCAAAATCGGGGAAAGGATAAGAAAGAAATCGTGTCAATCAGGATAGGAAAGAGCTGTATGTTGATTTTTGGAATTATGTTAGACCTATTAGATGTTCGGGATTTCATTAGCCTATGCACGCAAGCATGCATGCATTGTGGTCTGGAAAAGGGTCGATCGTCTCATCGAGTAAAATGCAATAGCCAACCGAATGGATTGCATGTTGTGTATGGTTGAACGCGAGGCAGTGTACAAAGCGAGAGAGAGAGAGAGGAGGGGGGGGGGTAGGAGTTATCGTCGCAAAGGTGCGTATGAGTAAAGGTCGACGAAGAAGAGAAGCGGCGGAAAGGGTCGGATTCATCAGGGCAGGGTTGACAGTCAAGTGCCGATATCCATCTACATCACGGTACAGCAGCCGCCGGATTGTTGAGGCGCATAGGGGTCCTCCTTTTTATCAACCTGCGATGAGTGAGCAATAGTGCGTCATCTAGGAGCAGTAAGGAATAACCAAACGTACCTGACCCCAAACGGAAGGGACCATGAAGTCGCGGGTATTATTGCAGTAATTAATGAGTCTATTATACAAGAGTGAGCCAATTGATCCATTGCTGGTTGTTGTTGATGGTGGACGTGGAGGTGGGCGGCGTGGCAGGAAAAGCTCTGGGTCGGTCGTCGTCGAGCAGCTACGAAGAGCTGGCGGCGACGACGCCAGGGGAAAACTCACGATAAAGCAGCTTCGGAGACCTTGACGCGAGGACGATCCAAGTCCTCCTTCAGTCGACTATTCAATTCTGTCAGGCGGCGATATTTAAGATCTGCCATGCTCTGCTTCTTATTTTTGACGTCGCCGCCGGAGCGAAGTTCGTAGGCCGGCATTCTGAATAATTGCTTGTGATATGTTCCGGCGAGGCTTCCTTCGTTGGCGCGCTTTCTGTTCACTCCCAATGAATTCTTTTTCTCCTCCAACGACCAGGTATACGGGAAAAAGAAGATTGTCGCAGACGAGGTGATTCGATAACCCTTTTCGGGGCCGGGGCGAGACAAGGGCAGGTAAAGAGAGTGAGGTGTCTGAAGGGGGCAGGGACGCAAACGAAGGGAGCGACGAAGATAGCAGAACACAGAGAACACAGGACACGAGGCGGACCGGGTGACGAACGGGCTGTAATTTTCTTTTGTTTTTTCTGTTTTCGCTAGTACGGAGGGTTTTTGCTCTGGTCTGGTCTGGTCTGGTCTGCTTAGTGCTCAGTGCTCAGCAAGAGGAAACGCTCGACTTGTCGCTAGCGAAGGGGGGAGGGGACGGGCAGAGAGAGCCGCTAGTCCTTCTTGGGCCTAACCCGGCGGACTGGGGGCTGATTAATCCCTCATTCATTAATATTTTAATATACAGTAAGTTTATGACTTGATTATGATATGATACTACGGAGTACTACGTTACGTGCTGAGCAGCAGAGCAGGTAATAGTCGTAGAGCTCACCGTTCCCAATACACGCGTGCATCTTCACGACATCCTCGCGATTCCGGGCTGCCGATGCGCCATTATTGAATATCAGGGAGATATAAATAGTTGAGTATTTAATATTTATTCATCTGCATTTTCTGGGGCTACCGGCAGCCAGCTCGCCAATCGCAGCGCCGTGCTGGCCACTAGTTCGCGACTAGTATTTTTAGTACCGTCCTAGCCTGGTATCATACGATCCTACGTTACGTTCCTAATCCCTGCTGTAGCGAGCCCTTTCTTCTAGAAACTCGAGTAGAACAGCGACTATCTTAATACTAGTAGTTGATACTCCATAGTCGCGAATGAGAGTATGCCAAATGCAGAGCATGACATGACGGCTGTCGTGTAGAATGTTATGCAAATGCCGGTCACCAGCTGAACACGCGCAGCAGAGCTCCGGCGGACCCAGAAAAGGATAAAAGGATAGAAATGCAAGAACAGATATCACGTGACCGCCGGCCGCGCTAGGCCGCAACGGGACGGGAACAATTTTAATGGGAATCGCACAACGCTACTCTCGGCTCCAGCCAGAATTTGCCTCGACTTTCCGTCACGGACTTCCACCCCGCTGCATCGGTTCTGTAGCATCTCAGACGCCTGCTGCACTGGCTTATTGCAAAGTCTGAGTTTGTCTTCCGTCTTCACCCAACGCAAAAGAACCATATCGCCCAAGGGGCAGGTTGCCCACCATGCCTCCACCACCTCATATCAAGCCCGAGAATGTCCTCAAGGTACGCTGTCTCTCGCGACTCTTATTTTATCTCTGCGTTGGCTTCTTTACTCTTTGCAGTATCTTCTTCTTTTTGCTGACAACATGCCATGTGTAGAGGGCCCGGGAACTCATCGCCGTGGGCCAGGCTCCAGCCGCCCTTACCGTCCTTCACGAACATGTCACTTCGAAGCGGACTCGCAGCAGCCCTGTCGCATCCTTGGAACCAGTGATGATACTCTTTGTCGAACTCTGTGTCGATTTGCGCAAGGGAAAAGCCGCCAAAGATGGTCTCTACCAATATAAAAATATTGCCCAAAACACCAATGTTGGCACTATCGAGGTAAGTGACTTGAGAAAACAAGAAGACCTCTTCAAGACGATATAGTCTAACATCTTCCGCCCCATAATATAGACTGTTCTCAAACACTTCATCGAACTGGCGGAGCAAAAGGTCACCGAGGCTCAAGCCAAAGCCGATGAGATCCAGTCGTCGCTCGAATCAAGCGCGCCCTCGACCAACGTGGACGATCTCGAAGCCATCGAGACCCCCGAAACCATTCTTCTGGCGACCGTTTCCGGTGAACAGTCCAAGGACCGTACTGACCGTGCTATCGTCACTCCCTGGCTCAAATTCCTGTGGGAGACCTACCGCACAGTCCTCGAGATCTTGAAGAACAATGCTCGTCTTGAGATTATGTACCAGACTACTGCTCTCCAGGCATTCCAGTTCTGTCTCAAGTATACCCGCAAGACCGAGTTCCGTCGCCTGTGTGAACTTCTCCGAAACCACGTTCAGAATGCAGCGAAATACTCGGCTCAGATGCATGCCATCAACTTGAGCGACCCAGATACCCTTCAGCGTCACTTGGACACCCGCTTCCAGCAGCTCAATGTCGCAGTTGAATTGGAATTGTGGCAGGAAGCCTTCCGTAGTGTTGAGGATATTCACACTCTCCTTAGCCTGAGCAAGCGTCCTGCAAAGAACGTTATGATGGCCAACTACTACGAGAAGCTCGCTCGTATTTTCTTGGTTAGCGAGAACTACCTGTTCCATGCCGCGGCTTGGAACCGCTACTACAACCTCTTGCGCCAGTCTGCTGTTACTCTCGCTACCGGCCAAGGAACCAAGAAGGACAACCCATCTGTCACAGAGGCGGACATGACCAAATCTGCATCCTTTGTCTTGCTTGCGGCTCTTTCCATTCCTGTCATCAGCACCTCTCGCTCACGTGGCGCTCTGGTTGACGTTGATGAGGTACGAAAGAACAAGAATACTCGTCTTACTAACTTGCTCGGCATGGCCCAGGCCCCAACTCGTGCCGCCTTGTTCAAAGATGCACTGAACAAAGGTCTACTTAAGCGTGCTCGCCCCGAGATCCGTGACTTGTACAACATTCTTGAAGTGGATTTCCACCCGTTGTCGATCTGTAAAAAGATCACTCCTATTCTCAAGCAGATTGGTGCTGACCCTGAGATGGAGAAATATGTTGTTCCATTGCAACAGGTCATCCTCACTCGTTTGTTCCAACAGCTGTCACAAGTTTACGAGTCCGTCGAGCTTAAGTTTGTTTATGAGCTTGCCCAGTTCCCCGATCCATTCCAGGTCACCCAATCCATGATTGAGAAGTTCATCATGAACGGCTGCAAGAAAGGCGACTTGGCTATTCGTGTTGATCATGTTGCCGGTGTCCTTACTTTCGATTCTGATATCTTCTCATCTGCCAAGGCCCTGCACCCTGGCAGTGCAGCAGGATCTGCCGAGAGCGAAGTGGGATCTGTTCAACGCTTGCAGAGCACCCCCGCCGAAATTGCCCGCTCCCAGCTCACTCGCCTGGCCAAGACTTTGCACGTAACTTGCCTCTATGTTGATCCTTCCTATACTGCATCTCGCGTCCAGGAAAAACAGCGTGCACACGCCCGTGCTTTGGAAGGAGCCGCAAAGGAGCATGAGGAGACGCTGGCTCGCCGAATCATCATCGAGAAAAAGAAGGAGGCAGCTACAGAGACCCTTCAACGCAAGCAACGCGAGGAGGAGACTCGCAAGAGGATCCGTACCCAGCAACTCCAGGAGGCCGAGAAGCAGAGGCTTTTGGATGAACATCGTGAGCGTGAGAAGAAGCGTATCAAGGATGAACAGGATCGCATCCGTAAGCAGGAGCTGAAGAAGCAGCTCGATGAATTGAGCGGTGTCAAGGGAATTGATATCAACGAGATTGACCCCGAAGAGCTGGACAGCAACCGCCTCCGTGCCATGAAATTGGCTCAGCTTGAGAAAGAGAAGAACGAGCTCAATGACCGCATTCGTATCACAGCCAAGAGAATTGACCACCTGGAGCGTGCCTTCCGCCGTGAGGAAGTTAAGCACATTCCAGAGGATTATGAGAGACAGAAACAGCATGATATGGAGGTGTACGAGCTACAAAAGGCGGAAACGCTCAAGGAAGCCCAACAGAAACACAAGGCGGATGTTGCTCTCAAACACCGTTTGAGCCGTCTTGTCCCATCTTTCACTGAATTCCGTGACGGTCTCAACGAGAAGCGCCATGAGGAATTCGAGAAGCGTCGCAAAGCCGCCGAGCGAGAACTTGAGGCAAAGAAGAAGCAACGTATCAAGGAATTCCAAGAACGTCGTCGCCGCGAGAAAGCTGAACGCGAGGAAGAGGAACGTCGCAGACAGGAAGAGGAAGAGCGTGTTCGCCGCGAAGAGGAGGAACGTGCTGCCCGCGAGGAGGAGCAAAGACGTGTCATGGCGGAGAGGAAAGCTCAGCGGGAGGAGGAAAGAAAGTATGATTCAAATCTATCTAAACCCTTGAAGGTTAAAGTTGCTGACATGTTGCCATTGTAGGAAACTCGATGAAATCGCCGCCAAACAAAAGCAACGCGAAGAAGAAGCCGAAGCTCGACGCGCAGCTCGCCGAACTGGTGCGCCGGAGCCAGTTGCTCGTCCAGAGCCCACAGCAGAACGCACTGCTCCACGTCTCAACCTCGCACCCCGTACCGGTGGTGCCCCAACTTGGAGAGAGCGCCAGGCTGCCAAGGAGGCAGCGGGCGAGGCTACCCCTGCTGCTGCTGCTGCTGCCACAGAAGAGGCTGCTGCGTTGCCACGCAAGACTGGTGGCTACGTACCGCCTCACCAGCGTCAAGGATCTGGAGCCGCACCTGTACGACCAGCTGCACCTCCAGCTGCAGCTCCAGCAAACGGTGGATCCGCCGAGAAATGGGTGCCTCGTCACCTGCGTGAAGGAGGTGCTCCCAGGCCCTCAGCAGCAGCTCCTCCGGCTGCTGGTGAGAGACCTGAAGAGCCCAAGGCAAGCGGTGGCAAATGGGTTCCTGCTTGGAAGCGTCAGCAGCAACAACAGTAATGATTTCACTTTGCGATCTGACTGGCATGTTTGGTTTCTTTTCATGATCGTCTTTTTTTTTGTTTCTCCTTTCCCCCCTTCTCTCTTATACACATCTCTCTCTCTCTATCCTGTTCACAAAAGTACGACTTTCTGTTTTTTTACTTTTATGTGACCATGTCATGTCCATACTAGCATCATTCCCACTTATTTTTATTATCGAATTGGAAATCTTCTCATTGATCTAGCTCTCTTCTCCCCCCTACCCCCCTTTCGCCCAATATTTCTTTATCCTTTTCATCCGTCACAATTTCTCGAGATGGCATAATCATTTTAGAATTTTTCTTAGTTTTTCTTTCTTTCCTTCTGCATTCTTTTCTCATTTGAAAGTCTCAAGTTGACTATTTTTTTTTCTAGTCCCCTCATGTAAAAAGGTTAGGGGACAGGCAAGATTGAATAATGGAGGATCTTTTTGTCGATGCTAATGTTGATGTTGATGCTAATGACGAGACATGAATCATTCCAATTTTTTCTATGTACATCGGTTGTAGTACAACAGAAAAGAGCAGGTAAAAAAAGAATGAAAGAATTTGCTGCAGTATCTTATATTTTTGATCTTTCTACGTAGATTTTTGGCAACTTAGATGCCCTACCTAAGTAGATGGATGTTTAGGGAAGCTAAAAACTGTCAAAGAATTTCTCCTAATCATCCATGGAAAGAAGTGAAAGGATGGAATTTTCTAGCAAAAGAAGAGAAAAGGGATATCTAAGCGTGTAGTTATGTATGTATGGGTAATAGCAGAACAAATGACAAATTTGCTGGGTAGAAAAGAAGTTGAACACGAAAGTCGAAAAAAAAAAAAATTGAAAAGAAAAGAAAAGAAGCAAACAATTGTCATCAAATAGGGTCATGGTATCGCAAATTCTCTTCCAAACATAGAAAGAGATGAAGATGGCTTTAGTGTGAATATGTAAGGTAACCGTTTGCATCCCCTCTCGCTTTATATTCAAAGATCTTTATTTCCCCAGTGCCTTTTATTTTCATGCTACAGCCTCGGCTGTAGTGGGAGCAGCAGCCCCAGTACCGAATAATTTCCTTCTCCATTCTCCGCAAACCGCTTCAAAGCCACTTACTACCTCACCACAGACTCGGCCTGCCTCGCGCTCTCTCAACTTGCGATCCCACTGGCCACTTTCTATCCAGCGATGGCCCTCCTCTCGATCCTCGTCTTCACGATTTAGCTCTGCCAGGAGTTCTCGTGCAGACCTGAGTCGGCGAGACGCTGTTGATGTCAGTTGTCGAGATTCGTGGAGTGTGTCATTCAATGTTCGTAGTGTGAGCGTAAGGTCTGATGTTTGGTCCAGCAGTGCTTGCAGCGATAGAAGCGGGTCCGCAGTTGATGCTATCTGACTGTGCGTAGACTTTGTGGAAGAAGAGGAGTGTGGTCTGAAGGAGGCGGCGTTTAGGTTGTTATTTTGTGTTTGGATAGGTCGGGGTAGATTTGGGAGAAGGCCCTCGTCAATCAAGGGTACAAGGTCGTCCATGGATTCGATAGGTAGTAAAGGAAAATGTGAAAACAGAAGAGGATGAATTAACGTCTGCAGCGCTCTAGTCTGATGTGTGAGGTGTGATGTGATAGAGGCATGGGCAGTGATCAATCTGTATTAGTCGTCAATTATAATCACCGGTTTTTGAATTTAGAGACAAGGATATATATACCTTGCGGCTCCATTTTCAATACCGCTTTGTGCACCTAGATCCTTTAAGCCTTCAACGAAACGTTGAATTATTTGATCGTTTGAGCTGCCATTTTCTTCGATACCTCGCCTAGCCAGACTTTCAATCCCAGCTAACCTCCTCTCAAAATTGGGAGAAAATTCACTGGCCTCATCAAAGTCCGAATCGTTTCCATAGTCAGATCCGTCGTATTGGGATTCCGTACGCCGGTGGTGCCAGTTTTGGTGTTGCCGTTGCCTTTGCCTCGGGGCCTGTAGACTATGTGTGTGACTTGGTGACATCTGTTCGCGGGGTGTTTGTTGTCCCGAGGAATTTTCGTTGTCATGTATACCGTTCGCTTGGCTATTGACCTCTATCCCCGAAGCGTCCTCATATCCCTCACCATCAGCCCATGCGTCAGCCAGCTCATCCGCTAGGTTTCCCAGACCACCACCACCACCACCAGAGTCCGCAGCGCCAGTATATTCTACAGACATACGCCGGTCACCGGCGGAAGATATAGAATGTCGCAGTCGCTGACTGTCTGTCGAGACGAAACTGGGTGAACGAGGGCTTTGTAGATAGAAGTACCCGTCTTCGTTTGTATCGTGAACTGCCGGGGATATGTCGAGGCTCGAAGGATGCCGACGATGTCTTGGCGAGACTGGCGAGGACGATGCCGACATTGTTTGTTCGGTCGGTAAGTAACGAGCTGTCGCTCAGCGAATATAACGGTAAAACGCTTTTCAAATTCACCCTACTCGTAGCGAGCGGGCCTAGTCGTCCGAGACCAAGCTGAGCACACTGCAGAGATCGGTCCGCCGGCCACGCACAAATCGGGGCTCTGGCTCTGGACGGCGTGCATGAGCCTACACGTCTTATTCAGGTGTCGACTGAGAAGGCGCTTTGCATTTTCCCTTGCGTCGGCTTCGGCTCCAGAAGAAATGCGGAGTGACGCTTTATTGTTGATGGTTTGCTGGTTCCCGTGAGACATCCAAGGCGGTCAGGCCGATCCCCCCACTTTGGATAAGTCAATCAGTCAGTATTATTCACTGCTGCATATTCAGACTATTCTCTAGACCCGTCCGCCATCATGAGCTACATTCGGCGCATGACGCCCATGGACTTGTTCTCCTTGAACCTGACCAATCTCGACGCTCTCACGGAGAATTATGACTTGGGTTTCTACCTCAATTACATGATGCGTTGGCCATCTCTCTTCAGCGTTGTTCAAGACCGGGATGCAGGAAACGTGGGCTACAGTAAGGAAGAAACAGCGAGTTGTCTTAGCAAAGAAAAAGCTGATTGCGTCCTCCTCAAAAAATAGTCATGGGAAAACTAGAAGAACAGCCGGCGGCAATGCGCCATTCGGAGCACTACACGCCCTGGCACGGCCATATCACAGTCTTGACAGTTGCGCCTGCGTGGAGAAGGCTTGGGCATGCGCGGCGGTTGACGGAGAGCCTTGAGCATTCGTCCGATATCAATGATGCATGGTTTGTCGACTTGTACGTCCGGGCAACGAACAGAGTGGCAGTGGATATGTACAAGGGCATGGGGTAAGTTTTGTGCCTTTAAGTAACTCGTGTGAGTTGGTTAGGCTGACTTTTGTTTGCTTCCGCAGATACTCTGTCTTCCGGCGTGTCGTGAACTACTACCAAGACGACCCAACCGGGATGTCCGACGAAGGCGAGGATGCCTTTGATATGCGCAAACCCTGTAGTCGAGACAAGAGCCTTCAACATATTCGAGAGAAAGGAGAGGATTTCCTCGTCAATCCTGAGGACGTTTATTAGCAAATTATATAACGCACATTCTTTTGACTTATTCTCTCCCGACATCTCGTCCGATGCTACGAATCGATGAGCTTAAAAATGATATCCGATTGCATGGGGGGTTCTTATTTAGCAGGCGCGTTGGGGAAGTAGCCATTGGCATGCACATATACCGGCGTTGCGTTGATTGAGCATTTCCTAGCTCAGTGTATATTTGACTTAATATAGTAAATGTTTCTCTACAAGCAATTTCTTTGTCTGCATGAACGATCACTAAGGCACTGTTAGGTTTCGTGACATAAAAAGTATTAGAAGAATGGCCCGAGATGCTAGCTAAATCAAATCTATGGACACAATATAGTAGTTCCTCGTACTATCGACATGAATGCGGAACTGCTTTGACCAGCAAACCGAAATGTATATATATATATAAAAGGAGGTAGCGCCAATGTATGCTGCAAACATAACTATCCTTCGATATCGAAACCAACTTTTCTGAAATCCCCCCCTCGAAACACGCACACTAATTCTCTAGGCAGATGTGTATCATGTACGAACCTTGAGAGTCAATCCAACACGCATAATGCGAATAAAAACCAAGATAATAGCGCAAAGAGCAAGACAAGATCCACAGAATACTTTCACGCCGAGGTAAGAGCCAGTGTCGGAAAGAATGGAGCCTCCAATCGGTGTACCAATTAGGAGAGCAAACGAGCAAATACAGAAACACATGCCGAGCCTCGTGCCGAGGTCTCGAAAGTCCTTGGTGAGGGTCATCATAACGACGGGGGGCATAGAGACGAAGCTTCCGGAGAAGAAACCGTAAAAGGCGCTCAGAACGATGATGCCTGCAGCGGAGTTGACGGCAATCCAGCAATAAGCTAGCAGTGCTGTGACAGTCACAGCGGGCATGAGCATATTCAGAGGTCCCGTGAAGTCGGCCAACATGTTGGGCGTGATACGACCAAATGTCGAGGCAGCGTTCAGGATGGGGACGAGATAGAAGCCGAGATTGGCGTTAATGACGCCAGTCTGAATGGCCCATGGCTGGACATAGATCAGGAAGTTGTAGAAGCCCAAGAATCCAAAGAACAGTGCGATCACGAACAGCGTATACTGGGCCTCTTTGAAAGCGTAGAGCTGCACTAAAGCTCGTCTTTCCTTTGGTTTGAAGCGCGGACGCATGACAGAGCAAGAGAATATACAGGTGCCCAGAGACAAGAAGGCAATGGCTCGAACAGCCCATGGGAACCCAGCGGATTTTTGGAGTTGGTTGAACATAATCGGATAGATGACACCGCCGAAGCTGCTCCCCGACGCGGCTATTCCGTTTGCGAGGGCTCTCCTTTTCTGGAAATACTGTGGTAATATTGCCACAGAGGGCACAAATAGACATCCAGCACCGATGCCAACACAGATGCCTTGCGCAAGCATAACTTGGTAGTATTCGGTGGCCAGGCTGGTCATCATATACCCGAAAACAACCATGAAGCTTCCGAGCGGCAGCAGGATATAGATGTAACCAGCATCAAAGAGAGGACCGGTAATGACTCCAAAAAACATGAGCAGGAAGGATTCGATAGATCCAATCCAGGCGAGATCAGATGCAGATTCGCTGGATAGAATCTGATCCTCGTAATAAGTCTGGAAAGCGCCCCATGTATTGATAAGGCCCCTGATAGATTCCAAAAACTTAGAGTTAGATCTCTATGATGAAAGCAGCTATGGTCAGAACTCACCATGAATTGAAAAATAAGAAGAATGATCCCGCTACCTGCGACCACGCCAGGAAACCCGTGTCGAATCGGTTCTCTGCATTGTTGTATCCGCTGTTGGCAACCTCTTGCTGCTGAGCTGGGGCTTCTTTCGTTTCGTTTAAAGAAACATTGGATGTCTCTAGAGCCTTTCCGATAGACTCTGGCATGGCATCTTGATCCATCTGTACTTTTAAGTATGCCACTCGGAGATCTGATATTGGCGGCGTTTTCCGCTTGTATGTACGGAGTATATCTCGGTCAGTGCTGGGAACACACTGCTTTGTAGAAAAGTCACAACTGTTTTACACTTTCACTCTTCGCTTGGAGGAAGGGTAAAGAAGCGAAAAGTTGGTCGGTATCAACTCAGAGCCCTAGGTAGCATCCGGGTCCCCATGGGAAAAGTTCGCGCGGGAAAATTAAGAGCTGGCCTTATCATACTAAATAAGTAACTAACTGCCTAGATACTGCATAACTACTACGCAGACTTATTATTATATAATAATGCTTGATAATTTTTAATTTTGGCGAGCTTCTCGTCTAGTGCTGATGGTCTGATAGGGCCGTTTCGACAGCTAATGTTGGCGACTCCACACGTTGTGCCGAGTTATCCATTTATATGCAACGACTCATGACTCGTGACTCAGATTCCAAGATATGATTTTGAATATACTATAACTACTCACAAATCGACTTCGCGAACCTCCGAGGCAAACATCTGGTTTGACTCGATACTGTTCTTGTCTCGCATCTTTTCCGCCGTATCCCTTCCAGCAGCGGGCACTTTATACTCAAATCGCTTGCCGGGGCCTGGCGTTCGCCCGTCGGGTAAGGCATATGGATATGGAAGATAGTCGGGCAGGAGACCTAATTGCCTCAATGCCGTGCTTTGGTCCCAAGCAATATGTTCGTGGTACAAGCGGTCACCCCGGATGTTCACGACTGCTGTAAAAGGAATTTCGAGCCTTTTCCCTGTGGGAGGGATACCGGGGAGCCTGTCGGGGTTGCGTTATGAGTTTGCATTCATCACGGGAGACAACAAATTAAACAGAGAAAAGAGCATACAGCCAGTCTATCTGCATGTCGTGCGTGAATTTGTGCACAAATTCATCTATGACTCGGTCGATTCCCACGGTGCGACTGATAAGCTCCTCTTCAGTATCTGCCGGATTTTGGAAGACAAAGTGATTTTGGTAAAAGTCTGTAAGTCGAGCGCGTCCGATACCACCCGTCAACTGTAGGCGAGTAAGTATGACAAGCGAGTGCTACGTAGAGAAGTCAAGGAATCTTACAGTGGGAATGTGATTCACATATGGCTCCTGAACCATGGTAGCCATCGTATCTGGGACGGACCGGGTGGTGAATTCATAATAGGTATGCTCTTCCCAGATCGCTTCCAGGTCGAAATATGGCCCTCCCATATACTTTTTCAGGAACGTTAGGTTCCGTGTGTGGGAAACCGCTTCATTGATATAATCGAATCCCTCGTGGAACGGAGTAGCAAACAGATGCGATTCTATCTTGGGATATTGATAGACCATGAAGTCTTCCTCTCGGATTGCCTTTTCGGTACTCTGCCCAACCACGTGCTGCAGCATGGGTATGGCAGCCCGAGCGTTCGAAATTGCCTTGGAGGTGTATAAAACAGCACCAACAATGGCCGGATGATTAACCAGCGTTGGCGCAATTAGTGGCCACACGCTTGGATCATAAACTGTGCATATTAGCCTGGATCCAGAGTTTTAAGTCGAAAGGTTAAACAAGGGACAATACCAACAAGGCCTGTCTTGTCACTGGGAACACAGGTTTCGCAATTTCCCAACGCCGACAACGCGTGGGCAAGTACATCTTTGCTTTCAGTGCAAGCCTGTGTGAGTATCTCAACCACGGTATAGCCTTCCTCTGCCCATTTCATCCGGTGCGAGGGGATTCCATTGTCGACCTCATTGCCATCTGCAGGAGGAGTACATGAGCCCAATACAATCAGCCCAGGTCCGTGGCCACGCCGGGACAGAGGTCGAAGGAGGGAAACCCCGGGTGCAAGCTGAGTTATGTGCGGAGTAAGAGACATTTGTTTTTCTTTTTCTTTTTTTTTAGTTTACTTCTGTTTAGCAGTATTCTTTCGATCGTGTATGACGAGACAGTGAGTAACCATTAAGTATGAAAGAGGAAGAGTGTCCCACTCAGGGCCCTTACCCTTATCGCCCGATAAGCTTCTCCCAAAGGAAAAGCCCCACGATTAAAGTCGTCCGTTCCACCTTCAATTCCTCGGTCTGTCCTAGCTAATTTCTTGCAGAAAAGACCTCCCCAATCATGAAACGCCACCACTGTACATTTCCAGGCTGTGGGAAGTCGTTCTCTCGCCCGTCCCATCTACAGAGACACGCCTTGAACCACTCCCATGCGCAGTGGATATGCAGCAGATGCACCGCCGGCTTCAAGCGGCAGGATTTATTAGGTTAGTTAGTATATACTATATACAAAGGTCATATAGTGTTAGCTTGCACTTGCTCTTGCACTTTCCAAAACGTTGCGTGCTAACCGGTCATAGAACGCCACAGAGCCCGGCATGTCTCCAAAGACCGGAGGGCTGGGGGTATAGGGCTGGGGGTTCTTGAAACTAAGAAAAAATACCTGAACTCTCTTGATGGGGCCAGTAATCGATCGATTACATCGATGGAGTCGCCATCTACTAGTGTGGACAATGGCGAGACAAGCCAAGTAAAATCTACGCACTCTCCCTGGAACGAGTTTCAAGAAAGCGCATTGCGTCCCTCCAACCTGGCACAGTCACCAGTCATGTCTCAAGAGCAGGAGCTCGCACACCATGCGCCAGAGATTGGAAACATCTATCATGATATCACTTTCGATCTCGTGCATTTCAACGTGACTAGAGTCGCGACCCAGCGCTCCGGCAGCAACGCAGCACTGGACTTAATTCCGGTAGATCCTGGAACATCGAGCTTGCGCGCAGATAATACCGACTCCGGACAGCGTCAACATGGATCTCCCTGTTTAGCGTCTTCCCTTTTCCACAGCCCAAGCCATGTAGCTCAGCTACCAGAAGACAATCCTTACCCACCGTCCAACGCCCGATCTCAAACTAGAAATGAGTCAACGAGCCCCGGCGCTAGCATTTTTCCGTCTGTGTTTTCACCAAGTATGGAACGGCCAAGAAGGGTGTCGAATACAAGCAGCAATAATTTGTCCTCGAATGCAGAAAGGAGGCGCCCGTCAATTCCCATCCCTATCGAGAAGAGAAACGAGTTGCTTGAACTGATCGCCGAGATACGACCGGTGCGACCCGATGGCAGGCTTATCGATCGTGATTCACCCGAGTTTTCATTAGAGAGAATGCAGGCATACTTCGATCTATTTCTGCAATACTTCAATACATCATATCCATTATTGCACCTGCCGACGCTAGATATCTCCGATATTGACTCAATCGCGTTATTATCCTTTATAATCATGGGAGCCACATATAGGGACAAGAATGACCATCAATTATCGGTGTGCTTATACGACGCTATAATCCCCTACATTTTTGGCGGCCTCCTGAGCAACCTGGTGCCAGATTTGGCAATCTTACAAGGCTTTATGGTCTTGGAGTGCTACGGCATGTATAGGGCCGGGCCATTCCAGCGTGAGAATGCCATTCTCATTCATTGTCTATTGCTGAATGTAGGCTCTTGTTTCTTCCCCTACGATCTCCTATGATTACAGACTAAAGCTTTCTTTAGTCTATCAGCAGAATTTCTCGATACCATGTTCGTGCATGTATAACTTTGCCCGGCTGGCTAGGTCATGCAGAGAGAGATTGGTTGGAGTTCGCCTACACAGAGCAGTACAAACGGTACAGTGCCTACCCTCTCGTATTCTATAGCAGAAAAGGGGGCTAATCCTTTTGGCATTGAAAGCCTGATCTTGTTTTTCTTCATGTGGGACACGCAAAACGCAACTTGTTATTCTTTGATGCCCAACCTGTCAACGCAATCCCTTCAGCTCGGACTTCCGTGCTCAAATAGACTATGGCTAGCAAACAGCCAGGACGAATGGAAACAGCTGGTAACAGACCAGGATGAATCGTACACTTTTCGGAACCTGGTGGAGGAGTTCATTGACTCGACATATCGGGAACTTTCGACATCGTATGACATGTTAGACTTCTCATTGGCACTGCACGGACTGATGTCTGTCTGTAACGACATCATACTCTTTGACAACCGTTCTCGCTATTTCTCCATGTTGAAAACAAAGGAAAGCATCTGGTCGACCAGTCGAGAACAGATGGCCTATGCATTATCGTCCTGGAAAGCCAAATACGAGGCGTTCGCCATGGATGCGTTGCGCGATATGGAGACGGAATCCGAGCGCAGTCAATTCCAAAGAGACAACACGGGACTATATGCGCTTTACCACATGGCTCATATTGTGATAAATTGTGAGATTCGTCACTTGCAGACAGCCTGTGGAGCAAAGGCAATTTTTGGTCATACGGTGACCACAACTGATTTCGAAGATAGCTGCAATTGGATCAGAGAATGGCTCAGAAGCTCGGCGGACTCAGCCGGGCGTGCCGCATGGCACGCAGCACACATGATTCGAGATGGAATGCTCAACTTGAAGAACTGGGATGTGCATGGTGTCTTCCATTACCCGTGGTGTCTTTACATTGCCACTCTGACTTGTTGGGCATTCCACCACTTTGGTGCGGAATCGGCGGACAACGGTGCCGGCGTTAGTAGTCAGAGCAGCATCAGCGGCAGTGGCCTTGATAATAGAGGCCCGAGTCGCCTCTGTGATCACCAGTCCAGTCCAGCACATGCAGAAGATCTGAGAAGACGTTCAAGGGCTTCAATGAACCACCTTGTTGCTACCATGGCATCAGTTACGCCGACGCGTGTGAACACCATGATGGGCAAATGCTGTACGCACGGATTGGCCATCGAGATGGCAAAATACCTCCGGACTATTCGCTGGACTGCTGCCTATGAGGCGATGAAAGTGCTTGAAGGGTTATCCGGACTTCCGGCTGACGAGGGGCCTACTCCATGACTTTCTGTCTAGATGGGCTATTTATGTCTTATGAAATTGCGAGTAACTGCCATGATTATGTATATAAGCATTTTAATCACATTCTATATAACTACTTCTTTCTTCTTTTTGTACCACAACGAAACCAAACTTCCCAGAAAACCTTGAAATCTATATCCTACAGCATCGACTCTCCCTGTCGAATCTTCAGATAAGAAGGATTTAGCTGATCAATAGAAGTAACACCAAGTAGAGCCATAGTAGTCTCAACCTCGTGCGTCAGAATTCGGACGGCTTTGTTGACACCAGCTTCACCAAAAGCCAGAGAGTAGAGAAAAGCACGTCCCAGTCCAACAGCCTTCACACCAAGTGCAAGCGCCTTGACGATATCCGTGCCTCTCGTAATGCCTCCATCGATGATGACATCGCACTTTTGGAAAACCTCAGGGCAATGCAAACGCATGTCCAGAAGAGTGTCAAGCGCCGATGGTGCCCCATCAAGTTGCCGCCCTCCATGGTTAGACAGCCATGGGTGAACTCCATGATGCATGCACAGTACAGCGTCTTCCCAGCATTGTATACCTTTGATGGCGATGGGAAGATCTGTCAGGCTTCGCAGCCACTTGATAGCTGAGACCCAGTCAAATTCCGACCACACCGACCTGTTACCAGATATTCATAAGTACTGGACTACTCAATTACTCGCAGGAGTCACTAATTCAAAACATACCCTCTTTGTGCGCTGATGCCGCCAGATGTGCTTGTGTCGTCCTCATCGTCATCGGCCATACTTTCCTTCTTTTTTTTTTTTTTTTTGAAAATTAGCGTTATGATAAAAGACAAGACAGTAATGGTTTCACAAATACCTCAGTTTCTTGAAGACTATATCGGATATCTCGCTCTCGCTTTGACGCCCGAATAGCATCCACCGTCAAAGCGAACCCCTTGTAACCGAGGCTTATAGCCTCCGTCACTTCTTGTTCACTTATCGTCAAATCGGCCTTTGGATATATCTGCCAGAACAATACTTGACCAGGAGTTCGTATATCAGACATTTCCTTCTTGGTGCATCCTGCCATGTTGCAAACCCATTGCAGAGCTCCATGCTTGCCAGCGGCCTTTGTCAGTAGGACTTCGCCCTCTGGATGCGCCATTTTACCACCACCAGCTGGGCAGATGAAAAACGGCAGGGAAACTGGGGTACCCATCAAAGAGGTTGATAGATTAATGTTTTTGATTGGTCGTAGCACGCGAGGTCGAAACCTGATAGATTGCCAGCTCTTTTTGTTCCATTGGACAGTATTTTCGTCGTCGGCACCGGCTTTGAAGACTACACCTTGCATTAGACGTTTTTCTTCCTCCTTTTTTTTTTTCTTTGGAAGGGGGTAGACACTCACAAACAAAAGCTTGGGGGCTCAAGCGTTGACGAGCAGCTTCCTCAAAGTCACTTATATTGACGATAGAGCGCAGTTTCATTCTGTTTTCAGCTGGCTTGCAGGAGGGTGTGGCTATTGTCGTCACAGGAGTTTCGACCTGTTCAGTAACCAATCCTAAGACACGTCTTATGGAGATGTGTCAACGGGCTAAATTCTGCAGGAACAAGAGATTTTTTGGTGTATGTGTGCTTACTCCGGCTTAACGAACTTCTGAATCGTGTCTCTTGGATGGATGCTTTCAAAGATCTTGGTGGCATCCTTGCCGGCATACTTCAAAATAATATTCGCTCCACCCGGGTGAGACTGTAGGAATGCTGTAAGATCGTAACAAACGCCATTTATTATGACCCAGCAGCTCTCGCGGGAAGCATGCTTGCTGATTTCGGATCTTTAGAGATGTATATAGATTGTCAGCGCCGGGGCTACCTGGGTCAGCAGGGATGTGCACCAACCTTGTCAACATTATGGAACGCAGTCTCGCCAGTTATTCGACGCTGGTGAAAGAGATGACATGTGCATTCGAAAAATTTTATATATATATCATATCACGCCTTAAGAGAATAATTGAGTGTCAGACGATGCTATGGCGAAATAGGCAAAAGTGGTCCAGTCCCGCCAAGCACCTCGACAAAGTGGTACATTAGATAAACCCTCTGGCTCGCTTTTTCTTTTATATAATTAATTATATGAGGGTCCGCCAAAGAAGCTGAAGGCTAGAAAATACAGCCTAGTGCAATTCAAAAGCAAACAACAAAATGGATCAAGTCTTTGCCAAAATCGACGAGAATGCCACCAAGTTTGAACTGGGTGATGAGGAGGTGAGTAACATTGTCTCTCTCCCTTTTTTTTCCCCATATATCTTTATACAAGACAACATTTGACTTCTTTTTCTTTAAAAAAAATTAATGTCCAGACATGGCGCAAAATATATGATCCTTTCTACGAAGCTCCGTCGCCAAACGTTGGAAAGATTCTCGATGAGCGATATGGGCCTGCAGACAGAAACTTGCTTGACGTTTATTTCCCTCTTGACAGCAAGCAGGTTAGTAAACCAGTATTGGTCTTTTCTCATGGAGGAGGGTTCTTTTCAGGAGATAAACAGTGGAGTGAGAAGGTGTGTATATACGAAGCTCTGTGAATCCTATTGAAAGCTGGGTTATTATTCTCTTTTTGCCTTAAATTGGTATTGGCAAGAAACAGCTGATCAGTCAATCTAGTGCTATGCCAACATTGGCAACTTCTTCGCTCGACACGGCATTATCACAGTCATAGCCAACCATCGACTAGTTCCCCATGTGACATACCCCGGCGGCGCAGATGATATACAGTTGACTCGAGAATGGATTTATCAGAATATCTCCTCTGAAAAGTATGGCTCTGGATCAGTCGACAAGGTCATCCTGTTTGGCCATTCCTCGGGTGCCGCACACATAGCGACAAATCTTTATGCAGCAGGTAAGCCCTTTATTTTGACACACCTTGATATATATAAACCTTGAAATCTGATAGTAATTCTAACTATGTCGGTCTATATAGGCGATCCGCAAAGGCGGCCAGAAAAGGCCCTTTTCCCACCTGTCGCTGGTGTGATGTACTTCAGTCCTCCTTTCTGGTTCGACAACAGAAGACCCATTCGGAGAAGAACGCTAGAGCAATACTTTGGATCACACGCTGAGGATGTATGGGGAGTAAGTGTTATCTTTCCTGATTTTCTGTTTTTTCTTGCGGTGTGACTGGCTTGGTCTGACGAATACCCTCCGTGAAGCCTATCTGCCCTCTCGGCCTCTTCAAACGTCTGCCAGACGATTCACCATTGTTGTGAGTAAAACTTCTGATTAGTATAGTCCTTCAGATAGCGAAGGAGATGCAGCTGACTCTAAGACTTAAATAGGGACGCCGATTTGGTTCCGGTATACATCGGAACTGTGAAATATGAAGTGTATGAAAGGACTACCCACCAACGTATCTAGAGGGCAGGGATTGGTACTGACTCCAACAATTAACAGAAAAGAAGCCACCGATGCTGCCATCGCATTTTTCAATGAATATCGAGCCCGAAGCCGACCGCATGGGACACTGCCTAATTTCCATGTCCTAGACAAACATAACCACCTGAGGTAATAACCCACGATACATGCGCAGCATGACACCACGCAGAGGGCTAATTATGTGAAAATTATAACAGTAACATCCTCTCCATTGGAACGGATGACACGTCGCAAGCCAAAATGATTCTCGATTTCGTTTCTTCCTGCGTGGCCAAAGTCGATCAAAGGGGTAAGAATTGAAATGCGAATCCGACCATGTTATTATGGGTTTCCTCCTTTCAAGCAAGTGTCGGGGACTGATATTGGTGGTGTCTCAATTCTAGTGTCTTCTTCTCAGGAATATCCAAAGGGCCAGAAGACAGCGCGAGCACATCTCTAAGGCAATTGTGTCTGTCATCAATGAGTAGGCAATGATTTAAGTATTATTTATTTGCGGCGTTTAGTATTTTGAGGTTAAATAATATATATATAATATACAATTAGGATAACAATTTTTATCCAATTTGCGAAAAATAAAAAAAATAAAAAAAATAGTACGATTGTATCCTTCCCCTCTCTATTCATTTATTTAGGGTTCATTCCAACATGACCCTAACGCATGAGGTGGAATAAACCTACACCGATATTCGATAAAACATACTGGACAATTTAATTCATTGCTACAGCCTCTTTTTTTTTCTTAAAATATATACAACATCTGCCTAGGTTCAACTTTCACATAACATATATTCCAAAGTTTCTAGAGAAGAAATTACGCCGTCGCAGCGACAACGCTAGGCTTTTCAGCTGCCGCGGCCTCCTGTTTTTTCTTTGCGTTGTGTCTAGTTAGGTTAGCACCGATAATACATCCCAGAAGAGAGAGAAGAAAGGCACTTGACTTACCCGAATTGGATCTTGGTGTGATGAAGGAAATACTCATTACAAGTGATGGCAGGGCTGCAGGTTTGTGTGCAAAGCGGTTAGTTGACCATGCTGCTCCATTGATCGGGGGTCATTTGATTCTTCTTACTATTTCTTCAACGGTCCTTGCATAATGACATCCTTGCGTCCAGTGTTGAAGTAGGCGATAGAATAACGATCAGGCGAATGACCGGACTCTTTGGCTCGCACGCGGTGGAAGTTGGCTTTGAGACGATCATCGGACCAGGCCACTAGAGCGAATATTTAGCCACCAGGGATGTATATATGCGTATATATATACGACGAAGGAACTAACTCAGCATATCTCCGATATTAACCACAATTGGACCAGTTTCAGCCGGCAGAGGGAAGAAAGTATCGCCCACAGCAAAGCTAGAGTGAGACTCTCTACCAGGACAGATCTCCAAGCCATCTTCACCATCACGCTGAAACAAAAGAGTAAGACAGCCAATATCAGTGTGGACTCCGGCCCTCCATGTTCCCTGTGCACCCTCAGAGGCTGGGTAATGGAGAAGACGCATTTGGGAGAGGTTGTCAGGTTGGTGGGTGTCCATGGCCTTGCAGAAGTAATCTTCTTCAAATCCAAGAGCAATGGAAAGACAGGTTACTGGTAAGGCAGGAATTAGAAGGAATTCAGTATCTGGGGCTTTAGGAGCAAAACTTACAAACTTTGTTCGAGATATCTTCGCATTTCCCAATGAAATTTAGCGTCTTTGCCCGGAACGTTGGAACATCTTCGTCACTGGGCCATTCGGAGTTGCGCTGAAGCCAGAAAGACTCCTTTTGGTCAATACTTCCGGTGCTTGGCCTAATTTGAGACTGTAGAATTTGCATGTCAGATTGGCGCATACCCCTTGATAGGACAAAGCAGAACAGCAAGGAAAGGAAAGTGCTTTCTAACGTAATATTCATATCCGTTGTTAGTAGTGAGGTTATGGGGGACCTTGTCCTTGATCTCCTTAGGCAGGTCAAAATAGGCTTTAGAGAGAGCGAACTGTGCCTCAATCTCTTCGATGGTGATCCCGTGGTCAATCAACGTCAAAAATCCAGCGGTCTCGGCTGCTTCCACGAGCTGCTTAGTGATCTCCTCCCGACGACTCTCGTAGTCTATTGGAAAGCTATTAGCACTAAAGCCATGAAAATAAATTACACGGCTATAACTATGTAGTCTCACCTTTGAGAGAAATAGCTGGAACGACGCGGCCGGCCATGGTGTTCAATTTCGGAATGTTGAGTAGACGTTGACAATAGCAGATAAGAATCAAAGACTCAAGGAAGTTTAAATGCCTGTATCTGTACACTAATAAAACCGAGGCTCTCTGCTGATAGCGTCAGACCTTATTATATGTAGGGCTTCAATTTGCACACTGAGATGGAACAGATTCCAAGGGTGGAACAGTACCACCTACGGCGATGAACATAAAGTGGCCCCTCGCCTTATCGTGGTGAGTGGGCTAGCACAACTCGCACAGATAGAGAGAAGCCCTCAAGATAACAAAACAATATTGAGTACATTTAAAGTAGAATACTAATCCCGTTGGAATCGGCGGTGGAGTATGAAGTTGACACTGAGAACAATAAGACTTAGGTTATAAATTAGGGGGGGCTTTCTTTCTTCTTTCTTTTTAGTCTATTGTGCACACGGCCCCTGAAATGTCCTATCCCATGGATGATTTGAAGCTCCCACAGCAAAGTGGAACCACGCCTAGTGATGCCTCGGACGTTGTTCCGGGCTCGGAGGAGATATACATCGATCCCGTGGTGGAACAGCGGGCTCTGCGCAAATTTGACATGTATGCCATGCCCCAGCTGTTCCTGTTTGCTTTTCTGTGCTATTTGGACCGAAGCAACCTCGGAAACGCCAAAGTGTTTGGTTTCGTGGAGGACATTCACCTGAAGGGCACGGAGTTCAATAACCTCGGCACCTTGTTCGGGGCCACCTATATAATCTTTGAGATTCCTTGGACCTTAGCCATCAAGAGATGGGGACCCAATCGAATCCTTGCAATAGCCTTGGTTGCGTGGAGTGTCATCACCTTGGCGACTGGTTTCATCCACAACTATGCTCAGGCAGTGGTAATGCGCCTTTTACTGGGTGCCTTTGAAGCCGGCTTGACTCCTGGCTATGCATTCATCTTCTCCACCATTTACGACAGAAGAGGTACATCCAAACGTGTCGCTCTTCTGTATCTCGCAAACGTTACATCCGGGGCCTTCGGTGGGCTGATTGCCTGGGGCATTGAACTCATGGGCACACGCAGAGGACTAGCCTCGTGGCGTTGGCTTTTCATCATCGAGGGGGCCATTTCAATCTTTATTTGTTCATGCTGCTGGCTCTCTTTCCCATCTACTCCAGAGACTGCTTGGTTCCTGAACGAGGAAGAAAAGGCCCTCATGCGTGCCAGAAAAGAAAGAGATGTCATCTACAAGGGCCGTGACAAATTCGAATCCAAATGGATCAAGGAGGCGCTGAAAGATCCTTTCATTTATCTAGCGGCCATCTGCTTTTTCTCATCGTCAATTGCTATTTTCGGCTTTGGCACGTTCTTGCCAACGATTATTTCTGGACTTGGGTATGTGTTATATGCTCATTACTCGCCAAGTATGGATTCAAATTCTCTAACGTGTGTGCGTGCATGCTGTTAGGTTTACGGATTTGCAAGCGAATTATCTCACCATCCCTGTCTATGCAACAGGAGCCATAGTGCTTGTAATTGTGACTTGGCTTTCAGATCGTTTCAGCAAGCGTGGAATTTTCTTACTGATTATACCAACTCCTGTCATTATCGGATATCTGATCACTCTTGTAACGCCAAACGCGGGCGCTGGGTATTTCGCCATGTTTTTGTGTTGTGCAGGAATCTACTCCTACCAGGCCCTGATCCTGACTTGGGTCACCACCAACCTAGCCCCTGATTATAAGCGATCGGCTGGTGTATCCATTTTTACATCGTTATCAGGCATCTCTGCCCTCATAGCCCCACAGCTCTATCCGCCCAAGGATAGTCCGAGGTATATGGTCGGAAATGGAGTTTCAATGGGATTTGAGGCCCTGGCGGCCATTTCTGTCATCTTTGTTTTTATTTTGCTGAAGACGCGAAACGCCACAAAGCAGAAGCTCCTGGCAGAGGGGAAGACGACAAATGGGATGGTGGGAGATCGTGCTTTGGACTTCACCTATGTTTTGTAAGAGTTTAGGAAAGGACCCTGGACCACCCGAACTGGGAGTAATGTTTCTCTACGATGTGAATATTGAGCAGTCTCTATCATTTAGATAGTTTTGCTTGCAATAACTAATGTCTGTTTATATCAAACTTGATGACCCGGCGTCCTTCAGCACTTTTCCCTAATCGGGTTAACTGTACTTTCAGGATGGTGGCCACGTTGCCAAGGCGCCACTTGCCCACCGGCCAGGGCCCAGCCACTCAGAGGCCGCGAATCCATCAGATTATTTGCAGCCCTAGGGCATAACAAGCGTCAGGCCAATAGGAGCTCATTCTGTAAAAGCTAGCGTGTACCTTATTCTGACCATGTGGAAGTTGTCCCATTACGAAATCAGCCTTTCTTTGCTCATTCATTCATTCATTCATTTTTTTTTCTTTCTTGATCTAGCCGACATGCGCAGAAGCCGACCTGTTCTTGATCGAGACACGCTGTGGACAAAAACTCAAGATGACTGGCAGCACAGCAAGCCCGATCCCCATAGCCCAAGCCGCCTTCAAACCGGCCATGTAGGCCCTCAAGATACCTTGCACCTGTGAAGACGGGAAGGTGCTTCGAATTTCAGTCGCACCAACTGCAACAACCTGGGGAACAGATACATCTGGTGCGTACCGAGGCAGGCTTGCAATAAGACGGTTGGTAAAAACGCTTTGTGCGGCGGAGACAGAAACGGCGCCGCTGACGAGCTGGAAGACTGGATCTCATTTAGCATGGCAATGAAAATAATACTAGAGTTTGACTGCTCTCAGATATACTCATACTTACAGAGAATGACTGCTGTGACCACTGGTATGTCAGCCGGATCGGCCAATGCGGTGGCTGCCATGATAGGCACCTGAATGCAGGAGCCAACAGCTACACCAAACACGATTTGGTAACCAATGAATTGACCAACAGTCGAATTCATGTCGAGAGTGTAAAGCAAGGCAGCGCCAGTCACGGCTAAGAGGCTTCCGACCAGAAGAAAGGGGAAAAAGTGACCAACTCTTCCCAGAGCCTTGCCGCTTAGGAAGGAAAATAATGCTGATGATGAAATCTGTTAGCTATAGTACTGAAAGGAGTGGGTTGAAAGTTGGTGTTTTACATGATCCAAGAATGAATGGCAGGTTTCGAATTCCACTTTCTGAAGGTGAGACACCATCAATTGCTTGAAAGTATATGGGAAGATAGTAGATAAGAAGAAAGTTTGCCGCATTCAAGCTTTATCCAGACACGCGTCAGTACAAAGCAAAATTCAATGTGTAAGTGCTATGATCCTTACAAGAATATAAAGCCACTGAGAGCCATAATGTTTCGATTCTTGAATAGGCGAGTGACGAGCAGTGCTCTTTCTCCCTGGTAGACTTGATCGACTACAAATAACACCGCGAGGCCCACCCAGGCTATCAGTGTCCCGATTACCTTGCCAGCTCCCCAAGACATCGTGACTCCTCCCCATTGGAGTGCGAGAATATAACAAACCAACGACGCTAACAGCAAAGTCACGCCAATGAGGTCCATTTGAAGAGATATCTCTCTCCACGTCGCCGCAACTGGCCTTGCGTGAGAAGGGGTGCGAAAGAAAAATATCAGAAGTATGATTGCAAGACCGCCAATGGGGAGATTGACGTAGAAACACCATCTCCACGAGAGTTCTTGGGTGAATACTCCGCCTAGAAGGGGACCTGCGACGCTGGCGATACTGAAAACTGCTCCGATGAGACCGGTATAAGTTGGTACTGAGGCCGGGGGGACCGTGAATGCGATGATTGTGTAGCAGCCACCTGTAATGCCCGCACCTCCAGCGCCCTGGATGGCGCGCCCGGCGACCAAAGTGGTGCCGTTTCGCGAAACAGCTACGATTTTATTTAAGTCCTTGATTATTGATTTGCGGAATTTAGGGTTGGTCTTACCACATGTGAGGCTGCCCATCTCGAATATGAAAACGGAAAGGAGGAAAGTTGTCTTGAGGTTGAAATACTTGTATCCTTTTCCCCATAGCGCCTGAAGCGATGCTAGTGTTAGGAAAAATGCAGAGCCGTACCAGCCAACCTGGTCCAAGCTGTGAAAGTCATCTGTAATACGCGGTATTGCAGTCGCGACTATTGTCATGTCAAGAGCGACCAGAAACATGCTCAGCAAAAGAGCGATGAGGACGAGAGTGAGCTGAATCCCACGTTGGTACTCGCCATCATCCGAGTGGTTGTTGTTTTCTGCCTTGTCAGCGTTGGCCGTGGTGGTGGCATTCTGCCCTTCAGGGGTATTGTTATCCAAGGGATGGTTCATTATGGCAGGGGAAGGGCTGCTTATGATTGTGTTTGTTGCCATAACGTCAACCGCTGACCTTGGTGTTGGAAATGCTGAAGGGGAAACACTCTTTTGGGGTAGAAGACGACGTTACACAGTCATTCCAGGGGGAGCAGCCTTGCAATTCAGGCACCTGGAATCCATTTAAAAAACGACGGTACCACCAATAGTTTGCTAACAAAAGAACAGACTATGGCTATGACACTGATAGTAAAAGCTGCTCGGTCTTATAAGAATAGCGCATCAGATACTGACCCCGTTCAGCCCATTTTTGAACATCGCCATTCGTTTCATCTGGTATATATTTGTCCCCGAGATTCTAATATTAGAAAATTCAAGCAGATCCACGTTGGCGTGCATAACCCATATCCCGCAGGTTATCTCTGCTTGATCGTAAAACAGCGGCCGATATTATGGAGTTCAAATTCATACGCGTGTTTTGGGGCTAGCTGTCTGGCTGTTTGGACAGCACTAGGAATTTTCCTGGAGGCTACGATCTTGGCCTAGAAACCCGAGGACTTAACGATGGGCACTGGGTATGAGGATGAAGGGTCTCAAAGGATCCCCTACAATATCCATGATCAAAACTGCTCGACTTGAAGATATGCAACGCGAATTTAAATTATCAGTTGGTGGCGTGGTCTAAGGAGCGATGGTTCTCAAAGTGAGATAAACCCTATTCTAAAAACTTCCCCATTGATAATATCACGAATGTAGCATGCAACCTTGTCCTCCTGAAATCTACGTAACACTGCTGTAAAACAAAAACGAGCCGCTGGGATTTCTCGTCATGCTTCCATCGGTTTCCGGCGTGGAAGACACAAAAGAACCGAGCAAAGTACGCAGCGGCGAATGTATGTATATACTCCTTGATGATTTTTTCTACAAAACGCAACATCAAGGATGCTTGGAATTTAATCAAATGGAGCTGCCGTCTGCATCTTGTCAAGAATAATAGCTCAATAGTGATGTGGTAAAAAACATAGTTTAAGAGAAGTACATTGCATGATATCAGCAATTTCTTTTTCAAAGTTCCGGTATAGTGAGTTGTATAATGTCGACAACCATTTTCGCACAAAATCTATTTCTTCTTCCTCTCCTTTTGATTTTTCTTTTCTTTTCTTTTCTTTTTCTTTTTCAGAGAACCATCCAACACCTGACGCTATGCAAACAAAATAAATCGGCGATTGAAAAAGATAAAAACAAAAATCCTGAAAATGCCTGTTCAGAGAAGCTCCTCGCAGGTCCAGTCCTCGTAGCTAGAAAGAAAAAACAGTTAAATGGGGTTGTCTTCCAATTTTCAAAGGGAAAAAGCTCACTATCCGTCAGGAAGGTATCTTCTGATGATAAGAGGAATTTTCTTCTGATTGAGTTCCTTGATAGCGATTTGTAGCGGGTCGGTCTCTCCTTCGAGGTCAACCAAAACAGGGGCGTTCATGCTATAATATAGCTTATTAGACGTCTGCCACGAGAAAAGGGAGTAAACCAAAAAGACCACAGAGAATTATTTACCTGATCTGGAGAGCCCTCGTGCCCAAAACACGAGCTCGCTCATATTTAGTCATATACGGTGTGGTCGTGCGTTGATCATTGGGAATCTTTTTCTCCCGGGGCTGCTCCATTACACCTCTGCCTCCGCCGGCATTGGGGTCGCCAGATATAATAGTTCGTTCTCCGTTAACTGCAGCTTGATATGCTTCACCAGCACCTGCAGCTTCCTCCCCTTCCACGTCGACATCATCTGGCTCTAGGAAGTCTTCTGGCTCGTTGTCATCGTACTCCGGCTCACCGCCCTCATAATCGTAGCTGAAGGGAAGTCAAGAATTAGTCTGTTGTCCTTAAGGAATAGCGTTGCCCGTTGCGCAGCGTAGCAGCATAGCTTGGAGAATATTGTAGGTGGTGAAATTTTTCAGCTTCATTCGGTTCAGACTCACCCAGCATCGTCGGCCTCGGGATCACCGTAGTCGGACATTATAGCACACGGTTTTCCAAGTAGTGTTCAATAAGTCCAAAGAGCGTTCGTTAGAAGGAAGATCGCGCGTGGAGAGGTGATCCTTCCGAAGCAAGGTGGTTTGCACGCAAGAATTAAGCTTGAGTGTCTTCGAAAGCAGCCCGCGGAGTCTGGAGAAAAAGATCAAACCGCACTAATAATGGACCAATCAACGGGCTACATGATGTTCACCGCCTCCACGACCACAAATTATTTTTTATTTTGTTCGACGTCAAGCTCGACCTCAGCACTCTGAGTGTCTGCAAAAAATTGCAATTGGAGTCGAATGCTACTGCAGTCAAAGACATTCACCGATATGGTTGGCTGAGTGTCTGATTTTCTTTCCGAACTCATCTTCAAGCATGGCGGTCAAACGAAAAGCAGGCAATGAAGCTGTCAGACAGCCTTCAAAATTTGCGAAGCGTACGCCTGGTGAGTTAACTTGTATCGGTTCTGGCTTTCCTTCTTCTAATATAGCATGCAGGGGCAGAATACGAAATTTCGGATGCTTCATCGGTATTTGATTCTGAAGATGAGATAGAGGAAGATGGTCCAGATGACGAGACTCCTGCCACGCCTCTCTCGCTAGCCTCCTCCAAATACCCATCAGAGCTCAAGACACACCTATGTCCGTTTGAGGGCTGTACAAAGGCCTTCAATAGGCCTGCCAGACTACAAGAGCATCTACGATCTCACAACAACGAACGTATTTTTCAGTGCACCTTTGACGAGTGCGACAAAACGTTCCTCCGAGTGTCCCATCTCAACCATCACATCAAAAGCGCCCATACTACAGTTCGCGATTACATATGTGATCGACCGGGCTGTGGGAAAGCTTTCGTGACGGGAACTAGACTGCGAAGACATCTAGCGGCTCACGACGGCAGAGACAAGTTTCGCTGCACCGAGTACCCTCCATGTAACGAAACGTTTCGGAAACACGCCACTTTGAATCAACATATCATGTCAATACATCTCAAGCAAAAACCATTTCCTTGCCAGCATGTTAATCCTAGTACGGGGCGAAAATGCCCCCAGGCCTTTGATACGGCGGCGCATCTTCGTAGCCATGAAAACCGCGTCCATTCTGATAGTCGTTTTACCTGCACGGAATGCTCGAGTGACGGGTTACAGTTTTCTTCTTACGCCGAATTGCAGGCTCATATTAAGTCAGTGCACCCGCCTCAGTGCCCACAATGCTCGCTTCAGTGTTTGACACCTCGAGAGCTTCGTCGTCACTTGGAGATTTCCCATGGTGAGATCAGCTTGGAGGAGCGACGTCAGTTTCCGTGCACGTTCCCCGGCTGTGACCGAAGTTTTACAAAGAAAGGCAATCTCACCGTTCACATTCGTACAGTTCATGAGGGCGAGAAGCGTTTTGTGTGCGGTGAAACAGATCTGTCGGCGTCGAAGAAAGTGGAGGGATGGAGCGCCGCAGATGGATGTGGAAAGCGATACAGCAGCAAACTGGCGCTGGAGGAACATGTTCGCACGGCGCATCTCGGCCTGCTGAATACAAAAGCAGAGCGTCGAGAGCGGCTGGGACTGCCTAAAGAATCAAGCCGAAGAAAAACGCCCCAGCTCTCGGCCATGGCACTTCTTACTGGCGAGGGTTATGCGGATGAAAGCGGAAGACATATTACCTGCTTCGTGACTGAGTGCAGGCATCGCTTCTATCGAGACTACGATCTCTGGGTCCATATGCGCAGCAAGCACGAATGCGAGGAGAGGGACATTGAGAACCTGTTCATGGAACGGGCTCTCTTAGGGCACGAGAATACCGATACTGTCTTTGGCATATACGGGCTGGAGTTTGATGACACCATTACTCACAACAACAATAACAACAGCGGCTGCGAGGAACTACCGTCTGTTGATGCCCATGGCGTTGCAGCACCGCCTCCGCAGATCATGAGCAACGACTTTGACGAGAAGATGAACGACATGCCATTTTTCGATTCTTTCCACGACATTGATACTCCTACTACGCCGGGTCTGGGCGATGCACTTGATGGCTTTACACATATCGACCCGAGCCTCTAATATTTGCCTGTGTGGCTCTTGTTCTTCTTATTCTTATGAGACATGATACTAGATAGCGCAATTATATATTTCAATTTCCACGAGCCTTGGTATTGAACTCTATTGGGTGGATCTGAGATACAGTACGTTACAGAATAAGATTGACGCAATCGGCAAAAGTGGGCCCCTCGGCCCGGTGAGCCGACCACATTGGACAGTGGGCACTGTAACGCGTAACACCAATACATGGACAGACAATACGCATACAAAGCGCCGTTCCGTGGCGCATTGTGGCTGCCCAGCAGTGGCGGTCTGGTGGCACGACTAATGGCGTCCACGGGTACGTACCACGCAGAGTTTGCAAGTTTGAATGAGCATAGCCAAAAAGCCAGCTGGCCGACCAGAGCAGTCCTTCTTCTTGCCATGGACGTGTAATCAAAGACAGATCTAATCAATCACACGGCTTGCCCAGCGTTGCATATGTTGATTATTAACAAAGTTACCGTTCGTTTTGAAGTCTGCTAAACTTACTGCACGCTAGCGCTGGCCGTGCGTCGGGTCTGGGGAGCAGAGTGTACGTATGATTTGATATTAGCGAGTGAAACATCGAGAAAGGCCCATCTTGGCGGCCGGCGAAGTGAGACAGCAAAAGATGCTCGTAGAACGGTAGAATAACCTCTGGAAGTCAAAACAGATTCAGGAGCACCGCTGAATAAGTAGCATGATCTGCCTGTTGTAGGCTCGACCCGTGCGTGGATCGCTGGGGCCGACGTCATCCGCTGGCTCCCGCCTGCTCCGTCTTTTTTTGGCAACCGTGGACAACTCACCTCCTCTCCTGCTTTCCTCCCTCCCTCCCCCATCTTAGGAGGAAAACCCGCAGAGCAGAAAAGCCGCCGGTGCATGTCGCAGAGCCTTCGTTAGAGTCGATATTCATCCAGCTTTGGTCCATGGCAAACAGCCTCTGTCGATCTCTCCACACCGAGACCCCGGTGGGACAGTCACATCTAAGACATTCAGCGTTTCTCCTAATTCCACCACCAACCCCCCGTCTCTTTTGACCATCCTTTGACGTGATTTCGCTCGTTTTCTCTTCTCCGATTTACCGGCATTCTTTCGTTTCTCTCCGCTCGGAGACCGGTGACAGCTATTCACTGTAGATTCAATCTACTGCTGACAGTGTGTCTCGCGCGTGCGTGTGGAGATAGCTTTCTTTCGCAAAGCCTGGACCACCACTGCTCCCAGCATGGTCCGCTCGCGTGGTAAGTTGACATTCTTCTAGAAGGTTGCGAATAGGGTCAACCATGTGGTTGATCCCCCTTTCCGCAGTCGGGACGCTAATCTGGGGCATCCCTTGCGTCTCTCACAGTTCTTTCGTTTATCTCGGCCTTCGGCCTGCCAAAAGGCGACCAAGCGACAACCTCCAAAGGAGGTGCCAGCACTTCTTCTTCTTCTTCACCAGTACCCGTCTCGAACAATCGAACGAAACTCGCAAAGAACAATACCGCTCCGCCAGGCGATTCTTCTTTTTCTCAGCACGGCCCCGTACCATGGTCCAATTCAGATCGACCGAGCCTCACGCGACCAGCGTCTATGGCCTTCACCTACCAACCTCGACAGACAGAAATCGAACATGATACGCTCCCAGAGCTATTGCCCATCTTTACATTCATGAACAGTCATTCGAACAAGCTGTACCAAGAAGGATACTTCCTCAAGCTAAACGACCTAGACACCCGTATGTGTCCCAGCGGTTCTATATTTCCGAAATTCCTTTTACTAATGATGTCTTATTCTCAGAGGGCCGGCCTAGTGCGGATCGAAAATGGGTTGAATGTTTTGCACAACTTGTGGGGACTGTACTTTCGATCTGGGATTCCGCTGCGCTGGACGCAGCAGGTGGCGAACAAGAAGTAACTCCTACTTTCATCAACCTTGCGGATGCCTCGATTAAAATGGTGAGTATTCTCCTCTTCTTGGGACTTCGGAATTTGAAGTTTTAGCATAAATGTTCAACGGCTGATATTTAATTTACCATCATAGCTCGAGAGCCTGCCCACATATACAAAGGCCAAATCTTTACAAAATGTCCTGAGTGTCTCGACGGCAGGCAGAAATCGCTATCTTTTCCATTTCAATTCCTTTCATTCCCTTACTCAATGGACTGCCAGTATTCGACTTGCCTTGTTCGAGCATAGATCTTTGCTCGAAGCTTACACAGGCTCTATCATCGCTGGCAAAGGCAGAGAATTGAACAATATCCGAAGGATCATGGAGCGCTCTCGGTACAAGTATGAGGATTGGGCAAGAGTCAGATTTGGTGCTGGGACACCATGGAGACGTTGTTGGTTTGTTGTGACACCACCAAGCGACAAAGATTATCAGAAATTGCACAAATCCTCCAAGAAAAAGTCAGTATATGATCGTACCACGCCGATCTTGACCGGTGAAATCAGGTTTTACGACACAAAGAAAACAAAAAAGGCAAAGCCGATTGCAACAGTCACTAATGCTTATGCCGCCTTTGCCATTTACCCTCAATCGAAGCTCCTGATAGACCAGTCTACCTTGGTTAAAATAGAGGGAAACATAACCATGAATTCACAGCCTCAATCCACAACGGAAGGGTTCGTTTTCATCATGCCAGAACTTCACCCAGCTGTGTCCGGCCTCGAGATTATGTTACGGTTCCTCTTTCCGGTATTTGACACGTTTGGACTTTATGGACGACCAACTCGACTCATTGCAGACACAAACAATTCAAAGAGTTTGATGTTCGCTTTTCCCAAATCACGACATTATGGCTATCTGGACGTGCTTGATGTCGTAAACCTCATCAACAAATCCGGCAGCCAAGGTTGGTCTGAGAGAGACTGGAGGGCGCAACTTAGGGAAGCAACTGGGCAGCGCATGTCTACTGTGAACAGCCCAGCGAGCAGCATTAGTGGTGGCCGACAGCATCTCTGGTCCAGTTTACCTAACCGCCACACCAAAACTCGATTTCAGGAACCTTCTCAACCTCTTTCTGCAGGCTTCAACCAGTCCTCTGATGCTATCATTGAAACTCCTGTCTCAATCACCGAATCTCCTGTTTTCGATTCAGCACAACCTTATGGACATTTTCGAGCAATATCGGACACTGGTGCCCTCCACACTACTAGTCCAGGAAAAACCTATGCTACCACGAGACTGTCAGTTCTGGAAACACCTCCTGAGCCTCCTGTTCATGGCATTACTTCCTCGTTATCAGAAGATCGCCCTGAAACTCGCCAATCTAGTAGCGGAAGTGGCTCTGATGGTGAAATGCAGCTACATGATGTACCTCAGTCAGTCCATGATTTCCACCCGAACGAACCTCCTGCACCTGTTGCTGCACCGCCGGCCTTTGCGCATCAACCAGGGGAAGTTCCTGCTAGCCGACCGAAAACTTCGCAGGAGATGCGAAAGGCTAACAACCGTATGTCTAGCGCAACACTAGCACAGTTAGCTGATGTGAGCAAAATGCGGATCGCCGCGGCCGGGTTCTCGGATATTCAAGAGAGCCCGTATTCAGAGGAGCTGGATTCACAATTGGAAATGAACCAAGGCTCTTCGGGCGATTCGTATGCGTACGCCGACCAAGAACAAGCACCGGCCGTGCCAGTACATGCTGATACACGCAGTAACCGACTTCAACAACCTGCTCCGCAGCGGGCTATTCAGGCAACGCCAAGTCTCCGCATCGATACGTCCAAAGTTACGAAAAGGAAACCTGTGCCTCCCCAGGCAGTTTCCCCCTCTGCATATTCCGTAGAAACCAGTGGAAGAACCGACTTTAATCCCCAAGAGGATCCGGTATCTGCGTTGACTGATCCGAGCATGAGAGACTTGCAGCACACTGTTGATGAGGCAGCTTTGAGCAGAATATTGCCCCGTCAGATATCTTTTCTACATGAAAGGACCATGACTCAAAATTCTAGGCCTGATGACGAGAGCATTTACGATGAGAGGTCAATTTCTCCTGACTATGCAAGCACGCGCAAGTCAACAGACACGAAGCGCTCGGAAGTCTCTATTCCTCGCCCGAGAATGGGTGTCTTGAAGACAGTGGGAGATGCACCTCCAAGCAAACAGGAAGTTACAATTGGGGATGCTCATTACTTTGCTAATGAGCAACTACCAAAGGAAAATCCCGATATCCCAACTATTGACTTTGGACCGACGTTGATTCATAGTTTGCACACACGAGGTCCTAGTATGTCTGATATGTTGAACAACGACCCTAACTCAGCTGCTCGCCGTGTTGGTGGAGAAGGCCATGCTCGAAAGCCGTCACGTTCTCCTGCTGGGGATGAAAAGCGCAGAAGCGTTGTTTGGCAGCCGGGTCTAGCAAGCTATCGTCCAGAGTCTCCCGCAAATCGCGCCATGACACCTGAGCAGTTCGTCCATCAACGGTCCAGTTCTAACTCTCGACCGTTAGATTATCCAATTGCTAGCCAGGGTGCCAGGCCGCGTTCAGGTGGTGACTGGCCGTTGGGAGCTTCCCAACTGCATGCAGGTCAAGACTTGCCTCCTCGTTCCCAGTCTCGAGGCTCTACGATGTTGTTGAACCAGAATGACATGCCCATTCGTCCTCATTCACGAGGTTCCACCATGTTACTTAACCAAAATGATATGTCCGTTCGTCCTCAGTCGCGTGGCTCTGCCGCCTTGTTGAGTCAGAATGATATATCTTCTCATCTATCCGCTAGAGAACAGGAGCACATCGCTCGCATGACTGGTTCGGCTTTTTTCAACTTCTCTCATAATAATTCGAAGCCGGCTGTTAGTTCTGGCGGTCTCATTGGGGCCATTGACGCTCGGGAGAGAGAAAAGCAATACATGAAGGAGGGTCTTAGCAATCAGCTCGTGCAAACCGCTATTGCACAACGCCAACAACAGCAAATATACGAGGCGCAGCAGATGCAACACTCCGGAGTTGGCAGTATCTACAACATGCCGGGCGCAAGCTACACTTGGGATAATCTGAATCATAACGCTTTCAATCAGGCGCACATGGTTCCTCGTCCCGCGACAAGTTCAGACTGGCATGTGTGGAACGGGCCTGTGGCATCTCAAACGCCACCTCCAGCGACTCAGCAGCCTAATCACTATTTCCAAAGCTATCAGAATTATTAATCAGTCAATTGCTGATGGATAATTTGAATACGCCGGTGTCCGTCGTCAACATGAACATTTCTCTTCTCCCCATTTATTTTTATTCACTCTTTTAATTCACAGGCGCACGCTTCACTACAATCATTCTAGATCTCCTTTTTTCTGTCTGTTCTGTTCGAGTTTAAGGTTTCATATCATACCCAATTTGTTACCCAGTTGCATACAAGGTTATTTACAACATTCCTTATCATCGTCATCTATTTTTCTGTCTTTCCCTGCATAGATTGGAGTTGAAAGAAGGCAAACTTGACTTTTCTTTCCAGGGCGTGCATGTACCACTCACAAAACTTTTATTAATCATTCCTTTTCCTCTTCTATTTTTTCAAGAAAATTTCGGGAGTCCTTATGGTGAGGAATAACCATGGCCAATCCATCGAATTTAGACAGATTCTCTCTTAAGAGGTGGAAAAGAATCTCATTGACTTATTTACACCATATTTCCATCATTTCTGTTAGTAGTGACAACCCGAGTATCTAAGTGGATGATGCATATTTGGCAAGTCTTCTTCAGATCGAGAGTCTACATATCATTCATTGAGTAGTAAGTCATACAAAACATATTGCAGAGAACACCTTCCCCTTTTCCAGATGAATACATGTATATAGTAAAGCGAGCATGGCTAGAGGAATGCATCAAGTAATGAAGACAATGCTTAATTGAAGACAGGGAATAATCAATGGTGGCCTAATATAAATCCGCTTCACATATAAAAGTTGGTGATTTTTCTCTTTGTTCCTCTTTCTTAATTGGTTTCTAGCTGAAATTTCTGGTTTTATTTGGTTTGCCTTTTTTTCCCCCCTCTTTTTGGTGCTTTTCTTAATTCGTATGTGCCTGTGATTTCCGAATTCTTCGGCTTCCCTCGTACAAGAAACGATCTACAGCAGCGGCAACAGTCAATGTACCGCCAATAACGGCGCATACTCCTGTCAAAAAGCCTGTAAAGGTCTTTGGGCGCTGTTCACGATTGATCACTTTCATTGGCGAGATGTCGTAGTTGAAGAACACGCCGGGAATACCACCTTGGGCGTGGACGCGCTCTTTGTGGCCTTCTGCAGCGTCGTTGCCACCATCCAGAGATCGCTTGTGCGATGTCACCGAGTATTGGTGTGTTTCAATGCTGCCTGCCGTGCCGTGTGCGGCGCCGTGAAGGCCTAGTGGTGTGGATTCATCGTCCCCATGAAGAAGGTCAGATTGTGCGCTATCCCAGCCCAAGGGGAGATAGGACGTTGAGACCACCTTGATGTAGTAATTGTAGTTGTAAGATGGCTCGTCTGTGAGTTGTTGTGTGTCATCTAGCGGGTTTGTATGATGATGGTCGGTCCATTGCCAACGTTGGGACACTTCATCCGAAAGTTGAGGTCCAAACCGTAGCTGGTGGATAATATGTGACATTGTATGCTTCTCTGAAGCCTCCAGGTCTTTGTCCAAATATGTCTCCAAATCATGGACATGCATATTCGCGCGCGAGAAACTTCGGCCGGGCGCGATGTGGAAATTACCAATCACCTTATTCACTCGCACGTCACCTTCAATGCGGCATCCTTCCTTGCGCTGGGCGTCAATTCGTTCTCCATAGCCCTCTCGCTGACACTGTTCAATATTCTGCCCCTTGCCAAAGGCCCAGGATTTCAATGCATAAGCCTCTCGTACTTCCTCACAGGTGTTGCAGCATCCGGGCTTCTGCGCATTATCCGGAGGAGGTGCGCCTCCACATTCACCACAATATTCAGGATCAAGATGTATAGCCACGTCATTCTCAGAGTGCCTGCATACAAGGGAAAACAGGATTAGCGACTGCAGAGTTGCTGGCATTGGGTCAAGATGACTTTTTCTTTACTCACAATTCGAGTCTCGAGACATCAATGGCTTTGCCCCCGTCGGCAACTGAACTGAGTCGCACTTTATTTAACCCATGAATGACACCCATCTGTTGTTCACCAGAAACGTCCATGACATCTAACGTCAACAGTTCGCATGGCAGTCGAGGGAAGGTCATGTTCAAATGAATTTCCATTCGTTCACCTAAAGATTAAGGCCCATCTGTCAGAAACCAAATCGTCTTCCACTTCCTCATAAAATCCCGTATTTACCTCGCGACTTGTCCACGATTAACTCAGGGAGTACCACCACTCGGCGGTAGTCGACCCATTCACCCCATACTAGCCACAGTATGGCAATCAATGATACCAAAGTGACAACTCCGCCAGAGGTTGTGCGAACACGAGCATCTTCGACCGTTTTGGCGAAAGCGTCAAGCCTCGTAAATCGTGATTTGGCAGGCATCTCTGTGCGGTTGCTGCTTACGGTCTCGCAAGACCATAAACGTCGAGAACGATACTATCCGAGGCACGCGCGAATACAACAAACAAAGCACCAGCTAGCTCCTGCAAGGAGGGCTTCGTCTGGTGAGATGTATTTACAGACGATCAGTCATGTAAAAAGACTAATTGAGAACGCAATTGTAATCCAAGTGGTGAGAAACGGCCTCGGAAAAGAAAACACAATTGCGCATTGCGGAGTCGAGATCTGGCCAGCTTGCGATTACAATTAATGCCATATCGGGAAGGAAGCGGACATGCGCCCCACTTCTTGCCTGTATAGGCATGTGCTAGTCTGCAGAGTCACGTGGCCCCGGAGAATCCCTGTCCGCCGCTGTCGTTGCCTACAAACGTCACTGCCCGCGATTCGCTCTTTTTTCTTCTCTCTTTGAGCCGACCAAAGAGCACTTCATGTGCTGCGATACCACAAACACTGTTGTTTCAGCATATTATTAACCGATTGAAGCCAGCTTGGGTTACGACTGGCCGCTTTTCAAAGGGCCTTTGCAGCCTTGAAGAAGTTTTCCAAATCCTGGAACGCTCTTTGATCGGCTGAGTCCTTGGTATCTGCAAGAACAGCGCCCTGCAAAACCTCCCTTTTCGAACCGCGAAACCGACGTTGTATCAAGTCTTAGGTCACGAATTGTCTCGGCTCTCGACACAGTCAGCTGACTGCGCGGTTTTCTGTTCATCAGGAGGTTCAATACCTCTGCCCAGTCGACTTGTCACTCGCTACTTTTGACCATGCCTATGCTGGGCGTGGCCTCAAAAAACAATCAAAACATGGCAAAGTCCAAGGTAGTACCAAACCGCTCCAGTACGCTGAGCCGAGGTGGCATTCGAAAACGTGGTGCTCCTACACGGACCGACCGGGATGGCGATCTGGACATGGGTGCGGCCTCGCAAAGAGGCCGCGGTGGTAAACGGGGACGTGGACAAGGCGGCTTGCCTTATTCACGGGGCCCGGCCAAAATGGAACTCGACGATCGTATTCAGAAAGCTATCGACGGCAGCGACGCAGGTTCGCTAGTCAACATTCGAGCAGGAGGCAACAAGTCACGTCTTGAAGAAATCAGCATCACAGGTTGGAAAGAAAGCAGAGCAGCGTCGAATCCGGACGGTGGCGTCCGGGGTACCATTGATTGGCTCGAAAGGAGACTCCCTTCAACGAAACCTGGCCGAAAAAACATAATCAAGGTATGTGCAACATCAGCATTAGCGGTCACCGATGCAGTATCCGCACCAAATCGTATCTTCTCAGGGTGTGCTGCTCATTTTAAAACGAACATTCTCAACTACGATCGATACTTCTCGGGATCTTTTCTTGCTTCTACTCTTGGGTGACTGCAGTACATGCATTCTTTTACGCCTTACTAACGTTCAGTAGCACCGCGTCGAAGGCGACGCGATCATAGTAACTATCCGGCCGGAAATGTTGAATAAGATATTACAGATCAATGGAAACATATTCGCTGGAGCCGAACTTGCTGTGGAGAAAGCCGATAACGTGCCCTCAATCTCTGCGGAAGAAATGAAGAAGAGACTGAAAGCTTTTCTGAGCAACCGATTCTTACCGGCGAACAAAATACTGAATTTACAAAATTTGGCAAACGACCCAATCCTTGTCGAAATGGGCCTTTTTCGAAGCCCTACAACCGAAACCAAATTCTACCAAGCTTTGATGAAGGTCTGGAGTTTGGAGTTCCCGACACAACAGGCTGGCCGCAATGCTGTTGAGAATCTCAGTCTTGCCAATAATGGGCTGTCTAATATACAGCCAATAACCATCCTTTCCCAAAATTTCCCGAACCTTAAGGCTCTCGATCTCTCCAACAACAATTTCCAGGACGAAAGAGCACTGGTCGCATGGCGATGGAAGTTCCGTCAACTAGAATTCTTGGACCTAAGTAATAATCCTTTCAGCTCAGTTTCCGTTTTCAAGGAAACCATGATGAAGTGGTACCCGAGACTCAAGACCCTCAACAACATCCAAGTTCGCACCGATGAAGAGATTGCCGCTCAAAGCAGGGCTCCAATCCCTGCCCAGCCACCTTTTTTCCAGGACGAGGGAAATATCGCCGAAAATTTTATTCGAAATTTCTTCGTCGGTTTTGACAAGGACCGAAATAGTACCCTCAATCTCTATTACGACAACAACTCATCCTTTTCTTTTAATGTCAACCCCGCAGCTCCGCGTGGAACACAAGACAGTGCAGGTGTCTCCGACTGGGACTCCTGGATAAAAAGAAGCCGCAACCTGAAGAAAATAAATCATATTGGGGCACGGATAAATCGCATGTATGACGGCGTTGAAAAAATTCGCGAGATCTGGAACTCCATCCCACAAACACAGCATCCTGGCCTTGATCAACCAGCTCAGTGGTTAATTGAGTGTCATTTAATGCCCTGTCTTCCTGATGCTACCGGACAGAGTCCATCTGGCGTTGGAGGCTTTCTTATAATGATTCATGGCCAATTCGATGAATCTAGTGGTGGCAAGATTGAAACTCGCAGCTTTGACCGCACGTTCATCCTGGGACCAAGCCCCGGTCCAGAGAAGGTCAAAGTCATCAGCGATATGCTTTCTCTTAGAGCGTACGGCGGATATAATGCGTGGGATATAAACAACACAATCGAAACAGCACCAGCTGCTAGCGCGCCACCGGTCCATCCCGAAGCACCTCAAGGTTATGGTATGCCAGCACCAGGAAAAGCAGATGTCCAGGTTCAGCAGGAACAGCTGGTCCTCCAGCTTAGCTTCACTACAAATCTGAAATTGGAGTTTTCGCAACAAGCACTGGTTCAGCATAATTGGAATATAGAAGGGGCTTTACGTGCTTTCGAGGAATCAAAAGTGAGTTACTGGTTGATGGTTAAGTGTTGTGAAGGGTGTAATGCTAACAGACATTCTCGCAGGCACAAGGGCAAATCCCGGCGGAGGCTTATGTGGCCTTAGGGCCTTAAACAAGTCTCTTACTTCTGTCAGATCTCTCGAAATTTGTTTACTTTCCATACCTTTTTGTTTTATTACGAGGGTCATATTTTTGGTTTGAGCTAAGATCGATTGTTGCGCGGATCTCTCTCCGCTACTTTTTTATGAAAGTGTATAAAATTGATTTGTAACATGATAAATTTGCATGGCTTGATGGAGCATGGTGGTTTTATTTTCTCTATTCTTGTCATAGATCTGAAATGTATTGAGAATATGCAAGGTGCCAGCATAGGCTTACCTATTGCGTATGTTGTTTTTGCTGGAATTTGAAAATTTGATGTGACTGACTATTTTATTCGTTTATTCTGACCTGTGAAACTAGTTGATTCAAACCCAGTTAAGTTGTAGTTCTATGGTAAAATAGTTACGCCTGGTCGTTCATACATTAGTAGCTTAAGACGCCGCCAAGACATCGCGCTGTTCACTCCCCAGGAAGCTCTCTCCGTACCGCTGGCTCTTCTTGACGAGTTAATTGATATCTGACTGACCTCCAGTTCAAACCACCATTGCTCCTAACGTCTCGAACGATCAATAATACTCTGGTTGTCGATCAGCTGCTAGCCCTGTCCGCACATGCCTCACGACTAAGGCAACGACGAATTGGCTTGCGGAGCTACAGCCACGCTACAATCAATTGATCCTGACGACGCAAAACCCCCCGGGCGACGACGACTGCCAGCCACATGTCCGCCAACGGTACATCAATTTCAGATCCTTTGGACGCAGGTGGGTTGTTTTGCAGACGGTTCATTCTTGTTTTGGCCTGACACCCGTGGCAGTTGATTATGACCCCATCGCGCATCTAAACGGCATCTTCTCCCATCCTTCGACGCTTTCTGCTGTCTCGCAGACTTCCGAGGCCCTCCGAAGATACCAAAATGAGCTGGACAGTGACATCGCACGACTTGTGGAAGAGCAAGTCACCTCCAATGCGGAAAGCGTGCAGCGTATCCAGACCGCTAAGGCGGACTTGTCGGAGCTGTTCAAGAAGATAGACGATGTGCGAGAACGTGCCTCGAAGACGGAGCAGTCGATTACAGATATGACAGCGGACATAAAGCAGCTCGACAACGCGAAAAAGAACTTGACCGTCTCTATGACCGCGTTGAAGCGTCTACAAATGCTAACAACGGCTTACGAACAACTACGCGCATTGGCAAAGACACGGCAATATCGCGATTGCGCGCAACTTCTTCAGGCGGTCATTCAGCTCATGGCCCACTTCAAGTCATATAGGTCGATTGATCAAATAGCAACTCTAAGTAGGAACGTGGCGGATGTTCAACGCGAGCTTCTTGAGCAGGTTTGTGAGGACTTCGAGATCACATTCGCTAAAGGCGAGGTACTCCAGAAACGTGTTATGCTCTCGGAAGCCTGTCTGGTCATGGATGCTTTGGGCGACAATGCGCGATCGAGACTGACAACTTGGTACTGCAACACCCAACTTCGAGAATATCGTCAGGTCTTCCGCGGGAATGAGGAGGCCGGGTCTTTAGATAATATATCTCGTCGCTATTCTTGGTTCAGAAGGATGCTAAAAACTTATGATGACGAGCATACATCCATTTTCCCTCCTTCATGGAGAGTGAATGAGGTACTGGCGAACACGTTTTGCGAATCAACTCGCGATGATTTCAAGGGTATTCTATCGAGGTCTGTACGGAGTGGGCAGACAATAGACGTCAATCTCTTACTTTCCTGTCTCCAGGAAACTCTCGATTTCGAACATTCCCTGGACCGAAGGTTTGCACAAACACCTAGAGTTTCCATAGATACAGTCGCTTCTTCCACGGATTCCCCCATATCCATGCAGAGTATATCCGAAGCCTTCGAACCGTACCTAGGACTGTGGGTGGAAGCGCAAGACAAACAACTGTCTACTTTACTGCCTAAATATCGACAGCAACCGCTTAAGCGTGAGGATGAAGAGTTTCATGCCCAGCTTGTCATTTCATCGTCCACGGAACTCTTCACATTTTATAGGCATTCACTTGCGCAGTGCGCGAAACTTTCTACAAGTGGGAGTTTAGCTGAATTGTCGAAGGTATTCGCCAAATACCTAGACCAATATGCTCAACAAGTGCTCCTCAACTACATCAGCGAACGAGCAACGACCCAAACGCCATCGAAAGTACCCTCCATCGAGGATCTAATTTTGGTTCTGAACACAGCGGACTATTGCTATACTACTAGTAATCAATTGGAGGAGAAGATCAAAGAACGTATCGACGAAAATTTGAAGAATACTGTCGATTTTGAAAGCCAGGCTGACGCTTTCATGGGCATTGCCAGCGCTGCGGTTCGTGGACTTGTCCGTAAAGTCGAAGTTCAACTGGAACCATGCTGGCGTGAAATGCGAAATTTCCCCTGGAACAAACTGGAGAATGTCGGCGATCAAAGCCCATATGTTGGAGAACTACTTGCCAAGACCAAAGCACAGGCGGATGACATCCTACTGTCTCTTCACAAGCAGCAGTATGCAAGAGCTTTCGCCGATAACATTGTTGAGTTTATATCAAACACCTTTATTAGCACTGTCTATTCGTGTCGTCCGGTTTCTGAGACCGGTGCTGAACAGGTATTGTGGAACCTTTTTAATTGATGGCTGTTTTCCTTCGCACATTCTGACTCTATTTGCTAGATGTTACTTGACCTATACACATTGAAAAGCGGGTTAACATCATTGCTGCCTTCCCCTGCACCCGCTGGTTTTGTTAAGCGAGTCAATTCAAGTTTCACAAAGGTTGACTGTCTTCTAAAGACGGTGCAAGTTCGTCCATCGCCACCTGAAGCTTTAGTTCAAGCTTATCTCCTTCACATCGCGGATCGAAGCGAAGCCAATTTCCGTCGAATGCTAGAAATCAAAGGTATTCGATCCAAACAGGAACAAAATCAACTTGTAGAGTTGTTCAACTTGCACCGAGCGTCAGACCGCCATGCCCCCAATCTACAGCAAAGCAATCCGCTATTCTCATCCTTTCAAAGCTCTTCCACGTCAGCTTCTGGTCCTGGAACAGCGTCCACTGTCTCCCAGGGGCTAAGTAACTTGGGAACAACTGCTACCACTTCCATAGGCACACCTGGCCGTTTTGATCCAACTATGCTCGGTTCAGCGATTATATCCGCTGCAAAAGATGGAGTGGAACGGTTCCCGCTTGGCTCTGGCGTAACAACGGCAGCTGGACATCCTCATACGGGCTCCGGCCCTACATCTCCAGGTGCAGGACTATCGGGGCAACAACGGGTTACGAGCGAGAGTTTTGAGGGAAGCGGCGTTGCTACTTCTGCGTCGGCCGCTACGCAGCTCAATGAGAATCTGAAGAATATTGGGAAGTTTTTCCGGCGCGACCTTGGAGGGTTTGGTGGCAGATTCGGACGATCGACTGAAGATGCTACTCGGTAAATAATACCACGTATCTAGAAATCATGCTTCATTTAGGAATATATATGCATTCTACAATAAGATCCCTTCTATAAGACTACCTTTAAACACCGTATCCAACCCAGCATGAGCAAAATATAAAAGCACAAGGTACTACGAGAAAACTGCAGCAATGCAAAGTAGATCCAAAACTACGACATGACGGGAACAAATGTAGAGCAAGTGTAAACCTGGAATAAATACTTCTCAAATTAGCCGATATTCACACAAAAAGAAACACGTGTAATGTAAATATGAATGAGTTGCGGGCGTCAGCAAAAAATTAGAGTGTTTTGGTTGTTGCGTGTTTTTGATCTTCATAGCTGTTGCAAACAGCTTGGGGTTAAAAAGGTATCATCATCCGCCAAGAAGAGAAATGTAGTGTGCAAAATAAGTGATTTATAGTTGAAAAGAAAAGTTTGTAGGACTAACCTTGTACATAAGACGTAGACGTTGGTTCTACGTATCTGCTGGTTGCTCTGTAAGTTGTTTTGCAATTGAAACAACTGCCGAGAATGCGCGACTGCCTTCGGTGAGAAATTTCATTCGTAAAATTATTACGAGTCTCGATTGATGTAATCTATGTCAAGTACATTGCATTCGTATCCCGTAACAAAAATGGGTGGGTTCAGACAATTTAGTCGAACAGACCACCGAATCCTAAAAGAATCAATTAGTTTCCACCAATATCATCATGTAATGTATGGCGTATTGGACTTACCTTCATCACCGCTCTCCTCTTCCTCCTCTTCCTTCTCCTCAGCAGCAGCAGGCTCGTCGCCACCAGTAGCAGCAGCGGCAGCAACAGGAGCGGCAGCAGCGTAAGCTTCAGGATTGGCAATGCGGTCCTTGAGCTCCTCAATCTCAGGCCAGCTGTACTCGGTCTCAATGGCAACAGACAAGACGTTCTTGTAGCTGTTGACGACAGAGTGCATGACGGAAGCCAAGGTGGGGTAAGAGGTAGCCAAAGAGATGGTGGCAATGGTGGTGATGGCGGAGCTGAGAGCCTTCAGGAGCTGCTCATCCTCAATGTCCAACACCTCGGCACCGAAGGTCTGGCCATCATCGTAGATCTGAGTGATGGACATACCGTAGGTGAAGGGAGAGATGTTCAACATGTTAAGAAGAGTAGCCTCGGAGGCACCAACCTTAGCACCAGCCTCAACAAGCTTGAGGTCGCTGGTAATTTCGATGGTACCACGAGCAATCTTGGTTGGGATACCAAGAGCCTGGAAGAAAGAAGTCTTACCGGGTTCCATACCGGTGTTACCAGCAGGAACGAAGACATCGGCAGGGGCAACAGCACCAGCACGAGCAGGAGCAGCGACACGGTTGGAGAGAATCTTGGTACGGACACCCTTCATGTCAGCGTTGGTAAAGATGAAACCAACGTTGCCTAGTGAATTATGCTCTAATCAGTATTTCGGGAAGACTCGGACATGATATAAAATAACAATCAGCATCGGAATCGACTAACCCTTAACGTGAGGCAGGAGACGCTCGAATTCAGGGTTCTCGGCGATGAATCCCTTGAGAGCACGACGAACCTAGACAGAAAGAAAAAATCACCAATTGGCACAGAGATCGACGGAAAATTATGGTGCATTAATGGCTTACCATGGTGTTCTTGCCCATGAGGACAACACCCTCACCACGGAGACTCAAACGAATCTCGTGCATCTGCTGAGAGCTGACATTGTCGACGGCGACAATGAAGATGGTCTTGTACTCGTCGAGGAGGCCCTTGAGCTTATCGAAGTAAGCGGCCTTGGTCGTAGATTTGCCCCCCATGTCTTCTTATGTTCGTGAAGAGAGGATGTTTAAGGGCAAATGGAAAGTAAGTCGTAATCTGGTGATGTCTCTTTGGACAGTGTTGACGTTGGATGAAATGTGTGCGCTTAATTTTCTGGCAAAACTTTGGTGCTTTCGGCTAACCGGACCCACCAACGCCAGCTCAGCCAATCATGTCGTACCTCCGAAGCTCGCCGGCCGCGCAAAGATTTGAAGTCATAGAAAACGAAGCTCAAAGAGCATATTTGGAGCTCGTTGATATCGTAACCCCTCATTCTTTCACTTGCATGTTCCGTCAATCCAATTCAATCTGTCAATTTTGTAAGAGGATTTTTGCTTCTGAACACCGTCGGTTTTGTTTCCCTAGCAAGCTGGGCCCGCAACCTGCATCCGCTCCATACATTTGCGCTCCTCATCATTACCCGACAGCAATGGCTCTGAAGGCACAGTATCCATTTCATTGCATTCAATACGCTAGTGGTGTTATTGTTGCGTCAGCAGGGCCCAAGCTCTACTCTTTCTCTGCCACTGACGGTCGTAAGCTTTCAACATGGCCCGAAAGCAAGACTAGTATCTCTGGAGAAGCAGCTGCAAACGACCCAGCCGAGGGCAGTGATGGACCGCCAGAGAAGAAAAGGAAGATCTCACCAGCTGACACCGCGAAGGGTGATCATGATGAAAACCAGGCTATTGTCACCACAGCTTGGTCATCCATCCCCATCTTGATTACGTCCCCAACAGGCCGGCACGTAGTTGCTGTAACTGCGGAGGACAAATATATTCGAGTCTTCGATATCAACTCAGAGGGAGTACTGTCGCAATTAAATGCGAGGTAAGAGTCTCGCTTCCTTCAGGGTCTTAAGAACGCGAACACTAAGTTAGGAATAGACCGGCGCCTAGGAAACCATGTGGGCTTACATTTTCACTTGACGGCAACACAATCATCTGTGCCGATAAAGGTGGAGATGTCTACAGTATACCTTTACTCGGTAGTGAGGAGGATTTTATACTACCGTCTCGTCCGAAAAAACAGTTTAAAGTTACTGCAAACACTTCAGTTGTGCATTCGAAAAGAAACTTGGAGTCTCTACGCCAACAACTACGCCAGGTGGAGAGGGGCGACGTTAAGACCAAATCCGGCCCGATCATTAAAAGGGATGTGCTTCTTGGACACGTCTCTATGCTCACGGATATAACTGTTGCTTGCTTACCATCGAGCACATCTTCCAGTGCCTACTGGTATATACTGACGGCAGACCGCGATGAGCAAGTACGAGTCTCGCGAGGTTCGCCTCAAACACACGTCGTTGAAGCCTACTGTCTGGGTCATGAATCTTTTATTAGTAAACTCTGTGTTCCAGCTACTTTGCAGCACCTTCTTGTTTCCGGAGGTGGGGACGATTATCTTTTTGTTTGGGATTGGAGAAACGGTCAGCTCTTGCATAAAATCAACATCGCTGCAGAGCAAGGAAAGAACCAGACTGTTGTCAGAGGCATATGGGCGACTAGACTTGCAAATACATCATCTGCTGCTATCTTTGTGGCTCTTGATGGGTACGTGAAACTTCGTTTAGACCGTATTAGCAAAAGGCTATATTCTAATGATTTTTAATAGGTCGCGCGAACTCTTGAGCTTTTTGCTGTCCAATGACGGAAAGATTACTGCCCAAAGTTCTCTCCAAGCCTCGGGAAACATCTTGGACTTGGCTTGCAACGATGAGAATGGCACCATCTTCGTCTCGGTTGATTCCTGCCATGAACCTGGCTCAACTAAAGCCTGGAAGAATAATTTCGACAGTGCTGCTCAAATGCTGATTCAAGGTTATGGAGTGGGGGTCAGGGATGGGAAATTGGCCTTTGAGCCTACAGCAGGTCAAGTGGTAGACAGCATCAATGCGCAGGGCACAGAAGAAGTCCTTGCAGGCGTGGATGAGTCCGCCTGGGCAAAGACTCAGAAGTCGTTGAGTGAGACGTTGTATTACCTAAACAACTATCGCAAGAGAGAGATGCATAGTTAGGTCATACATTATAGCATGGCCTTGATTTATCCAAAGTTAATCACTCACATAGAATTGAAACCGAGTATTTTATTCATTGTAATCAACTATATCACTCTGTGAATGTGAACGCAATGGTGGTTAGCTGCATATTACTTCGTAGTAGTTAAATGAGATCATGTAAGATAAGGGCTCAAGCCCTTATCACCCCGCTCAAGTTCAACGACGACGTACCTCGGAATTTCACGGCGATGGCCAATTGAGAACCTATAACTCGTTGCATTGATACGTATTCTCCGGAGCCCGGAACATTGCTATTCCAAAATTCTGTGATAGCTAGTTCCTTTCTGCAATCTATTCCAGCAATCTCCGACTGGCAAGTTTCAGCTCTGTAGCCGACGATGCAGGAGCAATTCGAGCCATTGAAGAATGATCTCTTGTTGAGGGCCGCGAGAGGTATGGCCTTTTTTAATTCCTCTACGATCTAATATCAAGTCATATGGAACCTAATGAGGGTTTTTGTCGTCCAGGTGAAAATGTCGAGCGGCCGCCAATATGGGTGATGAGACAAGGTATGTAACACTCGATTTTCTTCTTCTGAACCTTTTTCTGACACGAAGAAAATAGCTGGACGATACCTACCTGAGTATCACGAAGCAAAAGGCAACCGCGATTTCTTCGAATGCTGTCGATCGCCGGAAATTGCATCTACACTCACTCTCCAACCCATTGAACGCTTTGAGGGGCTTATCGATGCGGCCATCATCTTCTCGGATATCCTCGTTATCCCGCAAGCCATGGGTATGACCGTAGAAATGATCGATAAGAAGGGACCTTCTTTTCCGGAACCCTTGATTTCCCCGGATGATGGACAATATGAGAAAATCTTGAACAAGGTGGTTGACGTGAAGAAAGAGTTGGATTACGTCTACAAGGCCATTACTGTGACCAGATTCAAGCTAAAAGGGCGGGTCCCTCTCATTGGATTTTGTGGTGCGCCGTGGACTTTGCTTTGCTATATGGTTGAAGGTGGTGGGACAAAGCTATTCATTCAATCTAAAAAATGGATTTACAAGTATCCCAACGAAAGCAAGGCGATGTTACAGAAGATTGCGGAACTCTGCGTCGAATACCTTGCGTTGCAGGTCGCTGCCGGTGCGCAACTAGTTCAAGTATTCGATTCTTGGGCAGGGGAATTGTCACCGGCAACATTCAAGGAGTTCTCATTGCCTTACCTTCGTTATATATCCCATCATCTACCGAAGCGTCTGCAAGAGCTCAAGTTGGATCCGGTTCCCATGACTGTCTTCGCCAAGGGCGCCTGGTATGCACTCGATGAACTTTGCACAAGCGGATATAACGTGGTTGGATTGGATTGGTTGCATGATCCGGCTGAAGCATTCAAGATTGCTGGCGGCCGCGTAACTCTGCAGGGTAATGCTGACCCTGGTATTCTGTACGGTGATCATACTGCTATCACAAAAACGGTTGAAAATATGGTGAAAGGCTTTGGCGGAGGCAAGAAAGGTTGGATCGCAAACTTGGGTCATGGTACGTGTGAGCTCGTTGCATGAACAACAAATATCAGAGAATCTGCAGAAATTTTTCTAACATTGCTGAGTAGGTATAACCCCCTTTGTCAATCCAGACGATCTTCGGTTTTTTTTCGAGGAGATTCATAGGCTATCTCGGTGAACGTTTTAACAAAAAGAGAATCATTTGTGTATATAGAACATCCCCAAGTCATAAAAGAGAAAACAGAAGAGCAAGTTCTCGCAAGTTGACAAAAGCAGAATCACATGATCTCTTTCATGCGAAAGGATCTGGATTCCTTCCTTCCACTCTTAATTCTCCAGCCTAAGAGGAAACCGGTGGCTGTCCGTAATTTCTTAAGACTGTCGGCAGCTGGAAGATTTGCCCACCCACACCACCGTTACTTCATCATCACCATCACTTAAAGCAAGCAAATGTATCAATTTGCAGAGCATCATCTAATACACTCAAGTCACAGCCAATATGGCAGATCACAGAAAACAGCACCAAGTGGGACCCTGTTTGAAGTGGCTGGAAACCAAGTTCAACATCACAGATAGCGACGATTGTCACGACTACTACCACAGTGTTCGTCAAAGATCTAAGAACAAATGTACGCGAAGGGTCTCTTTGACTCGAAGAACCCGTGGTTAAAAGGACCAAATTCACATAGTCTGAAGGCAGCATGTCTAGAGCTACGAGATCGACATCCTGGCATTGGTTTTTTAAGAATCTACAATTTCGAAGACTCCGAGTGGCTTTATAATTGTCATACTGCAGTTTTCACCATGAGGATGACGTCTAAATTTTACGCCGATAAGAGAAAGGCCAGTTCCCAGTTATCAATATCCACGACAAGGGAACGAAGCGACGAAGGTGGCGGCGGTGGTGGTGATGGTAAATATGGGGAGATTATCACGCTCCCATCTTAGAAACATAACTAATAGAAATAAGGTCACATGATCAATTTCACACAGAAAATATCGTGCATGTCAAAAGACAACCCTTCACTTCTTCCTAGGAGGATGTATGATCGCGGGCATCAGTAGCAACAAACAACGATTCAGTATCAAGTTATGGAAATTGGATGCATTCCTTGATTTCATCAAACAATGATATTCCTTCCGTGGCAAGCAGAACGTGACAATCGGCTACGCTGAGGCTAATTGCGATAGTCCTGGCACAGATATACGGGTCAGGGTGACCACCGACTTGCATTTCCAGATCGGAATACGTCAGATGGTGAATACAAATAGAGATATTGAGTTTTTCGTTGAAGATGATGATATTACAGTAGGGATACAGTATGAAAGTGAATAGATGCTGATATAGTTTAAGATCAAAAAGCCAAGCTCGCCAGAACGCCATTGTTATCAAGACCGAGATCAATGCTGCAGGTCGCAAAGATGAGGGCACATAAACAGCCGGCTTTCCAGACGAGTCCAGCTACGACAAGGACGACCACCAAGTAATTCTACGTATCGGCTGTGAGCACTGTCAACCTGCCAGTGGGTGTCTTAAAAAGGCTGACTGAATGGGCGACCAGCAGCTAGCAAGCGTGATATGGATGACAGAGTACTAAGCAAATAGAAGTGGGCATTTCTCTCTGGATCAAATGTTCATTGAGTCTTAAACGGCGATATCCTCATTCCTATTGAATTCAAATCAAGGGTTAGAGAGAAAGTTAGAGAGGGAAACTCAGAGTTGCGCATTAGAGTTCAAACGCACCATAATTCGGGCTTGTCATGAATGAAGTTTTTCATCAAACGAATGCATTCTTCATTTTGCAGAACGACGACCTCAATGCCACGACTTTGCAAATATTGTTCATTTCCCATGAAATTCTTGTTTTCGCCAACTACAACCCGCTTGACCTTGTATAGTATACAAGCGCCGCTGCACATGTCACATGGTGACAAAGTGGTGTACATCGTAGCACCTTCGTAAGCAGAGGCTGGGAGACGACCTGAGTTTTCGAGAGCAGAGATTTCGCCCTTCGGATAGAATTCGATTAAAATGATATTTCCATCTTAAATTGCATCTGAAGTTCTCGCTTACATGTAACGTAGCACTTCCTTTTTGGAATCGCATGTTGTGGCCGCGTCCCAGGATCTTTCCATCCTTTGATACCAGACATGCGCCAATAGGGACGCCGCCTTCAACCTGTCCCTGGCGGGCCTCTTCGACGGCAGCAATGAATCCCGGGTCAGACTCCATTGTGATAGGTAGTGTTTATGGTTATGAACCGTGTACGGAAGGACTGGAGAGAAAAGAGAAGTTTTTATCAACCCATGGAAAACCCACCGGCGATAAAGAATGGGCGCGGGCCTCTCCCCTTTGCTTCTCACTTTTCCTCACTATACAATATATGTATAATCTTGAACTCGAAGAGGATTGATAGACTACGAAGTAAGTTTTTTCATCTCCCATGGGCTTTAGCTTACTGCTTTTCCCTCTCGTTTGCTGTTGATTCAACAAGGAGGGAGGAGGGGCACTCCGAACTCGTATCTATTCTCTTATCGATAAGCACATTCCGAGCCACCGCCACAACTGAGGCTGTTCCTAGCACGTGATTTGCCATGGTATGAATTTTTTTTTTTCTTTGAACAGAAAGGATTTCAGAAATAAGGGGAAATAATTGGTCAGCCCGTGGCAAAAAGCGCTGAAGAAGGCTGTGGAAGAAAGGCCAGCCCCATCGAAACCCGTCGAATTTCTCGGAATTTGCCTGGAACCGCGCTAAGCCCCGTTGGGTGCTCAGTCGCTATCAGACTTGCGGACTGCTTCAGGTTCTAGAGAACGGGCTTTACTTCTCTTTCTTTCTGTTGCTTCTGTCGTCACTCTCTCCTCTCTTACTTCCCTTCTTTGCTCATTTCTCGACATCAATCAAATTCGTCGACGCTACTTCTGTCCTGGAAAATCCCCTGAAGGCGGTACGATCTGCGACAAGGCCTTGGCATTTTTCTCACGAAGACTGAAAAAAAAGGCCTTGTTTAATCAACTCCGAGCTTCTATTCCCCTAGCGGCTATCATATTCCCTCGACTGTTTGACAACCAACTTCAAATCCAACGTGTTTCTCGTCGTTCGGTCGCCATTTTCATCGAACCGAGTCTTTCCGCTGTTTCCAGCCCGTCCCACGCTTGTTACCCGCTGACCGACTGACTGGTTATCGTTGTTGTTATAATTAATATCATTATATTAGCGCAAGTGAAAAGATCGCAATCATGGTGAAAGATACCAAGTTCTACGATATTCTCGGGGTATGTTCATTTGCGTGAATGAATACTATTATTTAAAGACCGGCCGGTTGATTTGGATATAGGTTGCCCCGACGGCCACTGAGGCCCAGTTGAAAACCGCATACAAGAAGGGTGCTTTGAAATACCATCCCGGTATGTATATACTCATTCGCGTTACTTTTTGAAACCTGGCCGGAGAAAAATGCTAATCAAGCACGAATCTATAGATAAAAATGCGTCTAATCCCGAGGCCGCTGATAAGTTCAAGGAACTCTCGCACGCATATGAGATTCTCTCCGACTCACAGAAACGCCAAATTTACGATCAATATGGTGAAGAAGGCTTGGAAGGTGGTGCCGGTGGTGCCGGCATGAACGCTGAAGACCTGTTCGCCCAATTCTTTGGCGGCGGTGGTGGTGCATTCGGTGGCATGTTCGGTGGTGGCATGCGTGACACGGGCCCCAAGAAGGCTAGAACCATTAATCACGTTCATAAAGTCAGTCTTGAGGATATCTACCGAGGAAAGGTGTCCAAGCTCGCTCTTCAGAAGTCGGTTATTTGCCCCGGATGTGATGGGCGTGGCGGAAAGGAAGGTGCCGTTCGTCAATGTACTGGCTGCAATGGCTCGGGTATGAAGACTATGATGCGCCAGATGGGCCCTATGATTCAGCGATTCCAGACCGTCTGTCCCGACTGCCAGGGTGAAGGTGAGATCCTGCGTGAAAAGGACCGCTGCAAGAAGTGCAATGGCAAGAAGACCATTGTTGAGCGCAAGGTGCTGCATGTGCATGTCGACAAGGGTGTCAAGAATGGCCACAGGATCGAATTCCGAGGCGAAGGTGACCAAATGCCTAATGTTTTGCCCGGAGACGTTGTTTTCGAGATCGAACAGAAGCCTCACCCGCGATTCCAGCGCAAAGACGACGATCTTTTTTACCACGCCGAAATCGATCTTCTTACTGCTTTGGCTGGTGGCACAATCAATATTGAACATTTGGACGATAGGTGGCTTTCAGTTAACATCGCACCGGGCGAGCCTATCACACCCGGTATGTTTTCTTTTTCTCTCTGTCTCCGTCTGTTATTCTCTCCCATGTTTTGACATGGAACTAACTCGTATTCTTTTACTGCGCAGGTGCTATCAAGGTGATCAAGGGCCAGGGTATGCCCTCGTTCCGTCATCACGACTTTGGTAACTTGTACATCCAGTTCGATGTCAAGTTCCCTCAGGCATCCGATTTGAAGAACCTCCAGCTGCTCGAGCAGGTCTTGCCTGAACGCGCACAACAAGTCCAGCCTCCAGCCGATTCGATGGTCGAGGACTTTGATCTGGAAGAAGTCGATCCCGCCCAAAGTGCACGAGCACAAGGAGCTGCTTACGAAGACGAAGATGAAGATGGTGTTCCTCCAGGTGCAGAGCGCGTGCAGTGTGCATCCCAGTAAAGAAATAAGAAAGCAAAAGCAAGGAAGACAGTTCTTTTCCGCCCCCACCTTTCACCAGCGTGATCTAAACCGCGTCCAAATTTGTTCTGCATACGTCGGCTTATGTCGAGGCTGAGGGGGGAGAAAAGAAAAAGAAAAAGAAAAAGAAACTAAACATGAAACTCCGCGCTATGGTATCTGAGTCCCTGGGCTTGGTTCACGCGATAATTTTCGAGTCTTGTCACACGAGGCGTTTGTTCTTGCTGCATCGTCGTTAAAAAGGGTCAATTACCTAGGTATGGTGTGCGGGTGGCGCGGTTTCCAACCAAGTAGCTACTCTTTGGATTTCGAAAAGGCTTTTGCCCTTTTGCTCTGGCTTCAAGCATTCGAAGATATGGTCAGTCTTTGGGGAAAGAAAGGCGGGAAAGGGGGAATGACCTTTACAAGCTTTTACTAGTGGTGCTTGCTTGCTTGCTTTACTTTGATGATTTATTTTCTTGAGAGATTCTGTTCATGCCTTAGGTCTCTGCTACGTTTGAATGATGCTGGTCACGGATTTCCTTTTGTGTGTGCTGATGCTCTGTTTTTCCCTCCCCTATTTATTTACCTTTGCACTACCACTAGTCTCATGGCGTTTTGCATTCTGTTTTCCTTTTCCCTATTTTAGAATGCATGGCTTTGGAAGGTCCAGTCCATAATGAACTAGTTATAGTTGGTTAACTGGCTATAACAGACTGCTTTGTAGGCGGCATCTCGCATATCAAATGCACGTGATATCCTGTATCAGATAATCAACACGCTTCCTGTGGGCCTTGGGCATTGACCCCTGCTCGAGGCATAAGCACCTTTTTGCCGCTTTGGGTGTTTAAAAATACGCTTTGACAGCCCTAGTGCATCACGCAATAGCTCCTGCAGATTGCCCATCGACCAAATACCGTATCGCAAATACGGCATAAAATATAATAGCCCCTTGGGAACGCACAAAACGCACGAATCAGGAAGCGATCCCGTATTTATGCGTTTTTGAGCTTACGCCAGCAACTTCCATCATCGGTGGAGTCGATCACGCCATCTGCAGCAACCAATAAACAGACGGCCGGTGGGGCCGTAGCCGGCGATTCTCTGCAGGCTTGGCTTCATTCTTTGCTTTCCAGCATCGTTTTTACGTATTTTTGCTGGATGATGTAGTACGTACTCACGTGGAGCTGCCAGGCCTTCCTGGCCCTGGCGGCTTCTCTCTTCTTCTGCGTCTCTCTCCTTCCTCTATGCCATAGATCATATAACCAATCTATATACGCTTTGACCGGGCCTGCTAGGGACTCGTATTTCGTTCACAATATTACGTACCAGCAAAGCTCGTGGAAGCTACCTTCTGGATTCGGCGTCCTAGTTTAGCCTCGATCACGACATCGCCCGCGTCTTCTGCGGAAGTCCAGAAATTACAAGGTATTCCTTTGTCTGATTGTGATCTTGTTGTCGAGAAGAGGCGGGTTGAAATAGCCTCGCATTTCCTATCCCTGGGAGCCGTTGACTTGCCATCTACCACTTCCTCATCCAGCTTCACGCGATGACAGAATAGCCTGGCTCGAGGGACTTTCTTGATATCTTCCTGTTGCAACCGCCGGGCCTTGCACATCTGGGGATATATATACCATTCATCCATCAGAACTAGATCCAGACCCCCTTGGACGACTCTTGTTTGAGATCCTACCTATCTATACGCTGCCATAATAATGTCGACCAAGGCAAGCACCAAATATGGCCATCTCCTGGCCAAGGGGCTCGGCATCAAACTTCCCTATCGAGATCCTCTGGGCTCACTGGCTGAACCCGTTACACGAGGAGAATCCGTATTCTCTTCCGGCACTGCTGAGAACTACGTCGAGCCAGAGCCGACTGCTAGGGAGTGGGTTGAAGACCTAATTCCAACTAGTCGTGATGTTGGTCTATACTTCTATAACCTGTTTCCTTTCCTCAGGTGGATCACACGATACAACGTGCAGTGGCTCATCGGAGATCTAGTGGCTGGTAAGCCTCTTTTCAATTGATGCGAGAAAATGATCCGTCAAAGCTCATGCTCTTTCGCTCAGGTATCACTGTCGGCGCTGTCGTCGTTCCTCAGGGAATGTCATATGCTCAACTGGCTGATTTGCCCGTCGAATATGGACTGTACACCTCGTTTATGGGTGTCTTAATCTATTGGTTCTTTGCGACATCAAAGGACATAACCATTGGTGTAAGAGAGTACCCTACGACGATATCAACGGATTCCACTAACATATTCCCTCCACTAGCCTGTTGCTGTCATGTCGACTCTTACCGGGAATATCATCATCGAGGTGCAAAAAGCCCACCCTGACCTGCCTGGTCATGTCATTGCTTCAGCATTGGCTGTCATATCCGGCGCAATCATCACCTTCATCGGGCTCATCAGATGGGGTTGGCTTGTAGAATTCATCCCCTTGACTGCAATTACCGCTTACATGACGGGTTCCGCCTTGAACATCATAGTTGGCCAAATAAAAAACTTGATGGGCGAAAGCGCCAAGTTCAGCACAAGAGGCGCCACCTACAAGGTTCTTATTTTGTCACTGAAACACCTTCCCAGTAGCAAATTGGATGCTGCTCTAGGGCTTACGGGGCTCGTCATGTTGTATGGTATCCGCTATGCATGCAACTACGCCGCAAGGAAGCGCCCAGACAAAGCCAAGCTCTTCTTTTTCATCGCGACACTGCGCACGGCTTTTGTGATTCTGTTTTACACTATGGTTAGCGCTGCAACCAACATACATCGCCGTGATAACCCTGCATTCAAAGTCATTGGCACCGTTCCTCGTGGTAAGTTTTAAAGCTGCCCGTCCTTGGCGAAATTGAACACCCTGTTAACTGATCAATCTTTATGTGTTCCAGGTTTTCAAGATGCCGGTGCTCCTAGGATCGACACGGGAATCATAAAAGCATTTGCCAGTCAATTGCCCGCTGCAATCATTGTCATGTTGATCGAGCATATTTCCATTTCAAAATCGTTCGGTCGTGTGAACAACTACAAAATCGACCCTTCCCAGGAATTGGTTGCTATTGGTGTTAGCAATCTGCTTGGTCCCCTTCTTGGTGCCTACCCTGCTACTGGCTCTTTTTCTCGGACTGCCATCAAATCCAAAGCCGGTGTCCGTACACCGATTGCTGGTCTCATCACTGCGGTTGTGGTTTTGCTTGCTATATATGCTCTTCCTCCGCTTTTCTGGTACATTCCACAGGCTTCTCTCTCGGCTGTTATCATCCATGCCGTCGGAGACTTGATTACTCCCCCGAATGTAGTCTACCAATTCTGGCTTGTTTCTCCATTTGAGGTATTTATTTTCTTTGCTGGAGTTTTGGTCACCGTCTTTGCTAGCATTGAGGATGGTGTTTATACTACCATGTGTGTTTCCATGTTCTTGCTACTGTGGCGCCTTGTCAAGTCACAAGGGGAGTTCTTGGGCAAAGTCAGAGTGCATTCGGTCATCGGTGACCATTTGATTGACGATGAAGGCAAATACGGACAACCGGGTCCTGTACCCGAGCGGACGCTCAACGAGGATAATGACCAAAATGACACATTCCGCAACATCTACCTGCCTGTTACACATCGTGATGGCTCCAATCCGCTGATTTCTGTCCAACACCCTTACCCAGGAGTCTTCATCTATCGCTTTTCAGATGGATATGTCTACCCGAATGCTAACAACGAGACTGACGGTCTCGTAGCAACAATATTTAAAGAAACACGACGCACAAATCCGCACGTATATGGGAACCCGGGCGAGCGTCCTTGGAACGATCCCGGTCCTCGACGAGGACAGTCTGAGCCAGACCGCAGCCACTTGCCTACCCTTCGCGCCATCATTTTAGACTTTTCCTCTGTGCATTATGTGGATGTGACATCTATCCAAAATTTGATTGACGTGCGCAATCAACTGGATCTATATGCCTCACCTGAGCCGGTACAATGGCATTTCACCAACATTAATAACCGATGGACCAAGCGAGCGCTTACATCTGCCGGGTTTGGATATCCAACTCCTGCACCGAATAATGGTTTCAAACGCTGGAAGCCTATTTTCAGTGTCGCTGAGCTTGGCGGTAGCAATTCTGCAGCTGCGACTGCTGAACGCGAGCGTCTCAGTCATCACCAGAAAACAGACCTCGAACAGGGCGGGTCCACATATACCACAGAGCGAGAGCGCAATGAGACTGAAAATAGTAGCAATGACGGGGATGATTATATCAAACAAATTAGCACTGCCACCGTATCCAAGCGTCAAAACAATATTGCCTTGGTGTCCGGTATCGGCCGTCCATTTTTCCATATTGACGTGACTAGTGCAGTGCAGAGCGCCATTTTCAATATCGAGGAAAGCAGTGGTGCCCTTAAACTCATCGAGCCATGAGAGGTTTGATGTTGTGTTATACTCAACTAGCCTGTCCTTCTTTTCTTTGGACTTTTTTTCCGTCGTTCATAGCATACCCGCGAAATGATTGTTCGCATGCGTTGGCTTTTCTTGAAATTATTTTGGGTTACTTAGATCTTCATGTACAGACAATTTTGGAAGAACTGAATGAATACATAAAACTTAACAATCTTTCTGCCTAGCCTCAATCCGATCTTCTGATAGGAAAGGCCTACAACGCGAAAGCGCGAATAACCCATGCTTTAAGCTAGTAGCCGCCAACTATCACTAGATGCAACCAAGCCATGGTCCCGAAAGAGTAGAGGTGGCTGTTCATGGTCAACTAGGAGAAACGAGAGTGTGCCTCACTACCTTCAAGGCATACCGCTAAACCATATCTAGTAGGAGATCGCGAAGGCCCACTCTTGAAGCGGATCTAACCCTAACTTTGTTTGAACGATGACCAACGAAAGACATCAGGGCAAATATGATATTCGACGTAGTCTTCTTCTCCTTTGATAGTATTACTATAGGGTTTAGGCAGAACCTTTCCATGAATGAGAATGTTTTATAAATATTGTCATGTTAAGTCGTGTGTTCGTAGAAATAGCTGGAGTGAATGTCAATTTTCTCCATACTATTTTCTCAATATCAGAAACCGCTTAGTTCTGGATATTATTACTGTTCAACTATCAGTTTTAGATCCAGTCAACATGATCAGATTCCTCAAAAAGAAGTATGATCAAACACATCGTCAACTACCCCCGGAGACAATTACTCGGGAAAATGAGGAGAAAAAGCAGTCATGTCCTCATCTTCAGCAACAGCAAGGCTCTGAAATTACTACTGCTGAAACTACAGAATGTCAATTTTGTAAACAGGAAAAACGTCATGCTCTCATCTACCGACTAAAATTGATGGCCGGTCTGCTGCTACCTTTTACTCTTGCGTCGCTGGATTTGACGATTGTGGCTTCGTCGACGCCGTTTATTGCTTCGTATTTTGGTGCGTTGGCTCTATTAGCTTTCTAATCATATCTTAAACCTGTCTACTGACACATATGTGTGCTTGTCAATTAGATAAACTCGACCAACTAGACTGGATCGTGACCGCCTACACATTGACATCTACCACATTCATCCCGACCTTCGGCCAGCTAGCTGACGTATTCGGTCGTCATGCGGCCCTGCAATTGTCAATGGGACTGATGGTTGTTGGGAGCACATTAGCTGCTGCCGCGCAGACATGGGGAATGCTTCTGCTCGGACGAGCTCTACAGGGAACAAGCGCAGCGGGAATTATGAATATTATTGTTATTGTGCTTGCCGACAAGGTCTCGCTGGAAGAAAATGCGAAGAATAATACGGTTTTCACCTTGGTGGCGGGCATTAGTTATTCGGTTGGGCCTGTTGTTGGGGGGTTTGTCCCCTCATTCTGTGAGCATCGATATTGAGCAATTGACTAACGAAGCTATTAGGTATTTGACAAATGTGAGATCTGGCATATACTATCGTCAGCCAAGCAATGCTTGCTAATATTAATTTATCTTGACAGGCTAGCTGGAGATATGTCTTCGTGATTTCGATTCCGGTGAGTATTTTTATTATCGCTCTGCTGTGTCCTGTACCTCGATTATAAACTAACAATATGGGTAGATTGCCTTTGTCTCTCATTTCATCATCTACTTCCTCCTCTACGATGAGCTCGTAGAAGGAACCCATCTCAAACGCGGCGCCAAATGGTCTTGGTCAACGTTCGCTCAGGGTCTAGCAACAATCGACCTCGGCGGCAGCGTGCTCTTCATATTCGGCATCGGACTCATAATCCTAGGCACGACATGGGGCGGATCCACATATTCATGGACATCGGCCGCAGTGCTCGCGCCTATCATCGTCGGGGGAGTTTGTTTTGTGCTGTTTTTTGTGTATGAATATCTTCTTGAACCGGGGAATTTGTTGTCGAATGCTTTCCCCAGACAGGTCGCCATGGTTCCTTTTGGTATGTTTTCGAGATTGGATACTGGGCTTCTTGCGCTTCTTAACTTTTCGGCTGGCGCTGGTGAGTGGATTTGCTTTTAACTCACATTATTGGATTTTCTACTAAAATACCTCCGCCAGCCATGTATGCTGTGTTCTATTACATCAGTGTCTACTTCATTGTGGCTGAAGGTTACTCTGCGTCCCAGTCCGGTGTTAATCTTCTATATTATATTCCTGGAATGGGAGGTTGGTATCCATCTGCATATCCCCCTTGGTACAAGAAGAGATCTAACCATTTACTTTCAACTAGCCGGCGCATATATCGCCATGTTCATGTGCAACGCATGGCCAGCGCAGACATTCTTTACCTTGCTCGCAGGCACGATTCAGGAAACAGTCGGCCTCGCAGTCCTCACTTGGGCAATGCACTCCGGAAACAACAGCGTTATCAAAGGCGTCATGGTCCTCGCTGGAGCCGGCACGGCCTGTCGATTTATGCCCATGACGCTGCACGTAGCAGGCATCTGGCCCAAAAATATTGCACCGGCCATGTCTCTCATGCGATTTGCGCAGCCGTTTGGTGGGACATTGGCATTGACAATTATGGGTTCCGTATTCAATAATAAGTTCGCTTTTGACGACAGTAGCAGCAACAGCGGACTGAGCAGCATCAATGTTCATGATACGAGCAGTCTCGATAGTATAAGCAGTTTACCGGAGAATATTCAACAGATTGTCCGCACCACTGGGAAGAATGCTGCTATGTGGGCATTCATCGCCATTTTGCCCATCATGGGCATCAGTCTGGTGGCCAGCTTGTTTCTAGGCAATGTTTGGATTAAGCCAAAGAGGAAGATAGAACAACTCCCACCGGGAACGAGTGAGGTTATCTATGTTCCATATTTATATGCTATTCTAAGGGTTGGTTTCTCTTTCCTCTATTTCAACGGCTCATCAGTCAATATATTGACTTTTTTTTTTTTTCATTACCTATTTAGGGAAATCTCGACTCGTACAAGCGTATATCAAAGCCACTTGCGACGCAGGAGAAGTTGCAGCACACTCAAAGAGCATCGGGGGCGTCTGATATTGAGCTTCTACCAAGGTAGATGATCTTTCATCCTACTACATGTATTCGCTTCGACTCTTCTTTTTTAATCGTTTCCAACAACTTCCATTTGCTTCGTGTGTAATTAGTATATTAATACGTTTGTGTTCTACTTCTATTGTGACTAGAGATCAATAACCTTGATGCCCATTAAGGTGAGTTATTTTACACCTTATTAAGCATAAATTAACGACAGTAACATATCTTTCCATCGAATCATATATACACAAACATTAATCTAAAGTCTTGACCGCCATCCTCTCATCCAACAGGAAGACATGAAAGAAAAAAAACAAAAATAAATAGATCACCTCAAAACACCACCGACACCAGCCCAACCAAGCACAAACCCACTCAACGCCTCACTCACGACACCGCCACCTAGCCAAACATCTCTCCAGGCACCTTTCCTCTGAACAACAGCCCTCTTAATACCACCACTCACATGGATTTTCCCGAATTCATCAATACCCTCAATCTCACCACCGCTTGCGCCTGGATAATATACGCCTGCACCTGCCGACGAAGAAGCAGAAGAAGCAGGCCCGAGAAGCAGAACCTGGACCAGTGCGGAGACAATCAGGGTTCCGATGAAATAGAATACGAAGCCGGCGGTGGACTGCAGGCCGAGAATGCCGGCTGATATGCCGAGGAGGAAAGCTGATAGGGAACGTAGCTGGGAGAGGACCTGTTGTTGTTTTTTAAGATGTTAATTGGCTTTTTCGTGCATAACTGTGGAAGGGAAAAAGAGGAGGGGAAACGGTACTCGTCTGTTATGCTGGACGGATTCAGGGACTAGAGGGTGAATGAGGAGGGAAAGCTCCTGTTTCGTGGGGGGCATTTTTTTTCCCTCTTTGTTCTTTGGGCCTGGTGTGTTGCTGTTCTTCGCTTTGAAATATGTCTCCCTAGCTAGACCAATGGTTTGTGTGGTGAGCTATAAGTTGTTGCTTGATGCGCAGTTGGTGTAGTGAATTAATTGATGAGGTTGATGGCGGAGCTTAGTGCCAAGACTGGTATTAGCTGAGTATTGTTACCGTATGATAATTACGATATAGAAACGTTAGATGAAACATCACATACAAACCATCAAAACATTCATGTACCTGCCCATTCTTTGGCGTCATTCAAACTAGAGACACAGAAAGAAAAATCTACAATGAAAACAATTGATCGGCCTTGGTCATTCCACATCACATCACGTAGCGTCACATAAGCTGGTCCAAACACAGACAATTCAAATAAGTACAAATCAAATTTTAATTAAGAAGAGAAGGAAAAACATAGGAGGTTCATTGCCACATAAATTCATCCTCCATATCATTATGTATTTATGCATGTCAAGCTGAATCATACTAAACAATGCACACACCCCCGGGAGTAGATAGACTGGGCTCTTCACTCCGATTTTATGCCTCGTCTAATCTTTCAATTTTCCAAAAAGAAAATAAAATGCACGTCGTCAAGCTCACAGAGCATCTTCAAGCTTGCCCTCAGATCTGGCTTCCTTGACTTGTTCAAAGACCTGGCACAGTTTGTCAGCAAAAATCGTTTGCAATAGGTAACGGATTTGCTTATCTGTCTCACCTTCAACATCTTGTTTCTGGCACCAAGAGCATTAACACCACGCTCTTCTAGCCCCTTGTCGTCTAATTCAATCAATTCTGTCCACTTGAGATCCTTTAGGTTATCCGTGTATTTGTGCAACCGCAGAGAACGAAGCCAAGCCGGAATGTCCTTCAGCAGATTGGGGTCAGTTGGATCTTCGGGTGGCTTTGAGCTTCCGCGTCGGCCCCGCGGAGACCGTCCACGCTGCACCTCAGAATGGTCGGAAAGATAGCCTTCATGAGACCCGAGACCGAATTGCCCAAGGCCCAGAGTATTGAGATTGTTTCCTAGAAGGTTATTGTTGGGGTCGTAAGCAGTCAGGAATCCATTATTCTGCGGAGACGTAAATCCAACTTGACCGAGGGGCCCCTGCAGTGCAATACCAGGGGAACTCGGGCGAGACCTACGACCAGATAGAGCAGCTTGCTGTTGAGCCTGAAGTGCGGCAATTTGCTGCGCATTCAAGACCTGTCCGGCATCATTGACCATCACGAGGTTAGCCCCCGGAATGTTAGGACCAAGGCCAGGAGATAGAGGTCCGGCGTTAGAGTTCTTCCCGTGGCCGTCATTCGAGCGTGCACGGCGGTATTTACGGGCATCGTCCAATGCGATACGATTGTTCACCGTTGACAAAGCCGCCAGCTTCATTGCTGTCGCATTGGCGACCATGTCCGCTTGGGATCCTCCGGTCTGCTGTGCGTTGAATGTTGGCGCCATAGGCGTATTGGTCAGCGAAGCCCAGCTCGAGTTTCCAATATTGTAGGGAGATAAAAGAGGAGCATCTTGGTGAGAGATTTCCGGGGCGTTGATGGTTTGGCTCTGCACATTGCCGAGATGCGGAGAGCGAAGTCCTGAAGCGTTTGGCTGATTGAATTGACCCAGTGGCTGTTGCTGTAATTGTCCGGAAGACGACTTGGGGCGAGCAATTGGTGGCTGTAATTCCGGGCCCCGTTGAGCCCATGGCGAGGACGGCGGCTGGCTCAGCGAGTTCTTATTGGTGTCAGGGGCGGAAATGGTCGGTGCCACCAGGGACGAGCGATCACCTCCGAAAACAGCACTGTTTCGGTTCGAGGCAGGAGCATTACCGGTCTGCTGAGTAAATTCGGCCTTTTTCTTGGCGATTGCCGCTGCAGCATCAGGGAACATGGCATTAATGGTAGAGGAATCCAGTCCGGAATTTCTTTTCGCGCCGGGCGACGGGGGAGGGCGCCCCAAAGAATTACGCGAGCCGTCTGCGGTCGTGAGCTTTGACATTGCATCACTTAAGCGGTTGGACATGGGATCTAGAAATATGTCAGCGTAAAGAAATAACAAGAAACATCAAAGGAGGGAAAGATTCCTACTGACCTTTCTCTCCGAAGTTTGCTGGGGACAGCACTCCAGACATCGGGTGACTTTTCGCCATTTGCTGCAACACCTGGATAAAAAAGCGAATCTGCACCTGAGTCGTCTGCTGCAGCAGAGCATACAATGCAGCAGTCCTTTCCGCCTCGCTCAAAACGCGGAACCATTGCTCAATCGCGCTAAGCTCGTCTTTGAAGTCTTGGTCGATCGTTGCCGCGGCCATTTCTTCCAGAGTAGTCTCGAATTGATCAATATCGGCAATCCATTGTTGAGCAGCTTGATCCAACACATCATCGGCGTTGCCTTGGCCTTGCGATTGCTGGTTGAAGAAAACCTCGGAGGACGGACGGATGCTGCGAGTAGAAAGAGGGCTGGGGAAACCAGACATGTCGGCCGAGGCCCGCAATTGATGCGAGCCGCCCAGATTGCGAGCAGAGGATGGCGGCCGCAGAGTTGCCTTGGAGGCCTCTGGAGTGCTATTTCTATTCCCAATAATGTGACTGGCCATCTTTATTCGCACTAGCAGCACGCAGTATGATGCAGAATTGTAGGATCACGTGTAGGAACAAAGATATGGAACGAAAAAAAACGCTCAAATCTGTGCACGCAGTTTGCTGATGTCGATAAAGAAAAGGGGGGCTGCCAGGAACTCGGCTGTTGTTTGTTGGCTCTGGGTTCTGACTTTGTGGATGCTCCAAAGCAGGCGTCGTGCTGTGTTGCTGGCAGTGATTAGTTTGAGAGTACAGACCAGTCCAGTGGCTGCACAGAATTATTTATTTGCAGGTTGTGTCAAGCACAGCCAGTGAAAGGGCTGATAAGCGTGTGAAAGGACAAGCAAAACAACGAGAGGCACCCGCAGTGTGGCAGCGTGTGTCAAACACAACAGAAGGCCAGGCCACTGGCACTGGGCAGGACAATGGAACGCAACAAAAGAAGGACCAGGAATGGATGGAGGGGATGGCAACGAGATGTGGAGGTGGAGATGGAGAGGAACAGGAACTGTGAGGAGAGCAGAAAGCGGCGAAGGGAAGAATTCTTAGACCAAGAATAAGCGTAGGTTTATTTATAGGGGATTGGGCCGTGTAAGGTTAGCGCCGACCGTCGCCTGCGACTGCCACTTTGTTAAGGCCGCCACCACCTGGCCTGGACCGCTTCTTCAGCTTCTGGTATCGACTCAGCTGCATCTGGAGCAGCAGTCATGCTTTTTTCGCTGCTGTTTTTCGTGGGCTGGCTGCAAGTCACTACCGAGTCCAACTACTATATTCAGGAATGAATGCTAGAGCCATTCTGACCATGGCGAGTGGCATGCGTCACAGTTCTGTCTAGTGGGTATGAGCCATCATGCAGATATGGTGACTACGTAGGTAATAGTAAACAGGGTGCGTACTGTGGTCTAACATCAGAGAACAGAGCACACAGAATGTAGATGTCAACACAGCAGCAAAAGCGATGAATTTCTGCTGTGGATACAAAAGCCGGCCTCTGATTGGATACCGCCACTATCAAATCCGCCCAATCCATCCATCCTTCCTTCCTTCCTTTTGCTCGTCTCGCTCGACCTCAACATATTTCTCTCCTCTACACACCGCAGCTTTCCAAGCCAAGCGGGCCATGCCATGACCAAGTGGCTTTGTATGTCTACGCGCGATCTTGGATATGTCTCGACCGGGCACTCCGAGTGGGCTCGCTGGGTATTACCCAGAGGATCAAGATGAGCCCGGCAGCAGCAGCCTGCTTCCAGTAGACCCTGCCATCGACCCTCGTCTTTACAACGCTAGCTACCTAGAGCCTGGGTCCGATGTTGATTATGTCGGCGCTGAAGATGGCATCGCGTCCATGTCATTAGGCCAGCGGAGGCTACTCCAAGAACAAGTCGATTTAAGCGCGTCAGATGATGACTCTGATGATGAGCAGTTATGGGACGAAGGAGCAGACTTGTAAGCTTCTGCGATAATGAATGAAGCGCGTGCAATCAGCTGACTTGGATGCAGATATGGTGAGGAGGCATCTCCTGGAGGAGATATTGAAGATCAAGAAGACCATGATGATATCGATCACAGCAGTGATGATTACGACGCCCGTGAAGATATGAACACTGATTCGCCCCCCCCACGAAAACGCCGCCGCAGAGGTCAGGGCCCATTCAGTGGCCGTTATGGCGCACGAGGAGGCAAAGGCATCAAGCGAGGCCCGCGTCGGCCACTTGAACCTAGCCCAGAGTTTAAAATGCTTCATTCCCAGGCTACCGAAGCCTTCATTGACGGCGACTATGAGCGCGCAACTGATTTAGTGCAAAGAGCTATTCTCGTCAATCCCGAAATGTTTGCGGCGCACTCGCTGCTCTCCGAGATCTTTCTAGCTCGAGGAGAAAAAGACAAAGCTGTGTCTGCTCTCTTCAGCGGGGCTCACACTCGGCCGCGTGATCCTACCGTGTGGTACAAAGTGGCAAAACTCATTCAGGATAGAGCTGGAACAGATCGGCAGAAAACTCTGAACGACATGATTTATTGCTATAGTCGCATAATTGAAATCGACCCCAAAATATACAATGCTCGCTTCCAGAGGGCCGCTGCATATCGCGAACTTGGACACAATGGTAGGGCAGTTACCGAATATGAACGTATTCTCAAGGAGCTCCCTCACAATATCCGGGCTCTTCGACATCTGGCCGAGACACTCATAGACATGCATGACGTTCGGAAAGCAGCTCAGTATTACATGACAAGCATTGAATATTACATGTCTCTTGAGGCTGAGGATAGCATTGAATTTTCCTGGTCAGATGTAAACATCTGCGCCGAGTTGTTTGCCTTTATGGGACAGCCTGAATCGGGCCTGCACCTGTTGTCGTCAGTCTCGAGGTGGCTTCTGGGCCGCAAAGATGACGACGTGTGGGATAACTTCGTGGATGATGATCGAGAATGGGATGCTAATGACTCGCCCCGTCGCATCAAGACCGACGGTTTCGTGCCTGGTGTCTATCCAGAAGATTCGTATGGATTAGGACTTCCAATGGAATTGCGCATCAAACTAGGCTCGTTCCGCTTGAAGTTAGGCGAGAGGTACTTTGACGAGGCATTGGTAGGTATAAATCCCTCTATTTTCCATATACAAATTGATCTGACGGCTTTTTACAGACTCATTTTGAATGGCTTGGTCCTGATGATACTTCAGAGCACTCTAACGTGTATGACTATGCTGATCTCTACAGAGAAGCAGCGGACGCATTGAAGGATGCAGGCTTGTTTGAACAGGCACTGCGCTTCTATAAACCATTACAGCTTACCGAGGACTATGCCGATGTCAGCTTCTTCCTGGCCATGGGCGACTGTGCCTTTGCGTGTGATAACCATGAAGACGCAGAGTTCTGCTACCTCACGGTTGTCGAGAATGACTCTACGAATCTCCAGTCTCGTGTGAACCTAGCTAAGCTGTATGAAGTAATGGGCGAGAAACAGAAGGCGCTTTATTTTGTAAACCAAGCTGTCTTACTTGGACGTGACGAATATGGAGGTCGCAGTCGAAGACGACGTAGGGATCGTCGAATTGCACAGCTAGCAAGAGAATTCCAAGATGCTAGCACTACGGCAGCGCGGAATCATATTGTGCCCCGATATCTAGCGAGCGTGACGGCTCAACACGAAACCTTACCAGAAAGTGATCAAGATCGTCCACAGCATGTACAGTATTTGTATTCCAAAATGAATGACCTTCGATCGGCTATGCGGGCAGGAGATGCTGAAGTGACAGAGGATTGGCTCGACATTGCGGACGCATTGCTGCGTGATTTCCGGACTAACCGCGTGTTCTATCCTTTACAAAAGCATGTGACTTTTCTTGGGTATTCACGAGAGGAGCAGTTAAAGGCTGGTAAAAAAAAGGATACGGTACTGGATGAGATGCAAGAGATGGCAGGACGATTGCAAGAATCACTAGGTATTTTTTTTTTCTGAGTGTTGTTCTATAACAAGGATATAGCTAACAATCTGTGATAGGTCAAAATCTGACAGAAGACGCTGAAACCATCATTCCTAATGATTATTACGGAATATCGTTTGACGAATGGCTGGAAATGTTCCTTGAATACGCTTTTGTAGTTTCTGGACAAGGTGAAAAGGAAGAGGCGTACAATGTTCTAGCATCTGCGGCAGATGCCAGCGTCTGGTATCATTCAAAGGACAAAGTACGGCAGATTCATGTTTGCTGGTTAAGTAAGTATCTGTCTGTCGTCTAAATTTAATGACTAATACTGATTTTCCAAAGCGTGCGCCCTTCAACTACACGACGAGGAAACACTTGTCAGCGAGGCACGATGGTTTACCAAGGACTATCAATTCGTAACAGATACATATCGATTATTTTCCCTACTGAGCAGACTATGCGGCGATCCAAACAGATCGCTATTTCACGCATCGCCGAGCATGAAATATATGCTCCGACAAGTCAAGTCCATGGATTCCACATTACCCAAAGACTATAACCCAATGACAGCAGCATCGTCATCAACAATGGCCAAAAGATCAAAAGCAAAGGCAGGACTCCCATCAAAGCCAAAAACCGCATCTTTAACCTCGCGCAACGAAAATGGCGAGCTCGTAGCCGCAGTAGACATGGACGTCGCCCTCTTGGTTTTATATGGACACATCCTCTACTCCGGAAACAGCTTCTACCCGGCACTGAACTACTTTCTTCGAGCGTATGCGCTCGACCCCGAGAACCCATCAATCCTGCTATCCATTGCATTGTGCTACATCCATCATGCGCTCAAGCGACAGGCAGATAATCGTCATTACTTGATCCTGCAAGGATTCTCGTTTATGTCGTTATACCGGAAAGCGCGCGAGAAGAAAAACACCGTACACGACAGTGATAACAATAGCGCATTGATTGTTGAGCGTCAAGAGGTACAATTCAATTATGGTCGTGCCTATCATTCCCTCGGCTTGCTTCATCAAGCAGTATCATGCTACGAGCGTGCGTTGGAAATGGGAGATCAAATCAGCGCCAGACATGAAGAAAACGAGCAGGGGAGAAAAGAAAACAAATTCGTTGAAGACTTCTCGCCCGAAGCGGCACTGGCCTTGCAGAATATTTATGCGCTGAACGGGGATTTTGCGGGTGCTAGGAGGGTTACGGAGAAGTATCTTGTTATTTGATTTATTTTGCTAGCTAGGTACCTTGAGTGTTTTGGCATTGGAAAATGGTGGATGTTTAGATACCCTGTGTACTACCATATGTGCAGCCATGCAAATGCAGCATTGACTATTCAATTTCCAAATATCATGATTCTTCTATCCCATCATGAATAATCAATTATGTCAACGCATGGCTAATACATAGTGATTTAGCTAATCAGACTCATTCTGATCATTCATCCCCGAAATGTGACACCCCATTGGCAGTGCCAGTATCAGCATCAGTAGCCACAGGCACACTCTCATCACTCTCCTCGCCATAAACATCCGAATCATCGAAGAATACTGCTGACTGGCGTCTCATTTCATCCATGACGCTGCCTCGTCGATGATGCTGGTTCTGCTGATCGGCGGGTATACTCAGATACGAAGCGTCGGCAGGGGTATTGTTGTCATTGTTGTTGTTCGGTAAGGAGAGTAATCTGGTTGATTCGTCGAGTTCTGTTCCCTTGTTGTCATCGCCGGCAGCAGGAGTAGTGGTAGTATCGTCGAATCGGCGAGAGAGTAAAGGTGATAGGTCGTCGCGGTTTTTTATTCTGTTGTGCCCGGAAGAAGGAGAATTCTGCAGTAATCCCTGCATAATCAAGTTCTCGATCTTTGCCATTCGGTTCTGTATGAACGAAATCTTGGGGAAGGCGCTCTGTTGGCCTACATGAAGCATGCGTGCCAGTCGGTCTGGTGAGGGATCGGATAAGATATTCCAGAAATCAGAGGGAACTGATTTCGGCCAGATTGTAATTGTCCCGCTGAACGACTGCTGCAGCCAGATTTGACTCCAGTCTTGACCTAGCGGCCGCGGTAAGAGCTCCAAATGGCGCAGGACACGGAGCCATTTGTTCAGGTCGAGTTTGATGTATTGTTCCACGGCAGAACCCAGGAATCCGCCTCGCCAGCCGCGACCTTTGCGATGCGTCACGGGTCGGCCGACAGAGCCCCGGGAGCTGAAGAAGAATAGGTTGATGTGGGGGTTGACTTGGGAGACAATGGTGAAGTTGACGTTGAAGTGGAGATTGAGCGCTTTCACTGGAATGTCGGTGCGCAGACTGCCGTCTTTCCATTTGTGTCCAAATGAGTAAGGGGATAAGCTGCCGTCTTTATTCTTTTTCATGAGGACCACGGGATTCAGGATGCCTGGCACTGCGGCTGATGCGATTACTGCACTCCAGATCACGCAGTCCGGGGATGTTAGGTAATTAGCTAGGATCGTTGGGGAATGGGGGTCTGATGGTACACAGGAAACATTGAGAATTCGTCCCGTACGCTCAAAGGCTTCCCGGAAGGTCATAGAGCCCCTGGTGAACCAACTGCATTGTCTAGCCCAGTCAAGTGTGTCGAAGCGGGCGCCTGTCCGCCACCAGCGCTTGGTCCATGCTGGAAAGTTTTCGTGGCAGGCCCTGATGCGATACGCCAGTGCAGGAATGAGCAATTGTTTCAGTTCCTGATTAGTCCTTGTTGCTACCAAGGCTGCTACCAGCGCTCCACCTGAAGTTCCAGTGATGATCTCCGGCAAAACTCCATTGTCCAGTAGAGCTTTGACGACACCGAAGTGGTAGTAGGCGAAGGTCGCCCCGCCAGATAAACACAGAGCAGTTCGGCCAAAGTTGGTGTCCAGGTGTCTAAAATGACGATATTTCACTTCCTTGGTCAAATCCCTAGTATTGAGGAGCCATTGCAGACACAAATGTACTTCATCGAGGTATTCTTGCACCAGATGTTTCGTGCCAGAGTAAGCTTCGCTGTAAAGTCTCGGATTTTCGACGCCCACGAAATTGTTCTTGACACAAGCGTCAAGAAGTGATCGAAGATCTTCGACGGCCTGTGATGACGATGATGACCCCTCGGCCTGGTCCTCTTTCTCGATTTGGGTCCTCAGCTGTCTGAGCTGATCCACAACTTTCCTCACCGTGAGGTAATCATAGTAAGCATACTCGTCCTTCTCCTTCCACTTCTCATTACCAAGGTAGGTATCTAGGGTACGTGCTGCCCGTTTCCAGTCTTCGTAGTTCTGAGTAGAGTGTAATGCGCGTCGCAACGTCTCCCGCCGACCGGTCCAGGTCACAAAGTGCTCGTAGAGATAAATGTAGAGTCGAGTGAAGACATAGACAACGCTGAGAATGGCAATCCACGCAAACACAGTGACGAGAAAGGGGTATTTTAGCAGGGTGTACAAGAAGCCCTCGCGCGTTTCATCCTTCGTTCTCCGTGTGACTGTGGAGGCCTGGGTCGTGCGAGAGCGAAACGGTCTGCGGACTCGTTGACGAATTGGACGCCAGTCGTTGATCGCGACTAGGGGCTCAACTTCGGGGGCAGTCAGAGCCTTTTCGAATTGGTGGAGATCTTGGGCAGTGATGAATTCGGTGTCGTAGTCGGGGAGGAGCGACGGGTCGTGGAGGGGCTGCTGCGAGGACGGACCGCCGGAGCTCATGGTAGAGAGTGGTCAATGTGCATGGTGTTTGCTACTACCATGCTCAACTGTCTCTAGTTCAAGTGATGTAGACTTGACATTGCCCTTTCCTTGATCGCGACAATGGATGTTGTTGGGTTCAGATGACGTCGGTCACCTGTCGCGCCACGGTTTCAGCCACAGTGTGTGGGGGCTTGTGGCTGGTGATATACTTGTTTTACTCCTTCGCAATTGCCTATTCCATCTTGCTTTGTATACATTCACTTGTCTGGAGTTAAAATGCTCTATTATAGTCTCAGGACATAGCAGAAAAAGATACGAGTCTTCAATAACAGTGTGTACTAGAGAGAACCCCTAACACCCATGCTGTGGTGTGTATAGTCCTACGTCAGAGGGCTGTATAAACTATGACAATCGGCGGTTATATTAATATCTAACCCTGGGAGATGACATAGGGCAGGGCATTAATAACCGACTTGCATACAGTTAATAGTAATAGAACGATACGATATGGACTCGGAACAAAAGAGTGGCAAATAGTTTGACTATCTTGTTCATCTGACATTTTGACTACTGACTCGTTAGTTAGTTACGTTAGTGTTCAGCCTGGTTAGCAGAATCCATCAAGTGGCGATACTCGGTGATCATCGCCAGGATGTCTGATCGTTGGGGATGAAGAATGAACTGCTGATGCGAGACTCCACTGAAACTAAAAATTATATACATGCTAACTAATAGCAGTTCCACCATCAGACCACCCTATTGGGCGAGATAAGTTCCCGCGGTGGTATTTTCATAGCTGAACCAACGTCCAGTCACGGGTTTGCATTACTATTTCTAATAATGAGAGAATTAATCGCACCTTCGCAAGAATGAATGTATCGAATGATCCGTGGTAGCGAGCGGCTCACCGCCAGTTCGGCTTCGTTCGACATGGAATCCAAACCATCGCGAACTTGTGGTTTGCTTTTCTTATGCCAACTGAACTATTTTGTTTTATTTGCTCAAGAGGGAGGAGTGGCCAATGGCACCATAGCATTAGTTAGTTAGTCTTCTTATCAAGCATGCACGGAGCATATGAACGGCCAATCAGCGGCCTCAGGCAGCGTCGAGGAATGAATCATATCAGCTCGCGATTCTCATTCTGACTGCAGCAGCTGACTGCCACAATTGACCACTCGGCGATAAGATCGTGCAAAAGCATAACTAACCATGTCATGCCATGTCGAATATAATTTATACTCTTTGAGATTCGCGAGATTAGAAATATGGGTCCAGCGTCAAGCGTCAACCATGGGACAGCGTTCTTGATGGTGGATGCCGCGATAGAGAGATAGCAGTCTGATAGTATATACCGAGGGGATCGTTGGTATACAGAACCTCACGAACAGAGAGCACGACGATGCATAGAGGGGGATCAGCAGCGGAGGATCCGGCGAGGTGCAGCGCGTCTGGCACGGGGCCTCTCTCGTCGCTCGAATGCAAGGATGAGAGAGATCGCAAAGCGAGACGGTGGGGCCTGGAGGGGTGTGTGCACTATTTGCTAGCGCTGCTTAGTGCCGCATTTTTTTATTAGCACGGGCGCTAGCTGCGAGATAGGACTAAGGGTGCGCTCTTTCCACCCGCCGTCCTCCATCGTCTGTCCTTCCACGCTGTTGCACCACGGCCTCCCGAACCAGCTGCAAGTGCTTGCAACTGTGAAAAACTCTGCTTGACGAGCGCTGTGTTGCGTCTCTCCCTCTTCTTCGCGTGCTGTATATCATTCCCCCGTGTTCCCGGTCGCTCCCTGCTCCCACTGCAAGGGCGAGAGACAGAGACAGAGATTCAACATCGTCTGAACGATTCTTTCCTTGCTGCACCACTGAAACAGCCATATCGCTTGTCTGGTCTCGTGAACGCAAGTCAACCTCGTGGTTCTTGTGAATAAGCAGAACAACCAGGGTTCCAAGTATTAAGCAGGTACAGCTTCGCCTCGCCTCCCCCCTGACCAACCGAGTGACTGGCTGGCTGGCTGTGACTCGGCTGCGGTGACCCGTCTTTCCTCTGTTCATTTAGTATATCTGTTTTCTTCCCTAGACTGACGTTTCTTTTTTCTTTTTTTGATTTCCTCTCTTGCAGACCTGGCTGGACCAGCGAAAATGTCGACGGGACCCTCTTCTCTTCCTTGAGCGCGTCCCCTGTTGCGTTGGGCAGTTAATACAATCCCCATAATGGAGAAGCTTAATTCGGAGGATGGCCAACTCTTCATCAAGGTGCGTCATTTCTATTGTTTGTTTGCCTACTGTTTCTCGTCAGTCGGTGCTAACACGCCTACCAGAATCTCGCCAGCTTCGTGCGAACACACGAAAAGGCTTTGGCCAACGCTCTACAACTGCGACGCCAGTCCGTTCCATCCACCGCATATGCATCCTCTACCTCATCCACCTTGGCCGCAGCCCTTTCCTTTGGCGCCTTGAAATTCGCCTCGCAGAATGTGAAGCCCGCCAAGTTAACTCTCACCCCGCACCATCTCTTCTACCTGCTCTCCCAGTTCGAGGACCTTTCCATCTCGGTAGGATCCATGAATGTTCGCCTAGAGAACATTCACAATGACTCATCCTCCGCGTATGTCTCATTTCTGAACCAGCCCGGTCGCTCCCGCGGCGGCGGCGATCGCGACTCCATCCACTCTGTATCCAGTGTTCGTAGTGTCATGTCTGGCATGAGCGCCATCTGGTCTTCTTTTGGAATCGGGTCGAAGGAATCCTCCGCCAAATCCGAAAAGGCCAAGGCCGCTCTGGAAGCCGACCTCAAGTATTTGTATTCCGCATTCACTAAGATCCCCTGTCTCCGTCTGGCTCCGGATCGCCGCGCTCGTCTCATCCGCGGCTATGAGGAGTTCCCCCTGGATACCGCAGTCCCGCTGCATGCCTTTAAAAACCTGAGTGCTCTGGAGATTATTGATATTGATTTCCGCTCGTTCTATGGATGGGACCGGCTCTCCGAGCAACTGCGTACCTTAACTTTGAAACGGGCCAATATCAACGACCCGACTGATCTCTTGACCAAAATTGTTCTAGATGATGTTGACAAACGTCGTCGTCGTTCTTCAAAATCCCACCCGTCCCCGATCCCTGGTGGCAGCATGGCAACAACTCCGTACAAGTATGATGAGACGAGTAGTAGCCATCATAAACCCATTTCAGCTCCAGGATCTCCCAGTCCTGGTAGCAACATGGCAACCAGTACCAGCCCCAAATCCATCCCCATGATTCGAGGAGGGTCCGAAGGCGACCGAGGACATCGCAGCTACTCTCCTACCAGGCCGCAGACATCCTCTTCAAGGCATCATCACCATCACCACCATCATCAAAGCCGTCACTCCCGGGCACATTCAATCAACAAAATTGCACGGTCCAGCTCGGGTAGCTCAAACTCGAGCGAGGTCTCATTGCACGGCAATCGCAGTTCGTCGAATCTCTTGAATGGTGTGTTGCCACCGACGAAGTGGCGCTTTCTGCGCCATCTTGGGTTGGCCGATAATTCATTGACAAGCCTGCCATCCGACTGTTTCATGCCCGTCGCCAACACCTTGCATTCGCTGGACTTGTCTTCGAACCTATTTGCTGAAATCCCCGACAGCTTACCGTCTTTGGTGGCGCTACACGCACTCAACCTCTCCAACTGCATGATTAACTCGTTGCGGTCTATTGCGAAAAACCCGTTGCCTGCAATTACTGCTTTGAACTTACGTGGCAACCGGCTGTCATCCCTGGCTGGGATTGACCGTCTCCTCTCATTGGAGCGTGTCGATCTGCGAGACAACAATTTAACGGACCCCACGGAAATAGCCCGGCTGACTGGTCTCCCTGAAATACGAGAGATTTGGGTCTCGGGCAATCCATTTACCAAAACCCATTCAGGGTACCGGGTCACGATTTTCAATTTGTTCCGAAGCACGCCTGGATATTCCGAAGACATTGTGATTGATTCCTCAGGCCCGGGGTTTTCGGAACGGAAGCAGCTAGTGGAACGAGTTGCTGAACCAGAGTCTGCTCCAGTTGTTCGTCCGGTTGACCCTGAACCAGCGAAAACCGTGAGCAAAGTATCGACGACAGTGCGTCAAGATGGGTTGGCGCAAGATGTAGCAGCGGAAGTAACAGCAGACGGGGCCGCTGAGTATACACATCGCAAGAGAGGTAATCGTCGACGTATAGTTGATATATCACGAGAAGATTCTGCAGCGCAAGTTTTCACCCCTCCTCCTATTTCTTCATCATCTCAAAACAAGCCTCTACCCCCCAATCCGCCTGTTCTGGTGGATCCCTTCATATCAAGCGGGCCTTCAAAACCGAAGGAAAAGACGATAACACTATCACCACTATCATCAGACGTTGATCCCGCGAAAAGTATCACCACGCTTTCTTCTATTCCTCAAAAGGAGAGTGTTGTCGTTCCTCCTCCCAAAGCCTTACCGGCGAAGCCAGATGCTACAGAGTGGAATTCCCACTTTAGTCTCGGCGGTGGTGATAACAATAAAGATATATTTCGCCCGAGACTAGAGACCATGAATAGCAGCAGCGGCGGTGGTGGCGGCAGCAACAACAACTGGCTCAGTATGCTTCAGGACGGGAACTGGCAAATGCAAGGTGCAAGACAGCAGCCGACAGGCATGTCTGCCGTTCCACGCACTGGACCTGGATTTGATGCATCCATCATTCGACCGGATACAGTCAGTCGTCCTGAGAGTCATCTAATAATCAGTGGACGGACACTGGGATAACTCTCCTCGCACGGTTATATATATTATACCTCCCCTCCCCTCATTTCAATACATCAATACATCGATCCATGCTGGATATACAACATTGACGGAAAGAGAAAAGAAGGGCCCGCCACATCTTGGCCCATTTGATCGATCGATTCTTGCAAGTTGTTATTTGTCGATGCTTTTCTCTGAAAAGAATCATTATACCCTTATCCTTTGATTTCGAGTTCGATTGTATTATTGCATGCATATACCAAGGCGTTTTGTTTCCTCTTTTCTTTTCTTTTCTTTTTTTTTTCGTTCTTCTTTCGGGCGGGTATGTTTTGATTTATTTAGTTTTGTTTGTTCATGCACTTTTTGTCCCCAGTTGCAGTATCTTTGTTTATAAAATTATTCTGCAATGATCTGATTGATGCCATTGACCGTCTCCTCTAGACCGCTTGTACGTTATAGGCGGCGCTCTGATCGATTTTTCACACAAGGTGTCTTTTTTGTTGCAGCTTCTGATTTCTGATTTCCTGCTTGGAAATGAATTGATCTTCCTCTTGCGGTTGAAATAGTTAATGATCTGATTACATATCACGAAATTGCGAGTGCTTTCTTTTCAAGTTGGCTTGGCAATCTGATTGTTTTTCTGTTTTTCTCTTTTTTCGAGTTTATTTTTGTTATACAAAGAATAGTTATGCTTTTTGTATGTATGCTAGATATGATCGCTATGGATTATGGATTGGTTGATATTGCCTCAACTATGGGCTAAGCATTAAGCATGAAATATACCTAGGTGGCGCCTGCATTCACTAATCAAATCAATGCATGCAATATACTCAATATGAGTTATCTAATGACACAGCTATATCAAATCTCGAATAGGATAAGAACACTAGCGCTGTTTCTTTTTTTATCTCAGTCTAGCTTTAGTCAAACCAGTCAGGATTCGTGTCTCATGTGCAGCGAGAAAAAGAAAGGAGTAAAAAAAAATTTTATATGTAGCGAGGGAGGGGACCGAGGGGCATTGGTGACTATCGTCGTGTTTCTCCTCGATCTAGAACGCACGATGGAGTGGCGTTGATGATACCTCGCGGCTTCAGACTGGCCTGGATCGGGCTCTATACTAGCTGAAATCACTGATAGCACTACTAGAAGAAGCGGACGAAAAAGAACGATACAGAAAAGAAGAAAGACGGGCAGCTTGCGGTGGGCAACAGAGAAAAGATAGTCAGGCCTGGCCGAGTCTGCCGCGCCGATGTTTGCCTGCCTTGGTTGGACAGACACCTCAGGCCGTGACTCCGGCATTAATCATCCCCCCTCCTGCCTGCCCAGCTTCCTCCTCTCGCTGCCTTTTCTCTCTCTTCCTCCTCTTCCATCGCAACTCCATCTTTTGCTTTTAGTCTGCGCCTGCATCTGTGTCTCTCTTCACGAACGCTCAATATTCATCGATCAATCGGCTCTCGCTTCGCGTCTGTCTGTCTGCTGCTCCCGAATCCCGCCCTTGAATACCGCTACGACTTCGCTACCTTGGCTTTCCTCCTTGTTAACCATCACCCTTAAAAAGAGCGAAGGGGAAAAAAAAAAGGGAAGAGAAGGCAGCCAATTTTTTTTTCGTTACAACCTGCCTCTGCTATTTGCGCGACTGTCAAGCCATCGCATTTTTTTCTATTTTATTGGGATTGAGAAAAGAAAGGCGTGGTCATAGAGTTTTTAGTGTTCTTTTTTTCTTGCCTTTTTGCCTGCTCCCCCGGATTCGACCGATTTTTCTCGACGAAGCTTACACATCTTCGGCGCCACGATCGATTGATTCTACTTAATCAATTCGACGAAAGAAAAAATTTTTTTTTCCCATCGTCTCTTCGGGCGTCGTCATTGACATCTCTGTCGCAGAGCCCAGCTAATCTAGCTCAATTCGATCGAGACCTCTTTCCATTTTTCAGGGAGTCGGAAATTTCTATCGTCGAGGCCTACTGGCCTATCTCTGCCGACGGTTTTTTTCAAACCCCAAAGTTACTTCGACTCCACAGACATCTGGGAGCTTCGATTCAGTTTTCAAATCAATTTTTTCCTTACGAGGTGAGTTACGAAGTTTGTCCTTGCTCACCGGGTGTTGCATCAGAACGCGTCGCTTCGTGTTCCGTCACACGCATGCACCATCTCGTTTGATCAGCATTTTCTTCTTGCTAACGCTGAAATACTACTAATTTAGCTTAAAAATCGGTCGAGCGACACCCTCACTTAATTCCGTCCTTTCTTTCTCTTTCCCCTTTCCTCTTCTCTCCCTTCCCCGCCTAATCCTTCCGCTAGCCTTCACGGCAGCACATCGTCATGGCTGATCAAGAGATCGATTTGGACTCTATCATTGATAGATTGTTGGAGGTGAGGGGTAGTCGGCCAGGAAAACAAGTGCAGCTGCTGGAGTCGGAGATTCGTCACTTGTGTACCAAGGCACGGGAAATCTTCATTTCACAGCCCATTCTCCTCGAGCTTGAGGCCCCTATCAAGGTAATCCCTTTCCCCCCCCCCTATTGTTTGGCACACGCTGATGATTTTAGATCTGTGGTGATATTCACGGTCAATACTACGATCTTCTACGTTTGTTCGAATACGGCGGCTTCCCTCCTGAAGCCAACTACCTTTTCCTCGGCGATTACGTTGACCGTGGCAAACAATCGCTTGAGACTATCTGCTTGTTGTTAGCGTACAAGATCAAGTATCCTGAAAATTTCTTCATTCTCCGCGGCAACCACGAGTGCGCATCAATCAACCGAATTTACGGATTCTACGACGAATGCAAACGCCGATACAACATCAAGCTATGGAAAACATTTACCGACTGCTTCAACTGCTTGCCGATTGCCGCTATAATTGATGAGAAGATCTTCACGATGCACGGAGGCTTGAGTCCGGATCTCAATTCGATGGAGCAGATTCGTCGTGTGATGCGTCCCACTGATGTAAGTATGCTATTTTGCGTTTGTTTAGCGGAATGGGAAAACAAAAGAGAAGAAACGAAGGAAATCGAGCTTGTAGCTCAATCTAACCCGCTAACTTGATAATAGATTCCCGATTGCGGTTTGCTCTGCGATTTGCTGTGGTCTGATCCCGACAAAGACATTACCGGCTGGAGCGAGAATGACCGAGGTGTTTCGTTTACGTTTGGACCGGACGTGGTGTCACGATTCCTCCAAAAACACGATATGGACCTCATCTGCCGAGCCCACCAAGTCGTCGAGGACGGGTACGAGTTTTTCTCGAAACGACAGTTAGTGACGCTGTTTAGTGCGCCAAATTATTGCGGAGAGTTTGACAATGCGGGGGCAATGATGAGTGTGGACGAGAGTTTGCTTTGCTCATTCCAGGTTTGTGGACCGAGTCCTTTCATCTATCGAATGACCGATGCTAATATTTGTATGCTCAGATTCTTAAACCAGCCGAAAAGAAACAAAAGTACGTTACCGGGGGTATAAGCACAGGCAGACCCATCACTCCTCCGCGAAAGCAGAAAAAGAAGTAAAGAAGAAATACGAGCTTTTCCATGTGCAGCAGGTTCGGACGGAAATAGAACAGCAGTTTGAATGATCGACTCGACAAGCCAGAACAATACTCAACTCCGAAATATTCCGTTAATTCTCATTCTGATCGACTGGGTCTCCTTTTTACCCTGAACCTTTTTTTTACCTACAGGAACAATCTACGCCGCCGATCGTCTCTCGACCAACCCACCAATTTCTCACATTATTAATAATCCCGTTGTACTACTATTCTCGCTATTACAGTCTGGTCTTGTCATGAACGATCGATCGCTGGATTTGTTATTTCCAATGAAAAAAACCAATCCAGTCATGATTATTGAGCACGAACGAACGAACGAACGAACGAACGAGCCAAATGAACGAGCGAACGACGAAATGGGGACCATTGAATTCTCGCCATATTGTATGTTGGAACATTCAGTGGATGGAAGGGAATGGCTTAAATATGCATTCATTGCTTGTCGTTGATGCACAGAAACATGGTACGGTATGGTATGGTTTATGCTAGGCTAGGCTAGGATATTGAACGAGGAAGAGTTGCTTTTTTTCCCCTTCTTTTCTTTCCCTTTCATTTCAAACTTGATTGTCGATGTTCTCCATTTCATGCTTAGCATTTTTCTTCTTCTTTCCCCCGTCTTTTTTTGTTCTTCGTTTTTCCGTTGGGTGCCTTTTTCTTTTTCTCTCTTCTTTCCCTCGTGTGTGTATGTATGTATTGTCATGCAATGTCATGATATTCCTTGACCATGACTAATGCTTCCAAAATAAAGCTGTAGTCCTAACTTAGGCATCACCTATACACATTGATAATTAAGACTGAGCAGGTAATTGAATAATAGTCGTAGGATGATATTAGGACTATGAATAACTTGCAGAGGAAGAGAGCAACAGAAGAAAAGAAAAGTATCTAAAATTATAGGGCTCAGTTTGATATTGATATTGATACTGGTATTTGTTGTGGTTGATTCGATCGATACAGCCAGCAGAGTTCGATTGCAGTAAGGTGCGTGCGTGGTTGGATAGTTGAATATATCAATTCAACTCACGTAGTTAGTACATAGCAAGCAGAAAGGGGCACATAGATCAGACATATTGAGAGAGCCATCTGATACCCTCTCCGTATCCTATGGGGAATCGATTAGCATTGTACTTTGAGTAAGGAGAAGGTCGGGGAAAACAAACCTTGTCTCATAACAACACTACACATAAAAACCTCAATAGCCCGAATGCCCTCTAGCGGCACTTTGCCTTTACCCGTTGTCTGCCACAGACCCATATGATGGCGCAACTCGTCCTCGCTGACTGCATCCGGGTGATCGATCTTGTTGCCGAGGATCAGGAAGGGGACCTTGGAGAGTTCTTCCATGGCTAGGAGCGCGTCGAGCTCGGCTTTGGATTCGGGGAAGCGCTCGTGGTCCTTGGCGTCGACCAGAAAGACGATGCCGCTGACTTCGGGGAAGTAGTCTTTCCAGAGGCGACGGGCTGTTTGATCACTGCTTGTTAGGGGCGGGCCTGTACATAGGTATAGAAAGAGAAAGAAAAGGGCGTACCCTGCTGGTGACCACCGAGATCAAAGGTGGTGAATCGGTTGTTTCCAATGGCCAGTTCCTCCGATGCTGTTGTTAAGGCGTCTGGTTAGTTGCTTCCTATATCGATCGATATCATATTCTGCTGTTCGTCTGAAGGTGCATACTCGGATGAGCAGTAGGCTGCAGAATGGCCACTCGGTCATTCTATTCCATATACTGCATTAGCTTATCATCATTCATTCCCTTAGCAAGGTTCGTAGAAGAGATGGACGCACCTTCAACATATGCAACAAAGTAGTCTTTCCGGCATTATCAAGTCCAAGGAACAAAAGTTTGGCGTGTTTGTTGAGAAGGCCCAGGGATGCCAGGACATCGTAGACTAGTTTACATGTCAAGTCAGCCGTTGTTTGGTTTTTCTTTCGTCAAGTAGAGAAAAGAAGAGAAGTCGTTGTCGCCGTGATGCATATGGGTCGATCGGACAGGTCGATCGGTTGGTGGTAAACTTACACCAGTTAATAATCCACATGGCTGAAGCGATCAAGTTGATAGATCCCAATCCAACAAGTAGAAACGCTCTTCCTAGACAAGGGCGGGTGTACGTATGTGATGGGCTGTCGTGGTATCGTGATCGTGCGATTCTGATGAAAAAGGTGTTGTCGGAGCGAGGTGTCGGACGTCCATTTGGCAGAATCAGAATACGTACTAGCTTCGTGATGCGTTTGTGCCTGCGGATTCAGGCAGGGATTACGTTAGGCCATTTACCTCGCCGGGGTTTCTTCGGGTCTACTCGCCACTACCGTGCTACGAATATAGTCACGTTGTTCATATATAATCTATGGACGGACATTTTTGCAGCTGAGATTTTATGAGAAATGTATATGTTATATATATGTATGCATGGATTTAAGCAGTCATCATTGGCGCTGTAATGCTATGATATGCAAGCCATGCGCAGCTGTAAGTAGGCTGAAGTAGCTTTAAATGGAATATTGCTTCAAGTATGTACAAAGCAGAAGTAAAATAAATATATATATCCATGAAGAAATCAGTCTAAACAGACAACATCAATTGGGTATCTTTGTTAACACCGTATGCTTTAAATCGCTCAGCCACTTCGAGCCCGAGCTCTTTCATGCGCTCTGCGCCTTTTCCGCGCGCTGCACGACGCTCTGATTGCTCCTTGGCTGCAGCCTTGCGACACTGTTGTCGCCAGAATTTTTCCTTGCGCTTTTGTCGTTTGCGTTCAAGCCCTTGAATAATGTCAATCGGCCCACGCGTGTGAGGCTCCCGACTGCGAGACACTGCTCCTTCTGTGGAGTTCACCGACGAAGCTTGATGATAATGATGTCTTGACCCTTCGAGACGAATGAAAAACGGATTCGGAGTGCGCGGCAGAGACTTGGTCCGGCTGTAGTAAGGACGCTGCACGGGACCTGTGATGTTGACTCCCGTGGCAGCTGGAACGGGGATCTGAATCGAAGGCAAACCAGCGGACAGCACATTCCTAGCTTTAGGAGGCGCCGGCGACTTCACCCGCTTAGGCGAAATATGTGCATGTGCCCGTGGTGGAGGGTAATGCAGTCGTCGGGGAGAAGTACGGGACGTCTTCTTGTTATTCCCCTTCGACCTGCCACGAAGAAGATCTTCCTCTATCCGAGCAGCAGTTGCTACATCGTCCTCTGCTTCGTCCACTTCCAAGTCGTCGTCATCATCATCATTGTCTTCTGGATCCGTAGTAGGGAAGCTGGGGTCAATGTCCTGTGGAACAGGGACATGCTTTTTGCGACGTCTTTCCTCAATGCATGACAGGTAAGCAGCTTCCAGCGGACGATCCTCATCTAGGGTTCCGCACACGAAATCAGTGCTATCCGGCAGATCCGGAGTAGGTGCTCTGGGGATGTTGATGGCGCGGCGACTTTTGCTTTTCGAACCCACAGGCGATGGCAGACCCTGGCTACCTTCGTGCTTAAGAGAGTCGATGGAGGTATTAGAATTACGACGTTCGGCTGCCAAGCGTACAAGATCCAAATTGTCAGCACTGGTTGCCGCAGTAGTCGTCGACGGTGCCCAAAATTCGTATTCAGGGTTGCCATCGCTCTCGTCATCTGAATCAGCAAACCCAGCCTCATTATCGGATTCATTGCCGCCGTCCGAGGACGAATCATGGACTGTTTCGGCATCATCATCGATGTCGTCTTCATCCTGTTCATCATCGTCGTCTTCGTCGTCGTCTTCCTCCTTGTCTTCCTCGTCTTCTGCTTCCTCTTCCGCAATGGCTTCGGCTTCGGCTTCTTCTCCTAATTTTCGGATGGCCATCTCTTTCTTCATGCAATCAGCCAATGTAATTTTCTGTTCATGCTCCGTCGACCGCGCAACCCACTCATCGACCTCGTCGAGAGAGCTAGCGAACTCGTGAAATCGGGTCTCTTCAGAGGGCTTGAAATCACCCAACCCAGTCACGTGGAAACCACCGGGCTTTCTGTTCGATGGAGCAGCGGGCGCTGGCCCTGTTACTAGTGCTGCAGTATTCTTCGTGGAGGAGTCTTGAGAGGGACGGCGGGAGGGCGGTGCAGGCGACCGACTAGACCGCGACGTGTACGAGGAAGTTCTTCTGTTGGCAGGTCTGTCTTCACTTTGGCGTATCGGACATGCGAAAGTTAGTGTCGTCTTGCGTTGTGGGGGCTTAGACGTAGCAGCAGCAGCAGCATTCTCGGATGGTGTCCTCTTCTTTTCGGGTTCCTTTGGCGGGGCCGGTTGGCGTGCACAGGCAAAGCTGATGCAACGCTTGCGTCCGAGATCTGCCTCGACTTTCGATTCATTGGGATCTGAAGGGGGCGAAGCTATCCTTGGTTCTAGAGCGGGAGCAGTGAGTTGAAGTGTGGACAGGTGTGGCGGACTGGAGGTGTTGGAGTAGGCAGGGCTGGTGAGGTCACCATCGCTAGTCAGCTCGGCGCTGGAATGACCACTTGCGTTGCTGACCGGGTAGGCGACTTTGCGGGCACGGTCTGCTGGGGTGAGGTCAGGGCTCCTCAACAGAGCTCGAGTGAGCAACGACTCTTTCTTCTCGGCCATTGCCGGAGGCGATTTCATGTATATGCGGTGGTTGTTAGGATGATCCGGGGGCTCGTCACCGTCGTCTACCACTTCGACGTCCTGGTCTGCGGAAAGCGAGGGCTGATCTGAAGAAAAGACCATCCTCAGAATGGTTTGCAGCTTGGGTACTTGGTGGTCACGGTGTTGGTGGTGAGCCATGGCATGTATGAAGTCCGGAGAGTCCGGAGAGTCCGTCGAAACGAAACGAAGCGGTCGATTGGTGTCTGTCAAGGTGAGTAAGAGAGTATGGATCGTCTCAGACGCGCTCTAGCTAGGAGCGGCAGTCCCGACAGAGGGTTATTTGAGGTGTCCCGAGCAGGACGCAAATTGTCAAAGTATGGAGGGCGACATATTGGCGAGACTTTTGGGGGGGGTGGTTGAAGTGGACGCGATGGGGGGGGGGGCGAGAGGGATAGTGGAAATCAAGGCGATGAGTTGTAGGATGTGTTGTAAGTTGTAGGGCTAAGAGAGCAGAGCAGAGCAGAGCAGAGCAGGGCGAGAAAGTGGGTTGGAAATATTAATAATGCGTGGTGGTAGGAGGTATACGGAGCAGTGAGACCAAGGCCGGCGGATCGCCACCCTGACTGACTTTGTCTCGTGGTGCAAAACTTCTGCAGCGAGCCTAATGCGGCTAGGGCGTATTGGTACCGTAATCGCGCCGCCGCCCTGCGCTCCACGGCCGTACTGCGGGTATTAGCGTATTGCTGTGCGTTCAACTTTTGTATGCGGCTTTTTTCTCGTTTGCCAGCCGTGTCTGTCTGTCCACTTTTGTTTGTTCCTTCATTCGGTGTTCTTTTTGCCTTTTCCTTTTTCCTTTTTTCCCTTGTTGTTTCGCCGTTTATAGTGCAGATGCAGCTACCGCGGCAGACATAAGCTTACTACCAGCATTTACTGCCAGGAGGCAGTGCAATCCTACAAAACATATCGTCATGTCCTCTGTATATATCACGTGACTTTGCCGAAGCCGGGCTGTCCTCGGCGTCGCGCTAGTCCGCATACGCATTGCCGTGCTCCGTCCCGTCATGCCGCGAAATATTACCGCCACGGCGGGCTGTGATTCGCGGAACGGCTGTATTCTTACCCCGACGATGTTTCAACTGGTACACCTGTGAAACAGTTGCATTTGGACTGTCTGAGACGTCAGTATGTAGTCAATGCTCAATCTTTATATCCCTAATATCGCGAAGAGTACGATGGGATACATGACATCATGAGGCATTGATCTCGATGATGAAGAGAGCTTCAGAGCGCACGGGCATGGAGCGCTTTCGGATTGTTTGATATTTATTTTGCATGAAGCTTGTACTCTAATTGCGGTCAGTAGTTACGTACTGGCTAGGCTAGTAAACTACGGAGTAGACGGTAGCACTGCATAGTACCGTACATGTAGTAACTACATAACTAGTCGTGGTGGTAGTGGAAGAGCGGTCAATCTACTGAAACAAGAGCATGCTGAATTAGACATGCTTACTCTTCACCGAGACTCAGAAAAGATAGATATCGAAACAACGAAGAACGATTCAAACCCCTCTAATAAATAATAATAGAACTCGGCCATGCATGCACCGGAACATTATTCTAAGCGTCTAAGCATGACAACACATCGACTACGTACTACGGACAGCTAAGTTACGTGCTAAGTTAGTGAGAACTTTGGAGCTTGGAGGAAGCTAACAGGCGACGGTGCACAATTAGCAGCGATCAATCATGTTGTGCATGGAACGGACCAATCGCGGCGAAGCTTATGCCTAGCTGTATGTCAAGACGGCTCGCGCAAGTGAGGGGAATTATTGTTGAGGTTGTAAACATGTGAATAATAATATAATACTTTCAGGATTTTACTAAACAAAGTAGGAAGTTGAACCCGGAAATGTGAATGAAGGGTACCAAGCCGTAAATAACTCCACCGAGCTTGATCCAAGGAACGAACGCCATGAAGAAAATTTATATTAGACAACCAAAAAGCAATTCGGAAGAACAACCGAAAAGCCAAGTCCTTTACATTGCAGTTTTGTACAACCTTCTCATCTTCATCAGCTAACTAATATAGTCAGTCAGGCAAATTTGAAATAGCACAGACCACGCAACATTGCTACAATAGTTAGTACAAAAGCAAAACGGATATCCCTCTTAAGCGACGTGCATGAGTAGTTACTAGCTTTACTAGTAACTAGCGTTCGGACGAGAGGGCCTTTACCTAATACTAAGCAGAGCCTTGTTGAGCTGTTGGGTGAGGGATTTTTGTCCAGGTCCCTAGTATATCCCTAGTACAGTATAGTTACTAGAAATGATACTTAGCTAGTACGTACTAAGTAAGGCGGCCTGGCGGGCTACAAAATTGCAAATGGAATGCAAAAAGTGAAGTTTGCAAGAAAAGGGCATGTGCTGCCGTTTTAGGCAGGTCCGCGCTGAGACTGCATGCATCATACATGTATCTTGCATGATGCGACAGCTATACTATAGGTAACCTTAGTTCACGGAATTCTGCTACATACTACTCATTCGCCTTGCAAAGTGTATAACTAGCATACACTTCGAGGGATAGTCAGATAGTTCTTACTAAGACTTAGTCAAGACAGGCATGTGACACACGCACGTTTACCTTGTAACCTAAATAAAAGATACTAAAATTGTCTAAAATGTCTGTGCTAAGTACATTGACTGTCAAGAGATAGTTCCAGCACACTGGTATAGAATTTGTGTTGTAGATCATTCTTTGCATGCCCGAGGGAAGCTGTTTAGGGCTACCAGGTATATTGTTCTGACATCACTTCCCGAACAACCCTAGGCATATATGACTTGACATATACTTACCAGAGCAAGGATCAATGGAGGGGGGAGACGAGCTTGACATCATACTCAACAGCATGTTACTGGTTAAGCGTGAATTGATGGAAAATAGGTGATATATGCACAATGATAATTGACAGTATGACAAATTTGCTATGGTACACGCCCAAAATACAACCGAACCTGCTTTGATAGTACAAAAGAAACAAAACCTGGGAACGCCCGACTTGGGAAAATGTATGTACAGGATAAACGTCGACTGACAACAATTACGCCGAGAAGAAAGGGATATTTATATGTAGCAGTACAATAGCCTGTATCAAGCAAAAGATGAAAGTGAGAAAGGAAACGTCAAAGGATTAGTTATATGCTGGTAATTCGGTGAGGCTTGTTGCTTGAACGTGGCCGGTGCTTAATAACGGTTTCGAGCTCCCGTAGCATATTCGTGCTCGCGTCCGATTTCTCGCGCGCAGCTGCCTGTCGCGCCCGGTCCTCTTTGACCCGCGCAATCCGCTCCTCTCGCGTTAGGGACTGTCGTTTGCGGGACGATGGCATGACGATTGCTTCGAAGATCTCTTCTGCATCAGCATCAACGACTGCGAGGTTGTTGAGAGCCTGCGTTTCGCCATTCAACGCCATCAATGCCGCAGACGGACTGCCGTCTACTGCTGTAACGCCACCGAGGCTGCTCGTTGGCGACAGCGGTAGTTTTAAATCGTTTGTCGACGACGATGATGCCCGTGAAGACCTATTGAATGTCAATGACGATGATGATTGCTGCTGTTCCAGAGAGTTGAGAAGCGCCGATTTGCCCGCCTCCCATTCCTGTAGAAGGCCTCGTATATCGTCACCAATGGATTCGTACTGTGCCATTAGGGACGCGTCAATGTCGGGCTCGCCCGTGTCCTGCGTCAAGCTCTCGTCTGATTCTTCTCTCATCACGTGCATTTTTGCATGAAGCGCGCGGATGCCTTGTGATAGCGAATTCAGGCGTCTAGCCTGAGCTCGAAGAGTGTCGCGTCCGGTTGATGCAGATGGTGAAGGTGCTAACGGAGTAACAGTTCCTGTTTCAAGTTAGGCCAACGGTACAAAAGTGACTATGAGGTCACACTCACGGTCTTTTTCATTCAAAATATTTGCAATCTTGTTGGCAGCTTCGCCCGTCACTGTAGCCAACTGTCGCATTTCATCAGCTGCAGAAGTCCACGGAGGAATATCGCTACCGCGTCCGTCGGCCTTGATTGCTAACAAGCAGCATAAGATGCTCTTTCGCACGGTATACAGCCGGCTGAATAAAACACGGAGAAATTTCAGCGAATATTGATCTTCTACTGCGGCCTCAAAAGATGCGGAACGAGCCTCAGCCAGCTCTTCCATGGATAGTTCGTAAATATCATAGTACTTTTCTAAATTAGAGGGATCTGTGAGCAGTCCAATGGTGTGTTGTGCTTGAATATACCTCTCCAGCACATTAGATAGGCTCTCCGAGACAGCGCGGCGCAGTCTCATGCAGCGCCGTACCTGGGTTGTTTCTTCTAATCGACTAATTGGGGGCAAGGGTGTGCTTCTATAAAACAGCCAGTCAGAATTGAAACCCACAATGACGAAGGGAGAAATGAGCTTACATTCTATACCCCCGTGAAACCAGCTCCACCTCCTGTATGAAAAGAACTGACGATGAAACCAACGAGTCGAATCTTTGAGCGCTATCGATAAACCCAGACGCGCCATGTAGTGCGTGATGCCTCACGAACTTCAGCCACTGCCGTCTGGCAAATGCATAGAACACGACCCCAACCAGTGGCAACACAATCAACAGCACTACTATCCTGCGCGGGTTAAAGCCCGCACCTGTTCGTGACCGACTCCAGTGGATTAACCCGACAATGGAAAACGACGTCGCTGCGGTAATGATACTTCCACCCAGGCCGACAGTCGTCGAGAAGGATGCCGCCTCATACACGGGAACATTCGATTGCGCGGCGTCCCTCGCAACGGCCGTCGTATGAGATGTAGCGTTATACTCGTCTAGCAAATGGGATGCAATTATCACGTAGCCGAATTGCTCTAGAAACCTGTCATTTTCTCGCTTGCCGATGCGAGAACTGATTGCTGCCTATTCAACTCAATGAGCTCACTGCAAGTAGACACGTTTCCAAGATTTGTAGGACATACGGAGCATGCACGATGAATTCGGTCAAAAGCCCCAGTTCCCGCCTCCTGGAGCGAACTCTTCTTCTCCACAAATATATCTCGGGTGCGACTGTGTAACGACGGCACTCCTTTTGGAGCGAAGTTTTGTGGTGTAATGGTATTGGCATTGACTTCCTGCGGTGTCCAGTCTTGGTCGCGTTCACCTTCGCCTATGGATTTTGAAGCTTGGTTAGTTGTCTTCTTATCCCACTGTATCCGCGGGGGCGTTGAAGGTACGTACCTTCAAGATAATCTGCCAACGGCGAGTTCTCGTAGACCAGGGATTCCATGGCCCATGGACATCGACGGAACCGACGTTGTAGCTACCATGAACAAGCACGAATATTTTGGGGAGCGCCTGAAAGAGCGAAGAAAGGAAGGGCTACAAAAGACGGGAGATCTGAGACGATCGCCCACCCTTTCTTTGATATGGTTGACTGGAACTGAGGCGTTTAGAACACGCAGGCAGTGCTGAACTAACCACCAATAGTCAGTCAGTTTAGGCGTGACTAGTTAAGGAGTCGTCGGGGCCGGCTAGCTGAAACCGGACTAGTCGGTCTCGAGATACCACGGCGTGGCCACTCGTGTGAGCTGCAAAGGTGCAAGGTGAAACAGGAACACGCTGAGAGACGGCGGGCGTAAGAAGTGCGAGGGAGGAGGAGAGGACCAGTGGATTTTAATAGTTGAATACTTTCTGTTTTTGTCGCTCCTCTCGACGAATTACATCATGAAGAGGCGAAAGCCTACGATACATACCGTACGATACGGAAGGTGGCCACGTGCGCAGATCCTTGGAGCCTCAGGCACATACGGAGTACCTCAGCATCTCTGTGAGTTGATTCTGTCCTTGTATTTTATATGTTTAATTTCCTTGTAACGCTCGTTCTCGTTCAAACGAGCGCCAGATATCTTGTAGCCCCTTGCCGGCGAGATTCCCGTCCTTATTAATTGCGTGGCCCTTGCTTTCGACCTGTGCTTCGCGAAATTAATTCTCCCTTTGGTGCTGTATGGCCAACGCTGGAATATTCCGTCTTAAGGCACATGTACGTCGTAGCATAGACAAGAAATAGTTATACAAGAAGAAAGAGCCTGGGCTCTGCTAAAGGAAAGTGGCGCCTGCCAGCAGAGCGAGTGTTGCGGGGGCAACCGCGTCAACACGTCCCGATTGGTCAACTCGCAAACAACTCTTTACTGCTTGAGCGAGAGAAGTTACACCAGACACCATATCTCATTCAAGCTCAGGTTGAAAGAAACATTGCTCAATTACAAGTATAATCACCAGCATACCTACCAGGAGCCTGATTCAACTCCCGCTACCACACGAGCAGCATCATCCACATAGAGCGCAAGAACTGAAGGAGCTGGATGCTGATGACCCGATACTGAAAATACTACAATGAACAATCAGCTCGACAGCCCTTGCCCCGGGTCTAGGTCCAGCTTTGGCAACGAGCAGTTTACCCTGGCTGGTGCTTGGAACGATGATGACACTCTGCATAATCTCGAATACACAGCTGCAATCGACTTCCCACCAGAGCCACGAGCCTCCTCACTGACGAAAGCAAAGCCTCGACGAGCATCAAAAGCGCCATCTTTCACCATTCACGAAGATAACAGACCGAACAGTACCACTGCAACAGCCAGACAGAGCAGCTTGAAGCGGAAGACGCAAGATCGCGGTTTGTCTATCCTTGCTCAACCAGCCCAGCGCTTCCAGCGTCCACGCGTCAGTTTTGCAGAAGTACAGAGCAATGCTTCCTCACGGCCTCGGAAGGTTATTGACAACACTGCAAAGCAGCCAGAGAATAACACAGAGCCCAAGTCACGAAGCAGCCAGAAGCCTTCGGAAAACAATGGCTTAAAGAAGGATGTTCGACGTCGTACGGTGTACATTCCCACGGAAGATACAACTGTGCCAACAGTCTTCATGAGTTTGTTTAGCCCGCTGAAATTGATGGATGCGCACACGAGCAGCAATATCAATACAGCATCCGCCGACGAGACAGTACCCATCTACAGCTTAGAGGAACGTATTGCGGCGAAGAAGAAATCCCGGATGCCTCCCGCGGGGAAGCCTCAAAGGGCACCACTCCAACAGACCCAAAAAGCCACTCAACAATCAGCAATAGTCAGGGATGTTGTGGGTAGGAATGGAGGAAAGGAGAACGTTCCGCCAGGCTATCTGATAGAAGGGAAGGAGTCTTCGAGAGAAAAACGACCACCTCCCGAATTGGAGGTCTTATCAAAGGAGCCACTGAAGAAGACACAACAGGCAATTCACAGCACGAAAACGAAGGTGGTCCAAGCGCGGGGAAATGAGAAGCCAGCGTGCAAGCTCATCGGCGAGAAGTCCTCAGAGATGTTAATGACCAGGACTGGTATAAAGGACATAAATGGGTCCTTATCAAAAAAGCAAGAGGTCAAACGAAGCATTGCCAAGAATCGCGCAGATTTGAGTTCACGACCTTCGAAGGAATCTATTTTGACAGAAAAATGTTCGGCCGCTCCTACTCATCTCTCTGTTCCTAAGGTGCGCCCGGTGAATATCGATCAGCAATATCCTCGATTCAACAATGATATTTCGAATACAGTCATGTACGAGGATGACTGGCTCTCACATCAAGAAATTGTCATAACCCAGCTAGTAAATGGTCTTTTTGATTCTGTAGGGGGAGAGCAGCATGGTCAAGATCCGGAAGTGCTGCGACATGAACTCCTTCATATCTACCAGAATAATGCCTTTCTTCTACTTTACAAGCGCCTTCAGGCTTCAATTCTGTACGGCGCTCTGGCTCCGCCTAAGGACGTACTCCGCCGAGGTTCCCGTCTTCCCGACGATCTGGGCCTGAAAAAGTCGTTCCTAAATCTCTGGTTGGATACTTATGATTTGCACGCTTTAAGAGGAGCAGCTGAGACAGTAGTTGGACGCAAAATGACTTTACAGCCAATCCGAACAAGCGTTGGGTCGTCAGATTCATCTGCTAAGCAGCAGAAGGTGCTGAAGCGCGCCGTAGAGGCGTTTCTGGATACCTTCGTTATTCGAAATATGGACAAGGAAGAGAATGGAGATATGCGAAATGATGTTGCAGGAGGTCCATACCGACGAACACTTCTCCGCAGTATCATGATCATCGCCCTTCTTGACAAAGCACGTCGTATACCGGGAAATTCTCTACCACGGTGTTTGTTCAACAGTTCTTCTCCCCATAAATCATCTTCGGCGGCATTGCAAGCACTAGCCAACCTGCTGCTTCCTTCAATGGGTGACATTAACCGTCAAGTAAGCCATTTAGACTTCGACCTATCTTACAAGCAACATCAGCTACAGGATTACGACTTCCGGATACATAATTTAGCAGTGGATTTGCGTGATGGCGTTATTTTGACGAGAATCGTGGAAATCTTGCTTTATCCTAGTGCTTCTAGTTTTCACGCTAGGAGAGAGAGTATTGGTGTTACAGACGAAACGTCTCTCTCAGGAGATGAAGCAACTGAATATCCGCTTTCTCAGAAACTCAAATTTCCTTGCGTCAGTAGAGCATGCAAGATTTTCAACGTGCAAATTGCGCTCGGCGCCCTCAAAAAAGTTACTGGCATCAACCAAGTTGCCAAGGAACTTTGTGCAGACCACATAGTTGATGGGTACCGCGAAAAAACGATTGCCCTACTATGGCTACTGGCCGGCAAATGGGGCTTGTCGGAGATTGTGGACTGGGATGATGCAAGGAATGAAATTGTGCGTCTGCAGAAGAAGCTAGCCCTGGATCAAGGCGGTCAAGATAGCAAAGTGCAGAAGTTAAAAGACACAATCGTCTATGAATCACATGAGGACTTGCTCGTAAGGTGGGCCTCGGTGATCGCTCAACTCAAAGGACTACAGCTTGTCAACCTCACAACTAGCTTTGCGGATGGCAAGATATTCGAAAGCATTGTATCCGAATATGAAGCTTTCCTCCTAGGGCGAGACTCGAGCACGGAGCTGCACGCGACTGATAAGGGATCATTGCAATCCCGGCTGCAAGCGCTAGGCTGCAGTTCTCAGTTTGGTAAGTAGATGAACCCCCCTCTCTTACTTCTTAGAACAAATTACTAATTTTCTTTAGCATCGCTTGTCGCTGGGTCAACTTCTAGCTCCCGAATATTTGATCGGGACTTTGTGCTTGGAGCTTTAACTTTCCTATGTTCCCGCCTTTTATCCTCATCGAAGTGTATCCGTGCTGCTATTACCATCCAGCAAGCATGGCGACGAATATCATCTCAGGAGAATCTTCGCCGCCGCATGATTAAGAAGGACATTGCCGAGCAATGTGCGGCTGTTGTTAACACACGAGAACGCATTGTATGGGCAAAAACTGTGATTGTGAAGTGTTGGAGAGAGCATAGAATGAAGAAAATGATGCAAACGAACACATCGAAGAAGAGCAAGAGATATTATTGATGGATTGTGTATGATTTTGCCTGCAGGTCGGGATCCTTTCATTTGTACACATTCTTTTTTTTGTATGATTTAACCAGCTACAAGATACCCTCCTTTGAAGTCAGTTTTATATCTACTCAGTCTGGACTATTTTTTAATGATATCACTACATGAAGATTTCCTTCGAACAGTTTCTGATCAATCATGATGCCAATATAAGCTATTCCTTATCGATAACCGCTAGTTATGTGGAGACCCCACATTCCTTTTACTAGCACTAAATCACCTTCTGATCTATCTGGATATCTTGATCATTATTAGGCAATTATTTTCTCGTGGCTCATCTTTTCCATACGAGTGCAAGGATCCTCAAAAGCGCATCTGAACTCCTCCTATAACTAGGTTTAGAAGCGCCCCCCACCCGCCCCAGCTTTGAGATGATGGCATCCTCTACCGCCATTATCGAGTTAGAGCTTCAACCAGTCCAGGAAAGAAGCAAAGCCAATGAACAGAAATCCTATCAGAGTGTATCAGGCTCAACACTGGCGAAAGAAGGACAAGTGCCGGATCTTGAGACCTCGTCTTCGGGGCAGCAACCAGCTGTGGTTGTGCATGCTCTCGAGAGATGGAATGATCCAGCTGTGAATATATACCGATTATTTGCTACATTCTGGGCCTTTGTAGTAATGGGTGCGAATGATGCTGCTTATGGAGTAAGCGGGTCCCTTTATTTCCCCCTAAGATCATAGCTAATGAGAATTCACTATGTGGGCGTTAATCCCATATGTGAGTAGATTCTGTGATGACGATGATGATGACCTATTAACACCCCCAGCTTGAAACATACTACAATCTAAGCTACACAGTCGTCTCACTGGTCTTCCTCTCCCCCCTCGCCGGTTACGGCGCTGCAGCGCTCCTCAACAACGCGATCCACATGCACTTCGGCCAGCGCGGCATTGCAGCTATGAGCTCCTCGTTTCACCTACTGGCCTATATCATAAATTCAGTCCATCCACCCTACCCCGTTCTCGTCGTCTCTTTCATATTCGCTGGTTTGGGTAATGGCCTCGCAGACTCAGCCTGGAACGCGTGGATTGCGAATCTCGCCAATGCGAATGAACTCCTGGGACTTTTGCATGGGTTTTATGGCTTGGGCGCTGTGTTGAGTCCACTTATTGCTACGTCTTTGATCACGAAGGCGGATTGGCCGTGGTTTTCTTTTTATTATTTGATGGTACGTTCTCGCCCCCATTTTATCGAATCAAACCTGCTAAATGGGTGAATGAATTAGATTGGTGGCGCCGCAATTGAGCTGGTGGTGACCTTTGCTGCATTCCGATCTGCAGACAAGCACGATTTCCGGAAACGCACTGCCTACAGTGCCGATAATCAGAAAGATAATCGGTTGAAGCAGGCTCTTTTCTCCAAAGCTGCCGCGCGCGTGACATGGCTTTGTGCCGCTTTTTTGCTCGGGTACGTAGGCACTGAAGTCGCCCTGGGAGGCTGGATTGTGACATTTATGATGCGCGTGCGTGATGGGGGTGCTTTTGCTAGTGGAATGACGGCAACTGGTTTCTGGATAGGGATTACTGTTGGCCGAGTAGTGCTGGGGTTTGTGACGCCTCGAATAGGCGAGAAACTCGCCATTATAGCCTATCTAGCCTCAGCCATGGCGTTTGAGCTCATATTCTGGCTCATTCCTCAATTTTATGTCTCTGCTGTTGCTATCGCCATTGAGGGTTTCTTCCTTGGCCCCTTGTTCCCCGCCGCAGTGGTTGCGGCTACAAAGTTGCTGCCGAAACATCTCCATGTATCCTCGATCGGATTTGCAGCTGCGCTGGGAGGCACGGGGGCTGCTATTTTCCCGTTTGCCGTCGGAGCTATTGCGCAGGCGAAAGGCGTGCAGGTCTTGCAGCCTTTTGTTTTGGGCTTGCTGATTGCTGTGTTGGCTGCTTGGCTGTTTTTGCCTCGTATGCCTAGAAGTTATCTCCGCTCTACTTGAAAAGGGAATATTATATGATATCAAAATATTTTTGAGAGCAAGAAAAAGACGTATGACTCTACTTGACTAGCCACAAGTGACTATCCCGACTATCCTCCTATCTCTCCCTAGAATGACCCTCTTGTGCTCCTTTTGTGCCCCCGCATCCTCCGGTAGTCTGCTAAAGAATCCCCGGCGCAAAGCATCCAGATACAGCTCGTATGCTGGCATATAACACTTGATAAATTCAATTACTTGGTCATTCGACATTCCCCTATTCTTGCTCTTGTGAAGGGCATGCTCCTGCTCCAACCTCCATCGATACACATTCATCAAGTCATGCGTGTCAAGATGGACCAGGAAGTCTACATGCTGCGGGCCCATGAACATGTCACAGTATGTTCTCAAGTTGCGATTGATCTCAATGTAACTAGAGAGTGCATGGTTCTGCAGTGTTCTGGTCGGGAATTCTGCATCATTACCATCATTCAAAGAAGTCTGCCCATTCTTGGCCTCCTTCCATTTCTCCTCAATTGCCGACTCACTGAGCGGCTGAAATCCGAAACACCAGCCTTCCAGAACGACGACGTCGATGGTTGACGTCGTGGATACTGTGACTTTCTTCCAATGATCTCTAGGAACACGATCACCCTCGCCGTTGAATTTGCTCTTGTCAAATTCCGGAATGAGGACTTCTTGAGGGGACGCTGCCGTCGTAACAAGGCTGCGGAGGAATTCCATTACCAGGGCTGTATCATGAGTTCCTGGCTGGCCTCGCACTCGGAGCAACTTATTGCTCGGATTCTCCTCGCGAACTCGCGCCAGGCCGTCATGGTCTAGGTAGAAGTCGTCTAGTGACACGCCAATAGTCTTGACTTTGTGTTTTTCATTCAACGTGCGCACTATTGCTGATGCCCATGTTGTCTTGCCGCTCCCCTGCAGGCCAGTAAGGGCTAGTAGGAACGGCCTTTGCCTTTCTAGCCGGTCGGCATGTTGGGTGATGTATGGGAGGATATGCCCTACTAGATCGTCTATATTTTCTTGTGCAATCATGGTAGTAGTCGGCAGCGGTCCATCTGTGCTTGTGCTGTTCCATGCTATGCATGCTATGGCCCGGTGGAAAATTGGGAATAGATATGCGTTCGATCTAAGCCAACATCTGAATGGAGAAGTGGCGCCGGAGATGTCTTTGTCCACGGCGGAGCTTTGTTCCTCCGCCATCGCCAACGACCCAAGAAACCCTCCGGTCTGACATGCTTTTCACGTCACGGTCAGCAAATATATAAAGCCCATCTAGTCATATTCAGCACTTAATCCTGATTAGCTCAGAATAGAACTTCATCCGCCAACATGTCGCCCGCCCAAAATCCCGGTATCCCCAGCTACAGCATTGCTTCCATCCCCGCCGACGGAATCGGCCCGGAAGTCATTGATGCAGGTATTACAGTGCTCAATGCGTTAGCTGATACCCTCAAGACTTTCCAACTTGATTTTACGCATTATGACTGGAGCTCCGATACATACAAGAAGACCGGCAAATACATCCCCGATGGCGGCTTGGATCAATTGAAAAAGCACGACGCTATCCTCTTTGGTGCTGTAGGTGCTCCTGGTAAGTAAAGTGATATATCTTCTAGATCTTGGGAATTGAGACTCATAGGCCGAGGCAGATGTTCCTGACCATATCTCACTATGGGGACTTCGACTGGCCATCTGCCAGCCTCTACAGCAATACGCCAACGTGAGACCTACCAAGATCTTCCGTGGCACCGAGTCCCCTCTACGTAACTGCACCACTGGCGATCTTGACTGGGTCATCATCCGCGAAAACAGCGAGGGTGAATATGCTGGCCAGGGTGGTCGTTCGCACCAGGGTCGCCCCTGGGAGATTGGTACTGAGACCGCCATCTTCTCCCGCCATGGCATTGAGCGCATTATGCGCTTCGCCTTTGAGACGGCTCAGCAGAGACCTCGCAAACTGCTGACAGTGGTGACGAAGAGTAATGCCCAGCGTAATGGCATGGTGCTCTGGGATGAGGTTGCCAAGGAGGTGTCGCAAGATTTCCCTGATGTGACCGTCGACAAGATGCTTGTCGATGCAATGACCACACGTATGGTTCTCAAACCGGAGAGCATTGACACTATTGTGGCAACTAACCTGGTATCACTCCCCCTGTCTCTGAGCTGCTGAAAGAAAAACAACGCAGATACTAACTTTACTTAGCATGCCGACATTCTCTCCGATCTCGCGGCGGCTTTGGCTGGTTCCATTGGTATTGCTCCAACCTCGAATCTGGATCCTACACGCCAGCACCCTAGCATGTTCGAGCCTATCCATGGCTCCGCCTTCGATATCACGGGTCTTGGTATTGCCAACCCCGTCGGAACCTTCTGGACAGGAGTGGAAATGCTCAACTGGTTGGGTGAAACCGACGCAGCGAAACAGCTACTTGAAGCTGTTGAGAATGTTTGCGAGCAGGGCGTTTTGACCAAGGATTTGGGTGGCAAGGCCACTACCAAGGAAGTCACAGCGGCAGTTGTTGCAGAAATCCAGAAGCTGGCGAAGAAATAAGACCCGTATAGTGTCTATTATATGTTTTTATGTTATCAAATATCAGGAGGACGTTGATAAAACATCCACTTCATGTTCTTATATACTATATTCGTCGCAATAGATCATTCAGACGTCACAAATTCCGCAATACTCCTGGGGAACCGCCATGTATCATACAACATATACTACGTTTCGTCATAAAATGCCGAAGTCGCCATGGATGAGCCATGGCGCATCGGCTACAGTCCAGCCTTCGTTCATCGAAAGCCCCTTCGAGTTTGAGAAAGAGAGATGGTCAGGGATCATATCATAGGAAAGCCCGTTTCCCGTTAGGTCCCCGAACACCATGCTTGCTGGATTGTAAGAATCGTTCCTTCCAGCGCCCAAAGGGGTACTGTTGTATGGGGGGTTCGCGAGGTTCTCCCGATAGCCACCGATCGAGTCTCTCGGCCGATCTATAGGGGACGGAGAACATCGCTCTCGATGGGGGGTAGAGTGTTTATTTGACTCTAGGAGCGGATCTTGATGACGATCCGGGAGTCCTAGTCGCGGGTCTTGATGCGAAAGCGGCGTGGATGCGTGTAAGTATGTGCCATTGTCACCGGATGGTGTATTGTTCGCTAAGTGAGCGTCTTGCCTGACCGATGGGGTCAAGTCATTATGTGGGTTCCCCTCCATGGCGGAGCAAAGATCCTCTATAGCCTCGATGCATGTCTGTGGCCAATCACGTTCTCTCAAGGCAAGGTTGCGAAGTACAGAAATGCCAATGCGAGCATATCGTAAAGCGCCGTTGTTGGTAAAGTAACCGGTCCAGGCGGCATATATGAGAATCATGCACGACATCCATACGGCTGATGTAAATGACGGTGACGTAAGGGGAGCACGTCGCTGCGTAGAATGTATTCCGACAGAACGACGATTTATATTCAAACTAGGGTTTATATAGTCGTAGAGTGCGACTAGCAAGGACCTCGCAGAATTGATACAGGTCTGGATAGCTGTCTTGTAGTCTGCAGCGATGAGACTATGCGCCGCGAGTAGCGGACGGTACAACGCAATGATAGCCTCGTGCCTCGATACGATCAACAGCAGCGCATGATAAGGCTGAAGAGCCGAATGCGAGTCAAAATCGATTTGGTATACATCATCGTATACTTCGTTCCACCATTGCAGAAGTACACTGTCCACCTCGGCCGCATCTGCCAAGTTTTCTTGGCTATGCATGACCGATTTATTCCGTAACTCCGAAATCATCCCTCGTAATCGCGCAAACTTTGCTAAGTGGCTCAAAAGCCTGAGGCGGCTACTTCCTGTTTCGACATCATGTATGTTAGTTGAAAATTTTCTTTTTGTTTAGTCGAGGGAAGGGGGAAGACACACCTACATCAAAACGAGGGATCTCTCCGCCTCTTATATGTCTTTCCGTCTGGGGATAGCAAACGTCGAAATCGTCATCACGAATACTGAGCGGCACTCCGAGTGCTTGGTTGAGATATCGTTCCAGACAATAGATCGACCAAAAAAGACGACAGCGCATCATGACGTCTTCATCAGTGAAACAAGAATATCGTGCCGGACAGCGGTGCAAACCAAGGTGGAATGCCATGCGGGTCACAAATCCTCCGACTCGAGAAGCAGCATTTAAGTGTAGGATAGAAGTTAAGAACAGCTGGATACTGAAGGCAGCTTGTAGTAAAGGGATAGAGGACGATGCATCTTGCAATTCCCATAGATTTCTCATAGCCTCATGAACTGTCTGATATACCAAGCCCACCGGGATAGCAGGTAGTGGCGGACCCAGTTGGTTTTCAATGGCAGAGATGGAAACAATAGATCGAACAACAATTGCATCCATCCGACTGATCGATCCAAGGCCCTTCTGGCAGGCCTGCTCCATGGCATGGAGAATACGAGGCGCATTGATGAAAGGGTAGATGGGATGCCAATCTTCAAAATAATGCTGCGTCAATTGCACCAAGGCCTCAAATGAGAGAGGTGAATTGGTTGGATCGAGATTCTGTTTGTTCCACAGGGCAGTGTGAGTTTTCCCCTGGCCACCCTCTATGTGGTCGTCTTCGCCAGGAACGAGGGATTTGTGGCCGTCTCTTGCCCGTCGCAAGTCTGTGAAGCGACGTGCAAAAGCGTGATAGACGGTGCGGACGAAGTGAATGCCACTGGAGCTGCCAAGAAAACTGACGGATGTATCATCCTTGCGCATAATGCCTAGCTCGCGAGGCGACGTATGCGTAGTGCCAGTCGTAGAAGCGCGTCGCCTACGGCGCTTGATCTCCCGATGGAGATCAAAGTCCTCGTTTTCGGCCATAGCTATGCGCCATTGATTGTTTTGCATGGGCTTCGGGAAGCTCGACGGACCTCAGGTTGAACGTTGCAAGGGAGGTTGCTCTGACCCAAGTCACGTGCACCTCTTACCCCAAGCCAAGAAATGGGGTGGACTACCTAGTCATTACGTGTGCCTCGCAGTCACATGATGTGTCGGAATTGCTCAAGTCCGAAAGTCCCTCATTATTCATACATGGACCAATTGCATGTAGGATGTGGTACACCAAACTGTTTCTTAAGTACATAGTGAGACTTTTCCTTCCTTTCCCTTAGGGCATACCTGAGGTCTTTTTCAGGAAAATGCCCTGACCCTGAAAGCGCTAACAGGGACATTTTCACGCAGATGAATACCGGTAGGACGAACTGTTGCAAATCCATAAAATATGCTACGTGAAGCTGAAGTAGACGGCTAATTCCTTAGGTACTCCTAGGAAGGAACTTCTACATCCGATCGCCTGCGAGCCGTGCAGGCAGAAAAAGTGCAAGGTACATATATATCTTGAGATGGCTTCGTGTTACGACGTTAGCATACTAATCGAGAACACCCAACTCTAGTGCGATCGTGAGCTGTAAGCATGCATCACTGATACCACCTCAAGGTTCTGTCAGGCCGAACAAGGGCTGATGTAAACTTGACATGGTTTAACGGGAATAGACCAGTCTGTTCACAATGCAAAGGAGAGCCATCCAAATGCAACTATCCAGAGAGTGGCAAGAGGTGAGGAAATACATCTCCTACTGCCACGAATTCCCCTTTCAGTTCATTGGGCTAAAATATAGACTGATGGTTTTCCTGGCATTAGAGGCCTGCCTCTAGGCTATCTCATTCAGCTTGAACAGCGACTCGCAGACACCGAATTGGCCTTATTCGAAGCATTAGCGACACTACACTCACTTGGCCATGGCGAACTCGCCTTAGCCAAGGCGTCGACGAAGCCTGGAAATGAAAGTAGACAAGGGAAGCAGGCACGCATGGAAGAATGGACTAGGCTACCTCTCCGGGATGGGAATTCTTCTGATATCAAAACCTGGTGGAAGGCTAAAGACGAGAACTACATTATACACGAGAGCTCTGAGCACTCATGGCCTCAGTTCTCCTTAATGTCAACCGATAACCCATCAATGGAACGGGTGGCGACGAATAATGCCGCGAAGAGAATGAAGACATTCAACTTTGAAACTAGAGCCTCACCGCAATCACCAGCAGCGAGTCAATCATCTGCCTTCTCAACAGACACCCTACTGAATTATCGAGGAAACCTTCGTTATAGTAACGACGATCTGAGGCGCCTGCCTGCAACACCACCACCTCCTGAAAGCATTATCAATAGGGATGTAGGACAGCAACATATTTTTGAAGGTAATACAGGATATGCATCAATAATCGACACAAACCAGCCTGAAGCCTTGCCCCGCGAGTTGCAGACCTCCGAGACAGGAGACGGTGACAAGGCTTCCATTCTCGCCAGTACACAATCCAATCTTTACTTTTAGGTGCGAAGTGCGTGGCCTACTCAGCCGGCAAAGACTAGAGAGACAAGTAAGTCGGAAATAAGAATGTCTATGATAGCCCTAGACTTCATGCTGTTAGCATCAATATATAATATCCTTGATATTCTATCTTCTTATAGCATCGAGCAAGAGTCATATCTTGCAAATTGTTTATATCAATGAATATATATTGTCGCAGTCATAAAACTGTTCTGGGCGCGCCAAACTATATACATGAGGAGGACGTAAGACAGATGAGACATGATAATCAAACCAAGCCAAGTACTATAAAAAGGCAACTAGACATTTTCTCTTTGCTCAATAGAAATATCTTCTTTTTCATTGTTCTGTTCAAGAATGTCACTTTCGGTGAGATCTCCCTTGGGCACGCTTCTAGCCATGGCCACAATCGTCCAGCGCGAGGACGCATCACGGAATACATGGTTGATCATTTCCAGATTCCGACCCATGGTCTCAGGATAGAAGAGGCCAACGGCAATGGGAATGCAAGCCGAGATGATTGCATACATTATATAATAGCGGTAACCGATTGTATTCAATGCTACTGGAGTAATCATGGTAACCACAAAGTTCCATAGCCAGTGGTTTGCAGTGGAGACTGAGTTCATTGCCGTTCGAAGTTGAATGGGCGCTATCTCCGTGCAGTATAGGAAGTTCCCTCCCAAAAAGCCGATAGGGTAGAAGAAATTGAATAAAAATATGAATGTTGCCGAGGCAATGCTTGCCCCTTTGTTGCTCGTGCTGAAGCTCGTCGTTACTGCCAATGCAGCCATGCAAAGACTCATGCCAGTGCCGCTGACGATGAAGACAGTGCGACGCCCCAACCTGTCGATGCAAAAGAATGCAACAAAGCAACAGAGAAACTTCCACGTGAGGGCACATGACGCTAGGATCTTGGCTAGATCGGAATCCAAATTGAGGTTATTTTGGAATATGGTCGAGGCATACACGGAAATCAGAGTTCCGCCACACATTTGCTGGAGAAATTGGAGGCCGATGCAAAGCAATAGTCGATGAAGCAGCCGATCAGCATCCTCTTTTAGGGTGAATATTTCTATCAATGAGATCTTCTTGTCGCTTGTTTCCAGAGAGAGTTCAATGCCGCCAATCTCGGCCGCGATGGAGTCATGGGCCTCGGGAACACCTTTGTATGCTGCGAGCGAGATGGACGCTTGACTTGTTCGATTGACTTTGACAAGCCACCGAGGGGATTCAGGAAAGCAGAACACGGTGAGGCAAATCAATGAAGAAGGGGCAAAGAGAGAGCCAACGGAAGCCGCCATTGCAAGTTTGAATATGGTAGAAAGGTAAAAGCAAAGTCCAGCCAATTGCACAGACTATAGCCCAGGCACATGAAGATGCCCGCCAAGATAACATGGCGGCCTCGGTTTTTGGCCTCGGAGCATTCTGACAGCCAGATTGGTACTGTCACACTGAACTGGCCTACGCCCATGCCGAGAATAATTCGGCCGACGACAAACTGGGGCAAGCTGTACGAAGAAACTTGGAGAAGGTTGCCCATAATGGTCAGGACAGAGCCCAGGAACACGGTTTTCCTGCGACCTAGCAGATCCCCAAAGAAAATGCAAGACAAGGCTCCTATCAGGGCGCCAAGTTGGAAAGAGGCAACCACAGCACCGGCGCTCGTAGAGTTGTGAGACTTTTGCGCACCAGTGGCGTTGACATCGTCGACCTGGGGATATTGATGCACCCAGCTTTGCAAATTCGAAATCGGCCCCATGCCTGATTGATTATAGCCAAAAGTGTAAATGAGGGAGCTACAATGAGAGCAATAAGCGCAAACTGCAAGGAGCGGCCAGTCAGGCCAATCAGGAGGTGGACGGCCATGGTGGAAATTTGTCAAATGGGAAGGAAAAAGTACGGATAACATGTTCTCAGTCGCTTTTTATAGCCCAGACAGACTCCCCATGCCAAATCTCTTTGACCCCCTCTCTTGCGGGGAATTGTTCCCAGATATCTGGAGAAGAATTTCTGGGGAAGCAACCCCGGTTGGCCACGCGGGCCAAGCTTTCTCCGGATCAGCCACGGCGCCAACTTCGAATGCAAGGGAAATTCCCTGCCCCAGTGCCGGAAAGCCGCGTATGTGCAAAATGACGCATCTCAATTACGCAGTTTACGCCCTATTTTTACATTTCCGGAGTCAGGAGAGTAAGCAAGGCCCGGACAAGCAAAGCCTAGGACGGACATGAGCTTTTCCGTGTATAGTCCGGCGCGGCCCAAGCCCTAATTGCGATTGCTTGCGAGCATGAAAACCTTCAACCAGCGAATTCAGGGTCCATAAAGGATCATAGATTGCGAATCACGGATCCGATATGTACATTCATAAAGGACGCCCTGCGGTATGATCCTTTCGACAGAACACGACTTGCTTAGGCTTCGACCCACCAAGTTTACCATGGCGCCATTGATTGACAACAACGTACCTTCTTTCCCCAGCACGGTCGCTGGCACAAACTTTCGATTCAGTGCTGCGAGTAAGATAGGCATCAATGGGTTTGGTCGAATAGGTGAGCATCATCTGCCCTCAGTCCGGGTCTGGTCTAACAATGTCTAGGCCGCAACGTGCTTCGTGCATCCCTTCTTCGCTCTGATGTTGATGTTGTTGCTATAAATCACACCTGCGCAACAGCCAAGGACTTGATACACCTCATCCGCTTTGATAGCACACTGGGAAGCATGCACCCGGGGATTAGGATCGTTATTGAAAACGAACACCTGATCACTGTCGGGGGCAAACACATCCGGCTTATTTCTGAACGGGACCCCAAGAACATTGACTGGCACAGTCTGGGCATTGACTATGTTGTGGAAAGTACAGGAAAGTTCACCAAGAGGAGCGCAGCTCTGGAACACGTTACACTTGGCCGAGCTCGGCGAGTGATCATCTCGGCGCCCAATTCTGACTCCTCAGCTTATGTTTTCGGAGTCAATTCCGATAAATATTTTCCTGATGAGGATAACAACGTGATTTCTTGTGCGAGTTGCACTACAAACTGCGTCACGCCCGTCCTAAAAGTCCTAAACGATAACTTTGGCGTTGAGCAAGGCTTGTTGACCACCGTTCACGCTTCCACCCAGTCTCAAAATGTTTTGGATGGATATAATAAGAAGAATCCCCGACTTGGTAAGAGACTGCTTAGTGTCGTCGTGACGATCATCTCCGATTTACACCTTTCATAGGACGCACCGTTTTTGATAATATAATTCCGACTACGACCGGCGCTGCGAAAGCGATTGCAACTGTCCTTCCCGAGCTGCAGGGAAGGATCACGGGTGTATCAATCCGTGTACCAACGTAGGCTAACCAAACCTCTTTTTCTATTTTCTCTCTCTTTCTTTCTAGAGTCAATATAGCTGACCTTAGTACCCCTCAGGCCGAGCGTTTCCATGATCGATTTGACCGTGGACACTACAAAGCCCACCTCGTTAAAGGAGATTTTGGATGCCTTCCAACTAGCTTCAAAAACCTACTTAGCAGGCGTGCTCAGTGTCTGTGAAGAAGAATTATTCAGTAGCGACTTTAAGGGAAATCCGAGCTCGGCAGTTGTGGACGCCGCCGCGTGTATTGAATTGAACTCACAGGTAAGTTGCTTTTAATGTCATGCATGATCTTATGCAGAGAGGCTCACCCATGTCCCTTTACAGTTCTTCAAGATGATTGCCTGGTATGATAATGAATGGGGATACTCAAATCGCTTACTGGATTTGGCTGTGCTGCTGAATGTAAGAGAGGGTGATTTCTGAAGACTATAATCATGAGCTTGGCGATACAAGGTTTTCGATAGTTTTATTGGCATTAGTTTTAGATTCATACATTTGTTCTAAATAGAAAGGAGCCCGTGAATATGTATGTCATGCATTCTACACAGTGAACTCGCTAAAGGGATAATGATTGACTAACTCTGGTATAATGACCCGGGGAGGATTCGACTAAGCGAGGAGATTAGAGGACGGGTGAGGGGAGTTGACTCGATATTTGGGACAATAGCTTCAATATGATCATTGCCAAGATGTGATATATTACTCTCGAAAAGCCGAACTGCTGATGGTGTGAATATCTGGGGCTGAGGTTGAGATTGAGATAGAGACAGCTGAGACAAAAGTTTTAAGCCGCTTTCCCCTGGATGAGAGTGCACTGCTGAAGACGCCAAAGGAAGACACGCGGACAACCATATTTAATATTCTGTTAAATAAACTATTGAAAACCTTCGGACCTTGGGGTTTGCCGTGAATATGTTGATGGGAATTGGTGAAGCTTAGACTAATCGTGGGGTCTGTGCCTTTATGCATGCAGGCCATGTACCTGTATCAATCACATCTCAACACAATAACAACAATTTGATGCATGGCTATTGGCCAAAGGAAAAATGTTCCCTTTGTCGTTCTTTCCGGTACTCATATAGAAACCTAATATTGGACTCGGAGTCTGGGTTTTAACGATGCCTATGAAATCCATCGTAAACAACTTATATGTCTCTTGGCCTCACAATTCGAAAAATGGGTCATAAATTAGCCTTAGAGGACCTCTGAGAAGCTCTAAGTTGCCTCTGCTCGCTTTCTCAAAACCTAGATCTTGATTCCTTCCTAATTCATAAAGTTCAAACATGTTCCTCCTCTTTATCCGAGATCCTACCTAGGTAGCCAGAAACATTATTACTGCCAAGCTTGAAGATGATCGCCAAACTAGAACAAATGCCACTGGTCCCGGGAACTACGAGATCATGAGTGAAGACAGAGAGAAGAAAGCACTTTAATCTATCCTAGAATGAAGTATTCCAGTAAGTTGAATATCCGTCTCCTCCTAACCCTCCCATTTACTTTTTCCTATTTGCATTTCTTCCAAAATTCCGAGATATTGACTGTCTTTAATAGAGGGTTTACAAGATAGAAGGATACACAACACATATACCCTCCTGATGGCGAGGTAGGTATTGTCTATTACCTAGGTATAGACACGAAAGGATGCCCGATGGAATATGGCTCGTTTTTTTTTGGGACGGTGTCCCAGCTTATATACCGCGTTATAAATTCGACAATTTCCCATCTCATGACGAGACGAGGCGTCAGACATTGTCGGTGACTGGTAAGAGCATACTTATGAGGCATGAAGCACTTCGTAAATGCACCGAATATTCCAATTTACATAGAACAATTGAATGACATAGCTTCAAACCATCTGATACTTGGAAAAAACCTCTAGTTATTAGCAACTTATCATGCTTCTCGCGTAATTCGAAGGTGTGGTAGGATGCCAGGAAACACAGTCATAGAAACCCGTGGATGATCATAAGGAAAGTCATAATTATGGTTAGAGGGTCTCTGAAGGTATACTTAGCCCATGCTTGCTTTCTTAAAATTGTGTTTATGAGTGGACGCTCTCTGCTCAACAAGAAAACAAGTGGCACCCTCCATAATACCGACCATCAAATGAGTCATAGTTCTAGACTATGCAGTTAAATATCTTGAGAATCCATATCCTGGCCACTGATCTCTGCCTAGTGCCGGAGGTTTGTAGATTATGAATGGAATTATCTCAGTTGAAAAGTCAGATAAGAAGTCTAGGGCTTGGTCTTCTAAACCCTAACTACTTGCTTGGCGGAGTGCTCTTGATTAGAAATACAAGCACGACCTATAGAAGCCTAATTTTATCATTAAGCTCGAACTATGTCTCAATTTATTCGCTAGCTCTTTAAGGAATCACCTAGCACCAAGAAAGCATGGCGGCCAGCCAGATTGCGTTACGGCTTGGACTTTGAGCCATCAACCAGGAGCCTGCAACTCCTGCCCAATGAGCTGTTCAGTAAGTGATAGGTAAATAATCCCTGGGCAAAGCCGAGCGTAAAGCAGCTTGACACTGAACGTTTATCCTCACACATTTCATTTATGTAGGTCTTAGTAACACTGAGCAAGGGTGTACTACGTGGTAATTGCGTATTCTGACCGAGCCACAGAAACGGAGCCGTTATTGACTAACTTATAGAATTATCAACATGTACTGTATCTAGGTAATACTCTACATCAACGATTTACGAATAATAAAGTGGGAATGACAGTGATAAAGCAAAACAAACTCAGGGACCAGCCTAGAGTTCCCCAGCTAGCAGTCTCATAGATCCCGCCGGACATTAACGGACTGATCAAGCCTGCCAAAGCCCAAGCAATCTCGGAGATGCCATAACATTGAGCATAACCCCCATTGGCTCCCAAGGATCCCGGTTGCTCTGCCTCGATGTCATCGCAGATTTTGCTATACTCGGCATATAATCCAGTCAAAGCCATGGCAGCCCCTAGTCCAACCAGCAACAGCAACGCGCACAACAGCACTATCTGGCCGACAGACTCGTGAGTGATGAGTCGCAACAGGATTAGAGGAGGACCCATGAAGATAAACCCAAGTGCCGATATCCAGCGACCGCCGTACTTGTCGGCGAAAAACCCGAAGACAGGTCCAAAAAACGTGGGAAGAAGGAGTGCTAAGAAACTCAGTCCTGCTTGTAGTGACGACCAGTGAAATTCCCGGCTAACAAACAAGGCCAAGGTTGTGTCAAACGCTACCATGACCGTGGCGGTTACAAAGTCTCCCCAGAAAGCGGCCAGCAAGCGAGGTGATTTCCAGAGTTTGAAAATCGCTGGAATCCCTTTAGTAGACGTATTATGCTGTGACTGTGACTGAGACGGGGACTGAGGACTGGGGACAGCAATATCAACAGCAACCTCAGCATCATGGCCGTTCAAGATTGTAGAATCCTGCATTGCAGCAGGATTCACATTCGGAGGAGCTTCGATGCCAGATAATTCTGTGCCATCATTCGTCTGCTGCAGCAACCATCTAGCAGCAGTTTTCTTCTCAATAACAGCCAAGCGCAGGAGAATATCAATACCCAAGAATGCAAAACACATTGCAAAAACGGGGTAGTATCCGACACTGTGGTATACAACACCTCCAAGCACAGGTGCTATTACCGTTCCAAGGGACGACGCGGCTCCCACGTAGCCAAAGGACTGAGCGACAGATTCTTTTTTTGCTGTCTCTGCCAGCAATGTGAGACTGACAACCTATCCTACAATCAATCACAGGCTGTATATGAGAGAATTCTACCTCGACTTACCCAGGTTATACTTGCAGAAAGGCCCTGCAGGACACGACCAATAATCAAAACCGGAAGACTGGTAGCAAGGCATAGAACGATTGTAGCCCCGGTGAGAGCCACCAAGCCAATGAGGAGAGGCGTCCGTCGGTCTTGCAACTGATCCGCAAAGAAACCGAAAACCGGTGCACCCAATAACAACGCCGCACCATAAACTGAAAGGAGGACAGAGACCCAGTGCTGAGTATCCTGCTCTGGCACATGAATCCGAGAGACTAGCGAAAATGGAAAGACGGGAACGACAACAGAATACAAGAACATGTCCTGATCGTAATCTTTCAGTCAGAGGAATCTAGTCGCATGGAAAAGGAGATTTGACGTACAGCAAAAATGGCGACGCAAACAGTCAGCGTGATGAACCTAATGCCATATCAGGAAATGATTAGTCTTGTATGCTTGTGAGAAAAGAGGGCTAGGGGGTCGCTCTTGTTCTGACCATGTCGAAGACCGCAGCTCCAAGAGCATGGGTCTGTTTGTCCGGTGTGATGATATCCTCATACTGTATGAGCTGTCGTATTAATGATTGAACGAAAATGTCGAATCCCAGATGAGGATTCCCAGGGATATAAATATCCAGTCGAGTTGCCGAAGCTGAAAGTCGACATCTGGAGGTCTGTTGGTGCTTGCTTTGTCTCCTGCAGCTACTCGTTAGTCAATGTTGGTTTAATTAATTACATACATGTACCTTTTACATGAAATCCAATTACAGAATCACGGTAATTTTACAGATCACATACAACAAAGCCTTATTCAGCACGGCGGTAAAGCTGATAAAGTCCCATCATTTCCGGTCTTTCGGCTTTGTAAATACGCGTAATTACAGTTTCCATGATTACAAACGCAGCCTTTTATCCCACAATATCCTCCGCCGATGATTTTCAACAGTCTTAGCAATCATCCTATCGGCAAGCTTATTATAGACTATTGTACTGTATAAGTCTGGACGCTTAGCAAGTGGACCAATATATCCTGGAAAGTGCTCTAGTTGGATCATAGAAATGGCGGCCTCGCAATTGAGAAGCATCCATGTATTCCCAAAACTCAACGTGCTAGATAGCGTCAAGCGCAGTGATGCAAGTTAGGCGGCAAAATAAAATTTTTATTCTCGTATGAATGAGATGTCTGTATTACCTAGCTGACGCGTAAGGTTCGGCTACATTTGAGAAGCTTTGCTTTGAAATGGGCTGCATAATGCATCGCCCGGTACGGTTATTTATATCGCAGAGGTTGATAATAAAATTGCAGCCCATTGATATACGCAACATTTTCGCTGCATATCATTCCAAAAGCAGCTGAAGCAGTGATTTCTAGGAATAGGCCTTTGTCCATTTCATCGTGATGGCGATCAAGTATCAGTATGGAATCAAATTAGCAGGAGTACTAGATGGGCAATCGAGAGATTTGCTCCTTCTTTGTGTACCAGGTGGCCAGCAACTGGATGACGGTTGGGGCAGTGAAGACTTCGCACACTCCGAGCAAGAATCTGAGGACAGCCAAGCTTGCAAACTGCCCGCACGCAGCATGGAGTGCGACAATGGCTCCCCAGACAACAACCACGATAGAGAAAACCTTGTCCAGAGGGTATCTTTGGAGGAGGATCATGGCGGGAACATCTCCAACAAGGTAGCCGAAACTATACGATTAGCAATTCAGTTAGCAACTTAGCAAGATAACAGAAAAGCGGGCAAGTGAAAGAGAAGTGCTGACTAAATGAGAGATCCAAGCCACGAGTATTCGAACCCAGTGAGATGGCAATCCTCTTTGATCCCCATAATAGCTCCAAATGATAGACTGCTCTTGTCCATCAACATCAGGGTGTAGATAGCGCAGAGCAGCGGCAGGACGATGAGGTCAATTTTTTTTCACGATCTTCTTCGTTTCTTCGGAGTTGGTGTCAAAATTGCCCTCAATTGCCTGGAGGAGGTTGAGAACCCGGTTATCCTTCTCGACAAGAACGATCTCGGCGGTGCCCTGCATTGCCAGATGAATGGCTAGGGTTAGATTTGGTGGTGTTTGCAACAAGCCCTCGGGCGATGGTTGAACTCTTACAATCTCGATATCCTCAGCATTGCCGCTGTCCAGCTTGGCCTCGCCTGCTTTGTCTGACTCCATACTCATAGCTAGGTGCCGTACCCTTGGTGAGGAACTAGGTGGTTCAGTTGCAAAAACTAGCTCGATATTACAAACGCATATTACGCGATTCTGATTATTCGCGGGCTCGCATGAAATATACACGAAATGTCCGAGTGCACGCGTAATGGGATAAAGCTGGTTTAGCTTTGCAATATCTAGCTTGTAGTTAGGATTATAGGAGAAGGATAAGAGAGCGAGACTGATAGACTGATAAAGAGAGTATGTATGTGATCCGCGGATATCGTCGCTAGTACACCCACACACGAAAGTCAGTTTGGTCCTATCTCAGGCCACGAGATGGCGGGATATATTTGGAAGGGGACGCAGATTGGCATGCATCGGACGGACTAAACAGTAAACAATTGCCTAACCAGAAACGCACTCTGTCCTATCAATCAATCAGTTGCCATGGGTCAAAGGCCAATCCCCGCGATCTCCATGAGAGGTAATGGTATAGCTTGACCATAAGTAAAAGACTTCATGCTTACCATGTTTCAAAATCAGATTTCGAGAACCGAAAGGAAGAAATCGGACGGAAACTGGTTGATGCAGCTGAGAAGATTGGGTTCTTCACCCTCGTCGACCATGTCCTTTCCGTGGAAGAGATCGAGAAGCAGTTTGCTGTCTCTCAAAAATACTTTGCGCAGCCCATGGAGAAAAAGCGCGAGATCCCCTATGATAACAATACGAGTCTAGGATACGAGAAGAATGTACGTCTTTATTGCCGAAGAAATTCATTCTGGTCATACCGGCTAACTCTTAGGCAAAAAAGGCCCAATATCGACCAGGCACTGGTTTCGACCAGAAAGAGTCGTTTTTCGTCTGACCGAGGTCCCAATGGCCAAGTGATGAGGATGTACCGGGGTTCTCTGAGAGCACAAGAGTCTTCTTGGAGAAATGTGCCTTGATCTCAGACCAAGTTTGTATGGCCGTCAACACTGACAAATATACGTTCAATCCATCAAACACTAACAGAATATCTATCAAGTATACTGTCTTGGCAAGGCTCTGGGTTTCCCTGAGAACTACTTCAAGGAAGCCATGGATGTATCAAAGAACGAATTGCACAAACCAACTTCGCATGCTCTACTACCCCGAGGTCGAAAACTCGGCAGGTGGCTGGCGCCACGGAAACCACACTGATATTGGCTGTCTGACACTAGTCTTTCAGCGTGATGGAGAGGACGGTCTGGATGTTATGCCAGGTCGCAAAACGCATACTAGTGCCATACACGGGGATGACTTCTTCCTAATTCCGGCTAAAATGGGTCCTATCGTGGTGAATATCGGTGACATGCTAAGTAAGTTGGAGATCAACTCGAGTTGCTTCTTCATACTTCAGACTAATTAAAAGCGACAGTGGCGTGGTCTGACGACCGCTTTAAAGCCAACTGGCACAGGGTTCGTGCCAAGTCCGTGGGCTTCTCGCCGGCGCGATACTCTCTTGGATATTTCAATATGGGCCGAGAGGACTTTGTGTTCCAGGGACCTCTGAAGAAATAGTGAGTATTACAAAAAGGCTCCGAATCTTTCCCCTCACGATGACGCTGCTAACTAAGCTGGCTACAGCCCTGCCATCACGTGCGGCGAATACTTCCATAACCACATCAAGAAGCAGTTTGAGTTCTTCTTTGCCTGCCTCTGCATGTCTATTGAGTGGAAGAATTAATAAAGTCATATTACACAGGGGACACACGGGTAAGCAGACACCAGTGCAGCCAGCTCCTCAGGTCAAGCCAGTTGTTGCAGTTGCCTAGTGCTTTACTATGATAGATCTGTGAAGGAAAGACCGGAAAGAGGCACTAATTGATTCAAAACGTTAAAAAAACCTTGGGTGTGCAGTGTGTGCTCGTATTTTGGGAGAGAGGCAGAGACTTTCAGTATAAATAAAAGGAAATATCATTGTCTCATCTTTTTTCATCTTGCCCGTACAGCTTACCCTACCAAAAAGTTCATAGGGCAGTGTTGGCTGAAGTTGTAAGTCTCCATGCTGCTCAAGGTGGAAAAGAAACGCACGGACAACACTTGTCTAATTGCGAAGTATCCCAGTGAGCTGCTCTTCATGATGGAGACACTACACAAACACTGGTACGCAAAACAGTGTCTCCGCATTCGTAAATAGCGAGGACAGGAAGAAAGCCCAGGAGAAACTGTGGAAAGATCGAAGTCATTCAGAAAAACATTCACTCGTTGCTGTACTTTTCCATGTCCGTTCCAATTAGACATGCCCGATTTCTTCAGTGTCAGATGAAGAAGCACAGCTGAAGATATGCTGGCAGTACTTACCCCGATTGGGGGAATTTCATAGCCATGAAGGGCCACGTCAAGCATCCTTCTCCGTCAAAACATTAGACACTAGGAATTCATTATTGACATCTCCAGAACTAAATTTGGGTGCCAGCATCTATCTTGGTACTGCCATTGCTCATCTAGCCTTAGGTAAGTGGGCACTTGGGACAATTTAGCGAGTTTTGAGAATTTTAGTGTACCACTGGCAGCCCAATTGACAAAGCGGCTTAGATATGAATATTTATTTATTTGGGGAAATTTAGAGTAAGAGATAACATGGTGATATGTTTTCGGTCATCTATCCGAGTTCTACATACAAAGTGAGCGGTATTCGTTGACATATATACAATGTTATAGAGCTTTTTATGAGAATATGAGTGAGCCGACTCAACCGAGCAGCGAACAGTCTCCACAGACACGTGTTGGAAAATCTCCGGCCTGTGCCTCACAGGATGACATCGCTTTGGAGTGATAGGGCCGAGGAAGGTAGCAATTCTAGCTCTTCTGTTGGGAAGATAAAAAAAAAAAAAAAAAGAAACAGAGTAAGCTCGCGAGTCGCCAGCCTCTCTCCATGAAATAAAAATAGATGACAACAATATGGTCCTATACCTAATCTGACAGCTTCCAAACCTTAGGCGTGGAGCCCAAAATCTGCTAACATTACGGAATGCAAAACATTGCAACCGGAATCATTGTACCGAGTACTAGACACTATAGTAGAGAATTGGTCTTTGGAATTCATTTATTTTGCTAATAAAAGCTCTGATTTGTATGATAAAAATAGAGCCATAATTTTAATTGTTTCTTTACTTGGTATAGAGTTTAGACTAAAAACATTAGGGTCAACGCCTAAGCCTTGCTAGCTAATTTAGTACGTATAAGATTTTAGTGCTGGAGTCTAGCAGTAGTCCTTGAATTTCCAGGGCTGAAAATTCAAAAATATTTCCTCAGCTTCAGAAATTGAGTTCCCGTTGGGGCAGTGTCCACTGAAGCTGAACAGCAGTAGCTATAAGCCAAGGTTGAGAGAAGTATAAAAGGAGGACGAAAGTATCAGCAATCACAGAAACACCATCAAACAGTTCACTCAACACAAAAACCACTATCAACGGTCCCGAAACCACCAAAACAACACACACAACACCTCCTCCTACCTGTGTATCAGATTCGACGAATTCGTCATTCATATCATTTCTTGTAGGTGCAAGATAATACCTTCAAAGTTTCTCAACCCACGACGACTGATAAAAAGGCATAGCAGATCAAAACGCATTTGAAATTTATCTATCTATCAAAATGATTGCTGGAAGCTGGGCTACCCTTGTTGGACTCTCTGTTCTCCTTGCGCGTTCTGGTTCAGCTTCGGCGGGCGCAGAATGGACCTTCTTTGACAACGAGTGCTATGGAACACCAAGCGGAGAGGAAACTTTCCAGATGAACTTCTTGGGTACATCACCCCAGTATACATTCCCTGGCGGGCACTTCGTTGAAGTGGGCGATGCATGCGGTCCAGGAAACTGCTTTGCAATCACTTATAATGATGAATGCAACGCCTGTCTCGTCAAGTATGGCTCTGGTTGCTACAATATCGACTTGGGATGGGAGCCAACTTCTTTCATGGCATGGTGTGAAGCATGTGACAGCATTCCTGATGTCAACTGTGCAAACGCTTGCTTCTAAGGAACCAGAGGAGCTCGGCAAGGGCGTCGAAGATAAAACCTACGAAACGAAAATGAAGGATATGAACCAGTTTGTTTTTTGTTTGCTTTTTGAATATTACAATGACGAGGATGCGATGTTTCAGAGCACTGGGGAGGCTGACTCGATGGCATGGTATGGGCGATGATATAAAGAAGGCAGATGCATGTATATAGTTGCGTTTCCGTATCCGGATTCGAATTTATGTTCTTTCCCGTTCAAAGACAATCTTTGCAAATGCAGCTATAAGATGTCTGTCCTAACAGATATTTGAGGTGAGGTAGTTCACGTCAACTCTTATGCTTACATAACCATGACACGTGAATGAAGACGCCCCCTAATTAGTCATCATACATCAACATCCACCTTAGTTACTTGACATAACGCACGCATTTCGTTCAAATTCATTCAAGCAGTCGAAGTTTACCGTCTAGTCAGCGTATAGTTTCTAGGGTGAGATATCTCGCTCAACTGCAGGGTGTCCGGTGACTAATCAGCATCGACTGAAATTTTCCTGTAAAGTTACGTATTTGCCCTCATATGGGATCATCGGCTCCGAAAAGGACTTCGGCTCCCAGAACTCGCTCAGGTTGCCTGCAGTGTCGAGCCCATCATCAAAAATGTGATGAAAAACGCCCCAAGTGCGGACTTTGTACCAAACATGAACGAGACTGTCAATATGGCACCGTGCTCAAATGGGGAGGTCGGCCATTTCACCGGTCACCCTTTGGTCACTATCTTTTGGATTCTGTCGCTCAAATCCAAACAGAACCTGAGGGAAGTCAAGGTAAAGTAGGCTGCTGAACCGCCATTTAAATGGCTGCTAATGTCTGGGACCAGGCTCTCGTCCGCCTGGGAAATCCTTCATCTACGGAATATCCAAACAGGGAGCAAAGACATCGACAACAGCAACCCATTCAAGGAGTGCGCATATAGTACCTAAAGAGCAAAACCAGCCACAACCGCAGGTTCAGGAAATGATTTCGCACAATACATGTCTGTCCATCACAAGAAATCCAGCCTCATTACCTACGTTACCGCCTACATACAAATCCCTGTTCAGCTATTTTCCATTCGTCGCAAGCGCCTTCTCCTGTAACGAAGACGTAAGGGACAGTTTCTGTACGACATTCATTCCTATGGCAATCAATACCTCTCATGTGATGGCTTCTGTGCTCAATCTAGCTGCTGTACATAGAGCAAATGCCGGCTCGTCACAGAGTAAAAAGGAAATTGCGCTTTTTCAAATGGTTGTTGCTCAACAATTACAGATGAAGATTTCAGAAACCGGTGGGCGTCCAACGGAAACGATCATAGCAAGTGTCATCTTACTCTGTTTATCTGAAATTGTTGCTGGACCGGAGAAAGTCTTCTCCTGGAGGTCACATCTCTATGGCGCCGCTTCTCTACTTAGCAGAGACACATCGATATGGAGAATTAACTCTCAAAGTCCTACCAGGTCTTTCATCGCCAGGTGTTTCGTCTCGCTTGTAGCACTTGCAAATATGTCAGGGAGCCCGGTAACAGAATTTGTGTCTGAGCAGGCTCTTCGAATGGCCAGTTCAGAAGGCTACAGTTCCAACATAGACGAGTTTTTAGCATACTCACTTGAGCTGGTGCCCGTTTTCTTGGAAATCGGCGCTCTTGTGAGAGAGCAACAACAAACGTCCGTTCTCGCCGACATCACTCTTGCTTCGACATGCAGAGACCAACCCTTCAAGATCTTGCATCACTTGCAGAACATGCTACAGTCTGTGCAAGCCCATTCAACATCCAAACCTTCCGATATAGCTACTGTCACTGAGCAAGATGAATACATGAGGGTTAACGAAACGTATCATCTAGCGGCCATGTTACAGATTTACCAGAGAGTTCTCCGACTTCCATCCTCAAGCGATGAGATTCAGGAGATTGTGCATCGCATCTTGACCATTTTACCTGAAATCACGCTCCGCAATAGTCCATGCCCTGGAACTGTGCTGCTTTTCCCTCTGTTCTGTGCTGGTTGCGGGGCAGAGGAGAAAGACGATAGATTGAAAGTCAGAAGTATACTATCTAAGATGAGTGAATTGTACCGGCTGGATGCAGTCAAGAGTTGCATGCGTATATTGGACGACGTCTGGTCCGGCGGAAGTCTACACAAAGTATCGTCCTCAAATCTAGGCTGGGAAAAACTCGTTGGTGGGTCTCTCATACACTTAAATTCTGTCTTTTGCAAGATTGCTAAACTTTGAATTACAGAAGGGACTACTGATATCATTCTATACTGAACGGATGCTCGACTAGCTGCTGAATTTAGAATGAAAGGTGCAACTATTTATCGCCCTTACAAGTATCTATCCTCAACGTCTTCATATCCTGTGAGAGCACTTCAAACAAAGAATCCATCTGAGTTCGTAGGGTTTCTTCATCAACTGCCAGTACCTGATAATCCTTCATCACCACTTTACCGTCAATGATGGAGTGCTGAACGGCAGACCCGTTGCATCCAAATACCAGATGGCTTTCCAGCATTTTTTTACGACTTTGGCGGTCTTTCAAAAGCGGCGTGAACATTTGATTTTTTTTCAGATCAATCACAATCAAATCTGCCTTCTTCCCGATGCCAATTACCCCGGCATTTATTCCTAGGGCCATAGCTCCGTTAAGAGTCGCCATACGAAGAATGTCGTACGGCTTACCCAAAGATGCATCTTGATGCAAAGCTCGTTGAATCAGGGAACCGAACTTCATAAGCTCAAACATGTCAGGACTGTTCTCACACTCGAAAGCATCAATTCCCATGCCAACATTGACACCTGCTTTATTCAAAACCTGGAGTTGCGCGATACCGTTGCCCAATTTTGCATTTGAACCAGGGTCGTAGGAAACCGAGGTGCCTGTTTTGGCCAGCAATGCAATGTCATTTTCGGTGAGATGCACGCAATGCGCAGCAACGGTGCTGGGACCAAGACAACCGCTTTCGTAAGCAATTTCCACTGGCGTCTTGCCATACTTGGCTCTTATTTCATCTACCTCTTGTTGGGATTCCGAAAGGTGGATATGGAGGCCTGTTCCCAGAGTTTTCATGGCTTCGCCTACCTGAGACATCAGCTCAAGGTTTGAAGTACACATCCATTCATGGCCCATCCAAACTTTAATGCGACCAGAGTCTCTGTTGTTGTGCTGATGGAAAGAAGCGATGTTATCGGCAATGGCGTCCAGTCCATGTTCTTCGAGCGCCACCTCGTTGCTGAGAACGGCCCGAATACCGATACGGCTCGCTGCATCGGCGAGTGAACCCACGAAGCGGTACATATCGTTGACGGTGGTGGTTCCAGATCTGACAGCGGTCCAATAGGAGTGCATTGCAGCTGTGTATGCGCGCTCTGCATTCAAGGCTCGAACACTTGGGTACCATACTTCCTCTAAGTATTCCTTCAATGGAAGCTCATCTCCGAATCCCTAATTAGTCAATCCGTCAGTCTCTCTTTATCTCCCCTCTCTCTTTTGCCTATTCGCATCCTCTAGGTTACGGAGGGTTGAATGGAAAGACAATTTCAGTAGAATGCGCCTACCTTGGCCACAGAAGTGTGAAAATGCAAATCAACCAGTCCGGGCATGATCAGCTTGTCTGTCCCATCAAGGAGAGTTATTGATGGATCACTTAGGACCTCATCGGTTGGGTTGCCGCTGTATATTTTAACAATCCGGTCATTCTCTATCTCAACTGATCCTGGATAATAGAAATTGTCGTCTTCGTCTAGTGTTAGAATGCTAGCGTTGTAAATGACGATCCGAGACATGGTCGAGAATTTGGGCACAGCAAAACTTTGTGACTATAAACGAGACCCCTACGCCGGACCATCTCCTTGTTTATATATTCACATAGATCATTCTCGCCCCTATTCGGCAATTCTGTCCTCTTCCGAGTAGGGCTTTTCTTTCGTTCTTTCTTATCTTCTTCGACTATACCGAAAAAGGAAAGAATAGACCAGGCAGTCCGATTAACCTGGCTGGCGATAAGATAAACCGTCATTCTTCACACCAAATAGTTAACAGTCTACAAGCCATCTGTTGCGAACTATATCATTATTTTCTTATCTCTTCCATAGGCATGAGGCCTGGTCTATACTTTCTCTTTCGAGAATAGTCCACGGAGCTATGACTCTGAGGCAGGCCAATGAACGCTCCCTCCAAAGGCTGATAAGCGTACCCACGATATAAGAAAAGATGGAAGCAAAATAAAATCAAGTGTTGAACAGACCACTATAAATCAAACCTGCCAGTTCCTCTTCGTATTGACTGCTCCAAACCTACCATTCGTGCATTCAGATCCATGTCTCCTAGTGAAGTTGACGGCAAGGGCGATGTGCCCATTGAGGAACGACCAATGTCCATCACAACGATCTCTAGCCCTAACCGACTTGTTGCACTATGGGAAAAATCCGCGGCGCTCCTCGGAATCGAACTGCAGGGAAGTGAGCCCGTATCAGCTTCCGAGAAGACCGATCGTCGTTACTTCTCTTTGCTTACTTTGTGGTTTTCCATGAACTTCAATCTCATCGCGTAGGTCAGTCCCGTTCGACGCTACTGTTGGCCTGAAAGCTCAACTACATTTCTCCTGATCACTAGGGTCTCTACCGGCATGTCAGGCACAATGAGCTACGGGCTTGGGTTGAAAGAGTGCTCGTTAATCATTCTTTTCTTTGGCATGCTGACTGCCCTTTCAGCCCCGTATTTGTCACTGCTTGGGGTGAAACTTGGTCTCCGGCAGATGCTTCATGCCCGATACGCTTTCGGGTGTGTATTACCCCTCTCCTACGTATAGAATTTGGGATTCGGGAGGAACTTACATTCTGTATAGGCTTTACGGTGTGTCGGTTCCTCTGGTCCTAAACATGGCAACTCTCGCAGGGTATGGTATTATTGACTGTATTCTCGGTGGGCAAGCGCTTTCCGCGATTAACCCGGAAAGATTGTCACTGGATGGCGGGATTGTAATAATTGCTATGATCACCCTGGCTATCATTCTATTCGGGGTCCGAATGCTGCATATCTTTGATTTGTACTCGTGGTTCCCCACGCTGGTCGGGATTCTTGTGGCTACCGGATGCGGTGGAAAGCATCTTCACTTGCAAACTGTCCCTGACTCAGTAGTTGCTCAGGATATACTGTCATTTGCGGCCTTGGTGGCTGGATTTTTCCTCCCTTGGTCTGCAGTTGCTAGTGATTTCACAGTCTACTTTGACACCAAGTCCAAAAAGTAAGCCGTTCCCCTCCCTCTCTTTCTGCATAGTTGCCCATAATCTGACGGATGGCGTTGCTCTCTCAGAACTGCAATTTTTGTGCCGTCCTACATTGGACTTCTCATTGGTGGTGTCCCTCTTATGATCCTTGGAGCGGCTATCGGAGGTGCCGTTCCAAACGTCCCTTCCTGGCAGGAAGGCTACAACAATAGCAGCGTAGGAGGAGTGCTGGGTGCCATGCTGGAGCCAGCAGGGGGGTTTGGCAAATTCCTTCTCGCTCTCCTCGGCCTCAGCGTGCTCGGAAACGTGACTGGCTCTGTGTATGCTCTCACTCTCAATTTCCAGGCCTTTCTTCGTATGATGCGCATTCGCGCCCCTCGCGTCCTCTGCACAATCATCGTGATGGCTATCATCATTCCGGTTTCCATTCGCGTTGCCGCAGAATTTTTCCAATCTCTAAATAACTTACTTGGTGTCATCAGCTACTGGCCGGCCTGTTTTATTGCTGTCGTTCTCTTGGAACACTTGCACTTCAGAAAGGGTAGCTGGGAGTGGTATGATTTGCGCAGCTGGGATCAATTCCAAGCTTTACCCACGGGGATCGCAGCACTCGCTGCCTCAGTGCTCAGTTTTGGCCTCGTAGTCCCCGGAATGTCACAGACATGGTACACCGGTCCTATCGGGCAGTGTACGGGGGATATTGGCTTCGAGGTTGCGTTTGTTTTGACTGCTCTTTTCTACCTACCGTTGCGGATGCTAGAAGTCAGGTTTCGCAAACTGGGATCTGCTACGAGCGTTCGTGATCCTTGAAGAAACCTTTTCGTGATTGATTCACATGTATTCGATGCGCGTACTTCTATATATTCGTGAAAAGAATACAGATAGCTCTATCACAAATTATAGTTAAACTGCTGGCTTCTGATTGGCCACGGCAGCAAACGACACCAAGCCCAAACAGGCATCATGGGGACGCGAAAACGCGTTTGTTTCCCCACCAAGAAACGCGCCCCTCACGTTTTCCATTTTGTTCCTTTCTTATGCTAAGACTGCAAACTCGAAGCTACACACATACCTCTCTGTCTCTCTCTTTCTCTCTCGTTCACTTGCAATACCCTGTATAATCACCACATAGCATTCACAAGTCAGTTGCAAATTCTCGTCCAGTCAATTCACAGCTTCACGACTGACTGCCATTTGTAGTGTTTGAAGCTCGCCTAGAACAAGCCGGCCTGCTCAAGCGGGTATGTGACCTCTCCATGCCCTTTTGAGTACTGACCAGAACTGACACTCCATCTTATACATACAGGTCGTCGACGCCATCAAAGACCTCGTCCAGGATTGCAATTTTGACTGCAATGACTCCGGAATCGCCCTCCAAGCCATGGACAACTCGCACGTTGCCTTGGTCTCTATGATGCTGAACGCAGAAGCCTTCTCGCCGTACCGCTGCGACCGCACCGTCGCACTGGGCATCAATCTGGTGTCGCTGACCAAGGTTCTGCGCGCGGCTCAAAACGAGGATATCCTGACATTGAAGGCGGAGGATTCCCCGGACGTGGTCAACCTCATGTTTGAGAGCGCCGAGACCGATCGTCTCAGCGAGTATGATATTAAGCTTATGGATATTGATCAGGAGCACTTGGCTATTCCGGATACCGAGTATTCTGCTACAGTTAAAATGCCGTCGGCCGAGTTTCAGCGTATTTGTCGGGATTTGAATGCGCTTTCTGAGTCTGGTATGTTATTTCTCTTTTCTTTTATCGAAGTGTTGCCAATACAGCCCCTGTGTTGACGTTATTTTTTTTCCCTTGTCGATAGTTGTCATCGAGGCTACAAAAGAAGGCGTCAAGTTCTCCTGCCAGGGTGACATTGGCAACGGCTCCGTGACCGTCCGCCAGCACACCAATGTCGAGAAGCCTGATAATAACGTGTCCATCGAACTCAGTGAGCCGGTCGCCCTGACGTTCTCGCTCAAGTATTTGGTCAACTTTTGCAAAGCCACTGCTCTGTCGACCCAGGTTAAGCTCTGCCTTTCTCAGGAGGTGCCTTTGCAAGTGGAATATGGTCTAGGCAGTGGTCATCTGCGCTTCTTCCTTGCTCCTAAGGTCGGTCATTCCCCTTTCTTTTTACGACGTGTGTAAATACTAATCGATTCCTGTTGGACAAATTAGATCGGCGACGAAGATTAATTTCCTACCCTCGATCCGTGTTGGCGTAATGGTTGTTCTACGAGACAAGGAATTTTTTTTAAACAAAAAAAAGACCAATGAATAGGGATGGATGGGTTACGGTGTTCTGTCTATGCATGCAAGGGGATCGTCCGTTTTGCGATCCAAACTAGGTTCATTCAAGCTCAACAGCTTTTTTTTTTGTTGTGTGATTATTGCGAGCGCAATGACATATTTGAATTTTGCGAGGCCTTTTTTTCTTTTCTTTTTTCTTTTTCGTACACTTGAGTAAAGTAATTAGAGACTATTCTTCTTTTAAATACTAATGATTATATCCGTTCCTGTGTATTCCCCTCGAAATTTAGATATACCGACGGTTCCTCGTAATATGTACACACATCATTAGTAGTATTCTGGCAACGCCTCCAAGAACAGAAGTATACATCACTCACATCAGGGAAAAAAAGGTGAAGCGTCGCCCCCAACAGAATAATCGGAATCGAATGATACCATCCCCATCCCGAAGGAGAATAGGAACCGGCATGCTGCGTATTGCACTGAAGTGTCGCACGTGCATATTGAAAATACCCACGCACACACAATCTTCGCAATGACTCTCCCATGGGGCCGTGAAGACCCCGAATGTTTCTGATGCCGATTGCGAGCGCTACCTATCGCGCTGGACCCTCACGGGCAGTACCGACTTCTCTCTCGTCGGGAACGAGAGAGAGCGTGGGTTGGAATAGGTGGAAGATTCCTCCGAATTTCTCATTTGCAGTATGGTTTAAGAAAACAGCGTGTCAAGAGAGTATTGCATCTCTCACTTCTGTTGTGTGTAGCAAAGAAACGCAGCATTGAAGGGGGCGACGCTTGGAGAGAAAGAAGAGAAGAAGAAGAAGGAAACGTTTTTGAAATTGTGTGTTTTCTCTTTATTTTTCTGCCGCGTGTGACCGCCATCTCGGCAAGCCTATGAACTTAGATACGTCGCTGGACACTCGTGCCTCAGGCAGCAGCAGGCAGCAGCTCTCGAAGGGACAACCAACACCTTTTACATTCTCTGGGGGGGGAAAAAAATAAATAAAAATAAACAACGACATGGCATAGGTTGATACTTGATCATCCAGCTAGCCGTGGCTATGTCAACACTAGATAGTTACCTCACGAGGCATACTCTGACTCTGACAGCGCTAGTCTCAGAGCTCGAGAACTTATTCGCGAGAATGCTCTAGCGTTAGCCTCCGCCACCAATGCCTCCAGCCATCGCCTCTCTTCATTGCAATCTATTTTATAAATTCATTCTTCGCAAGCTCTCCTGTCGCTGTCAACTGTATTGCTCACTTGCCATCCAGGGCCCGCATTAATTGCTTGGGACTCCAGGAACGGGCCCGACCCTTATCCACCTCCCCTAGCCCCAGCCCAGCCCAAAACTTTTCTCCATTTTTTATTATTATTGCTTACTATTCATCACTGGTCAGGCCTGCAGTGCTCTAGACATACACGTCCCTGTCACTCGTTTTATCTCCTCCCGCTGCTGTCGCATCAATCCGCCGAACGTCCAACAAGCTTTGATTGCTGCGAATGCCGTAAATCGACTCCGAAAGAAAGCGACTCTTGACACCCTGTCCCACTCCTTCGCAGTGGGCAACACCGCCAAAACGGCTACCTCCACGTTGGACGACGCTTCTCGTTACGAGCCCGGCTCCGTGACGGAGCAATTCTCCAAAATTCCGTCGTCGCAATCCCGCGCCTCGCTTCTTGGAGGCACCCACGACTCTTCCTTTCGCTCGCCGACGAGTCTGTTTCCCGAGCGTCAAGGGTACAGGCAGGTCTATGGCCCGCCGCGAGTGAGCAAAATGTACATTCCTAACTCGAAGTGGACGTGGATGTTTGTCATTATCGCCGTCGTTCAGGCAGCTGTTATTCTCGGTCTTGAATCGTAAGTGTCCTTTTTCCCCCCCTCTCTCTCTCTGTCGCTCAAAACGAAGCTAACATTTTGTCTAAAAGATACGTGTTTGCCAATTTCCAGATTCACTCTGTATCCTTAGCCCAAGTTTTCCAAACAACAAAGACGATCCCGACTTTTTTCTCGCTTTATACCTTCGGTTTCATCTACGAGTTGATTCTGGTCTACGATGCATTGCGTCTCAAGAACACCATTCAAATCATTGGCATCTGCTGTTGCAATGTTGGCCTTCTCATCTACGGTGCCGTACAGACCGTGGAAGATGAGGGAGTTCTGGATAACAACCTCTGGAAAGAGACCAGAGCCATCCTGATTGCGATCCCTTGCATTCTGGCCGGCACCTCCATTATGATGTCGTTTGTGGCCTGGAAGCTGTACGATGAATTTGCGTGGACGATTTACAAACACATCAGTGCCGATTTGCGAATGAAACGCCGCTATCTGACGTACCAGGTTTGTTATCACCTGACTAACGATTTCAGAGTAGTACGCTTTAGACTAACGTACGAACAGATTTACATTGCCCTGCTGAAGTTCGATTTCTTCTTCTTCTTGGGCTTCACAGTCCAGTTCATTGTCATCGTCACCGAGAAGACGGATGTGGAGTTTGCTTTGACGATCGCTGCTATTCCAGTTACCATTCTGATTTTGATCTTTGCTGCTTATTTCACGCGGCGCGAAAACACACTCGGCATGTGTGCCATTATCGTGAGTTTCCTAGACCATCATGACCCTATTTCATCTCCGTCCGTCCTGACCGCGATATTGATATTTAGGTTCTCTATTTCGGTGGATTGGCATACTTCCTCTTCAAACTCGTACGCATGTACCAGCCGTCAAGGGAACAAGAGTATCTTGCAGCAAGAAAATCGCTCACCTTCTTCGCCGTCATCACCATTCTCCTCATTCTGGTGACCATTGGCAACGCTATATGGTGCACGCATAATTTTCACAAGGGACTCAAGCCGCATCTTGTGCGAGCCCGCAAGAGCAGTGATGCTGAAAAGGCCACCGAGCTGAGTACCCGAGTGCCTGGAGAGGGCGTCCCAGCCCGAATGATGATTGATTGATCGATCAGAAGATTATTTTTCCCCCTACCATCTGCAGTATGGTAATTCATCAGGCCCTGATTATCGGGGGGGAAAAGTGCATAAAAAAAAGAAGAGGAAACAAAGTACATATGCCTCAATGCTCTGCAGATTTAATGAGCAGTCTGACAACCGGCTTGCCCTTCTTGACGGATATTCAATCAATTCTATGATACCATCTTACTTATACCCTTCTTCACATGCTACTTTTTATTATTCGTTCTTATCATGATTATTGTTACTATTTCCGAGAAAACAGGACAGAACCGAACAAAACATTGTTCTCTGACGACAAATGAGGGTTTATGGTGTTTTTTTATAATTTAGCGGATTGATGGACAATTATATTACGTACTATGTCATTATGCTGGTAGCTCGATCAGTCAATTCAATCTAAATCTCAAGTGAAATCAACATAACTTAGATATACAAATACAGATACTTAGTAAGATGCCGGGGGAAGAAGCTAAGCATAGACCGGGTTAGCGTGCCGGGAGCGTGACCCGTGGCCTTTTGCCAACCTCAAATTCAACCAACACCCTTAATCTTCCATACAGTTGCTTGCTTGCTTGCCAACACGCCCGGTTGTCTTTGTTTCGTCGCTCTTTTTCAATTCTTTTTATAAGGGATTTAATACAGTGTCCCCCCCCTCCTTCATAATGGTATGATTTACTTCCCCTTTTTGCATGGGAGGCTCCAGCTCAGCAGGATACCCAACATACATCATCCACCTGCACGCCCACACCGCATTGATTAGATTGCAACAGCTGATTGAGATAGGCCTCTCCCCGTGCTTCCTCCCCTCTCGCATCAGGTGCCGAGTCTGGCCCGGACGGTAAATCCGGTGTCTCTGGGGGCGCTGCAGCCGCCTCTGGATCCTCCGCCAACCGCCCTTCGTCGCCCACACCCCCCGGCGGTCCTCGCACTGCACTCCGTCGCCGCGCTGCTGCCGACCATAAGGAATCGCTGCGCAATGCGCGACCAGCATCGACCCGTGCTGCGGGCGCCGGTGGCTCGTCGGGGACCATGTTGAAGCTTTACACGGATGAGAGCCCCGGTCTCAGGGTTGATCCGGTTGTGGTTTTGGTTTTGAGTTTGGGATTTATCTTTTCTGTTGTTGGATTGCATGGTAGGTCTTTTTGCCTGTGGATGGCAAAGAAAATGACACAGACAACGCAGGAACTGGGAAGGTTTGCTAACCATTGTCCCGTGTTATAGTCATTGCCAAGATCACTCGCAACTTCTCTTCATAAAATACGAATCCTGTTGACACCTCCCTCGTGGTTCACTTCGATCCTATAATACTTGGTCACTCTTGCTCCGGAAATAGGCCTCCGTGAAATACCTCTCGTACCAATTACCAATCAATCAATACCCCCCCCCCCCCGTTTTTCTTTCTTCTCTCTCTTACATCTCTCCAACGCGGAAATGGAACTGTGCGTGCGTTTATCGGGTGGTTATGAAGCTTACAATCTATTTCGTTGTGTGTGTGGCCATTGCCAGGCCGAAAGGAGAGCTGGAATCTGTATTATATCGCATGAGCTTCCAACCAATGGAGTTGTTTTTAACTCTTCCGTTCCAAGAGCCAATCACAGCCGCGCGGGCGCTGATAGGAACTCAGCTGCGCACTATTACATATGCCATACACAAATACGCCTGTAGTTCTTGGGTGTGCGAGTATTACTCGGTAACCGCGCGCTCTTATCTCTGCCTGCGCGGCCAATCAGCGCCGCCCATGTAGGTCACGTGACGCCGTATCCTGATAAGCACGCCCAGCAACCAATCAGCGGGCGCAGATCACGGGCCCTGATCTGCAGATAACTCCAGACTTGACGTTCGCCCATGCTTTGCTTCTTTCTATGCTAGTATTTAAAATTACTTGCAGCTTAGCTATGACTCGATCACAATGACACATTCTTATCAGCAGGCGAGCGTTTCAAGCCAAGCCAGCCCAATCATCGCTGTCAACCACAATATAGCTGCATATGCCATGCCTCCTCGATGGCTGCGATTTCGGAGTCTGTCTCCGCCGCAGTTTATTGCCCAATGGGGTAACTATAAAAACTGAAAAGAAAAAAGACTTATAAATGCGGCGTCGTCGTCCTCTGCCTCCAGTCATAGTACACACAAAGGCTCAGCATGGCCGAAACAGTATTCACTGCCCCTCTGTCGCAGGGCTTTGGCTATGGCATTGTCGTCGGTCTGGGCTTTGCCTTTGCCTTGTTGATGATCTTCATTACCTGGGCTTTGAAAAGGTATATATGGATATTGCATTGCCTCCCCCCCCC